CCCTTCCATATCACCCATTCCAATCACTTCCTCAACACATTTCCCACTTTTCCACCAAAGAATACATCCTCTTTTCACCACTAGACACATCTCATCAAAATTACCATTCTACCTATTTTTCCACCACATTTCAACCTCAATATTTCATATTATATTCTTATCCATACCAATTCTTCGACATTTTCAACATATCTCCTTCACTTTTTTCTCAACTCCTTTTTTTCATCAAATACCCCAACATTCAATTCTCACTTATCCTCATATATGACCTTCCATCATCAAACATTCGACATCCCCATTTTTCCACCACATTTCAACCTCAATATTTCATATTATATTCTTATCCATACCAATTCTTCGACATTCTCAACATATCTCCTTCACTTTTTTCTCAACTCCTTTTTTTCATCAAATACCCCAACATTCAATTCTCACTTATACTCATATATGACCTTCCATCATCAAACATTCGACATCCTCATTTTTCCACCCATTTCAACCTCAATATCTTATTCAACAATCAAAATCATAATAAATATCCCTAAATATTCCACAAACAATCTCACTTTTTTTCACTCCCTTTTTTTTCAAAATATCTCATCATTCAATTCATCTTCATACATCTTCTCTAACAAATAATTCCATCATTTCTCAACCACATTTTCACTTCCATCTCCCATTTTTTAATCATATTCATTTTAAAATCTCTCAACTATTTCATAACCAATCTCACTTTTTTTTCACTCTCTTTTTTTTCAAAATATCTCATTATTCAATTCATCTTCATACATACATCCCCACCATCATCCAAAATTTGACATCCCCATTTTCCACCACATTTTTATTTCCCTCTCCTATTTTTTAATCTTAATCATATTAACATTTCCCAAATATTTCATAAACATTCTTACTTTTTTCTCAATTTGATTTTTTCATCAAATACTCCAACATTCAATTCTCACTTATACTCACATATGACCTTCGAACATCACCTCATTTTCCCACCATATTTTTTATTTCCATCTCCTACTTAACAATCTTATCTATATTAAAATTTCCCAAATATTCCATCAACAATCCTCTTTTTTCTATCTCACTTTTTTTTTCGAAAATACTAGACCCTTAAATTCATCTTCAATATAATACCCCGACCATCACCGTGACTTTTACATGGCCTATTTTCCACCACATTTTTATTTCCCTCTCCTCTTTTTTAATCTTAATCATATCAAATTCTCCCAAATATTTCAACTATAATCCTACTTTTTCCAAACGGACCTCTTTTTCAAAAATATTCTATCCCTCAATTTTTCATGACCCACGTCCACCGCACAACATGCTCTACCACATTTCTCCCGCAAATCTCCTTCTTATCCTCCAATATTTTTACAATCATCCCAAACTCTTCGAAATATGAAAATGATAATACTGCCTTCAATTTCTGACCTCATATACCTCCACAATTCACACATCCTAATCCATCCTAGCTTCAACAATAATTACATATCTTCTTTAATACTTCTCCACTTTTTTATCCTTTATATAAAAATCATCCTCTTCTAAACCTTCCACAATACTCACACAAATCTCAATCCTCGCCATACCTTCGCTTTCTTCAATATCAGACATAATACTGCTCGCCCAATACAAAGGGGTATCTCACCCTCGTTAGCTCTCAAATGATTTCTGCTGAAGATGTAGAGAATTCCGCTGATTGTGGAACGGGGTCCCAAACCCCCTGCAAATTTCCGCGGATTATGCCAAAACATTATGGCTGATTGTGCAACGCACATTTCAAGCGCCAATATCTCTACCACATTATATTATCTTTCAGATAAAATTATATATTTTTGCTCAGCATGCTCTCCAGATTTCAACAGCATCATTACTAGCCATTTCCACCAAGTATTCATCATTTAAAAATTCCGGCTGATTGTGCTGCAATGTATGGCATTCCGGCGGATTGCGCGACTGTATCCCTAGGTAAGAAAGGAATTAATATGAATTTTATATAATGTTGGTATGAATAATTAAAGTGCAATGGTATGAACTATTTTTCTTAGATGGTCCGAATAAATCCCGCTGCGGTGGTACGAAAAATACCGGGGGTCGGTATGAATTATTTTTTGCCACTGGTATGAACATTTCCGGTGGTTGGTACGAATAAAAAATGAAAACACTGTATAACTCAATCTACTTTAAGCGCTTTTCATATATCAGGTGTTGATAATGATTTATACGAAAATACAGAAGGTATGCCATAGCAGCAGGACATAAAGATTTAACATCTAAACATAGGATCGGGAGATATAACTGATCTGAAACATTTCTGTGTTTTCAATTATTTACTGCTAATGCTGATGGCTCTGACTGTGTTCAACAATGTGGAGTTTGAATTAGATTGTACTAAATTCGTGGTCAAAGATAGTTATAGTATGAATTTGTTCCAAAGTGACTCTTTGTGTCTTTATCCGGAACAAATTAACCTTTCAAAATGTGTAGTAAGGGTAAGTATCTGTTATACTTCCGCGCTATCTTATTTGACCTTGTGAAAAATAGATAGTTGCTGTAGAAACGCAATTTAAATTTCTATGAGATATTAAGATTCAAAATATAAAATATAATTGAAAAGTTGGGATGTATAAAGTGAATAAAAGATAAGATTAAAGATTTTTCTATCATAATGAATAATAAAAAGGGAAGAAATATAATATCTATTATAGATTATCTATTTTTCTTCGTCCGACTGGATTCTGTTGCGTTACGAGCTCAGTCAGTCCTGATTACTAACGCTATCCTTGCTAAGCACAGTAGAGGTTTTTTTTTTTTTTTTTTTCCCTTATGTCGATTTAATGGCTGTTGAGTAGTTGCCATTAAATCTCACATCTTAGGAACCAATTTTTTTTTTGAAATACCTTTGCCAATGTATTCATTACTTAAGGGGTAGAGTTCCATTAAGAGAAAGCGAATCTAGTTTTTTTGAGAAGAGGCCCGAAGAAAATGAGCCAACAATCTCAATCTCAGCAAAACCACAGAAAGATAAACCTCAGATATAGCTCATGTTCAGAGTGTCGAAAGGCCAAAAAAAAATGCGATCAGAAATTGCCCAGATGCTCTTTATGCGTCAAGAAAGACAAGGAGTGCTCATACCTTGCACAAGATCAAAGAAAAGCGGTAACTAAAGACTATGCCAATGCTCTCTTGCATCGTGTCAGCAAACTTGAAGAGGCATTACAATTTTATAAGGATGAAAATGAAAAGTTGAAGGGAGAAAAGTCTCAAAATTCTTCTTATGCCAGTTTTGAACCTGATTTGTTGCAACTAGACTCACCAGTCACGAATGATCAAGATGCAATCAACAATCGATTAAGAATGAATCTATTCACTAAGGACAGTGCATCTGATGATCAAAATACCAAGCGCTCGTATCCTTTCTTAGATTCTATGGGGATCACTTTGTCAAATGCGACACTAAAGTACTGCTCTGATTATTCTTTGAGATTGAAAGCTCCTCTTTTTGATAATTGGGGGTTTTCATTTATGGGAGGAGGTGCGCCTCTATTTTTTGGCTACACTAGCATGAGATACAGACACATAAATGCTATCCAAAAACCAATTGATAATACCACCGAATCTTTGGTAACCAAAAAGCTTTTACGAGAGTCTTATGGCGGAGAAACATTAGGGTCCTTTTACCAAGAGATATTTGAGTGGTTTTTTGAAATAATGAATAACTCTATACCGTTGGTCAATGAGGACTTATTTTTGGGGTCAATAGAAAGGTCTTTGGACCAAGAAGCTTTGGAAATTGAAGAAGATCAACATGCCTTAATAGCTTTAATAAACTCGATGATGGCGTATTATTTTGCCTACCATGATGGCTACGGCGCGAATTTCGAATATTTCTACAATTTGGCACATCAACAGGTTAATGAAGAAACAAAGTATCGCCCACAATTAGAATGCGTTCAAACTTTATTATTGTTATCACTAATTGATATGAATAGAGGTAATGAAATTAAATCCTCGGAATCGGTTGCTAAGGCAGTGGCCCTTTCATATCACTTGGGATTACATATTAATTCCCAGGGGTTGAGCTCCCAAAATGTATTGAGTGATTCTGAGGCCCTTCAAAGAGATTTGGTTTTTTGGTGCTGCTTTATTATTGATAAATTGAGAGGCTCAATTTTGGGGATACTGCCATATATTCATTGTCCTGACTTATCAATAAGGCTTCCGTCCCCTACTCAGTTCTCATCGGTTGATGAAAAAGTGAAAATTAACGTGTTGAGGGAAACCATATCTTTTGCCGATACTCAGTGCGAGACTTTGAATCAATTTGCCGCAGCGTTGAGAGATATCTTTTTTGCTCAAGAAAAAGATGAAAATAAAGAATATGTGAAAATCGGCCTAGCAGTATCAAAAGCTGCATTAAGTATGTCGGAATGGAAAAAAGATCTCGTGTTTGAGGCCAGGTATTCAAACACAAGGACTATCTCTGCTGCATACATAGAGGTTTTATACCATACACTGATGATTATACTTCACAAACAATTGGTTAAAGAACCACTAACAAGAGAAGAGATCTTGCCAGAAGCACAGACACCAATAGCTATATGCACAAGATCTGCAGAAAATATTTTGAAAATTTGTGAAGCCCGGAAGCATTATTCCGTGAGCTTTTTTGAGTTTCATTTTGCCTACTCGGTCTACATGGCTGCTGTAATCTTCCTATTCAATACATCTGCAGAAAGTGAAAATATAAGAGCAATCCAAAGAAGCTACTTCCAAAAGGCTATTTATTTATTGGAGAGTAGTAGAGTAAAGGTGCCTGTTGCTGAGACGTATTTGTCATGTCTAGAAAAATTTCATGATCAATGGTTGCAACCTGATCATAATTCTGCTGTATTATAGCCTGTGCGGTTATTTTGGATCATTGGGCTTTATTAGTGATTGGAATAGGCAGATGGTGAGACACTCATCAATGGTTTTTGTGAAGAAGGGTACCGCGGTATGTAAATAAGATGACGCGGGTGGTGGTTTTATGGAGAAGATCAGAATCAATAGTTTCTTTTACTATAAAAGCTATTTAAGATAAGGACGAACGTCCCATGTTTATAGTAACTCCTCATTAATATTGCTGCTAGCGGTCGACGGCAATCCTGAGTCCTGACTTAGGCCCTAGTTCCAATTGCTGGAGACCGGCTTGTTTTTGTCTGTGAGCTTTCTGGTTGCCTGGTTGTCACAAGCTGTTCTAATTCTGTTTTTTTCTTCACAAGAGAGACGCTCCTTGTTGCGTTTGATATATTACACCTCTATCAATCCAATCTCCTATTGTACTCTTATTATTTACCTTGTATGATCTTTTCTTCTTGTTGTTTTACCAATTTTTAGTACTAAAATGAACCAATGGGTCTCAAAGGCTGTACTTCAAATCTAATTAGAAAAAATCACCCTACTGTTTATAATCGTTTTCTTCCGATAAAAACTGGATTCCATAATATCTTTTTTCTTATATTTTTATTCGAATGCTTATTCCATACTTTGTGGACATGTATTTTACACCCAGACATTAACTATAATATGCTCAAAAGATATTTCGTCATCACACTAATAACATCATGTAAAATAAGCTTGGTATCATGTTAATCGACGAATTGATAGTCCTATATTTTAATTCGATCGTCTCTTAGAACTATCGAATAGTTCTAGAAGTTAATGGATGATAACAGAAAGTAATAGAAGATAATAAAAAATAACAGAAAGTATTAGAAGGTCATTAACAATAGTACTATGATCACTGATTCTAAGGACATTAATAATCACTGTAGTAGTCTCTATTATAGTGGAACAGTATCTATGATACTTTGAGCATGAGCTATTCTACACATCATGAATAATATAATATTGGAAAACAACCCACATCAATATGCACGGGGACTTTTATCTCCAACCCTCAAATTGCTTATTGATGTGATCGATACTAAAACAGAATCAATCAAGGCATCCATCCAACAGAACAACAAGTCCACAAAGAATAAGAATAATATACCGTCTATTTAGAGTATCGAGTAGCACTAGAAAAAAAACCGGTGAAGTCCTGAATAATGAATCCCACTCCATTCAACGATTTGAGGTACGCGACAATAGACAAGCCAAACTGATACCCTATATCGAGTAAGGGGATTAGTAACAAGAGGTTTCATATATCTAACGCGTTGTCATTTCACTGTCTCACGTGAAACAGAAAATAAAACTCGGTTGTGAAGTACCAACCAGCTGGTAGGTAAATGTCAAAAAAAAAGCTGAAGAATATAAAAATGAGTTCGTAGCTCTCCGTCAGGTGGGTGTAATTATGTAAACGTTTTATATTGTATATCTAGAAAGTAAATAAAAGGCAAGTACATAAAATATAGGCTTTATTGCTATCATGACGATAAAATTTTTGGAGGTGCAACAAGAGTAAATATCACTATTTAGACAGCCTTGAAGGTATTAGTTTCTGGTTCACCAATCAATGGCAAGGAAGACAACAAATTTCTCAAGTTGTAGGCATCATATGGATGGTGCTCAGCAATACCTAAACCAACAATTTCCACAACTTTACTGACATCATTCAACAATCTTGAGACTTCAGCTAACTTCATTTTACCAAATGGAACTTCATCCCAAACGTGTGAACTGATAGTACTACATGGCAATAAATCTCTGTATAAGGTTGGGTCTAAAACATCAAGATCCAAGTGGATAGCAACGTGTTTGGCACCAGTTTCTTTCAAGTACTTGATAATAACATCACTGTTTTCTGCCAATTCTTTGTCATTAGCGTGTTTAATATTGTATTTTTTGATGAATTCAGTTTCAAAATCCGAAGTCTTTTGCAAACCAGCATAGATAACCTTTTCATGAGGAACAACCTTTGGAACAAGCTTGACCAAGTCTTTATCACCATGACCCATCAAGTTACCCAAAACATGAGCATGTGAGTTTTGGTAATGCTCGGCGGTCATAATATCTGGATGAGCATCAACCCAAAGGATAGCCAAGTCATCATACTTTTGTAATAAGTAACTGAATGGAACAAGATCCATTGAGCAGTCACCCCCCAAGATAACCAAAGAATCTGGATCATGTTTGGCAATTGCAGCTTTAGCATTGTTGTGTTGAACTAAAATTTGATCCTTAGCGAAAATCTTGTCCTTGACCTCATACTCTTTGGCTTCTTCTGGAGTTTCAACACCAACAACTTCAACAGGCCCTTTGGTTGGAGGGGCTAAGAAATTTAAAAGTTGGGAACCAAAGTGGTACAATGGGGAGTTACCACCTTGCCATTGAGGATAGACTAACCTTAACGAGTTTTTAGCAGCCATTGTAAGAGTAAATGAATATATATATGTTTTTCAGCGTGTAAAAATATCTTTGTGAAAAAATTATTTGAAAAATTGTTGACTTAAATTTTCCGAGGCGTACAGCGAACTTTTATATTTCAAACAGATCATTAATATGCATGCCAGGATATCGGGGTTGATGTCCGCCAACAATATTTTAAAGTTGAACATTGTGTAAGTGATAAAACATAATCACTTAATTGGCTAGAGCAATAGTGCTGATTGCTTCATGTGCTCAATAACTTCTTCTTTTTCTTACATTTTTACCATTTGTATATCATTTGTTTATTTGTTGATTATTTTATTTGAAATACTATCATCTTCTTATAAAATATATTAATATATTACCTTTGTATTTATCTATTGATTTCTTGATTGGTATCTTCGTTTGGCGTACAGGAGAACTTTTGGCTGATTATTAATTAATACGTTTTACCCTACAATACCCTCACTACACGTGGTAGAGTAGCTCGAGTATACCATGACGGTAGTATTTGAGATATTTCTCTGATCAATCCTAAGTATGGTACCAATACTGAATTGCGATATTGGCTCTCGCTCGGTTTTCTTTGGATTTTACCCGGTCTTACCTTCAACCAGGGAACAAATATTACACTATGCGTCAAAACTTACTTCTTACATTGTATACAGATGAGTGTAGTTCGAGTGAAGAAGGTGAGATTGTTTTATTGATTTGTTATACCTCTCTACTCCCTCCCTCATACCCTACGATTATTATTATTAGAGGCTTGTGCTTATATAGTATTTGGTGAGCTGTCTGGGTTGCGCACACCTATAAACCCGGTCACCTTGGTTGGGTTGTGCGACTGTCATCCCACATTCTTCGGGCCATCTAGCTTTTCCTGACCGGCCCTCACAACAGGGCTGCCTCTGTCTGTGTTATGCTCGCTACTGCCTTGACTATAGTCATACATAACGGCTCAAAAAAATAATCGGACTTTTAGTGTACATGAACTTCTAAATCTTAATGATAATGCACACGGCGGTGTCTATCCCCGACAGCTAGATTCTTTTTTTTTTTCTTTTTTGAGACGAAGAAAATCTGGTGATAGAACATACATAAATATAATGATTTCTCTCCTGTTAAGGGAAAAGGAACAAAGTGTATACTTCAAAACATTAAAAAATGTCATATCCTAACTACTTTGAAGGATTGGGAGTTGTTGAAGAACAAGGATGGCCACAAACTAATAAAGTCAAATATGCCCCTAAGAAATTAGGTCCCAATGATATTGATATCAAGATAAATGTGTGTGGGGTTTGTGGGTCAGATGTTCACAACTCAGCTGGTCGCTGGGGGGAACGTCATTTTCCAATGGTTCCTGGTCATGAGGTCATTGGCCATATAGTAAAACTTGGACCACAATGCTCGAGGGGGCTTAAAATTGGTCAAAGGGTGGGCCTTGGACCGGTAATATTAAGTTGCGAAAACTGTGAAAGCTGCAAAAGGGGGCATTATGGATCTTGCCCCGATTTGGTCGTCACTTATAACGGGAAATATGAGGATGGGAATGTTTCAAGAGGTGGGTTTGCTTCTCATATTAGAATAAATGAAAACTATGCATTTGAAATCCCAGAAAATATTACATCGGAAGTTGCGGCTCCATTGCTATGTGCTGGAATCACTGCCTTTGCCCCACTTTATAGGAATAAAGTACAAAAAGGATCAAAAATTGGCATTGTTGGTATTGGAGGTGTAGGTCACATGGGGGTTTTGTTTGGGAAATATTTTGGAAGCAAGGTGGTTGCTTTCGATGTCGTTGAAGCCAAGAGAGCCCCGGTTCTTCAACAATTGAATGCTGACAATTTTTTCAACAATTCTGAGGAAAAACAGCTAGATGAAGCAATCAAGCTCTACAAGGGCTCTCTTGATGTTTTGTTGATCGCCTCCAATCATATAAATGGAATCAACTGGGACAAGTTTATCTCCTTGATGAAATTCGGAGGTAAAATCATCACTATAGCTGAACCGCCATCAAACGAAGCATTGAATATTCGTCCTTTTAGTTTGATTGGATGCTCCTTTGAAGCAAGTGCTATTGGAAGCTTCGAGGAGACTAAGACAATGCTTGATATAGTCTCAAAAGAACAAGATCTAAAGGTTTTAGTGGAAAAATCTCCATTGTCTTCCGAGAACCTAGCAAATGCTTTTAGAAAGATGGATTTAGGTGACACTAGATTCAAAATAGTTATGACTGACTTTGACAAATTTTTCAAGTAGTTTAATTATCAGGAGAGTTAAAATTAAAGTTTTAAAATTTCGCTTCCTCCAAATGTAAGTAAGTTCTCAGCAAATTGCTATTGACTTTACTTTGGTATATTTTGCAAGCAAAGCTAGAGAAATGAGTATTCCGCTCCACAGTTTGTTTTCTAAAAATTATTTATTTTTGCCGTGTTCCAAATGACTGGTAATTTTCATCCAAATGATTGGTAATTTTCCTGCACTGTCTGGACACAACTGTGTTATAAGTAATACATCCCTGTAACTACCCTTTAGGAACAGTAGCGGAAGGACTAGTGGAGGAGTTAGCAATAATTACGATAAAATATATTTTGGGTGAGTTCAAGGTTATTGTAATACTGATACGCAATATTTCCTTTTCTCTCCACATTCTAACTATACGCTTTCCTGGGATTACTAGACCCTTAAATATAACATTCATTACAAAGATATCAAGAAAGACTAACACATAGCTTGTATCACGCAGCTTGTGTTCTAGACTATTAAATACTAGACACGACCAATTGAATACCACTAGAGTGGTATTATTATTTAGAAATCAGCCCTGTAATTATTTACTTTTGAGATTGATAGATGGGCTAATGCTAGATAACTGTGTATGTGACTATAAGCCAGATAACACAAATTATAAAAAGAAAGAGAGAAAGTAGCACAATAGTCTTATCCCAGCCAATCAAGACACTATATTAAGTTTAGCAATCTATACCTTTCAGGATTGAGATACAAGTTATAATTATATCGTAAAGGGATAAGATATAATTATTTCGTAAAGAAAGAGAAAGGATATAATTATATCGTAAAGAGATAAGGTATAATAGATAAGTTTCAATCAATTTTTCTATCCATTTAGCCTGCAATGAGTAATAAAGAAGTTCAAAGAAGCTAACAAAAATAATAAAAATGAGTATAAAATGTCAGTTTTTGTGCTAATTAACACTTTGACTCAGGATCTTGTGTATAACAGTCAAATAATGCAGTTAGTAAATGGTTAGGAGTATGAGGACTCATTAATAAACTGATACGATATCGGGGTTTTCCTCCGCACTTAAATAAACTTTAGCGGCCATTAACACCGACACTGAATTTACTGATAACCACGAAAATACAAACCAGAAAAAAAAACTTGGATATGCAAGGTTTTCGAAACGGTATGCAGACCTTATCAATTTGGTATATAAACAACAAATTCTGAATATATAACTAGGTAAATGTAGTGTATTTGTTAAACAATAATATTTTGACTCTTCAGAGAATAAGATTCACCGAAATATACAGCAACTTCTAAACTAAGAGAGCTCAAAAAACTCATGACAGCTTCTAGTTCTGATTCGAAAGCCGCTGGAGAGATCAGAGTTACAAGCTTTGAAAAAGACTTATTACGGAATCAACTGTCAAATGTGGATGTGGATGTTGGCAATGTGGAAAATAAAGAGACTTTAACCTATGATAAGCCATGGTATAGAGTTCCACACTTTCTAAAGCTCAATATTTTGCTTTTAATGCCAGCGCTTGCTGGTTCAATCAATGGTTTTGATGCATTTTTGGTAAATTCTTTGCAAATTATGGAAAACTGGAAAGAATATATGGGAAATCCAACAGGTGGTACTCTAGGGGCACTAACAGCTGGTCCACCAATTGGGTACTTGGCAGCTCTTTGGATTGCTAAAGTTGTTTCGGACAAACACGGTAGAAAGCCAGCTATGGTGATTGGTGCTATTATTACAACTATTGGTACTATAATTCAAACTTTTTCAAATGGATATGCTTGCTTTCTTGTTTCAAGAATAATTGTTGGTTTTGGCTCAGCTTTTTACTACGTTGCTGCCCCAGCTTGGCTAGCGGAATTAGCCTTTCCGGAGCATAGGTCTGTTATGGTAATTTTGTTCAATAGTAGCGCTTATGTTGGCGGGTTAGTTGCAACATGGGTTTCATATGGGACTATGGGCTTATCGAGTACCTGGCAATGGAGAGCTCCATGTCTTTCTCAATTAGTCTTTACAATCCCTCACTTGATGTTTATTTGGTTTCTCCCAGAAAGCCCAAGATTCTTGGTGTCTAAAGGAATGATTGAAAAAGCCAGAAATATATTGTTACGTTATCATGGAGGTGATGATTCAGAGAAAGCAGGAACATTCATAGATTTTGAGTTACGAGAGATTGAGCTTGGGATAGAAAAAGATAGAGAAGGCGATAAAACTTCATTCAAAGCATTTTTCCAAACCAAAGGTAACTTCCACAGATTTATGATATGTATGTTTATGGGGTTTTTACAATATAATGTTGGTTTGTTTGCAGTCACATATTATTTAAACCCACTTTTAACCGCAGCTGGAATGTCCTCCGATCGGCAACAAATGTTGGTAGCTGGTGGAATTACCATCTTCAATGTTTTTGCTGCCTATTTCTCAAGTTTAGTGGTCGGAAGATTTGGTAGAAGAAAATTATTCTTATGGAATCTCGTGGGGTTATTTATCTCCTATTTTGCTTTTGTTGTGTTATCGGGTATCAACACTGAAACTAGTTTTCAAAACCCAGCTTTAGCAAAGGGAATCCTTGCTGTGATTTTTTTCACTTATCTTTTCTATGATATCGGCTTTTTAGGAATGTTGTTAGTTTATATCACAGAAATTACTCCATTTGCATTGAGATCAGGCGGGGTTATGATTTACATGTTATCCGCTAATTGTTGGGTTATCTTTAATTCGTTTGTGACACCTGTTGCAATGGATTCAATTGGATGGAGATTTTATATTGTTTATGCTTGTACGATTGTTTTCTGTTTTATCTTCATATATTTCTTTTTCCCAGAAACCAAAGGTTATTATCTAGAGGAAGTTGCATTAATCTTTGATGGTGAAGCTGAAGGTAAACCAGCTAATTTAGAGCAAATTAGATCGTATGCTGAGGTCGTTGATGCTTAATACGAAAACTGTCACAACATATTGCATAGGGATGCTTTAGCAGTATATTTCAATATTTACTATTCGTATTTGGGACTTTTTTTTCCATCTTTTTTTTTATTTTAACAATGTGCTTATTTTTTTATAAACAAACTATAGATACAATGCGTTTTTTTTGCTTTTAGAGCATTTTAACGATTGAAATCGTTGTGAGGGTAAGTATCTAATATATACCTAACTGAAATCGTCTTTTGAACGGAACGTGTTAGACCAAACAACATTATGTTGAAAGATGTATGATTAAAGTAACTATAAATAAGGGAAGAGTCACCGGTTGTCGGCCTTTAAATAGAGGCCAAGTTAAGACAAACAGGTAACATTTAATATATTAAAGTGGTTAGATTCGTAAAAAGTAAATATTGTAAGGAATATTTGTCATTGGTAAGACAAATTATCTGCTAAATAATGAATTTAACTTCTGATAGGTTCGAGTCCTAGAAAATAAAATATTATTTATATATATTATATTCGATCTGTCCTATATATTACTTTAATATGTAATATATAAATATTATATACTTATTTATGTCTCTCAACCACACATACATACATGATCCTTCACCAAAACTTTACAATCACTATTTTTCCACCACATTTTATTCTCAATCCTAACTATTATGATCAAACCTATATCAAAATCATCCAAATATTTCATAACCAATTCTACTTTCTTTCTGAACATCTTCTTTCTTGAAATATTCTCTCCCTCATTTTTCCACCATACATACATGGCCAACGGCCATCGCGAAAATGATCCACCCATTTCTCTCTCAAATTTCAATATGTCCTTCTGATTTTTTCAGAATCATTTTAAAATTATCTGAATATCTCAATAACATTACTAACTTTTCTTCAATTATCACTGTATTCAACTTATCCACCACCATCGCATCATAATATCTCCCCAATTTTCCACAAACTGACCCCTCTGATTTTCAATATAAATATTCTAATGAAATATTATATACTCATAATATATAAAACCACCTTCACGTTTTCTATATTCCACCTCTTTCAGATTTTAATTACCATATAATTCATATAGCTAATTTCGCACCTAAATTATCACGTGCTTGAATTTTTTCAAAATAAAAGGACTACTCATAATTAAGGGGCTGGAAATGGGAAATATAACCTCAAATTACATGACTAAAGACCCATCCTATGGCAACTATATTTTCCAGACAATATATAATTGATATAAATATTCCATTGGAATCCTTTTTTTGAAAGATATTCTTTTATATAACCTTACTTCCATCAATGACTACATCAAAATAGAATCATGAATTTATTACAAAATAATACTTCTTAAAAAAAGTATAATATTACTGAGCGATTCTCTGACATTAATAGATACAAACAACACACTTCAAATATTCTTTATGGCACTCACATAACAACTTTCACGCGCTGAAATATCTGACCACCACATCGATCGCATACAAAACTTCACGCATACTTCTCGCGTTCACCGCTCTACAATATTCCAAATTAAATAATACGAATATGGTCACCCTACTTTATATTTTATTATGTTAAATTATTTTGTTATTATTGTAATGATCTAGACACTTTCTTACTTTTCTTTCTCTTTCTTTCTTTTTATTGTTCTTATCTTTTCTTCTCTCTTCTTTATTTAACTCCATTCCTTATCTCGGACAACCTCCTTATCTCCGACTACCTTTTTATTTCCCTTTGAGTTCCCTTTTAGGTAAGTCTTACTTTCTTTTCTCACCTATAAAAAGCTTACTTCATCTATTCCTTTTAGTTTTTATTCTTCTTTAATATACTTTAACTACTATGTTGCCCAACTAAACCATTACAATTATTATTATTTGTCTTCCTTATTGTTATTGGAAGATAAGAACAATCCCTTTATTATTATTCATTTAATCCATTTACCTTCTTTGATTTATTACTGTTAAGTCAGTCTAATAACAAGTTGTTAAATACGAGCCACTTGTTTGGGTTGTGTGTTCTATCAGATAGTTAGAGACCAAGTACGGTGATAGCATTTGATCTTTTTATCACATACCTAACGCGAGATCAAGTGAAGATAAGTATTGATATAGGATTAAGAAGTCAACTCTTCATCCCTTTCCTTTTTTGTTGTCGTGAAACCGGAAATAAAAATATTGCACCGCCAAAGAAACGCCGCTATGGCACACATTTTCATGGGGTGCCTGCACCCTCCAACATCTGCTCCTTGAATTGCACATCAGAAAATCCTCGCAACGCACAAGTCGAAATCTTCAAGCCAAATTATGGGCACCAGCACCGCAAATTAACTTAATTTTGATATCAAATATTTCACCAACGCCCGCTATTTACAAATACCTACTTTTTGCAGTCGATTCCCGCACTTTTTGTTTTTTTAAAAGTTCTCCCAAACGCCCACCTTTGTATGGCAGCTCCAGTGCACGCAAACAATGCTCAAGCAGGTATGGACAACACTTTTAAGTTTATTGACTGAAATCTATTAATTTCCTTGAGGTGAATTTTTCAGATGAGTTATATGCATGCCGCACGTCGGTAAATAGTACAAAAAGTATTTTACTTTCACACAGCTATCTCGCACATCAGTACATTGACATGCATGTTCGAGTGCACATCAAAACTTACTTTTCCAACGATAACGCCAACAACTTGTGATATAACTTGGTGTGAGATGTCTTGTTATAGTAGTTGGACTTTTTAAATCAGTCCGATCTTCTCAGTAATATTCTAGATAGTACTAGAAAGGTAATTTTCTAGAAAGTAATAATAAAAGGTGTCAATAAGTAATAACCTCGTTGGTTATGATTCCTTAAACATGACTTATGCCACACAACTGTACTCTGCTCTATATGTCTGTATATTTTAGGCGCTTCTATTGTGTAATTTTTATTATCAATTTTATTTATTATTCAAATCTGATTGAAAATTGGGAAGATCTTATTGCATCAGAAGCGCTACTCGATTATGTGTTTGTTCCAGATTTATTTTCGATAATTATCAATTAATAAGGTGTCAGTGATACAAATAACTGCAAGAAAATGCAAATTGACCAGGTAAGCTAGTATTATGCAGGTAGCCTAGTTTTTCAGTAGATGCTATGATACTTTTCAAGGTTGATTAATAAACTTCATGTTTGTCCAGAGTTTTTGTCAAGTATAGGGTGGGAGCTGTCCGTATCAGAAGGTAAGACTATATGATTATTAGTGGCTACTAAATTACTCATGCTGGAGTTTTCTTAAGACATTGTTCAAAAGTAAAGATTGATGTTTGCTACAGGCTAATTTCGAAGCTGGATGAATTATGTAACTTTCATTCCATATTGGGATTGTCCATAATCAGATCGTTGACATTTGGATATTTGCTCGTCGTGTTTTCTTTCACGGCTTCTTCGGCCAAAGGTATGTATCATGTTTCTCTTATATAGTTCTCTTACACTCAAAATTTTCAAGTACTTCAAGTCGTTGTTTTTGTCATTTCTGGGTGTGGGTGTTTACCTGAATTAATTCTTGCACATTCTTATAGTCTCTTTGGTTGGAAGTTCATAATAACAAACGCTGTTCAATGCTATATATGGAATGACATGCACAGCTCTCTTTTCTTTTTTTTTTTTTTTTTTTATTTGATTGAACTAATGATCATTTCACTCCGAGGAATTCAAATTGAAATGGATTGAGCATGTAGGTGAAACTATCGGGAATAGAAAAAACTCGATTTTTTCAAATAGCCTCACAGAAAAATTTAGTAATATGAACAAGACAATGTTGGAAAATATTTGAGGTTGAAACTATAATAAGATGCTCAATAAAAGTACTAAAATATAGCAAAAAAATAGAATAATAAGTTAATCAAAAGTAAATAGCATTATTGATACACCCCTTTTCAACAATCAAGTTCAAGGGAGTGAAATCCGATGTTTTTTCACCCAAAAATAGAAAAGGAAACTTACATGGTATAAATGTATACACGCATTTATATAAGCTTTTTTTTTATGCTGGTGACTATTCAAATAGTATATTAGCGACAATAAATTTTATTATTAGAATCAGTCCATTTGATGTAAAGCTACTGAGAGTTAGTTGTTGTTGAAAAAACTCAAAATACTGAAAACAACAACCGGCATGTGTATGTCCACAAAAAGTTCGTAACTTGAAATAAAAAAGAATTATTCTGCGAGGTTATGAGTATCTCAAGCAGCTGTAAGAAATAATATTATTTTTTAGCATTGATTAATTACAAGTAATAATGTAGCAGAGCTTTGGTTGCTCGTGTATGTGTTCAACTGCAGACTTCAATTCTATCAGGTTATCTACTAACTTGAATATATTAAGACTGCAATTTTCCCGTAGTGCTCTGGATATTATTTCAATTTTTTTTTTTTTTTTTTTTTTGGAGAGAAGAGGATTTGGGATTCGAAGATTTTTTTTTGAAAGAACATTTACAATAGCAGTCTCAAAAATTTCTATTCTTCAATCCACAAAATTACAAAATGTTTACTCAAAAAAATAAACATTGCATGCTTCCCCAAAGTAATACAAAATTTTTGAAATTGTCGTCTTCCCTGTATTACTCACATTGTTGAAGTGCCTCCCATGTTTTCCTGCATTGCATTGACCATCGTCGTGTACGTGCACTTCCTCAACTTTATGAAATGTCACAAAAAAGAAAATGGTTCCCAATATGGAAGAAGTGGGGAGGCCGATTGCTTAAATACAAAGATTATTATATATACTGAGATATTTTCTCCTCAAGTTTGTTATGGAAAGGAACAGTAATATCCATATGATCAAAATTGCCATTCACGATGATTCTCATTTGGTTGTTGACCACAATTGCGCTTTTGATTTCAAATGTTGCTGCTGACTCTTTATCATGCCTTCCAAAAGGTTACGGAAATACAGGATTTACAGGAAGATTTTATCAATATCCATATGGTAGCACTGAGCATGAATCTGCTGAATTCATGAATGAAGGTTACAAACAATACGCTTTTCTCGGGGAAAAGACTGGCGTCGAAGATATTGACATCTTTATTCCGCCTGAATACGCTGAAGGCCAAACATTAGAAGTTTATGGCTTCGATACCAATATTAACTTCACTGTGGAGTTAACTGGCTATTTTTTTCCAGAGGAAACTGGTGACTATGATTTTGCACTTCAAGTCGATGATGGTGGTTTAGTTGCTTTTGGTAGCGATCAAGCATTCTCTTGTTGTAATTCTTTAAACTCTTCTGCAGATGATGGTTACACTTTGTTTGCTTCATATGCTACATCATCTAATTTAGAGGGAGAGACCCTGGCAACAAAGCATCTTGCGGCAGGGCTATACTACCCATTAAGGGTTGTTTGGACTAATAGGGGAGGTCAAGGAAGACTTAACTTTACTATGACTACACCAAGTGGTAAAGAAATTACAACATTCGATTCCGTTTTGTCTTTCCCAAACGTCACGTCTTATTGTCCATATACTACTACTTCTTTGACAACCACCCAACCATGGACTGGTACGTTCACCTCGACTTACACCACTGAGACTACTGTTAGTGGTACCACTGTTCCTCAAGTTGTTGTGGAAACCCCAGGCTCCACTGTGACTACCACCCAACCATGGACTGGTACGTTCACCTCGACTTACACCACTGAGACTACTGTTAGTGGTACTACTGTTCCTCAAGTTATTGTGGAAACCCCAGGCTCCACTGTGAGCACCACTAGATTCATCACCAATGTGGAATTCACAACAATTATCACAATAACTTCATGCTTCGAGAATAAATGTCAAAAGAGTGTTGTTTCAGCTACGCCTACAGTTAGCACAGAGACTGTCAACGGCAAGACTACTGTTTATACTACTTACTGCCCTGTTTCTCAAACTGAAGAATTCGTATCTCAAAAAACATCGTCAACGCCAGTATTTAGTTATGATGCGTCAACCATTCCGACTACCCCAATTTCAAGTTCAATATTATCAACAGCTTCAAGCATTGATTTGAGTACTTCAAGTGTTTCCATTTCTATCTATGAGGCTTCTGGGGTCATTTTGAACCCATTGTTATTATTATTATTAGTTCCATTCAGTCTTATAATGTGATTGTAACTATTCACTTGCTTTATTGTGAAAGCTGGGTACATTCTTGAGCAGGAATACTTCTCGTACCTTCTTATTTTACTTTTTTTTTGTGTTATGATTTTTGATTTTCTATCTTATTCTTCACCCATTATCCCTTTTATCCTCTTTCCTAACTTTTTATAGTCTTTTTTTTTTTCATTTTCTCTCTTAAGCTATATTCTCTTTATTTTTCTCCTCACCCAACTATCTTCTGATTTTTGAAAAAGATTTTATCTTTTTTATAAAATTCTTTATCAAGCTCTGGAATTTTGCATATTTACCTCAAGCAGGAGACCAGTAGTTATTCCTTTCATATCTATCAATCAAATATTTCTTTCTATATTTCTCAAAAAAATGGTTTTCTAATATCTGATCAAGTCATGCACCCATTTAAAGCTTGGTTTAAAACAAGGATCACAAATGACGTATAAATGATGACATTTACAAAAGTTTTGTAAGATAAAGCCTCACCAAAACACCAGAGAGATACGCGATACCTTTCACGAGTCAGATGTATCATAACTGGACACTCAAAAAAAATTTCAGTTATATTTTTAATTATATGGGGGACATATTATTCAGAAAACATTATTATTACCGTTACAGTTAAATATATGTTATTAACCTGTTATATTTTACCCCTTATGGTCTTTACACCCTATCATTTCCTATTTCTGCGTCTTAACTCCTCGATAGTGAAAAACCTAGTGTTGCCTTTGGATTTGTGGTAATTTGCAATTGAGGCTAGTCGGCAATAACTTCATTGGAGGTGTTTATGGCTTTAGGATTCGTGATTGTCTTGAATGTATGACTAAATATCAGCTTATAAATATTAATGCAATGATGATGAGAAATGAATTAAATATAATGTTTAAGAGTATATAAATAGCTGTTCCTAAGAAATTTGGTAGTGAGTCTTTTTAGTGTATATACATAATAGTAGTAAGTAATGATCATTAAAAGCTGAAAAAACAGTTAAAGTATTTGATATTATGGACCTACGAATATTAATCCTTTCAAAAACTGTAGTGTGAATAGACTGGTACATATTATATTTCATTTTAATGACCAGGAAGCATATTACTTAGTGAATAAAATAATAGACAGAGATATAAAGTTCCGATTTAATAAAAGAGTTCCTAGAATGCTTAAAAAAATGAAAAGAAAATAATAAACTATTATTTTGGAAATGTGGAATTTTTGTTGACCAGATACATCTTATGTTCACTTTGTCAAACACACTAAGTAGCGGCCATGCGTGTTAGATGTATGCGGCTGTTTCAGGATAGAAGGTACTATTTATGAAGAGATCACAAAAAAATATTTATAAGAAAGCCGAATATATATCTGCGTAAATAATATAGCGAAGAGAAATTAATGAAAAGGATTCCCATAAGAACATTAAAAATGAATGATTTTGCAAAATATCTTGTTGCATTTATTGCAATTATCATACAAAATGTTGCCGCTAGTAATATAAGTTCATCTGGCGAAAAATCAGTTTTTGCCCATTTTATTGTTGGTAATGCTGCTAGTATGACACTTGAAGATTGGAAATCTGATATTGCTTTAGCACAGACTGCTCATATTGATGGATTTGCCTTGAATATAGCTTCGAATGATGGTACTAATGATGCTATATTGAACATTGCCTATGAAGCTGCCGAAACCTTGAATTTCAAAATGTTTTTGAGTTTTGATTATGCCTCCACCGGGGCTTGGTCTTCTTCGGCTGTAATTTCAACTATCAATAAGTACAAAACATATCTGGCACAATTTCACTATAGTGGTAAACCATTAGTTTCCACTTTTATCGGATCCTCAAACAAAGGCGACTGGGCAAATATCAAAGAGCAGACTGGGTGCTTCTTCATGCCGGATTGGACTGATTTGGGTACGCCAGAGGTAGTGGCTGCCGAAACAGTGATCGATGGTGCATTTAGCTGGGATGCTTGGCCTAATGGTCCAAATAATAAGACAACTATTTCTGATACTGAATATAAAAGTTCCTTGGAAAGCAAACCTTATATGATGCCAGTATCTCCATGGTTCTATACCAATCTTCCTCAGTGGGATAAGAATTGGTTATGGCGAGGTGACGACTTATGGTATGAGAGATGGTTGCAAGTTTTGGATATCAACCCAGCATTAGTTGAAATAATATCTTGGAATGATTTTGGTGAATCACATTATATTGGTCCTATTTATGAGATGGGAATTCCTTCAGGCGCTTCTTGGTATGTGGATGGAATGAAACACGATGGCTGGAGGGCACTTTTGCCATTTTTCATAGACGCGTATAAAAGCGGTGAACTAAATGCAAAGCCAACTGAAGATGTACTTTCGTTTTGGTATAAGATAACTCCAAACACTGCAGGTGGCACAGGTGGTACCACTGGAAACACTGCAAGTCAAGGTCAGACTATTTATCCAGTTTCCGAAGTCTCAGAAGACCTTATCTTCGTAAGCGTCATTGCGAAAAATACAGCTACGTTATCTATCCAGATAGGAGGAACTTCTTCTATCACTTCATTCCCAATAAGTGCTGGTCCCAATTTTTATAGTATTCCAATGGGGAAGTCTTCAGGATCACCGATATTCACCTTGTCAAGAAATAACAAAACTGTGAAAAATGTAACGGGTCCTACAATTTTGCAAACAGCAACCAATGGATTAGTTAATTTCAATGCTTACTCCGGATCTGCCTGAAAGTACGCAAAGCATGATCATATGCGTCCTTAAGGAATCTTTAATATATATTTTAATAGATTATAGATACTAATATAGAGAAAAAATGCAAACAAATTTATAATATCACCGTAATTCTAACCTTGTCTTAAGCGTAATAAGTATGAAAGAAAATGAGCCTGAATTAGGCAATACAATAGGAAGATTTCATCTGAAATAGGCGAACGGAATGGCTCACAAAATTTGGGTCGATTTTGGTATTATTGATGTGTGCAATCCGCAACAGTTTTTCACCATGGTCAACAGCCTTGAGCTGATAACACCAAATAATCCCACTATTTTTATAGCTTTTAACTATTATTAATTACTACTATCATGTATATAGACACATAAGACTCACAACCAAATTTCTGTAATGGTTTCGGTTACGTCTTTAGAACGCAACGTGATAGTTAATGTATATTAAAGTAGAATAAAATAAAAGAATAGGTGAAATAAACCCTATTTATAGGTGAGAAAAGGAAATGGGACAACAAGATGAAAAGAGTAAGAAGTAATTAAAGATCTCGGAGATGAGAAATAATGGAGAGAAAAGGATTGGTGGAAAAACGAAATGGAGTTAATGAGAAGAGAAAAAAGTAGATCAGTGCCTAGATCAGTACGTAGATCATACAATTTCCCTTTTATATACTATTAAGTGTTTACATTTACTTTGTATTTTATTATCATTCCATTAATATTTATGAGCTGAGATTCAGATACACGTCCAATATACGGTCTCCAGTACGTGAGCCATGTTGAAATCCACTATGCCTTACCCTAGCAATCATCCATTAAGCGAGTCTGACCAATAATGTAATTATTCTATTAAACATATGTCTTCCTTTCAAAACTTTTCATTGGTTTTAGCCCCCATTTTTTGAGCATTTCAATATCTTCTTTCCAGCCATTACACATGGTTGTTAACATTTTTTCTCCAGTAAAGATGGCATTACAACCACACATGAAGCATAAAAATTGCTCATGTTCTTTCATTGTATAACGACCTGCTGCCAACCTAATGATGGAATTTGGCATAATAAGTCTCGCAGTGGCAATGGTTTTCAAGATTTGTTCGAATTTCAATTTTCTTTCTGAGTTTGCTGGTAGATTTTCAAGCTCTTTTGCCATTGGGGTTCCTTTGATAGGTACCAACCTATTAATAGGCAAGGATTCTGGATGCCTCTTCATTGTAGATAAAGTATGTAAAAAACTCACATGGTCTTCTTCAGTTTCACCTAGTCCCAAAATACCGCCTGTACATGCGTTAATACCTGCCTCTTGAACATTATTGATAGTTGCTAGCCTATCCGAGAATGCACGAGTTGAAATCACATTGGGATAATGTTCTCTAGATGTGTCAATATTGTGATTGTAAGCAGTTAAACCTGCCTTAGCAAAATCATCGGCCTGCTGCTTATCAATCATGCCAAGGGTCACACATGTTTCAAGTTTCAATTCGTTATTGATCTTTTTAACCATTTCTGTGATTTTTTTCATGCCCGATTTACGTCCCTTCATTTCTCTCCATGCTGCTCCCATACAAAACCTTGTCGACCCATTCTCTTTTGCAGTTTTTGCCTTTGCTAGAACTTCCTCAATTGAAATCATTTTTTCTGCTTCCACACCAGTATCGTATCTATTGGATTGTGCACAATATTTACAGTCCTCAGTGCACCCTCCTGTCTTGATAGATAAAAGAGTACATAACTGCACTTCAGTGGGGTCATGGAATTTTCGATGTTGGACTTGAGCCTGAAATGCCAATTCCATTAACGGCATATTATAAATTTCTTTAATTTCCTCCACTGTCCAGGTGTTAATTGGCCTTTCAGTCAGCATTGCGATATCAATTGCTTTCATATGAGTGGCCGGTTGGCTTGGATTAATCGAATAGCTTTGTTGAACAGCAGTGCTAGCAACGCCATAGGCCCTCCTAGCGGCATACAGTAAGGTCGTTTTTGGAATAATTCTAATGATAAAAGACTTCAAAGCAATCATTGTATTTGATGAGGCAACATAAAAAACAAGAAAAGAAAAAGGAAATAAGTGTTTTTGAAAAATTATAAATTGTTTGAATATTTGCTGCTTATATGCACTTTTTTATGTGCGGTGGGATTCACCGCTTTAAAATTTCCATTTTGAGACATGACTCGGAGTCATCCCCAACAAAAACATTAAGTAAACTCTCTTTTGATTAATAAACTAAGCCATCTGATTGGCTGAAACCCGATTGTTGTCAAGAGAAAAAAGGAAGCTGATTACAGTTTGTTATATAAAAAATCCAACATCATTTTAGATTATATGGAACTGACCATCCACCTGTTCTTTTTTATTTTTTTTTCTACTCAGCAAATTAATCAATTCATTTTGCAGATTTGAGAATCTATATTAGCCTATTTTTGCCAGATGATTGGCATACGCGAGTATTAATTCTTTTCGGTATCATAGGAGTGGAAATTTTAAATCTAATGATTTACTTCAGTATCTATTTTTTTACCATTAATTGCTTCGAACTTCTAAAAGATTCCAAGCATAAAAAGCCAAGTTCCAAGTTTCAATAACTGCATCATTCCCTATAGGAAGTATAATATATTATCTTATATCATTCCCATTTCATCTCTTTTTATTTGTATTGATATGGTTAAGTCAATGTATGGTCACTAGGAGCAGGAATAGTGGATTTCATCATGGTCAACATAATGGAAGCTATATATTTGAGCTCATTGAATTCCTTAATAGTGAAACACCAAGTGTTTTCGTTGGTTTGATGGTGGATTGCAATTTGGGATGCTTTGTTCTGGGAAGCAGTTTCATTGGTGGTGTTAATATCTTCAGGGTTCATGATTGCCTAACTAAATACTGGTTTATAAATACATAATGATAATCAAAACAAAAATGAAAATGATTAATAATTTATGAGCTGAAGTTTGATTAGGTGTCTTAAATATCTGAATTATCTTGTAAGTATTTGGGGGGCATGAGTCCTTGGCTATTGCGCCATGTTAAGAGGTCTAAACTACAAAAAGACTGGCACATACCTCTGGTCCTACAGCAAAAAATCTGCTATCTCAATTTTCAAGCTATGAAAATTCATAATAACACATTGAAAAGAGTAGAATTTTTTTTTTGTAATTTGCAATACACTCTTCGAATGTAAATTATTCTCAGTTTAAGTAACAAAATTTCCACTGCCTTTTACCTGCTTTTGTTTGGTAATCACGCATAAAAGCGAATAATTCCAATAAGGATGAAGAGTTATTCCTTATACTATAACAATACTTATCTTAGCTGATATCGTATTGGCTATAGTAATAAGAAAGTCAAATAGCTATCACAGTAATTAGTCTCTAGCTATTTGATGAACTCACAACTCAACTAATGGTTCGGGATATAACAACTTGCTATGACACTGACTTCTGTAGGTATAAACACAGTAAGGTATATGGTTATTCAGTATAAATAAAAATGGAGGAATAGTTAATTAATTGTTATGAGTTAACATAATTATAGGTTGAGAATTATTAAAGACAAAAGGACAACACAATAATAGGAAAGTAGGGTGACTATAATCGTACTATGTATGATAGTACGCTGCCATCGGGCTCCGCTGCACCCCAACGAGCATTTTTCCCCAAGCATATAATATACATTGAATATCAATAGATAACATAATATTTTCAATTCCTAAATAATCTGTAGTATTTAATAAATATCTATATGTAGCAATACTTAATAACATAAATAAAGAATTGGGTACCATATTGGTTGTATGAATCCCTGGGAAAAGTCTTGAATTCAAATTGACTAAAAATAATCAACTCAATAAAAAACATACGAAGGAAGAAACACGGGGCAGAATTTTCCGGTTATATTTGTAGAAATACATCATATGACGCTTTAAACAGAGGATTAGCCTGAAACAACTCCCTTGATCTTATAACCTTGACCTATAGGACACAATTCCTCGGAAAAGGTGGGTCGGTTAACACTGGCAAATCGCGTGCAGTTAACTTTTTTAAACAGCATCACCAAAAACTTGCATTTGCTTGCCCATATTTTGCTAACTATGCACACCAGCAATTTATATTTGGATGGTTCTGAACACATGGTTTCGATCGGGCGTATAAACTGTGACTCCGGACTCTATATGCCCGAATGCTTGTATTTAAACAGTCATATGTAGGTTTCTGGCAACCGGAAGTGTCATTTAAAGATATGAATTATAAATATGGGACGGATTGCTAATGATTTCTCTATTAGTTTAGTTGAATAGACTATCAAACACCATCACCAACAAAATGACAACTGAGAAAATCACCTTTTGCTTCAACTGGCAAACTGCCCCATATCATATCCCTGTGTACCTTGCACAAACCAAGGGCTACTTTAAAGATGTGGGCCTTGATATTGCGCTTTTGGAACCAACTAATCCGAGTGATGTTACTGAGTTGATCGGCTCTGGTAAATGTGACATGGGTTTGAAGGCCATGGTCCATACATTGGCTGCTAAAGCCCGTGGTTTTCCTGTCACTTCCGTTGGATCCCTTTTGGATGAGCCTTTCACTGGCGTCTTGTATTTAGAAGGATCAGGAATCACTACCGATTTCCGATCATTAAAAGGTAAGCGGATTGGATACGTGGGTGAATTTGGCAAAATCCAGATTGACGAGTTGACCAAACATTATGGGATGACTCCAGACGATTACACTGCGGTGAGATGCGGCATGAATGTTTCCAAATGTATCATCGAAGGCTCAATTGATGCTGGTATTGGTATCGAGTGTGTGCAGCAGGTTGAGTTGGAAGAATGGTGCCGCTCTCAAGGACGTCCTGCAACTGACGCGAAGATGTTGAGAATTGACAAGCTCGCAGAGTTGGGCTGTTGCTGCTTCTGCACGATTTTGTACATCTGCAATGACAACTTTTTGGAGAAAAACCCAGAAAAGGTCAGAAAGTTCATGAGCGCCATTAAAAAAGCTACCGATTTTGTGCTTCAAAACCCCGCTGAAGCCTGGGCGGAATATACTAATTTTAAGCCAGCAATGGGTACAAACTTGGCCAGAAAAATGTTCGAGCGTTGCTACGCTTACTTGTCAGAATCTTTATATAACGTCCATCGTGACTGGCGCAAGGTGACTGCCTACGGTAAGCGATTAGAAATCTTACCCGAGGACTATGAATCCAACTACACCAACAAGTACTTGTCCTGGGATGAACCTCAAGAAGCCAAAGACCCTTTGGAGGCCCAGAAATTGATGGCTGCACACCAGGATATCTGCAGGGCCTCTGGTGGTTACCGTCGTTTGGTGTTGTAAGTTGTCTTTCGATTTCTTTAGCTACATAGGTGACTTCTAACCTTATTCGATTAATATCTATCTTAAAATCCTGTAAGATTTTAGTTATCTATTTTTTTTTTTATAAAAAAAAAAACGGTTTGGAAGGTTACTCAATTTCCCTTACATATTCGTACAGAGTTACGATGTTTAAAAATAAACATCTTCTAAACATTTTTCCCTTTCGAAAAGAAAAAACAAAAAAATCAAATCATAAATAAAACCAAAGACGGTTTCCACACCCCAAAATGGACTGTGTTCACTCTTAATGCTGCAATATTTACACAACAACACGCCTCAAATCTCCGATATTCACAGAAAACGGCTTCTGGTATTTATTTTTTTGGGTACTGTCACTTGAAAAAATCGAATTGTTCCTAAATTGCACGCAAACAATATGTAATAGGTGGATGGTATGAGAATGAGCCAAATCTCATTAATTGAAGAGAAAAATATTTCTATAAATCATGGTATTGTAATATTAACTTGATTTTTTATTAAAATATTATATAAGGGATAAGTGGTTTAGTACCTCTTTAAATGGATAATGAGTATAGAATAGTAGTTATAAGATAAGGAATAACATAGTGAATAGTAGTTATAAGATAAGGAATAACATAGTGAATAACATAGTGAATAAGATAGGGAAAATAGAAAGGATCCGATAAGAAGTTATTGATTAGGTAATGAATGAACAAAACTGCTAGTATATGTTACAGATGTGTTCCAGCGAGATAGCCTAATCCACTTATAATAGTTATCAATACATATATATAAATGAGTCAAATTTGCATTAGAAACCTCCTATTCTTTTATATTCAGTATATTACGGCTAATAACAGACTAAAACACTACTTGGCAAACTCATTGATAACAGAAACTGGCGGAACATATTTCCCAACTGGATTATATACGACATCTTCAAAAGCTTGTCCAAAAGATTTAGGACCACCGACAGCAAGAGCCTTTTCGGTCTTGACCCACAAGTCAGAAGGAGACAATGCCAAAACGAAGACCATAATACCATAGCGGTACTCTGGGGTTCCAACTGCTTCACCACTATCAGCATATGAAACAGAGATTAAGTCTGGAACAGAGCAAACTGTTTCCCAGTCATCAGAGCCATGCTTTTGTACCTTAGCCAAAATATTTTCATTTTTGAATGGAATTACCATTTTGTCTTTATTTTCGTTTTCAATACTGACCTCACCGTAAACATGGCCCTTGAAAAGCTTCTTTTCTACCCCAACAATCTTACCAGCGAATATCTGTTTACCAGAAATAGAACCACCAACCGATTCAATAATTCTTTCAGGTAATTTATTGATTTCGAATTTTTGACGAGCAATTCTAATAGCCCTACCAATTCTCCAGGCAGTGGAAAGAGAATTATGAACAGTCATTTCTACCAAGTGTTTAGACGACATTGGCACGTTGACAACTCCAACATGAGCACCAATTTCCGCTAATGCTGCACGCATCATCTTTTCAACAAAAATGTCAGATTGAGCACCAGTGATCAAAAACTTGTTGCCGTTACCATCTGAAACGGAAGTTTCGGTCAAATACATTTCGTCACTAAGAGCACATGGCAAGATCTGGGAGTGGGTTGGATAGGCTCTACCCATCAAATCAGCATCAATAACTGGGAGATTCAACTTTGTGGAGGCACCACAATACATTCCCTTGAATCCATTCCCTCCACCAATTTCAAGAGGGAACACACCATCCGCCTTGGTTTTGATGTAATCGAACAAAGCTTCACTGGCGTCTGTTAATTCATCACCTTGTAATTGTTCATCAGCAACCGTTGGAGATCCAGCAAAGCCAACAGTAATAAATTTCCCCTCACCAGTGGCATATTTTGGAGCGTCATGCAAATCTATCACTCTAACTATAGCACCGTTTCGAAGCATATTTCTCATTTCCAAAAAGATTGGGTAAGGAGTACCACCACCACCACATCCTAAAATATATGTACCAATTCTGATGAATTCCAAATCAGTTTCGGAGATAATCCATTCTCTATTTTCATTAACAAATGGCTTATACGCTTGGAAATCAAAAATCTCTGCATCAGCATGGGAGGCCTCCTTATCACCAAAGCTTGAGTCTTTATAAACAGCTTCGGCTTTCTGTTCCTCTTTTTTCTCTTCGGCATAAACTCCACTATCGACACTTTCAATTTTCAGGATAGCCATAGAAATCTTTTCATAATCGATATCAGCAACAACCTTGATAACAAAAGTGTAGGTACGATCAACATAAGGAACTGGGTCGTAAGCAAGGTCCACAATTTGCACAGATGATTCAAGGGCACCCTTGGACACAATATCAGCGGTCACTTCTTTAGTCATTCTGCTAATAACCTCATCCTTTTCATTAATACTACCAAGAAACTCAATCTTGTGCAAGTAGGCAGATAATTTACCCATGGCAGCACCAATAGCATTGGCGACCTGATAGTATGGGGGTCTGTAAACTTTAGAAGCACCATCCAACTCCATTGGAGAAATGAATGAACCACCGCCAACTAAGAGGACTGGAACTGGTTCAGGACTAGTTCTCATTCTGTCAATAACTCTTTCCAATTTTAACTTGACAATAGATTTAAAGTTCTCTTGGTATGTTTCACTGAACATTCCCTGCACTTTGGTCTTGTCTCCAACTTTGAATATGGTTTCTCCATCAGTGATAGCAACGGTAACATCAGTAGAAGTAACAGTATCACCACCAAAGACTTTAGCTCTACTCTTGATTTCAGAACCAACAGAGTCTGGGCCAACTGTCATCACACTGTTAGATTCACGCACGATGGAACCACCACCCAATCCGATACTTTCAACGTGTGGCATAGAAAAGTTCATTCTTACACCACCAACTTCTGAGTGAGAAGATGATTGTCTTGGAAAGCCTGAAGGCAAAAGAAGACCGACATCAGTAGTGGTACCCCCAATATCAACAACCATAATACTCTTACCATGTACACCCTCCTCTTGTGAACAAAGGAAAGCAGCACCTCTCATGGAATTAGTAGCACCAGAAGAAAAAGTTCTAATTGGTGTCTCAAGCGCTTCATTAACCGTCAACACTGTACCATCATTCTGGGTCAATAGAATGGGACAATAGAAACCTCTAGAACGAACTGACTTTATGAATGAGCCAATAATCTTGGCAGCAAATGACATAATCGAAGCATTCAAAATTGAGGCATTTTCTCTTGGCAAAAAGCCTATGCCGGAAACAGTATGGGACATGACAACATTTCCATCGGGAATAACTTGCTTGATCAATTCGGCAGCTCTTATTTCGTGTGATTTGTCGATGATTGCAAAAATACCAACGATGGCGATGCACTTAATTCCAAGCGCCTTTATTTTTCTGGCATGCTCAAGAATCGCTTCTTCATCAAGAGGTTGGATCTCATTACCATCAACTCTGTGTCCACCGTTGACGAAAGCAGTATAACTCTTAATGATATTCGTTAACCCTGCCGGGAAATCTGAGAATGGGTAAGATCCTTTGGAGTAAGGACCACATAACCGGAGGACCGCAACAGGTTCTAATCTTGCTTTATCCTGTTCAACCACGGCATTAATGAAATGAGTTGTACCAATCGTAACAGATAATACATCCTTAGGGCTATAACCCTTATCTTCATCAAACAAGCGATCAATGGCATTAGAAATACCATCAGATACATCGGCTGTGGTCGAAGATTTATGATAGGCAATCACACCTCGCGATTCTGATTCAAACTGGGTAGGATCAAGAAGAACGGAATCTGTGTTTGTTCCTCCGACGTCGATACCAATTAACAAATTTTTGCTGCTCATTATTATAATTGTTAAATTTTTTTTTTGTTGTTGTTTTAGTATTATTCTTGGCGGAAGTAGAGTGCCTTCATTGGAACTCTGAAGTCACTGTAGTGATACCCATTTATATTAAATAGCAACATCACCGTGAATGGAGACCATTGGCCATTACAATAATTCCGTCGCAATATTTACTGTCGACAAAGGATGTTTATCATCTGTGGTTTAGAGATTAGATCATACAAATGCTGGCCTTTTGTTTTTTTCGCAGTAAATATTACCTCATTAAGCTTATCAGTGATAATCGCACTCTGCATTACTCTAGTTTCCTCAAAAAACTGCAAAAAATCCAGGCTTGGTTATTATTTTACATCAATCACCATATTTCTCTCGGAAAAATGCCTTTTGTTTATAGCTAACATGTACTTTTCTTTCAATCAAGTTGATATTTTTTTCAATACTTCTCGGTAATCGCTTTTCTTGCATATTTTTGGACGTCTCTATTCCTGCAAGGACTTCTAAATAGAGGAACCATTGCTATCGGATATTTCGTTTATTAAACGTTTTATCTATTGAAGAAAGTTTTGCTATCGGAAATATGCTTCCAAGGAATTTCTGGCTGCATAGGAAATATTGGCTAAGGAATAGATAAAACGATAATAGAAGCTTAGTATCATGCTCAATATTTCCCATTTACCAATATATATAGAATAGCTGGTGCTATTGTCCGAATATGTTGCCCTCCTAAATTTTGCATAGATTATTCACCAGCAATCACAACCCACACGAAATGCTGATGCTTTCCAAAATTCATGATTTCATTAAGGTGACTCCCGGCGAAGGGATCGAGGAGGTCAACTACTTGCGTAACAAAGATATCATTCCTATGGGTCCAAAAAGAAGAATTTGGGGTATTTGGTCTCTAACCTTTTATTGGTCCATCACTAATGTCACAATTTCTACCTGGACTGGAGCCTCTTCTTTGCTTTCATTAGGGCTTTCGGTCGGCGAAACAATGGGGATTATTATCATTGGTAATGTTATTATTTCTGCTTTAGCTCTTCTAAATGCAGCACCAGGTGGTTACTACCATATTGGTTACACAATTTCTCAAAGAGTTGTTTTTGGTATTAGAGGCTCAACAATTGGTATTATTATCAGAATAATTTTGTCTGTCGTGTGGTTTGGCTCTCAAGCCTATCTTGGTGCATTATGTTTGAATTGTGTCTTTGCATCTTGGAGTCATAAATTCTTAACAATGTCCGATACCATTCCAAAATCTGTGAACATGACTACTCAAGAATTAATTGGCTTTGTCGTGTTTCAAATCATTTCTCTCCCTCCTCTACTTATCAAGCCAGAGAGATTCAATAAACCTTTGATGGTTACTTGTATCCTTACTTTTTTCACCATGATGGGTATGACTATCTGGATTGTGTCAAGAAATGGCGGAAGTGATGGTTCATTGATGCATACTTCTACTTCCATGAGCTCCTCTACTAGAGGATGGTATTGGATTTTCGGTATCAGTTCATGGTATGGTAGTCTTTCTGCCGGTGTCTCAAACCAATCTGATTTCACTAGATTTTCAAAGAAAACTTGGTCATCTTTTTGGGGCACCATATTTTCATTAGTAGTCGTTGGTACAGTGATTCCATTGATGGGTCTTGTTACTGCTTCTGCTTATAAGGACAAGTATGGTGAAGAAGTTTGGATGCCAAATCAAATTATCATGAACTGGTTAAAAGACGATTACAGTCCTAAATCCAGAGCTGCCGCTTTTTTCGCGGGTTTAACATTCACTTTATCACAAATCTGTTTCAACACCATGGGTAATGCATATGCGGGTGGTATGGACTTGTCTGGTTTGCTTCCTAAATATTTCAACATTACCCGTGGTACTATTCTCACCGCTCTTTTATCTTGGGTTGTCCAACCTTGGGACTTCTACAATACTTCATCCACTTTTGTCACTGTCATGTCTTCTTTTTCTGTCTTCATGTCACCGATCGTTGGCATAATTATCGCCGATTTTTGGGTCGTTAGAAAAAAACATCTTAAATTGACTCATTTGTACAGTGATGATGTGAATGGTAAATATTGGTATTGGAATGGAATAAACTATAGAAATTTGTTAATTTGGGTTACCGCTTTTGCTCCTGCCCTTCCAGGTTTGATTAACAATGTCACACCAACAATTAAAGTTAACGGAGGTATCAAGAAATTCTACTATGGGAATACCATTTTTGAATATTGTATTGCATTCTTTTTAACCATTGCTTCATCATATATTTGGCCATATGAAAATATTGAAGAAGAAGATGCCTGTGATTACTTTGACACATTCACTGAAGAAGAATGCCACAAGAAAAACATAGTTCCTTACTCCCAAATTACGGAAAGTGATTTCCAAATCGACCCAGTTGTTAGTATGTTGTCAAGAGAGCATGGTATTGTCTTACCTGAAAAGGCTGATGACTAAGAGTCAAGTAACAAATGCGCCAGAATTTTTTTTTTTTTTTGATTATTTGCTTTGCTCTTTTCATTTCTCAATTTTAAAATGCATTCCCTAATCACCACTTACAGATAGTAATAAACTATTTCATGATAAATTCATATTCGAATTATTTAAATCTCTTGTAGTTAACTAGACAATCTTTTAGCATTTTTTACCCACCTTGTTTTGGTAAAAAGCTCTGCTCAGCTTCAAATTGAAAAGAACAATATCGGATTCAAAAGGAGAGAATATCAAACATCGATATTGTAAAGAGGAAAAAAAAATAGTAACACGAGCAAGAGACTATGCCCGTATAGAGAAGCCCATTAGAGTCTTTTAAACCTTTCCATGAGCCTTGAAACATTATGGGTTATAGGTATGTTTGCTACGGCCCTATTATGCCGATCCAAACAAATAACCATGGCTGGGTTTTTGGTATTTCAGAGGACCCTTGGCAAAATCTTTGGCATGGATTAATTAAATCGACAATAGCAGTTTAATTGGCGCTAGAGTTTTGTTCGAGGACAAGGCATTTGAACATGCAGCACGGGAATGTGGCATACTGCCTCATAATATTTCTTGACATGCAGCTAAAATTAGATATTCAGCATCCTTTAAACACGGACAAGAAATGGCAAGATATATCATTAAAAGAGTTTTACATTGGATGAAATTATATAAATACTAGCGGAACCTACCCCATAATCTGCTATTTTAAAGTTAATTTATTTTTATTTATATCATCAATTCAATTTTTTTTATTTATTTTCAATTCACTTCAACTTTCCTTTCTCCAAATTTCTTGACTTCAATTCTAAATATGCAATTATCTGCTTCTGTTTTATTATCTGTTGCTGCCTCTTTGGCATCTTTCGCTTCTGCTGCACCAGTTGAAAGAAGCACTATTAATCCACCACAAATTAATTTTAATGTTGTCAGATACGGTGCTTCCAATGAAACACAATCACAATTCAAAGGTAGAAGAGCCATTAGAGCTGCTTCCTCTGCCGGTATCAATTTGGAATTGGATAATGAATACTCTTTGTATTTGGCTGAAATCGAAATCGGTACTCCAGGTCAAAAGATGAAGGTCGATGTTGATACTGGCTCTTCTGACTTGTGGGTCCCAGGTGCGGGTACTCAATCTAGCTACGGTACTTACGATAACTCCAAGTCTTCCACTTACGAAAAGGTCAAATCGGGCTTCAAAATCGGTTACGGTGATGGATCTTCTGCCTCTGGTGATTGGGCAAAGGAAACCATTACTATTGGTGGTGTCAAAGTTACTGGCTTAGAATTCGGGGATGCTACAACTCAAAATGTTGGTCAATCAATTTTGGGGGTCGGTATGAAAGGCAATGAAGCCTCAGCTCAATCTTACACCGGCGCTTTCACTTATGACAACTTGCCATTGCAAATGGCCAACCAAGGGATCATTTCTAAGGCCGCTTACTCTTTGTACTTGAACAATTTGGAAGCCACTTCTGGTTCTATCTTGTTCGGTGCAGTTGACAAATCCAAATACTCTGATGACTTGAAAACTTTGTCAATTGTCAACATTGATGACTCTGGTTCTTCCACTTCCGAAGCTGTGGCCTTCTTCGTCAACTTGGATGGCATCAAATCTGGTGATAACACTTTTGCTTCCACCTCGTATCCAGCTTTGTTGGACTCGGGTACCACTTTGATCTACGCCCCATCTGACGTTGCCAAGGCAGTTGGTACTAAATACGGTACTTACTCTTCCCAAGTCGGTGGTTATACTACTTCTTGTTCTACCAAAGGTGAAGATTTCATTTTCACTTTCGAAGACAAGACTATCACCGTTCCATTCAACAACTTGTTGTATAACTTAAATGGTCAAGCCAAGGGTGCATCCGATGAATGTTTGGTCGGTGTCTTGGACTCTGGTTCTAACTACTATATTCTTGGTGATGGTTTCTTGAGATCTGCTTACGTTGTTTACGATATTACTGATTCTCAAATCCAAATTGCCCAAGCCAACTATAACTCCGGTGCTTCTGAAATTGTCTCTTTATAAGAAGTAATTGATTTACTATACCATCGAGACTTTTCTATTTTGGGTGTTTGGCGTTCTTTCACTTCTTCCCGAACTCTTTTCAATTCTTGATATTCACGATTAATACTTCCTTTCATTTTCATTTTTTCAATTTTTCTTTTAATTTTCATTTGCATTGTTTTTAATTTGAGGTTTCTTTGTTTAATTAACTTTGTAATGATTTATGTACTGATCTACTTTTTTCTCTTCTTATTAATTACATTCTATTATTCCACCAACCCTTGTCTCTCCGTTATTTCATATCTCCGAAATCTTTATTTACTTCTTACTCTTTTCATCTTGTTGTCCCATTTCCTTTTCTCACCTATTCTTTTATTTTATTCTACTTTAAATATGTATTAACTATCACGTTCCGTTCTAAAGACGTAAAAATGTAAAATTAGTTTGGGTGTCACAAATATTGCACATTGGCCATAAGTGAGGACACAATCCGCTGGCCAAAACAATAATTGTGTCGGTAGCTCCTCTCTGAACCATATCGATTCCAAATTTACCCCAAGCTTACAGATTCTGATTTATACAATGCCAGGACTATCCCCCAAGTTTCATATTGGAGGTTAATGAAAAGACAGGGTAGAATTTTGTGCATGTTGCAAATAGTAGAAAGTAAAGAAAGTTGGAATCTAACTCCTGATTTATAGCTTACGTTTGCCCTATGGTTTTATCTAGTCTCATTATTTATTGAGTCGTGTCAACTTACTTTTAACCAACTTGACTATCGGTACTATCGGAAAAACCACTTTCTCTACAAGGTTTGACTATAAGACAGTCTATTATACTCAACATTGTGTACGCTTCAGACCAAATTTTAGAGATCTTATGTAACTAGATACAACTGTTTAGTTCTTTTCTCGCTAATATATAATAGAAAAAGGAATTTCATAGCGAAAGAGACTGTAGGAAAAGAGATTAAAGATAATAACAAAAAACACCAGTTACCCGCAAGGAGCGACGCGGTGGGTGGGAAATTTTTTGACGCTTTGTTTTTATTCCGCCCCCAAAACATAAACAAATGGAATCAATGAGAATTTAACCCCAGTGCTATCTATCACAAGATGGAGCAGCAACAGCAATATCAAGAAAACCACGTACGTATATAAAGTGATAGAAAATTCTCAAATCTATATTTTTTCCACTAACATCTCCATCAGCAACCGCCCACCAGACATCACGAAAATGAAATTGAAAATAATGAAGAACAGACATCTCAGCCTTTCACAATATACCAAGACCCTCTGCAGTATAGTCTGCAATCACCAATAAAATCATCTATTGAAAGACTTTCCCAAACTCTTAATTTAAGTCAAGGTCACGTCAGACTACGAGCGAGTCTTCCAATTACCCCGAAAAGTCGACGATCTAGCAAACGATTATCTAGAACTCCTCGGAAAATAAGAAATAGCCCATACGCCAGGCAATCAGTGGCTCAGAGCACCAATCTGCGTCCTATAACTACCAATGTTGTACGAAGTCGAAGGCGTCAAGCTTCGCCATTCAATGATTTGAAAATTCTCAGTAGAATCATGACTAAAGAGAAGAACACCATTAGAAGAAGTAATGAGGGACTTTCACGAAGAAACCTGGGAAATGAGGCTAATTATCCAAATATTGACTCGCCATCAAAACAGGAACAGCCCAATCGAGCTGCTCTTGTCCCCGACAATAATAATAATAATAATAGCAATAATAATAACAATAATAATAATGATGATACGATGATCACCAAGGAATCAAGTAGTGATGATCTAAATTATAACCTTAGAGCCGATCGTATCACCAGAACCAAGGAAGCTCATTCGTCGTTGTTGAAGATCATTCATGATACCCATGATTCTGCGGAGTTTCAAATTCAAAATGTGGAGGATACCGAGATCGAAACCTCGAGGATTATTGATGAATCAAGGAGAGAAAAATCGGCGTATACCCTGTCGAGCGATTTATCAAACGATAACTTTGTCGATCCTTTCATCGAAATTGAACTTAATAGAATTACACAAGGAATCAAAGATTCCCAAGAAATGTTTAATGGTTCGTTTAGATCAAGGTTCAGCGGGTTTTCAGGAATATCTTCCAAAGGTGATCGCCATGAAGATATCAATGAGGCCAAACTACAGGGGACTCCATCTAGGAAATCCAGAGAGCTTGGATCGCTTAACGATGCCATTTCACCTACTTATAAAAATATCGACTTGACAGATGCCAATATTGGAGAATTTGGGCTCGGGAAAGATGAATCAAGGACAAGAATTAGCATTGGTGATCCCTCAACACATAATGAAACTTTTGAAATTAAGGATAGAACTATATTATCAGACCATCCACGAACCTCCCTAGGGACCGATAGTGGTGCAGTTATACAGAGTGATGAAAATTTAGATCTTTTCGATTATGAAAATCCCGAAGAAGTGGGGTTAGATTCTATTGTGCTAGATACCCATGATGAAAGTGCAGAAGAAGATCAGCAGAAAGATTCTATTGTTTTGGATAACGAGAGTTATGAAGAAGAGCAGCAAAAAGACTCTGTTGTGTCAGATATCCATGATATTAGTGACTTTAAAATTGAAGATATCTCAAAAATGGAGAACACCAACAAATTCGAAGAGAATCAAGAGGATAATACTCTTAGTCCTGATTATGCTTACAATGATGGTTTTGATATTATTGAAGATGGTTTAGAACAAGAAGACACAGTGAAAGGTGAAATAGAACAAAGTGAAACAGTTGATAACCGGTCGGAGACAATTAACTTACCATTAAATGATGTTGACCCACATCCTGAAAAAGATGATTATTCATTTGACATCCTTGATACTTCTAAGATTTCTCATGAAGATGCCCGAAGAAGATTAAGTGAAGCCCTTTCGAGCAATGAACTTTCTGGTTTGATCATTCATGATGATATAGATGATTTTGACGCCTCGATTCCTATCAATCAGGACGAATTGGACGTTGATATTTCTATAGGAGAGCCAGAACATGATTTTAGTAATGATGACAGCATATTATTGGCAGGAGGGTTTGCTCGCGATGAGTTATTGGTGCACAACCATAATGATTCATTAATAAATGCTACCTTGCAACTTGCTGAATCATCTAATCGCTCTAAAGAAGATCCAAATAAATTGCCAAGGAAATTCATCAAGAGCATGACAGAGCACTTTTTGAACATGCCATCAAACAGTGGTGATATTTATAATAATAATAGTTTTGACGAAGATTTCCTCCAACAATTACATCTTTCTGAACCCAAAACACTGCAAAAAGAACTGACGATCTCCGATGAGATATTGGACTTGATTTGCGATTTCTCTGACACTTTCTTGAATAACCAAATTGGGGATCTTCTGGATTTTGCCGATCATGCACAACGCAAAACCATCAATATTAACGATATGATCTTTCTAATCCAGCGCTCCAAAATCTTGGACAAAAATAACACTTTATCATCATCATCGCCAAAAGGTACAAAACTAGCAGGTGCTAGATATAACGACAATATTCTAAATTCAATTTTCTCAATTGCCGATGAGTTTTGTTCACTTGAGAATCTCAATGAAATAGAAACTGATTTGTTTGATGCAAGTAACCTTGGAAAACTCTGGAAATCGCAAGGTGCACAAAAGAAACTGCAAAAAAAACCAGGAAAAAGGGGTCGACTGGAAAGGAAAAAGAAGAGAAAAGTGAAAATGAAATGATATAAAAAACAATTTTTTTTTTTTTTTTTTTTGCAATGAGCATTTTCATGCTCTAAATTATGGTGGTGACGGTAATGTATTTTTAGGTAATATTCTAATCATGGTGGACTGTTTTTTTTGTGCCATTCTATAATGAAGGCAGTGTATATTTTCATGTTATTTTAATAATTGTAATATATTTTTTGTTCAACTATTACGAAAACCAGTAAGACTACCACATTCAAGCCTGTAAGATTCTTCTTTGGAACACAATAGACCAAAAAGGTGGTAGTGAATATTGAACACATTTTAAATTCTTGGTAATATTTAACATTTCTTTTCAAAATTAGTCAATTTGACTTCTGTTTCGGCCAACAGTTTATTGATTGATGCTTGTGATGTTATTGGAACTAACTCACTGATTACCTTCATCCTATCCACCATTTTCTAGTTTCTACAGCAATAAATTTTTAGATGGTTATAATATTTAATTATTTAAATTATAAAGATTGCCATCGCCAAAGCAAATAGCATTGCTAAAAAACATAAATATCTCCCAATAATGACCATCTAATGTTGAGTCAATTCACAACCTCTCAACACAACACACATAAAACACTCAAAACCAAGTGTTTATATATATATATAGAAAACCAATGAAAGTTGCACAATTCCTTCTTCCTCTTTCCTTTCAATGGTTGATATTTTATAACTAATTTTTCAATTTTTCAATTTTTCAGTTTTTTTTTTTTCAATTTCAGTTTTTTTTTTTTTATAGTTTTGTAATTTTTTTTTTTTTTTTATTTTTAAGTTGGGCATTCAATTTTTTTTTTTAATTTTTCTCTTTTTTTTTTTAAATCAATTTGGTTTAGCTGGTGATGATAATATTATTTGATGATAATTTGAAGATTTCATGACGGTTCATAACAGAGAGACAATCACTTGATATTTGTCAGCTTTGCACCTGAATTTTGGAGAAATAGTAATGCCGAAGAGAAAATAGCAAGTGAAACCGACTAATGAAGTTATTTGTTTCCCTCAGATATTGTATTCTGAATGTAGTAACTTGATGGGGCTGAAGAAGAATCAATGTAGCACCAAATTATCGACATGATGAAATGATTCTCAAGTCTTGCAATATGATAACCAGTTCCACCTAACAATGATCGATAAAAAAAAAAAGCAATAATAATAATAATGGAATGAGGAAAAATAATAATAATCAATAAAACAAAACAAACCTTAGACGAAGAAGTAAAACACAAGACATTAATAATAGAATAGTAAACCTAATAACACAACATGAGCAGCAAGAATTAGAGATAAATAATTGATAAAAAATACATCTGCCAAGAAGGAAACTTCAAATGTCACAAATACAAATCCAAAATTGATATGAAAAAAAACACCATCAGGCCTTGAATGATCAAGCAAATATAAAGGGAACAATAAAAAACTTCATGAAATAGGGAAATGGAGTTGGTCGGAAGTAGAAAAAAAATTGGAAATGGATAAAATCAATCATCACGTCGTTCATAAATGGATAGTATTTTTTTTTTTTTTTTTGTAAGTGTCTTCTATTTTTCTTTTGAGAAAAAAAAAATCTCTATGCTGTTGAAAGCTTTCGTAAGTATTTGTCGAATTCAAAGTAACTCATCAACCTGGAATATGGATAATCTGATCATAAAACGCACTCTTAATATTGAGGTTGGTGTTGTTGTGGTGGCTGTTGTTGTTGTTGTTGGTGTTGATAGCCTTGATGGTTATTGTACTGTCTGTTATTATTGTTATAATTACGTCTTTGGTTGCTATAACTTGTGGTGGTATTGGCATTTGGCAATTGTTCGAGGGCAAATGGTCTTGGGACAGCTTCATTGTCTTCAGCAACATACAAACTCTTATCAATTGTGGCAGGAATTGGTTGGATTTCAGTACTCAATTCTTGTTCAATCTTGTACAAGTTGAATCTGTCATTCCAGTTGATCAAGTTGATGGCCAAACCTAAATGACCAAATCTCCCAGATCTACCAATTCTATGCAAATATGTTTCGGCAGTCTTTGGGAAATCAAAGTTGATGACAACGTTAACCGCTTGAATATCAATACCTCTAGTCAACAAATCGGAACAAACCAAGTTTCTGACTTTACCTTGTCTAAATTCGTGGAAAACCTTGTTTCTGGCGCTTTGTGGCATTCTGGCATGAGAGAAATAACAAGAGTAACCCAATTCGGTGATCTTCTTAGCCAACAATTCCACTCTGTTGGTTGAGTTACAGAAAATAATCGATTGGTTGATTTGTAATTTTGAAAATAATGTGTTCAAGCAGTGCAACTTTTGTTTTTCTTCAACAAAAGCGTAGTATTGTGTGATACCTCTCAAGGTTAATTCATCCATCAAGTTGATTTCGTATGGTTTAGTCAAATGCTTATCCATAAAAGATTTGACAGCCAATGGGAAAGTGGCAGAAAACAATAACGATTGTCTGTCTTTTGGAAAATACAACAATATTTGTTCGATAATTGTGACAAATTCTCTACTCAACATCTTATCGGCTTCATCCATGATGAATAATGGGGTTTCCGAAAGATCAGCCAATTTTCTGGAAGCCAAATCCAACACTCTCCCTGGAGTACCAACCAATATGTGAACAGGCTCTTTCAATCTCATAATATCGTCTCTTAAAGAGGTACCACCAGTGGTGACCATAGCCTCGATCCCCAAATGTTTACCTAAGGTTTTACACACCTGGGAGGTTTGTAAAGCTAATTCTCTGGTTGGCACCAAGATCAACGCTTGGATCTTGTTCACCTTTGGTTTTATCTTTTGTAAAGTTGGGATAATGAAAGCAGCGGTTTTACCGGTACCGTTCTTAGCTCTGGCCAATATATCTCTACCGGCAAGCGCCACAGGGATCGCCTCTTCTTGAATTGGTGATGGTTTTTCAAAACCGGCTTCGAAAATCCCCATCAATAATTCTCTTTTCAAATAAAAATCTTCGAATGTGTTACCTTTGGTATTCAAGACATCCTCTGTTTGAGGTCTAGAATCCTTCTTTGGTAGATTTAAGGCAGATTTCCATTCACCTTCAGACATTTTGGGTTATTATTATATGGACAATAGAAACTTGAATATTCCTTTCTGAGAAAAAGTTTATGATAATAAAAATAAAACAGGATACCAAATTTCGGGGTGTATTAAGACAAGTCAGCAATCAACGCGATAAATAGTTCGACTTTCTCTTTAGAAAAAATAAACACACACACACACACGCACACTGGAACTTCAAAGATGTAATAATGGCAATTCCACTAAAAACAGGAAAGCTAAATCCAATAAGGTATAAAATTAAAGGGAAACAATCAAGGTTTTTTTTGTTGTGGTCGAAGTAGTCTAATAGAAACACCTTTCAACTTTTTTTTTCTTTTCTTTGACGACCCAAAATTTTTCGAGATAAAAAAAAAAAAAAAAAAACCATCGACGGCCGGGTGGCAAATTGCCATCGCCCATCGGTCTGTGACGGATGCGTCCAGATACAGCAAGATGCATTGAAGAGAATTAAAAATAAACATATAATATAATACAACTAACACTAAAACACATCTAAAACTAACTATCAAAAATATTGTTCTCGTGTAAAATTAGAAACCCCATACCCTTTGGAAAAACAAAAAATCAAAAATCAAAATAATCATTAGAAAATATCAAAAAATAGAGTGTAACCTCTCTCCATCATCAACCATAAAGAATAGTATCAATAGCATTATAATTCAACTTTGTAGACGCTTGGCGACTTCTCAACATCGTCTTCATACTAGCACTGGTGGCAGCCTTGAAATCACCTTTATCGTTGAGATCCATTAATGCACCATTAATAGCCTTGTTCTCAAAGTCACTGCCTCCAAAGATGCCAGAGTTGATATACCCAGCTGCCGACGCCGCAGAAAGTTCTGATTCACTTTTCGTTTTATTATTTCTTCTTCTTTTGATAGGTCTTCCATGACCAACCAACTCGTCAGCTTCCTGTTTAAGTCTTTTTTGTTCTAACTCGATCAAGAAGTCACCATTCAAATTGACAAATATCTCTTCCTTTATCTTAGATTCCTCTTCAGACAAAAGACTAGCGGCAATTTCATCATCATCAATGTCAGAAAAGCTTTCCGCGGTATCAGGGATCTTGGCTAATAACTCGTTGGTCTTTGGTAAATTCGCCACTAAGTTTCTTGGGCGGTTGTTTTCAATCATCGCGAGTTGTTTATCTTCTTCAGACGCATCTCCATCAATCTCCTGAAGAAGTGCATCAGCCTCTGCCTCCTCTTTTCTATTGATTCCTTCTGCCTCATCATCACTATCAATGACAGCTGAAGGAGTACTTTCCCTTGTCTCTGCACCGTCCTTAGTTTGCATTTCACTATTAGCATTATCCTTTTGTGAAGCCTCATCCTTTTCTTCTAATATTTCTTTTTTTCTTAGTCTGTCTCGTTCATTGGTTTCAATTGATTTCTTCGCCTTTTCCAAATCACCGCATAATTTACTAATAGCTTTCTTAATATCTTCACTTGTACCGGCTGCTTCAGAAGTAATGAACCGTTCGATCAACGTATTACCAAACTCATCGATTTTCTTCTTTTTCTTTGCTTGATCGGTTGGTGCTTCATTATGTTTGATAAATACCGGCGGCAAAGTGGATTTAATGGCAGAATTATCAGTATTTCTAAATTGCGTAATTGACATACCACTGGAGTTAGTTTTTTTGAACTCATTTAATCTTCTTCTAATGGTTTCCTCACCAACATGTGCTAAAGCAATGATCTCATCATGGGTTCTTCTGAAATTATTCATTCTTGCTGCCAACAACACGCAAGCCCCGGCAATACCCGCAGGCCTTCTCCCTTCATAAATCCAATCTTGGGACATTCTATGGGCCAATTTCGTGGCGTCTCTGATCACTTTTACTTTCTTGTTACCAAATGCCAATCTATCAGAAAAGTGTTGAATGAATAAGCTGGGGTCTGTCAATGGTAATGAAGTAATATTAAGGGCCTTCACCATCTTTAAAAAAGTGGAACCAATACTGTAAACGCTAAGCTGTAACTTCGAGGAAAAATCCACCAACATGTGATGTGTTTTTTCCTTACGACAAGCAATATATAAGCACGCAGCAACAACATTCTGAGACTTTCTACCTTTGACGAAATTGTTGTTTAATGCTAGACTGAACCAATTAGCGGCAGAATCAGCTATTGGGTGCGGGATACGTAACGCACTAGCTAACGCGTTGATTTTCCGTTTGGCGTTCATAATTGTGATATCTCTAGACTTAAGGGAATTGGATCCCGAGGTTTGATCAAGTCTAATGTTTTGACCATTAAGTACCGCTCCCCCAGCACTATTTTCGGACCATTGTAAATCGGCAACTAACGAGCTCAGTTCAAGCACCCAACCACAATTAGCGCACGAGACGTCCCCGGAAGTCGAGGTATGGGCGGTGATGAACTTGGTTCCTCCGCAACTTTTACACTTTTTTGCCATGATTGATGAGAAATAGATATGATTATGATCTGCCCATCGCCTATAATAATAACAATTTCAAAAAAAAAAAAAAAAAAAAAAAAAAAAAAAAAAAAAGGTCGCGACTGTGACACGTGAATGTTAAATTGCTATGGGCACTTGGAGATGATGGAGGGAAATTTCTTTGGAGGCCGTGTATCTACGATAGATAACGATAAGTGCTTATTACTGTTATTCGCATATCCTTGAACAACCCTTTTATGGACAACTTCTTTCTCTCCTCAGCACAATTTTCAAGGGCTACAGATATGGATAAACAGGAATTGCCAACATCTGTGGCGCCTCCTGGGGGCATCTCAAAACCAACAAGACTAACCCCTATTGTAACTAAAATATTGTCTGCTAGTTGTATTTTAGCCAGCTTGTTTCTTTTCTTTTCCTCCTCTAAAGTCCATGATTTCAAGTACTCGACCAACTCATTTCCAATCTTTGAATTTGCCGATGACTCGTTATGTCCTGTTAGCACCAAGGTGGTTCCGGAAAATTACGACGCGCTTGAAAATACCATCAACACCATTCTTCATGATAAAACTTTTAGAAATGCTTCGGCTGCCAAGTTAGGAGGTGCCGTGAAAATCCCAACTGAAGTCACCGAAGAGTGGCGCGATATTTATGGTGAACATTTCAAACCATTTGGAGACTTGCACCAATACTTGGCTGACACTTTCCCAAAAGTTCATGCCAATTTGAAATTGGATAAGGTTAATACATATGGACTTGTTTACACTTGGGAAGGCTCCGACAGCGACTTGAAACCTATTTTGTTGACGGCACACCAAGATGTTGTTCCAGTGGAGTGGGCGACAGAAGATAAATGGTCATACCACCCTTATTCTGGATATTATGACGGTGAATTTGTTTGGGGAAGAGGGTCCTCTGACTGTAAGAACTTGTTGGTTGGGTTATTGGAAACCATGGAATTATTACTCGAAGAAGGTTATCAACCAAATAGAACCCTTGTGTTGGGCTTCGGGTATGATGAAGAAGCCATGGGTGATTTAGGAGCTGAACAGATTGCAGGGTTCTTGGAAGACAGATACGGTAAAGACTCTTTCTATGCTGTCATTGATGAAGGGAATAGTGGGTTCTTCAAAACGGAAGATGTTTTTCTTGCCATAATTGCCACTGGTGAAAAAGGATATGTCGATAGCCACATCACTTTGAGAACCCCTGGTGGCCATAGTTCTGTGCCCCCAGACCATACTTCTATTGGGATCCTTTCTCAATTGGTGAATGAAATCGAAGACACTCCATTCGAGCCAATTTTATCCAACATTAACCCTCATTTTGGCTATTTGCAATGCTTTGCCTCACATTCTAATAACATCGACAAGAGTTTGAAATCCAATATTTTGAAAGCTGGTATGGATAGCGAGGCCAATGCCGCGATCGTCAAGTTCCTTCATGAAGATATTGCTACCAGATACTATATTCAAACTTCGCAGGCCATTGATATCATCCAGGGAGGTATCAAGTCGAATGCCTTACCGGAATCTGTGACCATCGTTGTGAACTCCCGAATCTCTGTGGATTCCAACGTCGAAGAAACCGTCGATAAGCTCACTACAAACGTTTTAAAAGTGGCTGAGGAATTCGATTTGGGAGTGGTGGTCGACGAAAAGATTATTAGACCAATCACTGACAATGGGTATTTCAACTACACTGCCACTGCTCCATTGGAAGCGGCTCCAAGTACTCCATGGAGCGGGGATGTTTGGGATACGTTTACTGGTAGTTTGAGATTTTTTTACGAAGATGTGATGTACTCGGACCAGTTTGATGGTAAGCCAGTGATCTCCACTCCAGGGATGAGTACTGGGAATACCGATACTAAGAGCTACTGGAACTTGACTTCCAATATTTACAGATACATGCCAGGAGAAATGCAAGATGATGCAGAAATGTCTGGAGGAATCCACAGTGTCAATGAAAATGCTTCCATGGAGGCTCATTTGAACGTCATTGCGTTTTATTATCTTTATTTGAGAAATATCGATGTTTCCACCCATTTCGATAAACAGTGAGGAGAGTAATTATGAAAAATTTAGTTAATTTTTAGGTATCTTGATATGTTCAAAGTGTACTGTAACTTTTGATAGAGTGAACAATATAGATTTCATCTGAAAAGAGGGTGTTGCACCGCCGTAGAATTTTTTTTTTTTTTTTTTTTCTTTTCTTTACATTATTTTTGAGATGCGCGAGAAGTGTTACATTATGTGATGATGATAACCCCATCTCTGGAGAAAACCTCACTCATCCAATTACCATGAGCGTCGCAGAAGAAGAGAAACAACTTTCTGTTGCATTTGTGTGCAGCGGGAACATTTGTAGGTCGACCATGGCTGAAGGGGTGTTTACCCATATGGTTAAACAACGAGGACTTGCTGATCATTTCCCCAAGATTGATTCATTTGGCACCAACCGTTACCATACTGGAGACTCTCCAGACCATCGGACCACCAAGGTATTGAAGAAGAACAAGATTTCATATAGCCACCGGGCGCAAACCATCAAGAAGACCGATTTTGCCTGTTTTGATTACTTGTTCGGCATGGATGGTTACCACGTTAGTAGTTTGAATAGAATGAAACCAAAGGACAGTGATTGTAAAGTCATGCTCTTTGGGCAATACAACGATAGATCGATCACCGGGCTCGATGATGAAGTCAGAGACCCGTGGTACGATTCTGATGATGAAGGTTTTGAGGAGTGTTATAAACAAGTCACCTATTTCTCAAAGAAGTTTCTTGACGAACAGTTTGGGGCTTGAAATTTGGTTTATTTTCTACAATAATTGTTTTCTATATTGTTGATTTTTTCCAATAGATGTACAATTGATTCTAATTATGAATATTACGAGTTTTATTTTGGTTTTTTTTTTGCTGCTAATTATCACATTGTAGAAATCGTTTTATTCAAATAAAATTACTCTTCATCACTCGAGTCCATTTCGATATCTGGGATTTCGAAATCAGAATTATTTTCATCATCATGATCTTCTGTTTTCTTTGTCTCCGTAGTTACTTCCACGACAGTTTCAGTAACCATTCTTTGTTCACTGGAGGAAATTTCTTTATCATTTGGCAACACATCTTTACTGATTTCGACTTTTTGGAATTTCTGTTGAGTCCAAACGTTCGGATTGGTTTCAATCTCAGCAGTCTGCAACCTCTCGCTCAATTTCCGTCTTTTCAGCTCGCGTTCTTCGAATTCTCTGGTTAATTTTTCTGTGACTTCATTAGTGACTTCTTCTCTCAATTCACGTTTCAATTCTTCTAAATCGATTTGCGGTTTCTTTGCTTCTTCTATTTTACATTCATCAATTTCTAAATCTTCATCTTGTTCCTTATCATAATGTTCAATTTCCCTCTTGTTGGATATTGGGAATCTTGGATTGAGCAACAAACTGAGCAACTGGTTATTATCATCGCCAGACTGACGCATGATGTTCATGATTATCGGCAATAAATTGTACTTTTCATTAGTGTTTTGATAAACCACGAAATTTTCCAATACTTGCCTGATGTCATTGGTGATATTACCGGCAGTGTAAATCTTTCTCATGGCCGACAAGATCACAAAATGTTGGACTTTAGTCAATTGGGTTACCGACAATGAAGGAATATTCTTCAATACGGTGCTGTAGAATTGTAAAACCTGGGTTGTAAGTTTGACATCAGTCTTAATTTTCAAGGTGCTAGCATCGGCAATGAAATCTGATAATTCCACCGAGTTTTTCGATTTTTTGGTTCTCTTGTTAGAACCATCAGCAGCCGGTTTCTTAGTTTTTTCAATAACGTCTTTATAAGAAGCTTCTTCCACCATCAAGCTAGTCATATCCACAAGTTTCAAAATAAAAGAGAAATCGTGCAAATTCCCAGTATCGAGGGCTTTCAAAAGATTGCCGACAAATTCCAATAACACCAACATGTCAAATTTATGGAATTTGATTTGTTCGACATCAAGGATTTTCTTTGCCACGGTTTTATTTGTGGTAGGGTTGATGACACTAATGGTTTTCATTGGGATCACCAATTCGGTGAACACAGTGAATTTCTCAAAATACCCTAATGATTGCTTACCCAATACTTTGACCAATTGGTTCAATAATTTGATCCCTTGTAATTGAATTTTTGAGAACGTGAAATTCAAATTGTGCTTTAAGTTGATATCCCCAATGAGCAAATCTTTTTGGAACCCGTGGATTTGCGCACTGACATTGATCAACAATTCACCAATATTGACAAATTTCCCAATTGGATAATTAACAATAGTGTCATTCAAAGGAGTGGTAATGAAGCCAATAATCAAATCAGTAAGGAGAGCGATTCTATCAAACAAGTCCCCAGTGGTTTTCAAATCGTTTAGATCGATGGATAATGGGGCAAGGCTGAATTGTGATTTGTTATGCATGTTACTTTCAGCGTCATGAAGACTCAACTTCAATAGTTCGATCAAGTTGATGATATCCGATTCGGCATCTTCATTAGGTTGCAATAAAGTTTGGAAAATCATTTTGAACACCGATTGAAACTCTTCCATTACCGATTTCAACACCACTGACCATTGTAACGATGCCGCTTTGTTGACCAATGATAACGCCACAAAAGATTCGATGATCTGTTTTCTTGCAACAGGTTCCCAAGATCTGAATTCTTTGGATTTCATAACCCCCATCAACTTGGATTCGTAAGCGGTGGCATGGGGTCTGAAAATCGTTGAATGATTTCTGATCAAAATCGTCAAGATCGACACAGAATTGGTCAAAAGTTGGGGATCCTTGAGGTCCAATTTTTTCACCAAAGTGTTGATGAAACCTGGTAAATTAGGAGTTAACACTTCTCTGGTCAATGACTGTTTCCCTTTGATGATCAAACATAAACTCAAGATGGTGTTGGTTGCGGTTTGGTATACCAATTGCGAGACAGTACCAATGTTGATCAACTTCATCAAAGAAGTAATGAAATCAGCCCCGTGGTTGGATATTACAATAGGATTGACACTGATAATCTTAATCAAGTGGCAGCCTGTCCATCTAAGGTATTCGTCTCTGGATTGGACATAGTTGATGGCTTTCTTAGAAAGCAAAGTCAATTCCACGGTCGAGGAGTTAATAAGCAACGAGGTGGTTTTCAAAGTGGATAATATCCTAGCAACGCTAGTTGGTCTATCTGTAAGACCAGGAAGGATAATACTGGAGATCGACATCGTTGAGGTTGGAAATGAAAGATCTCTAACAAAAAGAGATACAAAAGGTGAAAAAATTTATTCTTGGGCAGAAAAAAAATGTTAATTTATGCACCAAAACTGCGGGTCCTCTTCTCCCCCCAATTCTCACGTGAGAAAAAACCGCCAAAAAAAAAAAATCATCTCAAAAAAACACTTTAATCGTAAATGTAAGAAACCAACATATCACCAATAATCGCCGTCATTTGATCTCTTTTGTTTGTGTTTATTCTTCTCTATTTACGAACTGCTGTTACAGGGTAGCCAGTATATACAACAATTGCTAAATCTACACACCACACACAACAATTCACGGAAAATTGTCGACAAAGAAAAATGGCTGAACGTCAACTTGTTCCGAAAGATATTTTTTACTTCATCCCTAACTTGATTGGGTACGGTAGAGTGGTGTCTGCCATCGTGTCCTTTTCCTTAATGGACCACCATCCAATCTATTTCACCACGTTATACTCGATATCCTGTCTTCTTGATGCGTGTGATGGGTACGCCGCCAGAAAATACCACCAATCTTCAAAATTCGGTGCGGTGTTGGATATGGTCACCGATCGTTGCACCACCACGTCTTTGTTGTGTTACTTGTGCAAGCTTTATCCTGGTTTCACCATAGTGTTCCAACTCTTGGTGTCGTTGGATTTGGCCAGCCACTATATGCATATGTACGCCACTTTGCAAAGTGGCGGCGACTCGCACAAGAACGTTGATAAGAACTCCAGTTGGTTGTTGAACTTGTACTACACCAACAAGAATGTTCTTTTCACCGCGTGCTTGTTCAATGAGTTGTTCTTCTTGGCTTTATACTTGATCAACTTTGACAGCTTCCCGCAAATTTTCGGGATCAACTTCGGGGTGGTCTTGGCGTGGATCACTTTGCCATTGTGGGCGTTCAAACAGTTCACAAATGTTGTGCAGTTGAACAGAGCCGCGGTGCTTTTGGCGAAAATTGATTGTGACGTTGCCAACAAAAAGGTTCAAAAGGATGAATAGACAAGTTTATTCAAATCATCGAATCAACCTCAATAAATTTATGAATGTTTCTCAATCTTAATGGGCTTATGAGTATTTCTCCATCTCAATGATTTAGGAGTATTTCACTTTCAATCTGAATGATTTCTAATTATTTCAATAAGAATTGTATGTTATTTTTTTTTCGTTCTTTTTGCATTCGTTTTCTCCCATATTTCTATATATTATTAATCCCTATTTTGACTTCTCATTCTGTTTTTTGAGGCCATATTCTTATTATATATTATTGTTATTATTATTATTACCACCAATTTCCGTGATGCTCTTGTTACCTCTCTTATCATTATAAACCAGGATAAAATATATAGTTGATGATTTTTTTTTTTTTTTGGTGTTGTTGCCTTGGTGAGGTTGCCTCAGTAATGCCAATGAAAGATTTGGATCCTTGTAAATACTTTGGCAAACAAAATGGTTTAGTTCTTCAAAACAATATCCAAAAAAGATGACCCTTATTATGATGTAAATTCATAATACTCAAAGCGAAAACTAGAATTTGAGGTGTATTGTTTCATATTTCTTGATTGAACAAAAAGCATTTGAAAATAGCATTTACAATAGGTAGCCATGTAATCATTGCAAAAAAAAAAAAAAAAAAGTACCGCATTCTAAACTGTATTTGTTAACATCCATCAACGAAAAACTACAACGAGAAAATATTATATCAATAAGAGAATTTCACAATTAAAGAGAGGCAAAAGAACTATACAAGTATACAATGTATATAAGGCAAAGTCTATGGCGAAACAACGGCTAACAAAAGACCAAAACTCTTCATATACCGAAGAAGGTTGTCTGGGAAAAAAAGCAAAAGACGAAGAATGGTGAAAAAAAAAATTGAAAGAGTTGTGCGTCTATACAACAAACACTTATGCTATCAAAAGCTAAAAATGTCTCTAGCGAAAAACTTCTTTTTCTTGAGAGTTTCACTTTGAACTTCCACATCATTAATATTGTCACTAATGACATCTCCACCATCATCAAGCTTAATACCATTGTCGTCTTCGGCGGTGTCGACAGCAGAAATTTCTGGGTGATAATCGAAATGGTGTTTGGATCTATCAATAGCGTTTCTAAAGATAGAATCATCGTTCTTGACTTTACTCATCACGTACAACACAGTCAATCTAATACCTAAAGTCAAGAACCCAACCACTAAACTGAAGCCAGGAGCCACGACAAACGCACCAAAGGCCGACCAATCATCAACATAAATACTGTTGTAAACAATTAATAATTTCCCACCTTCAACCGCAGAGCCGTAATAAATGGTTCCGAAGACAAACACTGCAAAGAATCCACCAAGCGATCCGATAACTACTTCCCAACCGGTCAAGAACCAAAATTTAGAACTAAGACCCAAGAAAAGAATTGGAATAATACAAGCAGAAATCAAATCGGCAATCAAGTAAATTTGAAGGACATCATTAGCACATTTCAACCCGACAACTACTGCAGGAATCATCACCAACACCACCCCGATTCTAATGTAGAAAAGATTCAACTTGTTACGGAAGATATCGTTGGAAATGGTCGAGACCATGGAAGATTGTAATGAGTCAAAGGTACAGGTACTGAGACAGCAAGTGAAAATCAAAATCAACCCATTAACCCACTTAGGACAACTGGCAACCAAGTAAAAGAAAGCATTGGTCACATTATCATCACCTTGTTGCATACTGCCATTCCAAACAGCAATGATCCCGGTGAAACCAACAAGGAAAGGATAAATGAACAACAAGACGGCAGCGATGGAGGTACCAATGAGCAAATCTCTGTTGGATTTGGAAGCAAAAGTTCTCAACCAAAATCCAGAAACAAAACAATCATTGGTGACAATGGCCACTGGAAGAATGTACAACAATTTCCATGCGAGCTTATTGGAGGTAAGCATAGGTTCTTTGTCGACGGATGGGTCAAGGCGGATATAAGAACTAATGGAGCAGGTACCAATGACCAACAACAAGGTGACAAAAGTCGCTTGGATGTTATCAGTGATAAAACTGACTTTGAAACCTCCAATAGAAGTGTAAATGGTGGTGACAATACATTCGATAATGACCGCTGGAACCCCGTTGATGGTGGTCAAAGTTTCAATGGCAAAATAGACGGCGGCCAATTCCCCAATCATGAATAAAAACAATGTCAAAATGGTAGCGAGGGATAAGGCAAGACCAGTAATCCGACCAAATCTTTGGAAACACCATTCAGTCAACACAAACCCGTGAGGACATTGTCTTCTAATCACTGGACCGAGGAAAGCAAACAAAAACATAGGGAGGGAACCGGACAAACAATAAATGATCAAACCTTGGAGACCAGCGACGTTGGCAATTTCGGTGTATGTCGTTAAAATACCCGCACCAGTGCCTGGTTATTGTTAGTATGGAAAAAAAAAAGAAAATAAGTATCATGTTAATATACCAATTGTGATGACGAATAAGAGGGAAGGATTAAACAGTGATTCTAGCTTATCAATCCAGTATTATCATTGTAAGGATATCCAGGATACGACAAAGCCATCAAAAAATAGAATCAGTTCGCCTGATCCAATCCACTCATATCTCAACACCGACAAAAAGGTAAAAACTATGAAGATGGTAGGAAATGATAAAATGTAGAAAGCAGGGGCGCGCATGTGATATGGGCAAACCGTAGCAATTGGTGATATCAAACCAGGACCCATCATTCAATAGTAACAATGACATTATTATATATCACAAATAATATTCCTCCCGCAAGTATTAACTTGATCGAGTTCACAACGGTATGATCTCAGCCGTGAAGTCAAATTATTATGACTCCACGGCACCCGCAATTATCTGTAATAGAAAAAGGATTCAATGATTGGTCAACTATAAGAAGAGTTGAAGAATCTGAGGAAAGCTAGATATATATAGATAGATAGATAAATAGATGGATGTATGGATATAGACTAATAATCAGGACCGGTAAATTCATATTTGGAAGTTTTTTGGGGATGTACCTATTGACGGAAATATTCTTTGATCATATAATAACACCAGCCCCTCCCCTAGATGAAATTGAAATTTCAGGAGGGACGGTCGTTAACATGATAACAAGAAGAGAATTAAATGGATTGATACATACCACTAGCGAGGAAGTTGAGGGCCAAAGGCAAAGCTTTTTGGGTCTTGTTGGCGGCTAAAAACGATGATTTGGAGTTGTTACCCCAAAAGGCGATGGCCACCCCACTGGCGAGTAACGCCATGTAGGTGACATAAGTGATGGACGCCCCGGCGGCGTAAGAGAGGGGAGAAGTAGGAGCGGTATCTGACATGGAGTGAGTTAGCGATTGGCGATATTAATTAACGGGACGAAGAAAAAGAGGAAGAAGAAAAAAAATAGGGAAATCACTGCGTATTTATAGAGACCAAGATAAGAACAAGGGAACCAAACGAACAAGAAAAAGAAAAAAAAAAAAAAGGTTTGCAGAAGGAAAATTTTTATTCAGGAAAATGCGGCGCAAAAAGTCTATTGAAGGAATGAAGAATTGTATGATGTGGATTATTATGATGGACAGATATTCTGCTGTTGTTATATCACATATGTTTGTGCGATATATAACACAGAATATACGGTGGAGAATATATACAACATAATAATAGCACACTATGTACGATATAATAACATGTTGTTGTAGAAAGACTCGCCAGTCATATGACATGAGATGACTCAAGAAAAAGAAGAACATAAAATAAGCGCCAGATCGGCGGACAGCGAGAGAGAGAAAAAGCCCTACAAGGGGAATGAGGATTCTGAATGATCTGGGTTTATTTATATAACAACACTTGATGTTCCCCTAATGATAATAATGGTGTATATAGATCTTATGATAAATATCACATCGATCAGGCCTTACATTTTTCCACCCACATTTGTTGGCTCATCACCGTCACTCACTTATTGTTAACCGCTGGCTGACATAACCGTCGGATAATCATGGCGTCGACGGTTATGTTCGGGTATCATGACGTCTCCTGGTGCCACAACTAATAATGGGAATGTGGTGGACAGAACTATAATATAACATTTACAAAGAAAACAACATCACCCAATTACAATTACCACGGTGTATTCCTCCCAAAATATGCAGGATGTAAATCTATGACTGTAACAATTAATACCCACCAATGATCGTCATCGACAATAATCATTTCGTCGTTCTTCTTTACGGGCATCCAACACAACACACAAAAAGAAAACTAACCTTTCGTCAATCATGTCATATTTTATAATACAAATTGGAGAAGACCTTCCACATCCAAAAAAAAAAAAATAAAAAAAAAAAATATAAACTATAAAGAGCAAACAATTAAAATAAACATAAAAATGATATCTTTCATGTGTCGTCAGTTTCCTCCTCTTTCTTTCTTTCTTTTTTGTTTTTCCATATGGTGGTAAGGATATTCTCATAATTCAAATTTATGAGAAGTTCCACTTCGACATTTCCTGAAAGAAGCCAAAAAAAAAAAAAAGTAGTAGTACATATCAGCAAATATTTCTCTCTCTTATACTATAAAAAATCACTTTAACAACCATCCTTCATGGTCCTGGGATCTTAAATACCGTTCCACTTCTTTTATAAACTTTTGCCAAACCTTGAAAACCTCTTCCATCCGTTTGCCTTCAAAATATTGGCTATTCTTATACTGATAATTGATCATCATTGGATGGCCAACGGAAATACTGGCACCCGTAGCAGTTTCCAATGGAACTTTGTATTGCTCGATAAAAAACAGAAATAGATTTCTTCCGCCAACCTCTCCATTTTTAACAGAATACAAATCAGGCTTGGACATACCTAAAATACCAACGTCATTTCTCTTGAATATCAGCTCTGCCACATCTTTGACAAACAGATTGCTCACCTCCCCCTGGTGGGTGATCCCATAATTGTTACTATCATTGAAAGGCCTGATTACCGGAAGGTAGTTTTGGTAAATCATTTTCACATCCCCATCAAACACCTGAAGCCTGCGTTTACCATCGATAGTACCCTCAGAAAACTGAGGATTAAACCCCATAGAATGCACAAGGATCTTGATCACATTAGTCAAAATGACAGTTTGTCTAAATATCGTGGGAGTAAAAGGGGATTGTAATAACACGTACCTTGGAGTCTTAAGCGATCGAGATTGTAATGATGCCGGTGATAAAGAATGAAACTCCGAACGATTCTCAATTATGATGGTTAACAAATCAATGGTCTTAAATAAAAGTTGAGTACAGACATTACTTAATTGGGTTTGTAACTTTTCAATTACCATCCTCCCATTAGTATTTATATCCCCATCATTATTTGACTTTTGCATCACCACATTACCAGAAACTCCCGATTCTCTCCGGATCTCCTTCAAACAGTCAATCAATTGAAATCTGTGCTCAATAAACATGAGATAATTCGTTGCCAAATCTTTAATTTTCCCATTATTATGATAGCTTGTAATCTCAAATGACTTGAACAATTCAAATGATCTTATATTCAACTTGCTCAATTGTTTCATATAATCCACTGCTTCTTCTTGATCATCACCATCTTCTTCTTCTTCTTCCCGATATTCACCATAACTATTATAAAACGATCGAAATCCACAAAGTATACCACTGCCAAACGTCCCTTGAACCATCGCAATGATTTTGGAGAGTATCAACCCCACTTTGAAATGATTTTTTGCCGATACCATTTCATCTGGCAGTGATTTTGTTAACCCTAAACCGTATACCAAATCTACTAAATTAGGATCTAATTGGATGGAGTTGAAGACTCTAGGCGCGCCAAAGGCCAAAGAATAAATATTTTCCAACACCACCGAGTTGATCAAAAGTCTAACATAGATCAATTCTGGATTAAATGACGAAATCCCTTCAAATGGTTTGGATAATTTGGCAAACGGAATCAGAGTACTTGAAGATGTCATTGCGTCAGTGTGCATCATCCCATTAGAAGATTTGGATCTTGAAAGTTCGGATACCAAAGGTTTAATTTTCTTATGCACTTGAAAGTCCATGAATATGGTGAAGATGAAGTGAAATCCCCCAGTGAAATCCTCCCCGGAATTGACCACCAAATAATTACAGAGATTCAAGGTTATCAACAATAAAACTTTGGAATAATGGCTGGTATCCACACTGGAGATGGAACTACCCAGTGAATTTCTTAAAAGTGACGGATAGATTTGGAAAATCTGGATAAATAATGGATGCAAAATATCTTTGATTAGCAAAACTTGATTATTCAAATTCGAGAATTCCGTTTGGTTTGGATTAATAATGTTAATATCATCCTTTTTAATCACACTAACCACGATTTGTAATACTTTGCAAAATACATCGACCACCACCCTATTTTCTGCCGAATGGGGTATTTGATTCACCCAAGTATCAAAGTCTTGTCGTGATAGTGGTAATATTGGAAAATTAGCATGGATCACTCGATAATAAAATCCAAGATTATATTCCAATTGGTCATTGTAAGGTTTACCATCTCTTGAGGATTTGGAAACCAAATCATGTTGATGATTAGGCAATTGGGAAGTTACCCTAGGCGAATCATTATTGAAATTCAAGGTTCTGTTGATATTATTGTTAATGCTACTCAAACTGGAATATGAGTTGGCTGGCAGAACCGGAGTTTTAGCATTGTTAATGCCATAATAATGACTTACTGCTGATCGGTATTCATCATTTTCCAGGTCAGAAATCGCACCAGCACCATTATCAAAATTGGTAGCCATGGGTGACGCAGCAGAGTAGTCACTAACAAACAGATTCAAAGAGTCAGTGGAGTTTTTGCGTTCGGTGATAGATGAAGCATACGGCACTTTCCAAAACATGCCACTAGGGGTTTGAAAGTTAGGAGGTTGAGGTTGATTAATCGAAGATGATGATGGTGGCATTGGGGGATTGAGAATGTTATTAATGCTACTAACCGAAGGTCTTGACAATTTGGGAGGGTGGACCACATCAGAGTTTGATCTTGATCGAATTGGTGAAAATATTGGCAGATGGGTGACCAGTCCCGGAGGTGTTGGGGTCGCTGAAAATGATGATGGGAACTTGTTGTTGCTGGTGTCAGGTGAAATTATTGGTCTAGGAGCCGTTAATGGAGGTATCTGCAGCAGGATAAGTCCTGTTGATTGATAATATTTTGAATAAAGTTGTTGGGGTGATGATGATGACAGTGTTGCAGCAATAAAAGAGTTCATTGGTTTAGTGATAGTGCCAATGGGTGGTAAATTGACACTATTATTATTATTGTTATTGTTATTGCTGGAGAAATTTGAGTTTAATGGTGGCAACAGTTGCTTTTGAGGCACCAACATTGATAGGCTTGAGGAAGAGGAAGACGCAGATATTGAGGTGCCCTTTGGTATGTATTGATCGGATGGTTGCGAGACCGAGTATTTCGAATATCCTTTGGATGGGCCTCTTTTGAGAGGGGTTCGTTCAAAAGTGCAAACTTCATCATTTTTGGAGCAATGAGAACATGGTCTCTCAAGGAGATTTGATGTTTTATTAAAGTGGGCGTCACATTTTACCTTCTTCTTTCTGCATTGGTCACAGGCCCTAGAGACTTTTGTCCGTTTTCTTAGTGGAGAAAGGGATTCATTATCTTGATCCACAGGTATTTGGGACATTGTTGGGATGTGTGGTACAATGAGAGAGTTTTGGTGGTGATGCTTCTTCCTTGTTATTACTAATTTATTATTATTAGCGTATGTAGATTAATTGTTTGAAAACGCCGTTATCGATTTTGTGGAGGAGAACAGGGAGGGTACCCCCGGGGGACCAAGGTTGACACATAAACGGATAATTGACACAACTGTTATTATAGTCATCATTATTGCGTATTTTTATGTTATAATAATATATATATATTAGGAAACCATTTTAATGAAATTTTTACTTTTGTACCATAATAAATATCATCGCGATGGCAACAACCTTCCGTTGTTTGGACATTCGTCATCGTTCATGTCTCCATACATGAATCCCGGGGTAAAATGTTCCAATACCAATATGGACAGCAAACCCCAACCAAATGTCCCAATTGATGGTTTACGCTATTGTTATAAGCTGAAAATTTTCCAGCGGTATCAGATAAGAAAGGTATACAAATTACTTCGTGGATAAGAATGTCCATCTTGAATATCTATATTTAGAGCTTGCTAAAATAAAACGCAGAAAACAATAATCTAATATAAAATTGCCATTAGTAATAACTGATATAAGATACTCTGCCCTCCAATTATCAATGCTTACTATTTCATTATTATTATTCTTCTTCTTTTTCTTCTTCTTCTTCTTCTTGGGATTTTTCCTAATTAGTTAAGTGTTCTGCATCTCTTGTTTTTGTGTCAACATGAGGTGTGTTTTTTTTTTTTTCAATTTTTTCGTCACTTTCCTCAAATGTTCAACATTAATTATTAGTTATTATTTTTTCCATTTCTTTTTTTTTGCTCTTCTGATCAATAATTCTGTTTTGTTAACTCGTTTGTTCTCCATTATTTTCTTCATTCACTACAATGTCATTATACTCATCATCCTCTTCGTCCTCCACACAAAACCAAAACCAATTTCTTACCGCTTTGTGTGACTTCAAAATAATTTACACCATTGACCAATTACTTGAACTTAGAAATGACTTTACTAAGACTTGTATTGAGCCCTCCGAAGGTAAATCATTTGGAAATGATTTCAAAGAAGAAAATCCCAAGGATCCAATTTCCGCCAGAAATCATATGTTCAGCAATTCCAAAAGACACTCAAAACCTTTGATCCTCAGTCCAGAAATGAATGAATTATGGTGCTTGAGCTCTACTGAGCCTTGGAAATATTCAATTATTGACAGTAAGAGCTGGACCCGTTGTTTATTTTATTCATTTTTTCGTTTAATGCTAGATTTTACTAATCAAATTTTAGACCATTTAACTAGCAACCCCCAAAAATATCACCATCAAAGCAACAATTCAGAATACACCACTTCGAAATCACACTCCTCAACTTTCCAAGAATATACCTATTCTTCAGCTCCAACATCTATTAGATCTCAAAATCTTGTTAACAGGTATTCTGCAAATGGTTATTACGGATATCCGGATCCATTTGCCGATCAACAACAATCAGCAAAAGTCCAGCAACAGCCACACAGCACCAATAATTGGTATCAAAATTCCGGGAGCCACGAAGTCAATAATAATTCGCACTATAAAAACTACCCAAATTTCAACAATTTACATCAAATGCCTTCACAAATGCCAGACTTCTACTCAGCCCCGGGTTTTAACAAGTTGAAAAGTTCCAACAACTTTAACAATAATAATGAGAATTATATTCTATACGACCCTAATACTAATATTTCATACTATGTTATTCAAAATCCAGAACAAATAAGAGCTGCTGCTGCTGCCGCTGCTAGCCAAATGAAAAACCCTCAATACTTGAGTGCCAATAGTCCAGATTACTATTATTATTATAATGAAGATAATAATAATTAACCTATTTTTCATTTTATTTTTTTAATTTCCTGTAACACTTGATAACTTACTACAGCATTAACATGATTTACACTTTTTTTTCTTTATTCTTTTCATTTAAAGAAGATATATTACTGATAATACAGAGGAGAAATATCTAGATGAGATAGAAGTAGGTATAGTAAAATTGGAGACAGTGGTTTGTATATAATTAGATCATTATAAGCATGTGAAACTCTCTAATAATAAATAATCCAAAAAAGAAGATGAGGGTAATTGAGTAGAATATTCAAAAGAAGGAGAAAGAAATCAAATATCAATTATTTTTAAAACAGAAGCACATGGCCACTACTCTCAAGGCAAAAAAAAAATACTAAGAATGTTGGAAGTATATTCATTCCAGTTAAAGTTTTTGCAATCCAAGCCGACTAAAATCAGAGATTCGATCTTGATAAAATTTATTATTGAAGCTCAAATTTCTTCATAATCACTTGATGAATCGATATTCTTTTTCAAAGAGGAGCTAATTAATATCAAATTGAGCAAGATAAAGAAGAAAGACAGAGATGCTTCCAAGATTAGAAAAGTGAAGGAGGTATTGAATATTGAAATTGATAGAAAAGAAGAATGAAGAATGAATGAATGTGTCTTTGAACTCTTTTAATCTGCATATTTGGGCTTCACACTGTCTGTTGTTATGTTTTGCTTCTTTTTTTAATAATATCCTCTAGTCCTTTTTAACAAAATTGTTTATCTATCCTCGGCATTTTTTTAAGCTCAACTCGGCTGCCTGAATGATTATGTTAACGGTACTACTTCCACTACATACATAGTGATCATTTTGCTACTTGTAGATGCGGAGTATTTTTTTTTTTTCTTTGCTTCTCAATAGATTTGTTAAATTGAAATGATTGGAAGGCATTAATAAGCGCAGTGCTTGTATCGTATCATTGGATAGACGTGTAGAATGTGGACAACGTTATGTGTGATTTGGAGACCAATTATCTCAAAAGGTCATAGTATCTTTTAGTTCAGACCACGCCAGCAACAGATTGAGGAATTAGAATCTATCTCATGAAAAGCTGGAATGCTATCATAGAATATATAAAAAGATGGTCTAGAAAGCCATGAGAGTAATGAAGACGGTATAATAATACATCCGGTGGCTCTTTAACAAAACCTCCCAGTTTCAAGAGGTAAAAATAACCACATCTTAAAGACCTCATATTGACATAACTATGAGAAAAAACAAAGATAATTGACTGATGATGAGAATAGAAAAATATCTAGAATGTGTTTTGTGTTTTTAAGTAGATCCACACAACACAATAGAGTAATTATGAAACCACAAACGAACTGGACATTCTATGTATAAACGAAGTCTATTCTTGTAATCATGGTAAATTTCATATCAGCTTCCTTTTTATATTGATTTTTGAGTTCTTTTTATTAACGTTTTGTTAAAATTGGTTGATTGAGCTCTTAAATATTGGTGCTTGAAAAGTTTATGCCTCATTTTCATTTCATGGCGAAAATCGAAAATTTCGAACCTTCAAAACATTTATACCTTTCATCCATTCATCTTATCATCCATTCATTCATCCATTCATTCCTATCATTCCAAAGTAATTGAAATCCTAGAATATTTTGAATAATTCCATTAAGTTTAAAATTTTATTACTTGCATAACCTAATATCCTTTATATTTTCTTCACCTTGCTTGTTTCATTATCAGTTTCATATTTTTTCAAAATTTTTTTTTTTGTGATTTTGATTCTATATTATGTTTTGCTGACAATATCAGCTGTATTTTCGATTAATATAATTACTGAGTCATCACTTTAATTCTTTTCACCTCTTTTAGCTCAATATATTCCCCCGGAGGGAATAAATGGACAGGATTTTAGAAACACGACAAACCCAATAGCAACGGTTTAGAAACAAGAGAAACAAGATATATCTTCTTGTTTCTACCAATATCAAGATTTTCTCTATAAAAGCTATTCATTTTCCATTAGAGGAAGAGATAAATATCAAAATAGCAGCAACATTTAAAACGTCTTGGAGACCCCCCAGTTATGGACCACACCAATGATGAACGACGACAGAAGAGAAGAGTAAACACAGGAAACTATGATACCAAGGCTAAAGTGGTCGCTGAGAAGTTAAAGGGCAAGAAGGATCTTGAAATCATTCAATGGGCCGAATCTCATTTGAATTTCCATATTCGACATAGAATGAATATTTATCGTTGGAAGGAAAATCTCATCATTCTAAAATTGGCTGAACAATATGCTGGACTTGTTGAGAATGCAGATGTTCCGATATCATTAAGAGCAATTATTGGGGACCAAATTTTATAGAAGGGGAAGTTTATAAAATATTGATAGAATATGTGGCGACAGCTTTGAAATATGAAGTTCCAGTATCTTTGGGGCTTTTGGGCATGAGTTTAATCAGCTTTGTGAAATATTTGGAATGTCAAAAGATTTGGCACTTAAATTTCAAGTTGAGGCAATAGAGAGAATAAAAAAACAATATGAACATTCATTGATAACTGATTCTGATATTGTGGCCCAACAAGAGCTTTTACAGGCCTCGAAAAAACAAATGTTCATCAGTGATCACAAACAGTTGAAAAGTTTTATCACAAAAAGCAACTGGTCCAAAGTTTACTTCGTGAAAGAAACAGCGATAAGATATCAACTCATCAAAAACTCAACTCTATCGCTTTTTGGTATTGAAAATAGAGAATTGTCAGCAAAGTCTGTTGCGTCATGTTCCAAAGACGATTCCGATTTCCTTCCGCACAACAATTTGTTGACAATGATCTATTGTGCCAACTTTGATGGGTCTGATAAGTGCAAAAGTTCATTCCTTGGTCCAATTTTCAATCCTAGAAGACTCGTTGAAAGCTTGGATAATAAATTTAATTATTATTATACCAAGACCGGCTGGCTATCAAGCGCACACTTTCAAAAATATTTGGAGGAAATAAGCAACCATACCAAGCTTAGCATTAGGCATCAGGACACAAATGTATTAATTTCACAGATGTATGTGAAAAAGGTTTTGGAGAAATTGTGGACTACAATCAGGTGTCTAGAGTTTTTGCAGAGCCATGAAGTGGCAAAAGGTACGAATTTAGTAGCCTCAAACTATTCTAGTGAAAACTTAACCAATATAATTCTTCATTCTTTGCAATGTTCTATTTATGAATCTGTCACAATGTTAAACGATATTTGGAACGAGGTGTCTCAGGATATAGTTTATGAATTTACCAAATCTATGAAGGATTCGAAAAATGGAGCCATGAGAATTAATCAGTCGGGTTTCTACTCGAATACCGTTTTAGAAAAATTGCATCAAATGCTCACCATTCAAATCACAGAGATTAAGGAGAGAATAAATACCAGCCCGATTATGAGGAGCTCCATGATTGGTTACCTTGATGACATTTTGGTAGAAAAGAGAGAATTCAATTATATTGGGTGTTCAGATGTTGAAGGCTTGAAAGAATGTCAATTAAGCGAAGATTTTATTTATGGTTTAGCGAAGAAGAAAATTGCTAGTCGAGAAACCCCAATTAAGAGCAGGACTAATCAGCAGATCTCCTAAGAAACTTTTTTCGGAAATTACCCATAAATATGACAATAGAAATACTTTTCAAGTGGCATACGAAAAAGATAACAAAGGATCACGCATTGACAACACGTTAGGGCAACAGGCCAACATTTGTGATCCTATGGAAAAAGAAGCCAAAAGAACTCTAAATCTTGGCAAAAGAAAAATTGCGACCAATCAAATTGAAGAAGGAGACTACGTAGGATATAGTGGGGTTATTAGTGATGGGGAAAGTTTTGGGGCGGATGACAATTGCGCTCAGAATGTCGCTGATTTCAAGAAGGCAGTGTACGATCTCCATTTACGTTTCACCACAAAGCCCTTTGGTGCAAATGAAGATTTTGAGATCAATAAAGAGATGAGCTTTGAAAAAATATATCAGCTACTTTTTGGTATGGAACAAGATGAAGGAGAGAGATAGTACAAGTTGGTATAAGTCCGAAAGGGTGAGAAATTTGTGTTATTCGCTCTGAGGTGCGATTTTTTTTTTCTTTTGTTGGTGCCATTTGGTGATGTAATGACCGCAATAGCGTTACAAAAAAGTGTTTATACAATTAACTGGAGGCTTACCACAACAAGATGTTTGTGTATAGAGATAAAGCCTCCTCTTAGTCATGCATCACCTTTAGAATTGAGAAAAAAGAAACTGTACCAACATAATGCTTTTTTTTTTTTCTGTTTGGTTTGCACCCTCTGTGTCTATGAAACACCTGCAGTTATTATATTCAATACTTCACTAGTTTATTTATTATCATTTTGCCCCTTTGATAATGACAATTTATACACAGAGTGCTTTTAACATTTTCCAGCATATGAAATACATAACACAAAAAAGAAAAAGAGATAGAAATAAAGGTATGATTTATTTGTTACGTACATTGTAAGATCATGGTTTAAACGTAAAACAAAAATAAATAACGATAAATTCAGTATATTACAAAATAATTAATTACACTAAATAGCAAAAACTTTTGCCGAAAAAGTTTATTCTTCAACCTCTTCCAATAAAACTTTTCTACCGGTGGTGGTAACTTTCTTATCACTGCTTGGTAAAATTTCTTTTCCCAGTGGGGCTTCTTCTTCTTTCGATTTCTTTTCCTTCTTTGCGGCCTTTTGTACCTTCTTTTGTTTCCATTCTTGTAATTTTGCAGACTTTGGATCTAACACTTCATTACCCCAACCGTATAATGGGACAAACGACTCAAAAAATCCGCAATCAGCAAACAAATTTGGGAACAACCAGAATCCAGGACTCAATATTGGGTAAGTGGCGCAGAAAATCACGAGTCTGACAAGGGCCATGGCAAAGAACCCTGCCAATAATCCAAGACATCCCATTGATAAATACCATACCCCGAGTCTCAACTTGTAAGGCCATAATGGGAAAAGAATTAGCCCAAACACCGCGGCAAGGAATAGTACCCCATATAAAAGCGCATACGGGTTAGGGATCTCGTAGTTCCAAAGGTAATATTCATCCGGTTGTAACGTGGCCTTCGGGTCGATTTCAAGGTTTGGAAAGCCTCGCTCCACAGGCAAGTTTTTTTCTCTAGCCACCGAGACTTCGAGCTTGTTAACTGGGTAGACCAAACCAGCTTTAATCACCTCGATGAAATATTTCATGGCATCTTGTTCATTGGCGATCACCGGTAAGATTGGCGAGCGTTGTTGCTTGGATTTATACTCGGTAGATAATAATGCCCGGATCACTCTTTTGTATCTGAAGAAATCGATTTTTTTCACAGGGTTCAAAAGACCTTGACGTTGTTTAAGCAATGGGTTATGACGGATTGCTTTAGCAATGGCAATTGCCTGGGGGTTTTGCGGAGGCTTTGCTGGAGAAGACATGAAAAAAAATATCTCTGTAGTATAACTGATGCTGGTGTGAAAGACCCAATCTTTTTATATGTTAATAGTGAGAGGATATAAATAAACCCTATAAGAAGATTCAAAAGAAAAAAAAAAGCACCAGGCTCTGTTTATTATATCAACTAGGTGTTATGTTATTATTTTGTGTAAAGTGAAAGATCTTTGTGGTTTTGTTTCTTTTCCTTTACGTGGAAAAAATCGTGGAAATCCTTGAAACGACAGGGTGACACTGGGATCCCAACATGCATTAATCCATTATATTATGCAAATGTGTTATATTATAGATAATTTAGGATATATTATGATGTAGCATGTACTATCAATGATATTATAATTTTATTATTATTTTTCTCTTGTCTCATCTTTCCCTTATCCTTCCCTCAGTTCATTTCCTCTTATCTCAATTCTTACTTTATTGCCCCTTCTCATCTTAAATCCTTATCTTACCCTTTATTCATAACATCATCTTTTCTTTGAAAAGACACACATATTCTTCACTTATATTTTAATTTTCGTACTTAAAAAGAAGTAATTATTCTTGATAAGGTACTCAATTTGGCACTTTTCAATGCTCATATAATATTCTACAAATCAAGCCAAAAAGACCTTCTCAGTTACACAATAGATACTAATACAGATTATACTAAAGCATATATGTCATAATTGGATTATCTAATGAATAGAAAGATTCTTGCTTTATAATAAATATTGTCTATTCCTCTATAACTAAAAGCTCTTGACCATCTTCTTAATCTCATAATCTAATTCCTGGTACAGATCTTTCGACATCATGAAACTATGTTCTGGTCCAGGGAATTGCTGATTCTTCACTTCACGGTCATAATCGTTGAGAGCGTCAATGGCAGTATCGTAGAACAGGGCGTATTGCTTTACAAACTTGATATTGTTGGTCGATCCCGTCATCCCAAGCAAATCTGCTTGCACCAAGATTTGTCCACTACAATATTTTCCTGCCCCGATCGAAATGGTAGGAATATCAAGGTTCTGAGTGATCAACCGGCCTAATGCTTGAGGAATACATTCGAGCACCAACATTTTCACTTTCCCCGAATTTTGTAATTTCAAACAAGTTTGAAAGATCTCGAGTGATTGTTGAAGTTTCTTCGATCCGCCTTGTAATTTGTACCCTCCAAGATACGCGTGACGTTGTGGGGTCAATCCATAATGACCACATACCGCGATCCCAATATCGTCAAGTTTCTTGAAATATTCCAAATACTCGACCCCTCCTTCGATCTTGATGGCTTGTAAATTATCACAGTCTTGGAAAAGTTTCATTGCCGACTCCACAGCTTTCAGCACCAGAGATTCGTAGCTACCAAAGGGTAAATCACATATCAAGTATTTCGAAGTCACAGCTCGCGACACCGCTTGGGCAATGTAAGTGAACTCATCGAATTTGAGTTGGTTAGTGGAAGGGTATCCTAGTTGTACCATAGATAGCGAGTCACCAATCAATACTGCGTCGACATTGGATTCATTTGCGAACTTCCCAGTGATATAGTCGTGAGCGGTGATACAAGTAATGGGGATCTTGTCGCGATGCTGTTGCTGGATGTCAAGAATAGTTTTTCTTTGGTGAGTGGGTGATGAAGGTTGAGCAGAATACGATGGTTTGATGAAGGAGGAGAACCCTCGTTGCCTGGAGGATCTTAACAACCACTTGGAACAGAACATTCTAAGAAACAATAACGATATATAGATATATAATTGTAATATAATGAAAAACAGATCTCGTCGTATAAAAAAAAAGTAAAAAAAAAAAATGGGAAAATTTTAAAAAATCCGCCATTCTGGTACACTCAACCACTTGTAACAGGAAGATTGACAGTTATAATTGTTGCAGATAAAACTGACATTTATAATTGTTACAGATAAACCATGGTATATGAATATAGTGGTGAGTAAATGTTTGCAATATACCAGCTTCCCCTTCTCTTCTCCGAAAACAGGTGTACCATATGCTGAGAGAAATGCACACTTCCCTCTCTTGCCATAGGTACACGGGAAGGGTGATTCTTTTCTTCTTCCAACTATAGAAACATTACTGGTTTTCCTCTTTTATGTTGCTCTAGCGCAATGTTTGAAAGCTTTAACCAATGTTTTTGAAAAAAAAAAAAACGTTCAAAATAGTTTCAGTTTACGCTATATGGATCGTTTACTTGATAAGTTACTTTAGTAATCACGGGATCTTGATTTGAACAGTCGACATCCCGTATACACTGCTGAGCTCTGACAAGATACACACCCGTTGGCAGCAGATATAATGCATCATCGGAGACTCAATGAAATATTACACAATCGCCAGCAATATCACCACAGCTAATCATAGCCAACGCCAGGCTGTGTTTCTCCTTCCAGTCGCCAGTGGAAATCGCTCACCCGGCCACCGGCCCCTCGGATCTACAACGAACAACCGACTCTCGTGGTGGCCGTTTTCTTTCACTTTTGCAATTTATCCACGAACTATTTTACACTGTCGCTCGCTTATCAATAGGTTAATTGACAGATAGATAACCAACCATGTCGATCTCTTTTCTCAATATCTCAGGCTGGGGCATTAAAGCCACCAGCACCCACCACCACGGCCAATCGACCGTCGAATTTCCTACTAAAGCCAAAGACTCGATCTCGTTGCAAAGCTTAGTATCCCAATCAATACCTGACAAATCCCATTTCTACACCTCTTTAACCGCATTCTCCGGGACCTTACAAACCATGGCATTATCTAACAAAGCTTTCGACACTGGAGACAAAAGAAACGTCCATTACGGCAGACGAGTGTTTGAATTCACCGATGGGGGCATCGCCTCGGTAGATTACGTGTTGCCAACTCCTGTCACCAAAGAACAAAAGGATAAATTCGCTACCTTGACCGTGGAAAATTTAAAAGAAAACTGGCCTAGACAAAACAAAGGGACAAGATTCTTATCCACTGCGGAAATCGCCGAAAAAACCAAAGGTGACATTAATGACGATTCTAACGTGCTTATTATTATCCATGGATTAGGCGGGGGGTCTCATGAACCGTTAATTAGAGATCTCATCACTAACGTCACCAAAGTGTCTGAAGAAAAACTTTTCCAAGAAATCATGGTGCTAAATTGTCGTGGATGCTCGCGTAGTAAAATCGCTACCCCAGAATTGTTTTGCGGGTTCTCTACTAACGATTTACGCGAGGTGATCCAAGAACTCAACGAGTTATACCCTAATAGAAAAATCTTCCTTGCTGGGTACTCCTTTGGTTGTGTGACCATCTTGAATTACTTAGCAGAAGAATCCAAGCGTGGACTCGATCATCAGATCCAATTGGTGTTCACCATTGGTGGACCATGGGATATGATTGATTCCAACTATCGTATCCAAAATACGTATTCTGGGAAATACCTCTTTGAACCAGCGATCTTAGGGTTCCTTAAAAGATTGGTCAAGAATAACCGGGCAGAATTGGAACCTTATACCCTTGAGCACCCGGAATTGGGAGTCAAATACGATGAACCAACTTTGAAATCCCTAAAGCACATATCCGACTTCGACGACGCGTTCACCGCCAAAGTGTTTGGGTTCAATAGTAGTTACGAGTATTATAGAAAAGCGTCACCAGTGAACTTTATTAACGAAATCACCTTCCCAGTGGTGGCCATCAATTCCATCGATGATCCTTGCGTAGGGGTCAACTTACCAGTGAGAGAAATCAAGACTAACCCATATTTGCTCCAAGTGGAAACCGATTTGGGCGGACATTTGGCGTTCATTGATTCAAAGGGGGAATCTTGGGTCAATAAGAAACTTGCAAGTATCTTTAAAACCTTCATTAATACTGTTGATACTAATAAACCAGTGGATAATATTGGATATCAATCAAAGAAGAACCAGTTTGGGGTTTGAGATAATTGAAATCAAACAACACATGGTTTATATAAATATATTTTTTTTTAAAAAAATCCTTTTAGATATTTTCATCCTAGATTTTGCATATACCCGTCATTTAATATTATCTTTTAAAGTGAGAACTTTTACATTTACGGCAAACAACATCTTAATATTATTATCTAGAAATTCATTAAAAGTTATAAATTATACCACGAAAGTCTTTGGATAAGCATAAAAACACAATAAATAATAAAATTATAACAACGACATTCGAGAAAACTGGAAAAAAAAAAAAAAAAAAAAACAAAACAAAATGAACAACAATATCAAAAGAATTAAAAAAGATGAAAATGCGTGTGCTCCATCATATAATAGGTGAAATTTAAAATAATCTAGATAATTGAATGAGCAAATGGGTGCATTTATACATAAATAATTGTATATCTAAATGGTGATGACAGTAATTTTTTAAACAAAAAAAAATGAACAAATAAAAGACAAAAAATATGGTACGGCGTAGGACATAACATGAAGGAATATAATGGATGATGGATGATTCCTTTGTGTAAGCTTGGGTGCAAACTTTGTCCGTCAAAAAAAAAAAAAAACATGAAAAAAGTCAAACTAGAAAATATTGCAAATGAGTAAAATGAAATAGTAATAATGAAAAAAAAAAAAAGAAAATAAAGAACTAAAGCAGCATAAAAGAGATAAAACATAAAAGAGGTACAAAATCTAAAGACTCGCCAGAATGCAATTCTAACAGCATTCGTTAAATCAACCTCGACTCTAAAAATAAGAAAAGCCAACAGCTGATCCAATCATAACAATCACATTCTTTATTTTTAACGTTAGAAGAAATGAGTATAGCATCTACTTTCATCATGGATTGGCATTTGTGCCTTGAAAGTATTTAATTCTTCCCTGATTTGTTGGGCCAACAAAGGGGTCAACTGGTTGCAAGTGGCAATCTCTGGATGACGGTCATAATCATCAGCGTTGTAAGTTTCATAAAGAATAATTCTTGATGAAAATTTCACCCGGTGTGATCCACCATTATTACCAAGGTAGATATTACTACTGTTATTGGATCTCGCACCGTATGGATGGTTGCCAAGTCTCCGAGATTGTCCAGACGATGCAGGAGACAGTTGACTGGCGCCAACAATCGAGTTGAATGAGTTGGATGATAGATTGTTACGTCTATGTCCATACTGATGTTGAGAGTGACTACTCACGGTGCTGCCGCTACTTAAGGTTGATCTATGACTGTATCGTTTCTTATTTGGCGGGGTAGAAGGCGACTGTTGTTGTTGTTGTTGTTGTTGATATCTATTATTGGTATCAGTAACCTCAATTGTTGGAGGTTGTGGACGGTGTGCCTGGGATGCAGGAGGCGGAGATGACGATGACGATGGTGGTGATGACGCCGCTTTATTGACATTTTCAGAAGATCTATTATAAATATTCTTGAAACTATTAATGAAACCACCTTTACTCTTACCATTAGCCTGGGTTGGTGGTTTCTTAGCACCTGGATTCACCGGAGCAGTCGCTGATTGGTCATTAACCACTTTGGTATAGTTATTATTGCTGGTAGGAACATTCTTGGCAAGGTTTGAACTACCAGTATTGATACCAGGAACTTTGGCACGATTCAATTTTTCATTGAGTTCCTGCTGTTTAGAAGCAGCAGTGATGATTTCATTCCTGTTAACCGCCCGCAAATTACGTTCCAGCTCATCGTTCAGCTCAAAACTTCGAGACGATACATCGTCAGTGGTATAAACTGATCCATTTTGCTGGAAATCGGTAAAGTCAAGATCCAAATTGCTGTCTTCAAATTTTATCCCAAAATCACTAGTAGAAGAGGTAGAAGAATGCTTGGAATGAGAACCAGTCACCGCAAGGGAAGCTGGAGGCTCAAAATTTTTGGCATCATCTTTGATGGCGCTATCACCATTTGGGGTTTCAATTTTATCTTCGGCAAAACTATCTTCCTTGCTAACTTCCTGGATAACATCATTTTCCAAGTCCTTTTCTTTTCCAGTCGCCTTCTTCTTTAGTATCGAGTTAGTTTTTTTTAAACCTCCAGCGTTTGGTTCGTTGACTTCTTTGCCAATTTCCACGGTCATGCCACCTTCTTTAGCCTTCACCTCAATACTGTTGCGATTCTTGCGCACCGAGTCGGCCCTTTTGGTACTGAGTTTCCGCTCAATAGAAACTATGTTATTTACTTCTTTGAGGTCAAGGGATTTAGGGAATAGTATGTCCCCTTCATCAAAATTCTTGAGTTCTGGTGAAAGAAGGGATTCAGTGGTGACTTCGTTATCAGCAGTTCCAGAAAGATCCGCTGGTATAGAAACTGATGGTTTTTTAGAAGTATCTTCACTACCGGTAGATAACGGACTAGTCATGTCTCTCTTGATGGTCGAATCGCCAAAAGATTCATTAACGCTACCTGAAGTCTTTTTTGGAGTACAGAATCCGGAATCATCCACTCCATTTATGACAATTGATGGCTCATTGTTGCTATTGTTTTCTTGATTTTGTTTTGCCATATTACTAATAGCATAATTGAAATTTGCGGTATTAGACGTACGGATACTGGTAGCATCAGTATTGTCGACTCTACTCTTGCGAGAGTCGTTGCTGTTTTTCTTGAAGGTGAAGACGCTGGATCCAGAACTTTGAGTATTATTTTTTGATCTAAACTTGTTCAAAATTTGTTTTTTGAAAGTAGAGATTGAGGTTCTTGTAGTGGCGTTAGAAGAAATCGATCGAGAATCCATAGAAAGTGACATCATCGAATAAGAATCACCGCCATAACCATTGGATTGACCATTACGGTATGCTGCATGGAGATCCAAATTCGAGGCTGATTTAAGATGGTTAGAACTTGGTTGTTGATTCGCCCGAAGTGAAGAATTAAGATTGTTAGTGGACATCGACTTTTTGTACTTGAAAAATGATTTCAATGAGCTACTTTTTTTCGCTGGCTGGAGCGCCGATGATGAATGCGTATTGTTGTTGTTGGCGGTACTGGTATTAGAAGAAGCGGTGTAAGTAGTGAAAAGCGATGCCAGGGAAGGTTTCCGAGATGGGAGTCTTGAAAACCTTTTTGATTTGGTTGGAGTGTCGTTAACTGACAAGTTAGCGTTGGTATTCTTATTCTTTGGCGTAGTGTTGTTACTGCTATTGTCAATGGTGGTGGCGCTTGGGGTATTTTGATTTTGGGTTGGGATATAATTTTTTGGCACGTCCCCAAACAATTGTTTTTGCTGTTGCTGAATTGTTTGTAAAGCTTCAGGAACTTGTAGCTTCGAGTCACTAATGTTGGAGTTATCAGTTATGAGAACGGGATCCGAAATAGAAGTTTGGGTTGGTTTGTTGCCAAAACCGAAAAATGACCTTCTATTTATTTTAGCAGAAGATTTTGTAGGAGAAGTAGTAGTAGTAGTACTAGGAGCAGTCGCAATCTTAGGAATAGTTGGCTGAAGATTAGATTTTTGGATAACAGCCACTGGTGGTGCTGACGAGGGTTTTTTCGCTTCTTCTTCATCATCTTCTTCTTTGTAAACGGTTGCTGGAGGTTTTCTTTTCCATTTTTGATCAGCAACTTTACCGAAATCTTCGGTGAATTCTGAGGCCGAGGATTGTTGCCGCTGGTGATTTTTAGCAGCAGTTACCACCTCTTTGGCTGTGCTGTCATTCCTGCTAAGGGTTCCTATGGCATTAGTGGTAGTGGTGGTGGCGACTGCCGCGGCAACAGAAATTGATGCAGTAGACACGCCGATAAGCGAGCCAGATCTTTTAATTGACGAGTTGCTTAAAGTGAAGGATGGTTTAGAATCTTTGGTGGAAGGAGGTGTTGATTTATTATTTTGTTGAGGATCTTTAGATGATTTATCATGATTATTTTCACTAGTGGTAGATGACGATTCTTTTATTGTGTTATCAACTGAGTGTTGATGATCCTCTTCATTCGCGGTTTTGAAAGACAATTGATCTGCTGATACGATGCTGGTTGTTTTATGATGGGATGTAAATGAGCTATTACTGGTGATTTTCAAAAGCGCTGGATCATTTGATTTCTCGTTGGATAATGAACAAGTGGAAGAGGAGAAAGACCCGGACGGTGGTGATCTGGGATGGTTTTTTAGCTGGTCTCTGATGCCTTTTGCGAAAGATTGGCTGGTATCAAACAAGATCTCGTCGGAAGATGGCTGATCAGACGATGACGGATGATGGTGTTCTTGTAAAGGGGTGGCTGCGGATACTGAAGTCATTGTGAGAGAAAGAAGAACAAGGACACAGAAGAATGCTGATGATGGGAGGGGAGGGGAATGATAGTACTAGTACTGTTAACGGGACAACACAACACACAGAGAAGCAAACTTATGACATATATATGTGTATAGGACAGCGAATGGGCCTCAAGGAACAGGGGGTAGGAGGAACGTGCTAGTAGTGAGTACTAGCAGCAGGAGGCAGCGGTGGTAGTGGTTGTTGTGGAGTGTGTGTTATATCCGCATATACAATAGTATATATATAACAATATATATATAATAACAATAATAACAACGATAAGTTGTGTGTTGTTCTTTAAAAAATCGCTGGAAAGTTTTTCGAAATTTCTTTTTTTTTCTTCCTTTTTTTGTGCCTTTTTGTGGGTGTTTTTGCGGGAGTCTCGTGGCTTATCACCCCCTTTCGGCGGTCTTTTTACGCGGTATATGTGCTGGTACTACTATGGAAGGTGTGCTCTACAATATATATAATATAGATGCTATATATCACACAAGATAACACAACGTATGGCATATAAAACACCCGGAGAAATGACAACAGCCAGTTCTCTCCGCCTCTTTTTGTTTTTTTAGTCAGTGTCCACGTGACAGGTGAGAAAATTACGCCAAAAAAATTTTTTTTTTTTCCTCTTCGCCTTTGATAAGTGAAAAATTCATATCGTATATATATACTGTACTATACTATACTATACTATACTATACTATAATATAATATATATATAATGGGAAAAAGAAATAATAGAGGAGGAAAGAAGTCCTTCGGTAAAAGAGGAGCCTCCAACTGGGTCGAAGTGGCCAAGGAAAACGAAAAGTGGGAATCGTACTACAAAACCCAAGGGTTGATCAACGACGATGAATGGGACAGTTTCAAATCTTACTGCCAAAAACAACTCCCATTGACCTTCAGAATCACCGGTTCTAGAAGCCATCAAAATGAAATCAAACAAATGTTCAAAGAAAAGCACGTGCCAATCTTGTCCAACGTCGATGAAAAATCTCTCAATATTACCACCGAAGAATTGGCATCTCTTGAACCTCCTAAGCCAATGAAATGGTATCCTAACGAATTAGCATGGCAATTGAATATTCCAAAAGGGGTGATGAAGAAAAACGAAGCGTTCCAAAAGACCCAACGTTTTCTTGTTGTCGAAACTGAAGTCGGTAACATTTCTCGTCAAGAAGCAGTGTCGATGATTCCTCCATTACTTCTTGATGTCCAACCTCACCATTACGTTTTGGATATGTGTGCGGCTCCTGGTTCCAAGACCGCACAACTTGTGGAAAAACTTCACGAAAACTGTGAAGATTCCATCCCTACCGGGTTTGTCGTCGCCAACGACTCAGATTACAGAAGATCCCACATGTTGGTCCATCAAGTCAAACGTCTTAACTCCCCAAATTTCGTGGTGATCAACCACGATGGCCAAATGTTACCAAAGTTCAGATTACAGCCAGACGGGCCATACGTCAAATTTGACCGTATCTTGTGTGACGTCCCATGTACCGGGGATGCCACCATGCGTAAGAACATTAATGTTTGGAGAGACTGGACCATTGGGAATGCTTTAGGGTTGCACACTTTGCAATTGAACATCTTGACCAGAGGGATCCAATACTTGAAACCTGGCGGACGTTTGGTGTACTCTACTTGCTCTCTTAACCCGGTGGAAAACGAAGCCGTCATCACCGCCGCGTTGAAAAAATTCGAAGGTAAAATCAGATTGGTCAATGTTTCTAACGAATTGCCAGGATTGGTCAGAAGAGACGGGGTTAGTTCTTGGAAAGTGTTGAACAAAAAAGGTGAAGAACTTGCTAACGTTGAAGAATTAGAGAAGAAACAAGCCGAAAACCCTGTTGATAACAAGGTCCCAACTACCGTGTTCCCACCATCCGCTGCTGAAGCTGAAGATCTTCATTTGGAATATGCGGTCAGAGTTTATCCTCATTTGCAAAACACCGGGGGTTTCTTCATTGCGGTTTTGGAAAAAGTGGTTGATGAACCTGAAGCCAAGCCAGTTGACACTAAAAAGAGAACTATTGAAGAAGCTGCTGACTCTACCACTACCACTACCGAAGCCGTTGCTGAAGAAGAACCAAACAAGAAGCAAAAAGTCCAAGAAGAAGAAGTCAAGGTCACTCCGGTGCCAACCATGTCAGAAAAGCAACAAAAGCATCGTTTACCAAGAGACGCCAATGAAGAACCATTTATTTTCATCCCTGAATCCAACCCGATCCTCAAGAAGTGTTGGTCTTTCTATTCTGTGAGCGATGATTTCCCAAAACACTCTTGTTTGGTGCGTAATGCCACTGGGGAACCAATCAGATCGATCTACTTTGTCGCCCCAGTGATCAAGCAAATCTTGACTGTCAACGAAAGTAGACTCAAGTTCATTCATAGTGGGATCAAATTGTTTGTCTCTCAAAAATCCACCCGTTCTACTGAAGCCCTCTGGAGATTACAAAGTGAGTCTCTCGTGGTGTTGAAGCCATTCTTGGGTAATGCCCGGATGATCGAACTCAAAGAATTGGAAGTCCTCAAGAGTTTGCTCATGGAAACTTTCCCAAGTATGACTGCAATGAAGGAATTGAGTCAAAGCTTTTATGATCAAATGTCCCAAGTGGATGAAGAAGGTTGTTGTTTCTTGAATGTCTTGAGACCAGATGGCGAAGATATCTTTTTGCCAGTGTGGAAGGGTAAAACTAATATCAACTTGATGTTGAACAAGCACGATACTTTCGAATTGTTGTACCGTATCTTTGGTATTGAAACTGATAAGAATACTACTTATAAGCAAGATGCTAGTGGTCATAACTCGAGAATTGTCGTGGGTAAATCGGAAGAATCTAAGGAATCAGAACCTCAAGCTGATGCTGCTAAAGAACCAGAAACTAAGGAAGCAGAATCCAAGGAACCTGAATCTTCCAATAACGAAGCCTGATTAATAACCCTTATCGTACTTTTTTCTTTCAACCTTTTTTGTACCTATTTATACTTTTTTTTTTTGTCATTTTGTTTTGTCTTCCTCTTCTAAAAAGCAATATGGTTCCTATAATTAGAAACACATCACATCTCTTTCCATTATCATGGCTCAAGGTTGATTGTATAATAGTTTATTAGAATATAAGTGATTTTTATAGGTCGTTTGTTAACATAAAATGAAAAAAAAATGTCTGCAACATGTAAAGCAACTAAATCCAGGAGACAAATAATTATAGATAATGGAGGAGTTCTTTATTTTTCTAGAAAAATATTAATTTATTTTGATATATTTATGAGAATATATAATTCAATAAACTTTTTTTTTTGCTTTTTTGTTTTGAATATTTTGAGCATCCTCAAGACCTCGAAAACATGCATCAAAAAAAACCCACAATACATAACATTATATAAGACAAAATATCATTAACAAAACTAATCAACTGTCTTTACTTCTTATAATATCAATCTAAAAAATAACGTTGGCTAAAAAAAAAAAAAAAAAGGAAAATGGAATTTCATTTCATTTTAAGATAAAAAGAGAAAAAGTGATAAAAAAATGGGCCCATTCCAACATCACTCTGGTCTTGCAAATTTCCAGTGTAGCTACCAGTACTGCTTTGCTATCTGAGCATTTCAATATAATATTTTTTGTTGAATCTTCTACTGTATCAACAAATCGTCACTACCAGATCCTCCTGTCGTTGCTGAACATCGACCTCTTTCACCAACATGTTTTCCATCGCATGTCGTAAATTCTCCACCCCAAGTTTCTCGCTATTCTCTTCTGTTTCTTCACTGCTATCTTCAAATACCCCCAGATCATTTTGCATCAGTCCTGAGAATACCGGTAGCCCAGTGCCTCGACCAAATTGGAAAACGTCAACCGTGAAACCCCGGGCGAATACCTCATAGTTCTTTCTGAAAAGATTAGGATCATCATTGGTAAGATTATTAACCTCCTCACTAATTGGCGGAGGAGTGGCCGCCGGGCCAGGAGATGGAGTGCCTCGTTTCAGTGACCCACGGCGGGATATTGGTTTCTTTTTACCACTGACAGGGGTGTCAATCGGAGTTTTTGTCGTCGTCACTGGTTTGCATCCCTTATAAACTCCTGTAGAATCAAGGGGTTCCATAGTGATGTATAAGTCTTCTTCATGCCGGAAACTACCTCTTGCCTTCCATTGTTTGAAGTTGTAGGTGCCAAATTGTACTGCCCGGCTTTGGTAAAGTGGACTAGTGCTGGCCAATAAATCACTTGTTTCAAGTTCAATTCGACTAAGCGGATCTTGGGCATGGAAGAATTTCAGCGAGTCCTCGAAAGCATGTGATTGGATATCGATCAACAGTTTATGGGATTTTATCTCCTCGACCGTACTAGAAGACAAGTATTCTGGTAATAACGATATTGGTTTAGTTGGAATACTGTATTTCCAAGCCACGCTCCCATCATTTGGAGAAACCACCACTAGGGTGCCCAATGTTTGATCAATTGACAAAATACAACTTGCGACAAGTGATTCATGCAACGGTCTAGGAATCACCGTGGTCGCTAATTGGGCTAACTTTGGACCCAAACTGAGTTTTGAGGCCTTAAGCCCTGATAATATCCAATATGAATTTACATAATTAGCAAACCAATGTAACGACCCCGAAGTTCGTGTAATAATCCCAATGGCCGAGTCACCAGTGTTCCATAATATTTGATCTATTGACGATGGTGTTCTTCCTCGACTATGTTTTGCCACAAGGGAGATCTCGGTTGGCATGCGTGCCAAATCCCAAACATAAACACTGTCACCTCTGGCGTTTACGGTGGCCAAATGAGTGTCATAAGGTGAAAGTGACAAATTCGAAATACCATTAGTGCCCCCTGGAGGCGAGAACACCGCTACTGGTTGTTCAGTATTAAGATCTAAAATCACAATAAACTGGGAGCTCGCAAGGTCTCTTTTTAGCAGACGATTACCGGAATTTATAAAATTGAGCACCGATTCTTTGACATTTTTCGAATTTTCTGGAAACTCGTCCGCCGCAGTTTGTCCTAGATACGATTTGACTTTATTAGCCCCAAGTTCCGAGAGTTTAAGTGCCCCATCAATGGCTGTTGAACTAAGCGATTTTAGTAATCTATCAAGTAAAGGACCGGAAACAGGCAATTTCAACGGAGTAACATCAAGTTCTAAGTCTTCTTCTTTCAGCTCATAAACATCAGGTCCTTTTTTTTTAACTTTCTTCTTTTTCTGCAATTTCTTAAAACTCGAGACAATTTCTTTGGTGTTACTTGGCACGTATGCTAACCACCTCCCACTAACGTCGACCAACGGTTTGCCATCAAAAACCTTGCATTGGATGTTCATATTCCCCATGATTTGGTTATTTTTCTTGTTGAAGATTGACACGCATCCTTCATTACTCCCAATGATGAAGAACTCTGTAGTGTTTTTGAAAGTATAAGGAAACCCTCCAAGCGAAGATGGCGGCAACACAAGCGGTTCTTCTATTAAAGGTCCTTGGCCCATCGAATGGAGTTGGAAATAGTGATCCCCATGCTGTTTAATACAAATCACTACCACGTAGTATCCATAAGCCCGATAACAATTCAATGGTTTGACACTGGCAATCTGGAAATCATGATTACTATCACCACCATTACCAAAATTGGCATGACTGGAATTAACATTTAATGACGCCACGCTAGGAGTAGGGGACTTAGTAACTTTTGGAGAGATTCTTTTACTGGCGACAAGAAATAGCGTGCCACCCGCCTTGTCAATATTGGGATTCAGACTATCAGCAGGAGACGGAACCCAATCCCAGACTTCAATTGTGTGTTTATAAGCTATAAACAATTCTCCATTGGATCCGAATTCAATAATACGTTCCTGAGAGTCAGTTGAGGATACCAATGAAGATGTATTTGAGGATTGAGGGTGGATAGAGATCGAAGACACGGTTGTCTTCATCTTCTTCCAAGCCAGGGCAGGCGTACCCTTACGCGGTGAGGCTGGGCTAGATTCCGAATAGTTAGCAATGGAAAAAAGAAAAAACAGTGTTATTGATTGACATACGATTTGAGGATGCGTGTAGGGTCGTTACCAGAAGGCATTGGAAGGGTGTAATTGGATGATCTGGTGTGTGTGTTTGATGCGAAGAGACCCCAACTGATAACAAAACGGCGCGATGAGATGAGCACCAACGTGTCGGGGGAGAAAACCATATTTTGTAGGGTAAGTGCTGAGAACTACGCATGGATACATATTTACTAACGTGTAGAGTGCAATGAAATGATCGATACAGTCTTTGTTAGATTCAATAGTAAACGATAGTAATAAGTTAAAAAATAAGTCCTTTTTCTTTTAAATATCAAGTAAGATATTAATTGTTGGAAATAAAAATTTTATTTAGATACGTAAATAAATTCCTCTCTCAACTAACAAAAAACAAAAAAAAAAAAAGACTGCTTTCTAGCTTGAATATAAATGAATCGACTACATCAGATTAAAACTATTAATAATGTTGATGTGCACCATGATGCTTCTGATATAAATAGCAATGCAAATACAGTGGGGAAAAAAGAGGGTATAAACACACCAAGAGATGGTCGCCTCTAGACTGTCAAGAATACTTGATGCGCCCTGCTTATTGAGCAAAAGAGTATAAACGAAAGTTTTGAAAACCTTCATAATGATTATATCAGCATTAGTTTAGAATGAAATTTCAAGATAAATATAAATCAAATAAACTAATAAAAACTGTGACATAGAAAATATTAAATGTAGAAAAATTAACTAGCTTTGGAGTTTCCATTATTCTGATGCACGGTCGCTCTCATCTATGAAGTCATCCTCCATGTCAGGTTTTAGGGACAACTCTTCCATAATAAACCCAGGCCCACTTGCCACATATAAGTCTTCACTTTCTGCATCCTTTAAAAGATCATTTCCTTTTAGGCAAATTTTAAAAAATCCAAATTGATAAATATCAGGTTTATTGATCTGCTCATCAGGTTTGTGATGTTTATTTTGGATTTGGATAGCAGAATACGAAAGTAGCTCATTATTGAAATGAGTTGTCATCTTTTTCTTAACTTCTTTATAGGGCATGTACATATTGAGATTTATGCTGACCATATTAGGATCAAAAACCTTGATAACATAGACTTTTTCGGGATCATTTGGAACTTGGATACCTGCTTCTCGTATTTCTTGAGCACTTAGTTTCAATACTTGAGAATTCTTAGCAAACCCTGTCTGGATTTTTCTCGCAGCATCATTTTCATTAGAATTGATTTTTGATGGAAAACAATTGAAGAGTTTCACTTTCAATAGATTTTTTAAGCGACATTTTAGTAATGCTTTTTTTGGCAAGCTTGCCAGTTTTCGTGACACAGAACTTCCTAAACTTCTCAATTTCTTTTGGCTTGAAAAAAGATATGATATAATCTTTGTGCATCATGATGGAGTTATCAATATACTTTTGAGTTTTCTTTTCATCATGTTGGGGTTTGTAGAGCTCCCTGTAAACTAGCGCAATGAATGCGCTGCATGATGACATTGGTCCTGTTGTTTGAAGCGAGCTGCGTGATTTGGTTTAACAATACTCCAATTTCAAATCGAAGACATGGTCCGTATTGTCAAAATCAGGTATTTTTAAAAAAAAAATAGGTGTAGCTATCCGTTAAAATACCAATTGGTGTGTTGGAGAGCAACATATAAGTGGTAACTTGCCTCAATATCGTCTTGGACGCTGCATTGTTCGGTTCCTTATCTTAATTTTTTCTTTTTCTTTGATTGTTCAGTGTAGACTCACCAAGGTCTTCAGCAGCTAAATTGTCCAAAAAAGAAACAACATTGCCAATGCTTGGGCGTTTAACCTCACCAACAAAAATGTTTTTTTCCATCGTATTGGAATATTGGGATGCCAGGATGTAACAGTAATCTCGCCTCTTTTCCCCATAGTGTGGCCAGTATAGTTATATAAGGCGCTTCATACAAATCTTCTGCCAAAATAAACGTCAAGATATCTTCACAGGGTTTAATGAAAAAGTCATAAACACTTGATAGAAATGTAGTTTCCTTCTCATTCCTTGATGGGTACCCTCTTGTTTTCTTGCCAAAAGAAGCAAACAAGCAAGTGGATAATTGTGAGTTAGTTTCGCTTGCTGGATCATCATTGATGGAATTTATCGCCTCATTGAAATTCGATTTAATATCTTCCTCATCCATTGCCGTAGCTTCAAGAATATTGATCTCTTTCCCAACATGAGAATAGAACCTGCTACTTGTGCTTCCTTTTGGATTGGCAGTTCCCGTTCTGATCCTGGTATCAGGAAAGTAATATGATGTAGGGAAATATCTGAGGATAGTACATCATAATTTTGATTTTGCCCAAGGATTTTTTCTATTGCGAATAGCTTCAACAAATCTCTTTGTTCTATCACCACCATAAGCGCCAATGATATCCTCTACTGTTGGTCCGTACTTGTCATCAATAACATCATCACCATTATCGGCACTAGCATCTTGTTGGTCACTCATTTTCAAGTTTATGAAATGCTTTGTCAAGATAAAATAAAAAAGAAGAAAGAGTAATTACCGCTTCATATTCAGCAACAAATGTGTCAAAATTGAGAAGGAAATAAATTGTGTATATCATTTGGCCCAGTTATTAGAATATACCATGACGGAAGTATCTAAGCTACGCCTTCAAGCAATCCTATGTATGGTAATGATACTGGATTACTCCGACTTTGCTGGATTGCTGGTCAGAGACTGTAATTAGTTAGTACTGGTAAAAGTCCTACAAGCAAGTCAGGAAACTGGGGCAATAGTCAGCAACATATTGTTAGGAGCTTTCTGTGAAAGGTTTTTTTTTTTTTTTTTTCGGTAGGGACCACAACTATAGTTTTGCTGTGGACCTAATCATTGACCAATGGATAGGTTAGCGTTACAATAGTTGTTGACGAACGACGTTCCTATTGCACTGCAAACTGCACATCATACTATGCCTAAATCTGAGCCAATTATCTTTACCACTAGGTAGAGTCCTCGACTTTCCTTATGATACTCTGTGTCGGGATAAGGAATGTTAAGGGGCTTCTACTTATCGAGTTCAAACAAGAACAACTCGTAATTGATGATCAATCTAATCCTTGTGCTGATGCATCCACTGAAGGACGAAAATCAGGAACTGTTCCCTCAAGTAAAGCCGTTTCCACATGATTGCTAAATCCTGTAATTAATTTAGTGAGTTCAGCTACCAATACCAATGACCTGATTATTACTGATAGCCTCAGATTATCATAATGGAAGCAAAGCACCCGACAGTAGTAAACTGTGCCTCCTAAAATAGGAGGCCCGAGGCTTCCATCGAACTATATAAGAGGACTCTGGCCCACTACAAGTACGTAGTAATAAGCTTAAAGTATAAATATAAAGCATTCATTTTCAATACCAGGACTCGCTTGTAGCTATTGCGGTGTCTTTGCAAATATAAGTTGTGTCTCATGTTTAATCGACCGATTGGGGGTCTTATATTATAATCCAACCTAGTGAAGGCTGTATCGAATAAAAAAAAAATGAAATAAATTGTTAAAGTAAGCATAAATGCTGTAATAAAATAATAAAAAAACAAAGTGTAAAAGTTACGAAGTTTATAAGAGCCAAGTTTAACAAAAGGGTGTTGGGTATATAAGATAATATTACATTATATCATCACGTGTAGATGCACACGGGAGCCACCATCGTGGGAGATTGGGACTACCAAAATTTTCCAAATCACCACAACACTAACAATAAATTATATAGGACTATCTCGGTAAGTGTACTGTACCGTCACGATATTGTCTGGAATTAACCAAATCTATACAATATGTTCTCGGCGTTTGGTCCTCCTCCTGGAGGAGGTAATAGCAACAATGGATCTTTCAACGGGTCTCTCACTAATCCACCACCAGCCAATGATAATAATAATAATAATAATAATAATAATAATAATGATAATTCAACCTCGGTCACCGAAGTATCCAATGAACCAAAAGGGACACTCAGAAAACTATTTGATGAAGCAGTGACTGCTAACCCTTACTTTGCTGCCGGTGGGGGGCTCATGTTGCTTGGGACCGGGCTTGCACTTATTAGGCTGGGGACCGTCAAGGCGTCGCTGTTTGTTTACCGTCAGTTGCTTGTGGATTTAGAAATCCCTCTGAAGGATAAGCTGTACCTCTGGTTTCTTGAATGGATGTCCAAGTACAAGCAACGTCTGTCGCGTCATTTGAGTGTCGAGACCAACTATGTCCAACACGATAATGGCTCGATCACCACGAATTTCAGCCTCGTGCCTGGTCCCGGCAACCATTTCATCAAGTATAAAGGGGCGTACATGTTTGTGAAAAGAGAAAGATCGGGGAAATTGATCGACATGACCAGCGGTACCCCGTTCGAAACCGTCACTTTGACCACGTTGTACCGTGATCGTAACTTGTTTTATGAAATGTTGAACGAAGCGAAAACTTTGGCCCTAAAGAGTCAAGAGGGGAAAACCGTGATTTACACCTCATGGGGGCCGGAATGGAGACCGTTCGGGAAACCTAGACGCAAAAGATTACTCGAGAGTGTGATTCTTGATAATGGAATCAAACAAGGGATCGTTGATGATGTCATGGATTTCTTGAAAAGTGGTCAATGGTATTTCCAGCGGGGGATTCCGTATCGTCGTGGGTACTTACTCTATGGTCCTCCAGGTAGTGGGAAAACCAGTTTCATTCAAGCCCTTGCCGGGTCTTTAGATTACAATATTTGTATTTTGAATCTTAGTGAAGCGAACTTGACCGATGATAGACTCAACCATTTGATCAACAATATTCCTCAAAGATCGATATTGTTACTCGAGGATATTGATGCGGCGTTCACCAAAAGACAACAGAATAAAGACCAAGGGGCGATGGGGATCACTTTTAGTGGGTTGCTTAATGCCATTGATGGGGTGGCTTCGGCAGAAGAAATGATCACGTTTATGACCACCAACCATCCAGAGAAGTTGGATCCGGCAATCTTGAGACCAGGAAGAGTCGATTACAAAGTGTTGATTGATAATGCTTCGGAATGGCAGATGTCGCAGATGTTTATGAGATTCTACGGTGAAGCGGAAAATGCCGACAAATTGAGGAACGAGTTCTTGGAAAAAGTCAGGGAGTTGAGAATCAAGGTGAGCACGGCACAGTTACAAGGGTTGTTTGTACATAATAAGATGGATCCCCATGGGGCAATTAGAATGGTTCTGAGTCTCAATAACACCATTCAAGAGTTTTAGAGATTGTATTAGAATGAATGACCTGGTGGATGTTTTAGTATAGATTGTAAATAAATGATATGTATGAGGTTTACTAGAGTTTTTTTTTCTTATTATTAAAGTATTCCAGCCATATTTGTAGATGATTATCTATGACTATATATAGTAACTATAGTTAGATGAATGAATGAATAACGGCGCAGTTTATGGGCATACAAATACCGGGTAACCGATGATGATTATGAAACCAAAAAAAGTCGAAGGTGAGTGTGTGAGAGTGTGTGTGCGATCGATCCCAGGGACACCCAACACATTATTATAATAAAGGCATTGTTCTCTTCTGCAACCTTCAATTTATATTAGACTATTCACAACCTATTCACCATGTCATGGCAAGGTATGTTCTATTCACATTGGCAAAAGCAGATTGACAAAAAGTATTGCAATTCTTGTCGTTGTCGTTTATGGTTTTTGGGGATTTTGACATTTGGCAAGTTGTAGGAATTGGGATCATCCTCAACCTCCCCCGCCTCCCCTTCTCCTCCATTGGGCCTGGTGGCTGATCGGTGTTATTTTACAGGAGTATTACTGTGGATGCTTTAGAAGCAAATATAATGTGCCAAATAATTATCAACACTGATGATATATTATGTGTATTGATGATTTGAAGTCCTTTGGCGAGTCATAAGCTGATGATGGCAAATTCAATTTCCTTTTTTTTTTTTTTTTCTATTCATTTCAACATCCCATTCAATCACTAACCATTGTCAATTTCTAGCATACACTGATAACTTGATCGCCACCTCTTTTGTCGACAAGGCCGCTATCTATTCGGCTGCTGGTGATTCAGTCTGGGCCGAATCCAACGCCCTTGGTCTTTACTCGACCGAAATCCAAGAAATCGCCAAAGGTTTCCAAAGCCCAGAAATCTTGCAATCTAAAGGTCTCCATGTCAAGGGTGAAAAGTACTTTTTGATCAAAGCCGACGAACGTAGTATTTACGGTAGACAAGAAAAGAGCGGTTTGATTTGTGTCAAGACCAAGCAAGCCATTTTGGTTGGCCATTACCCAGAAGGGGTCCAACCAGGTGATGCTACCAAGGTGGTTGAGCAATTGGCCGATTACTTGATCAGTGTCAACTACTAAATGGATAATTAAAAAAAAAAAAAAGAATACATATGATTTGGGAAACACTAATTTTGATTGGATTGTCAGTCATGCCATTGATGAGGAAATGATGGCATTATATCGTTTTTTTTTTTGCTCCTATTTTCTTTCTTTTTTTTTCTTCTTTTTTTTTTAATTGTTTCTTGGATGATCCAAAGGAATATAGAATGGAACTTGGACCTCAAAATAGTCAAGCTTTCCTTTTTTTTTTTTTTGATTTTGTGTTTGAAATTTGCATGGAGTTATTCATCTGCTCTAGTACTACTGTTGATCTTTTTTTACTGGTTTTCTCAAAGCTTTTTTTTTTTTTAATTTTTTTTTATCCATTTTCTTATAATTTGTTTTATTTGAATAAATAAATGCCTATATATATTTGTTTGCTCGTTATTGCTGAAGAATCTTTTGATGAGATATATATATATATATTGGCTCATATATTATCTTTTTTTTTTCAATATTTACCAATTGTATTTGCAGACTAATTTGCATTTGATTTGTCACTGAATGGTTTCCAGAGGAATGCCATTACAATCACAATTGGTGATCAGAACACCGGTGTTATGTTAGTGATAATAATAATGATGATAATGATAATAATAATAATAATAATAATAATAATAATAATAATAATAATAATAATAATAATAATAATAATAATGATAATAATAATAATAATAATAATAATAATAATAATAATAATAATAATAATAATAATAATAATAATGATATAATAATAATACTAATAATAATAATAATAATAATAATAATAATATAATATATGTAATATATAATATATATATAATATTGAGGTAGTATTTTTCCTTTTTTTTTTTTGTGGGATTTTTTTTTTCCACTTGTAATAAAAGAAGAGAAGAGAACCCAAACAGATGGATTGACGACTGAATAAAGAGGGTTTTATCACCGTTATTAATCACCAATTTTCAACAAAATACCTAGTCTAGCTAGACCATGGCTTATCGTCGTACAGTGGAGAACGATACACAGCGTATGTGTTTGTGTTTGTGTTGGACAGTGGGAGTAGACTAAGTGAGGGAGGAGACCTCCAACTAACAAAAAAACAAGTTTTCCAAGAAAGAGCATACATCATTCCAAAAGTGGTGGATAGTTATCTTGGGTTCGTGGGCAAGATCAACGACCTCACGTCGCTTCTTGTGCGAGTCAATTTCGATCTTTCCAACCAGCCAGCCCTGGTGCAGGAACAATATCAGATAGAGAAACTTCTGGGCCTCAAAACAAAGCTAATCAAACAATACCTACTTTTAAGAGAGTATGTCATCAGTAATACCCAGCATTTGAAGAGCCTTATTTTACAATATAAAGAAATCGAAGCGGAGATCGCAAAAATGGCGTCGCTCAAAAAGAAAGACCGTGCTTTGGAAGCAGAAAAGCAAAAGATCAAAGACTCGCTAGATAAGATCTCTGCTAACCGGGCAATGACCCAAAATATTGAGCGGGCGTTGAGATCGATGCGCGACGCCAAGGACAAATCGTTTTCTAAAACCGAACTTATAGAATTATTCGATGGCGATGAAGCCAAAGTCGACGAGATTCTTTTGAAATTGAAATCGCGTCAATACTACGATAAGCTTCGTAGTAGAGGAGCCAACGACGTTGAGAAGTACTCTTTCAAAGTGAAGCTCGACTATTCTTTGGAATTTCTACTCAAGATGAATGGGGTCCTTGAAGGACAGATCGAAGTGGCAAAGAGCTCTGTGGTCAGCAATAGAAACGCCTGGGAAGAGTTGAGTAATAAGATCAATTCTTTGAGTGAGAAGTTGATGGAATTGGCGTAATCGCTGCTGCTGTTTTCCCGGGTGTGATGTGGTGAATAACTTACTTTGGCTGCTTTTTTTTTTTTTTTTTTTTTTTTTTTATTTTTTATTTTTTATTTTTTTATTTCTTTGCTTCCTTAAGTTTATAAGTTAACTAGATTGGATATTCTATCAACAATAAAATAAAGCGGTTGCAGTACTGTTTTATATATATATATATATATATGCTGTGACATAATAAATCACTAGATGTAATTTGAATACATTTATTGTTGAATTATCTATTGTAATCGGTGCTTATCACTACTTTGTGGTGCCAAAAAAAAATAAAAACGTCACTTTCCCCCGGGCCCGGGGTAAATAAACCCTTCTTTGGAGCCCCCCCATCTTGATATGATATGATCTACTACTATAAATACTAGACGGATTCTCCCTAAAGGTAAGTGTATACCGAAAAATATGGGTTGTTGTTGTTGTTGTTGTTTTTTTTCTTTCCTCCAAGGGACTCTGTTTCTTTGAAAGGTGTTTTGAAATAAATAAATAATTAAATAAATCAGACTTGATATAGACAATTAGCCAGTGTGGTCTGGTCTGCAGTTGCGAACAATAATCATTTTCTTACAATGTCCAAAGTTTTAAAGGTTGCCATTAATGGGTTTGGTCGTATTGGCCGTTTGGTGTTGCGGATTCTTCTTGATAAGATTGAAAACGATCCGGCATTTGCTAATGTGTCAATTGTCGCGCTCAACAACCCCGCCATGGAGCCAGGGTACGCTGCTTACAAGTTCAAGTACGATTCCAAGCACGGCCGTTTCCAAGGAGACGTCAAACATGACGAGGACTCGCTTATCATCAACGACAAGTACGTGATCAAGATTTACCACGAGCGGGATCCTGCCGCTTTGCCATGGTCCAAGCACCACATCGACTACGTGGTGGAATCCACGGGGATTTTCACCAATGCTGCGGGATGCCAAAAGCATATCGATGCTGGGGCCAAGAAGGTGATTATCACTGCGCCTTCCAAGGACACTCCGGTGTATGTCATGGGGGTGAATGAGGACAAATACACCGCTGACCAACAAATCATCTCGAACGCGTCGTGCACCACCAACTGTCTTGCTCCATTGATCAAAATCATTCATGAATCGTTTGGGGTGGAAGAGGCGCTTATGACGACGATCCATTCGATGACCGCGTCGCAAAAGACGGTCGATGGCACTTCCAGAAAAGACTGGAGAGGCGGGAGAGCTGCCAGTGATAATATCATTCCTTCGTCGACCGGGGCAGCCAAGATGGTGGGGTTGGTGATTCCTGAGTTGAATGGCAAGTTGTCCGGGATGTCCATGAGGGTTCCTACCACCGATGTCTCGATTGTCGATGTGACCATCAAGTTGGCCCGGCCGGTGGGGTCGTTGACGGAGATCAACTCGGTGGTGCAGGCCCATGCTCAGGGGAAATTGCGAGGGATTGTCGGATACACCGAGGAGGCGGTGGTGAGTTGTGATTATGTCAGTGATACCCATTCGTGTGTGTACGATGCCAAAGCCGGGATTTGGTTGAGTGAGAAGTTTGTGAAGTTGTTTGGGTGGTACGACAACGAGTATGGGTACAGTGCGAGGGTGGTTGATTTGTTGATCCATGCGATTACGGTGGATGGGATGGAGGAATGAATGAATCAATGAATGAATGTCAAGGAGTATATATACCAATATAATAATAATAATAATAATAATAATAATAATAATAATAACACACACACATACATACACACACACACACATATCATATTACCATAAATATATATATATATATATAAATAACCTCCCCCCCTACTCACCACCATCAGTAGCATTATTATCATCATCATTAAATACCTCCTCCTCCTCCTCCTCCTCCCATGATATCCGGGCGCACGTTGAGCCCCGGCCCAATGCCCAACTGGCGATTTTGTCCGTAACGGCGCCGACGTTTTTTTTGATCTGTGCAACGAAAGAGAAAAAAAATACTCCAGTAAGAAAGGTAAAAAACACCCACCACCTATTACTGAAGAGAAGAAAAAAAAAAGAAAAATAAATGATTTCTCTCCCATCCTCTTCTGTGTGATATATATACTCTTCCATTCAAACACTCCCAACCATGTTGTCCTCCAGATTGTTGAACGCCTCCCGTCTTGCTGCTCGCAGATCCTACGCTACCCAAGTTGCCAAGTTCAACGGCCAAAAGAATGCTAACGGTACCTACACCGTCTCGTTCATCGAAGGTGATGGTATCGGGGTCGAAATCTCCCAAGCCGTTAAGGACATCTACAAAGCCGCCAACGTCCCAATCGAATGGGAATCCTGTGACGTGACCCCATTGTTGATCAATGGTAGAACCACCATCCCACAACCGGCCGTCGACTCGATCAACAAGAACTTGGTCGCCCTTAAAGGTCCTCTCGCTACCCCAATCGGTAAGGGTCACCAATCCCTTAACTTGACCTTGAGAAGAACTTTCAACTTATTTGCCAACTTGAGACCAGCCAAGTCCATCGTTGGTTTCAAGACCCCATACGATGACGTCGACAGTGTTTTGATTAGAGAAAACACCGAAGGTGAATACTCTGGTATCGAACACACCATTGTCCCAGGGGTTGTCCAATCGATCAAGTTGATCACCAAGCCAGCTTCCGAAAGAGTCATCAAGTTTGCCTTTGAGTACGCCAGATCCGTCAACAGACCAGAAGTTGTCGTTGTCCACAAGGCCTCGATCATGAAGCTTTCCGATGGTTTGTTTGTCGAAACCGCCAAAGAAGTCGCCAAGAGCTTCCCAGACATCAAGTTGGGCTTTGAATTGTTGGACAACACCTCTTTGAAGATGGTTTCCGACCCAACCAAGTACTCCAACCTCGTCATGGTCATGCCAAACTTGTACGGTGATATCATGTCCGACTTGGCCTCTGGTTTGATTGGTGGTTTGGGTTTGACCCCATCCGGTAACATGGGTGACAAGGTTTCTATCTTTGAAGCCGTCCATGGTTCTGCCCCAGATATCGCTGGTAAGAACATGGCCAACCCAACCGCTTTGTTGTTGAGTTCTTGTATGATGTTGAGACACATGAGCTTGGACACTTATGCCGACAAGATCGAAACCGCTGTGTTGAAGACCATTGCCTCTGGTCCAGAATCCAGAACTAAGGATTTGAAGGGTGATGCCACCACTTCTCACTACACCGAACAAGTCATCAAGAACTTGTAAAATTTGAAGTAAATATTCTAAACTTTTTTTTTTTTTGAAGAGATAACAATCAAACCTTTTATTATCATTATTATTATTATTATTATTATTATTATTAATAGTCCCTAATTATATTTTTTTTTTTTTTCATTCACTCCTCTGGAATCAATGTGCAAGTATTTACCTGTGATATGAATGATGATGGGTATGTAGTTGATATGTTGTATGGAGGGATTTCCTTCAAATAAATTATAGAGAAGAAGAAGAAGAAGAAGAAGAAGAAGAAGAAGAAGAAGCAAAATGTTCCAAAAGTATGGAATCGCCAATAATGATTACCCTCTGCTTATGTAATAATGGTGCCTCCCCCGCGGAGCTCATTCAACAAAGAACCAATCCAAGTTATGTTTTTTTAAACAAGTTACATCCAACTATTATATCACCAGCTAATATTATATCCACACCCTTCCATCTCCCATATCATCGAAGATCATATAGAAGAGGTTAGTTATATTATTGCTGCCTCCCTCTCCCCCGGTTGCAGTTGCTGTGTGCGGGACGAATTTTTCTGAGATTTTTTTTTTTTCTTTTTTCGTTTTTCCGTGGAGAAATTTATGAATCATCTTTGCAATCATTGTTCTTCTTTCCTTCTTTCCTTCTTTCCTTCTTTCCTTCTTTCCTTCTCTCCTTCTTTCTCCTACCAAATCAACAATTCATTCTTGATTATTCCAACAATGTCCGTCTTCAAAAAGATCAACAAACTTCCTCCTGACTCCCTCTTCGGTCTCAAGGCCCGTATGTCTGCCGACACCCGTAAATTCAAAGTCGATTTGGGGATCGGTGCCTACAGAGACAACTCTGGTAAACCTTGGATTTTGCCATCGATCAAGAGCGCCGAAAAGAAACTCCAAGAAGACCCAACTTTCAACCACGAATACTTGCCAATTGCCGGTAACCCCAAGTTCGTTGACGCCGCATTGCAAGTTCTTGTCAGTGATGACGCAGTGTACCGTCAAATCAAGGACAGAACCGTTTCTGCCCAAACCCTTTCAGGTACTGGTGCTTTGCACTTTGCCGGGACTTTCTTGAGCCGCTTCATCAACAAGGCCCCAGAGGACAAAATCATTTATGTTTCCGACCCAACCTGGGCTAACCATAAACAAATCTTTGAATTGTTGGGATTCCAAGTCAAGACTTACCCATATTGGAACCCTCTGACCAAATCGCTCAACATTAACGAAATGTTGCAAACTATTAACAATGCTTCTTCAGGATCAATCTTCTTGTTGCACGCCGTCGCCCATAATCCAACCGGTTTAGACCCTACTAAAGAACAATGGAACTTGATTTTGGACGCCATCAAATCGAAACAACATTTCCCACTTTTTGACATTGCTTACCAAGGGTTTGCATCCGGGTCCTTGGTCGAGGATTCTTATTCTTTGAGATTGGGGATCCAAAAGTTGTCGAACTCTCCAATTATGATTTGTCAATCTTTTGCTAAGAACTTGGGGTTGTACGGTGAAAGAGTCGGGGCGGTTCACTTGATTTTGCCAGAAATCTTCTCTAAGCACCCTGCGGCCACTGCCGTCAAGACCAACGTTGCTCCAGATGCCGAAGAAGACCCAGAAGAGTTCAAAGAAGCCGTGGCGTCGCAATTCAAGAAGATCACCAGATCAGAACTTTCTAATCCTCCGGCCTACGGTTCGAAAGTCGCGGCTGAAGTGTTGACCGATCCTCAATTGCGCGCCCAATGGGAACAAGATCTTAAGACCATGAGTAGCAGAATCTACAGTATGAGAGTGGCTCTTAGAGACGCTTTGACCAACAAATACAAGACCCCAGGTAACTGGGACCACATTGTCAAGCAAATTGGGATGTTTTCCTTCACTGGTTTGAGCAAGCAAGAAGTCCAAAGATTGGAAGAAAAGCACGGGGTGTATTTGACTAGTACTGGTAGAGCCTCGGTTGCTGGGTTGAACGAAAACAACGTTGACTTTACTGCTCAAGCTATTGATGAAGTGGTCAGATATTCTCTTAACCAAAAGTTATAACTGGGGTTGGTTGAAATTTACTGATTTATTTGAGTAACTTGTTAAGTAATTTGATAATCTCTCTCTCTCTCCTCTCCCTATTCTTCATTTTTTTTTTTTTTTTTTTCGTTTTTTTGCTTTCCGTTTCTGGTTTTTTTTGTTTTTTGTTCTTTAGTTGATATATGAATATAAAATGCTATAAACATTACGATTGATGATAGTTGGTGATTTTCAAATGTGTCAAATGATATCGATGTTTATTTCCTTTAAACTGCTCTGTAGAATAATCAAGTGATATGTATCATTGCATATTTATTTGCTTGATTCTATCATATATAATATCGACCAACTGCGATATAATGTCGATAACTGTCATACAATATAATATAATACAATACAATATAATATAATATAATATAATCTATACACTACCAATAATTCTCTCACAACATCGAACCTTCTGGAAACACGGGTGTGAGGGGTGTGATCACATCAACAACGCATCAGCGCACATGAAAGCGCGTATTCCTTCCATGGAACCCCATCGAAGGTTTTTTCCCTTGTTCACTTGGAAAAAAATATAAAAAGCGCTGAAAAAATTCCACTTCAATAACCTCCACTTCAATTCTCTCTTCCTTTTTTTTTTTTTTTTCTCTCCATCATTCTTGTTTTTGTTTGTCTCTTTATATAAATCACATAATATCGATCAATCAATAATACTCCACAATGTCTGACGGAAAATCTGAAACTTACGAGTTCCAAGCTGAGATCACTCAGCTTATGTCTCTTATTATTAACACTGTTTACTCCAACAAAGAGATTTTCTTGAGAGAATTGATTTCTAACGCCTCCGATGCTTTGGACAAGATCAGATACAAGGGTTTGTCTGACCCTGCTGAATTGGCCACTGAACCAGAATTGTTCATCAGAATCACCCCAAAGCCTGAAGAAAAAGTCCTTGAAATCAGAGATTCCGGTGTCGGTATGACCAAGGCTGAATTGGTCAACAACTTGGGTACCATTGCTAAGTCTGGTACCAAGGCCTTCATGGAAGCCCTTTCTGCTGGTGCCGATGTTTCCATGATTGGTCAATTCGGTGTCGGTTTCTACTCTTTGTTCTTGGTTGCTGACCACGTTCAAGTTATCTCCAAGTCTAACGACGATGAGCAATACATTTGGGAATCCAACGCCGGTGGTAAGTTCACCGTTTCTTTGGACGAAACCAACGAAAGAATCTCCAGAGGTTCTGTCTTGAGATTGTTCTTGAAGGATGACCAATTGGAATACTTGGAAGAAAAGAGAATCAAGGAAATTGTCAAGAAGCACAGTGAATTCGTTGCTTACCCAATCCAATTGATGGTCACCAAGGAAGTTGAAAAAGACGTTCCAGCTGACGAAGAAGAAGAAGTCAAGGAAGGTGAAGATGACAAGAAACCAAAGTTGGAAGAAGTTGATGACGAAGGTAACGAAAAGAAGGAAACCAAGAAGGTCAAGGAAACCGTCACCGAAGAAGAAGTCCTCAACAAGACCAAGCCATTGTGGTCCAGAAACCCAAGCGAAGTCACCCAAGACGAATACAATGCTTTCTACAAGTCCATCTCCAACGACTGGGAAGACCCATTGGCTGTCAAGCACTTTTCCGTCGAAGGTCAACTTGAATTCAAGGCCATCTTGTTTGTTCCAAAGAGAGCTCCATTCGACTTGTTCGAATCCTCCAAGAAGAAGAAGTCTTCCATCAACTTGTACGTCCGTCGTGTCTTCATTACCGATGAAGCCGACTTGTTGCCAGACTACTTGAACTTTGTCAAGGGGGTTGTCGATTCCGAAGATTTGCCATTGAACTTGTCCAGAGAAGTCTTGCAACAAAACAAGATCTTGAAGGTTATAAAGAAGAACTTGGTCAAGAAGGTTTTGGAAACTTTCAACGAAATTGCCGAAGACTCTGAACAATTCGACAAGTTCTACAGTGCTTTCGGTAAGAACCTTAAGTTGGGTATCCACGAAGACGCCACCAACAGAAACGCTTTGGCTAAGTTGTTGAGATTCAAGTCCACCAAGTCTAGCGATGAATTGACTTCTTTGTCTGACTACGTTACCAGAATGAAGGAACACCAAAAGAACATTTACTTCATCACTGGTGAATCCCACAAGGCTGTTGAAAACTCTCCATTCTTGGACGTCTTGAAGGCCAAGGACTTTGAAGTTTTGTTCCTCGTTGACCCAATTGATGAGTACGCGGTTACTCAATTGAAGGAATTCGAAGACAAGAAATTGATCGACATCACCAAGGACTTTGAATTGGAAGAAAGTGACGAAGAAAAGAAGGAAAGAGAAGAAGAAGAAAAGGAATTCGAACCATTGACCAAGGCTTTGAAGACCGTTCTCGGTGACAAGGTTGAAAAAGTTGTTGTTTCTCACAAATTGATTGATGCTCCAGCTGCTATCAGAACCGCTCAATTCGGTTGGTCTGCCAACATGGAAAGAATCATGAAGGCTCAAGCTCTTAGAGACACTTCTATGTCTAACTACATGGCCTCCAAGAAGATTTTCGAAATCTCTCCAAAGTCTTCTATCATCAAGGAATTGAGAAAGAAGGTTGAAAAGGATGGTGAAGAAGACAGAACCGTCAAGGACTTGACCGTCTTGTTGTTCGACACTGCCTTGTTGACTTCTGGTTTCACTTTGGAAGAACCAAACTCTTTTGCCACCAGAATCAACAGATTGATTTCTTTGGGTTTGAACATTGACGAAGACGAAGAAGAAGAACAAATTGAAGAAATCAACACTAAGGCCGAAGATGAAGGTGTTGCTGAATCCGCTATGGAAGAAGTTGACTAAACGAATCTTTTTAATGTCGCTGCTTTTTTTTTTCCTCTATAATTATGTGGTTACTTTTTTTTTTCTCCCCCTTTTTTTTTTTCATTATTCCATTTTTTTTAATCAAACTTTTTGTATTTTAGTTAACTAATTCTTTAGTAATTACATAGTGCAATTCATTATTGTTTTAATATCTTTCAATGTGTAGAGAAATGGAGGATGAATTGATATTGTCTCACAGAGTAAAAAAAGGGAGTCTGAGTGTACCACAACGGCGGCTCTTTAGGCGGCAGGATGGATCATAGCACTGTGTGGACCATGAGATAAAAAGTTACCACGCGCTCCCCGTACATTGCTCCAATAGATATGGTGTATAATCAAACTAAGAAATGTATTTGTAGATACTTTTGTATACTCATATTTTTTCCTGAGGGCTCTAGATATTGAAAAGGGCATTGATTTGTCATGAAAGAAATAATAATATATTGCCGACGACGACTAGCATAGAACGAGCCTTCTCCGAGAAGCAGACTGACTAATGAATAAACCACCAATTGGCCGACCCGACCCGGCCCTAACTATTGAATAATCAACTGCTTAAAGGATAGCCTATCTAAATCCTTCTTATGGCAGTATCTATCGATGCTCAAAAACCATTAATTAACTAGCAACACCAACAAGCTATGATAAAATTGTATCGCTTTGCTCATGTATGATATTGCAAAAATGTAATCGCGAGTAGGAAGTTCTAGGAGTGCAGATTGATTGGGCTAACCAATCTAATGAAAACATTATGATATTATTTTTTTTTACATTGGTCTATTAAAAAATAAAACTATAAAACTACAAAACAAAACATCAATAAAAAAAAAAAAAAAAAAAAAAGAGACAACAATTAACATCTTAAAAGGGGGGTTTCAGTGAGCAGAAACCTCATGCTGTGGAATATCGATTTTCAAAATTGAAATACAAAACCAATATCAAGTTATATAATTATACACTTGTTATATTAGATATGTACACTTCTGAAATTGAATATAAATCAAATTTTTTTGTTGTTATTTTTCTATATGAGCATCAATAATAGTATCAACAGAATTCCATTTATTAAAAGTTCTGATCATCCCAACATATTCCAAAACTTCGGCTTTCCAATAGGACAGATCCTGGGGCTTTTAATATAATGTATGTCAATTTGGCTTAATTATTAACTATCTATATGAAAAATCATCAATGGGAGTATTAGGGCTGTTTTTATAATAGAATGAGGATAATCGTAATAAAGTAATGGAATAGATCAATAATTAGGAAATATGAGGCAATAAGGAGAAGAAGAGCATCCGAAGTAAGGAATGCCAGAGATTAAAACAGAACATTAATCATAGTATATGTTACATAGGCTTATTAATTCTCGCAGATAATCATCATTATACCCTTTTATTCATGGAGGAAACTTGTAGATCAAGGGAACGTAGTAGTATCAGGAAAGTAATAGTGTGCAAATGTGGTGATGAAGCTATGTTTTGTTTGTGCGCAACGATTATTCCTTTACTATTTTTTTCAAACCAAGTTACTAAAGATTTTTAAAGGCATTATTATTTATCTAGGATCAAAGAATATTCATTTTCTTTATTTATTGATAAAGAGGCCGTATTTTTCAACCTGTTGTAAATGGGCTTAGTGTGGACTGAAGTTTTGAGTTCACAATATCTTCATCAACGGAGGTATTTGTTGATGGAAACCTTAATCAACAGAGGAACTAATCAAAAGAGGTCCTCTAGTCAGTAGAGAACTTATTCAATTGAGATCTTAATCAAACCAGTGAAAAAGTTCTCGAATTGTAAATAAAGCCACTAAAAATACCAGCTTTAGAGCAGAAACTATCACGATAATGCCCCTTGATAATATCCGTGGTTTTCAAAATCTCTTGAAACTATCAGCGTTCTGTTGGCTTTGATTATTTCGATGTCGATTTAAAAGAACCAGCGTTCAACAAACGAGGTATTGACTGTTCCATCTCTTAATTCAAGAAGATGAATTACGAAATCACTTGTGTCAATTCTTGACCAAGACTGTTTTTGAATAACAAAAGAGAAAATTTTGTTTCTGTTGTTGAGATATAGAGAGGAAACCGCATAGGATGGTGGTCATATAGATATGACTCCCTAGGTCAAATCATCAGGCTCATAGACAATAATTTTGATGTGGAGCAAATCTCCTAACACTTATTTACACACTAATTACGAAGTGAATCAATCCTCTTAATACAAATCAATCAATCAATCAATCAATGGATATGAAAGAGAAGCTAACAAGGAAAATTATTGATGAGTGTTTTACATAAAAAAAAAGTACGAGAAGAAAAAAAATCCTCCAATTTCTTTGCCTGAGTGGTGATATATTCTAACCTACGACCAGGATCTAATAAGGCCAATTCTCATTGAGAGAATGGTGGTTGTTGGAGATTAGCCAGGCCTAACACAACAGAAGTTCAATTTTGAATATGACGTAGATCGAAAGTCTGATTTTCTGGGCTGATTCAATGTAGTTCAATATACTGTATTGCCAGGAAATTAAACAGGTCTCAACAATTCTGCCAAGGATATCCATACCCTAAGCAAATAGCAATACATTTCAATAGACAATTCCCCCTCCACTTTGACCAATTGTTTATTGTTGTTGGTTGTCGTTGTCCACCAATATGGCTCTGACCGGTTTGGAAGCGCGCCGACGTTGCAGCAACATAGGAAATCCTAATCTTATTTCTTTTCCAAAAACGGTAGTGATTGGGCAATTTTTGTACAGTTTGAAATATAAAACACACTATAATGTAGCAGTTATAAATATAAAACAATAACCATCTGGTATCTTTTAGTGACTTATATAATATTCGATGGTAATTGAGAATGCCCATGATTCGTTGCTGCATAAGCACCACGCAGATCATCGATTACCCTGGTGATGAGCCCGAAAATTTTTTTTTTTTTCTTTGATCAAAATATTTTTTTTTTTTTCTATGAAAAATTAATTTTATTTTTTTTTTTTTTTTTTTTTTCTTACTCAAATCATCTTTGATTCTTTCTTTAAATAGTAGAATAGCTTTGCTGTGATTCTGTTGGATAATTTAATTCCAGATACCCCTTTTTTTCAGTATTAGCCGTCGCTTATACTTTTGAATTTCCAAACCCCCAACAGAATATATATATATCTTAAAGATGAGTGAAGAATTCGTTTCCGCCCTCGTGGATACTTTGAATCTTACCGTTGTTCCAGACACCAAGGTGGTTAAGGAAGCTTCCAATAAGTTGACCAATGATTTCTACGGTAACCCAGACTCCTTGCCTGCTATGATCCAGATCTTGACCACCCACCCAGAAAGTCAACTTAAACAATTGTCCGCTGTCGAAGCCAAGAAGTTAGTTGAAAAGCACTGGGAGGTCATCGATGATTCCATCAAAAACGCCATCCGTGACTCGATTTTGAAGTTCACTTTGGAAGAACAAAATAGCTTGGTTGCCCACAATGCCGCTCGTGTCATTTGCTCTATCACTGAAGTCGAAGATTTGTCGGAAAACAAATGGCCAGATTTGATCAATGTTTTGATTGCCAACATTTCTAGCAACGAAAACACCAAAGCCAAGGAAACCTCGGTTTACACTTTATACAGTCTTTTGGAAGGTTACAACAATAGTGCTTTGCTCGGTCACGCCGGCGATTTCATTGGTCTTTTGAGTCGTACTTTGGAAGACCCAGAAAACTTGCAAAACAGAGTTTACTCTTTCGAAGCTTTGACTTCTATTGCTTCTTGCTTCGAAGACCCAGAACCAGAATTGGCTAACCAATTCAAGAACTTGATCAACCCAATGATCGATGTTTTGAAGACCACCATTGAAAAAGACGATTCTGACAACGCCAGAACTATTTTCATTGGTTTCAATGACTTCCCATACTTTGACAACAAATTCGTTGGTGACAACTTGTTTGTGTTGATCAACATGTTTGTTGAAATCGCTATGAACCATCAATTGGATGAAGACTACAGAATCATGGCTTTGCAATTCTTGATCAGAGTCATCCCAATGAAGAAGAGCAGAATCATTAGTAAGAACTTGGGTCCAGATTTGACTTTGGCCGGTCTTAAGATTGCTTGTGATCCAATTGACGATGAAGAAGAATTGGATGAAAACTCTGAAGAAAATGAAAACGAAGAAAACACCACTTCTGCTCTTGGTCTTAGATTGTTGGCTGAATTGGCCAATGAATTGCCACCAAAACAAGCCATCACCCCAATTTTCAACGAACTTGGCAATTTGATTAACGATACCCAAAATGTTTACAGAGTCAGAGCTGGTTTGCTGTCTGTCGGTGTTATTTCCGCTGGTGCTCCAGATTTCATTTCTAACCACTTGTCCAAGTTGATGCCATTGTTGGTTCAAGGTTTGAAGAACGAACACCCAATTGTCAAATTGGCTGCTCTTAAAACTTTCAACGAATTGGCTGGTCAATTGCAAAACAGTTTGGCTGGTTACCATGAAACCTTGTTGCCTCTTCTTATGGAAGTTATTCAATCCTCCTCTTACCAAAGCATCTACAAATATGCCACTTATGCTCTCGATGGTATTCTTGAATATATGGAACAAGAAGCTATTGTTCCATACTTGGAACCATTGACCAACAAGTTGTTTGAAATGTTGAACCAAGCTCACTCTTCTTCTTTGAAGACCGCTATTGTTTCTGCCATTGGTTCTACCGCTTTTGCTGCTGGTAAGGCTTTCATTCCATTCTTCGACAACTCTTTGAAGATTTTGGAACCATTGATTAAGATCCCAGACTCTCTTGAAGGTTTGACTACCGATGACATTGAATTGATTGCTTCTACTTTCGAAAACATTTCTACCGTCGCTAGAGCCGTTGGTGCTCAATCTTTTGCCAAGTTTGCTGAACCTTTGATTGGCTCTTCTTATGTTTGTATCAGCTCTGAAAACCCAAGATTGAGAGAATCTGGTTTCACCTTCATTAACAACATGGCCAAGGTTTACGGTGAAGACTTCAGCCCATTCTTGCCAAAGTTGATCCCAGCTATCATCAAATGTCTCCAACAAGATGAATTGTTGTTCAACACCGGTGATGACGAAGAAGAAGAAATTGAAGACATGGAAGACATTGCCAAGAACCTTCAAATCTCTACTGGTATCACCATGGAAAAGGAAATCGCTACCATTGCCTTGGGTGAATTGGCCAGTGCTACCAAGAACCACTTTGGTGAATACGTTGAAGAAGTTGTCAATGTTTTGTTGGAACAAACCGACTCTTTCACCATCAATAGTGTTTGTATCGGTACTTTGTGGACCATTGTTATTGCTTTGTACGAAAACAATGTCAGCTTGAAGAAGTTCCCAGTCGGTGCCGTTACCGAAAACTACGTTCCAGATGAACTTTTGAACATCATCAAGGCTGTCAGAGAAAAGTCGATTGAAATCTTGCAAGAAGAATACGAAATCACCACTATCCACAGTGTTTTGGCCAGTTTGGAAGGGGCTTTCCAAAAGATTGGTGCTATCGCCATCATGGACAGCGGTGAATCTGGTTCTTTGGAAACCTTGTGTATCGAACTCATGAAATTGTTGAAGGGTGAACACGCTTCTCAAGGTGATGAAGAAGACAAGGAAGAAGTCGAAGGCGCTGATGAATCCGAAACCGAACTTTTGATTTACGACACTTGTTTGGACATTTTGGTTGCTCTTTCTCTTACTTTGGGAAGTGCTTTCAACAGAATCTTTGCTTCTTTCAAGAGTGTCGTTTACAAGAACTTGACCTCTGCTTCTAACCAAAAGAGAAGTGTCATTGTTGGTGCTCTTGCCGAAATTTGTGTCGGTTTGAAGGGTGAAAACGAATTTGCCAACGAATTGTTGTCTGATTTCGTTGAATTGATGAACAAGGACTCTTTCCTCAACGTTAGAGGTTACGCTGCTTTCGGTATTGGTGTTATCATCTTCTACTCTGCTGAAGACTTGAGCGCCGCTTACCCAGACATTTTGAGCTCTTTGTCCAAATTGTTGACCAAGGCTGATAAGGAAGCTAAGGCCGAAGATGACGACGAAACCCAAGACATCATTGACCGTTCTTACGCCAATGCTTGTGGTTGTGTTGCCAGAATGGCTCTTAAGAATCCAAACGCTGTTCCACTCAATCAAATTGTTCCAGTGTTGCTCGGTCACTTGCCATTGGTCAACGGTTTTGAAGAAAACACTCCAATCTTCAACTTGCTCATCCAATTGTACCAATCTAACGCTGCTTTGATCACTCCATACAACGCCCAAGTTTTGGAAATCTTCAAGCAAGTGTTCAAGAAGGATGAAGAAAGAGAAAAGTTGGAAAGCGAATCTACTTTGGGTAGAGAACAAAACACCGAAAGTTTGAAACAATTCCCAGCCGACGGTTTGAAAGAAAAGGTTGTTGAATTGGTCAAGCACATTGAAAGCAAATGATTGTGGTATACTTTCATCTCCTGTTAATTTGAAGTTATCCTTATTTTATCCTAAATTATAGTCTACTTTTTATACTCTTATATTATTAAATATTTTGTTTTTAAATTTTGTTTTTGTTCCCCTGTTTTTTTCCTTTTATCATTATTATTATCACTTTCTAGTATTTTTTTTTTTTAGTACACTTCATCATTTGTTTTCTTGCTGCTTTTGTCGTTCTTTTTTTTCTCTCAAGAGTTCCCAATTATTTTAATATATCACTCAACCCCTATTAGTTCCCTTATTTTGCATGTTTTGTATATCATAGTACCATTATTTTGAATGTTATCCCCAAAGGTTCATCTTTCATGATCTGTAAGAATTGTTTCATTAGAACGATGGTCAACTCATTTATTTTAGTAGTGCTTCCTAGGAGCTGCATTAAAAAAAAAAAAAAAAATCGCAACATACAGTATCCCAAATGGGAGTAGTAGTAGACAGAAGAAAGAATGATAACACATCCTGATTTTTGTCCATAACTCCCCTTTTAGCTCAAATTTATTTATTTCAGAAGATATTCATATATCTGCAATCCACAAAAAGGGTCTGGTTGATAACAGCCGTGATTGGGCTTTAGTAGCTGGATATGACGAGTATTCTTAGATATTATTATAGTAGCATGAATGTGACTCACAATCCGTTGATTATTTATTTGTTCTTGTTTGTTTATTTATTGGTATTCAAGCTTCGAAAACTCTTCGAATTCGTATTTAAGTTTGCAAAAGTATGAGGATACTATGCTCCAATTTTTCTCCTCATATAAAAGCAAGAAAAAAAATTTGCTCTCTTCCTTCTTTTCTTTTTGGAAGCAATACATCATACTGTAACACAATAACCTTTTGATTATCCTTACCTTAGGAATTCTCATATTCCCATAAACTCTCTGTACCTCACAGATCCCCATCTCCAGACAATCAACGGTGATAGTGAAAGCTACTTAGAATCCATCAAGCACCACAATTCCCTAGTCCACTGTAGCGAAGCTCCGCTAAGTCAAATTGAACCCTTTGATCGTGTTTATGAAAAAAAAAAATGAGATTCAGAAATGAATTGAGGAGGAGGCCTAGATATTTGGTGCTACAAGTTGATCAACCTCCAAGCACCCAATTGCAAACTAACGAAATGTACACCATGTTTAACTACAACTTACGAATGAACGGCATTATCCGATACCCGAAAAATGAATGTCCATGGCCATAGTCCATCAAAACACCAGCAGTTCCCCACCGTTGGATCTATTTTGGGCACCACTGACTTAGAAGGAATCGATAGTTTGTTAAGATTTTACGAATTGACTGATCTCGGTACTATCAACTAGAAGAAATCAAGACTTTTAAGTCATTTGGGATGTGACGCGGATCATGTTATTGATGACGAAAAATGGAAGATTATAAATTACAATAGAAAACTTCCAACTTTTGATAGTGGACCAATCCGATTCTTCAGGAACTCTACTGGTCAAAAGCCAGATATTGACCAAGGCTTAAATGTCAAACAGTTCTTAGAACTTAGCGAGGAAAGAACATGATATCTTTGGCACCACTATGAATTGGACACTATTGCACTAGGCTGTCTAATGTCTTTGAGAAAGGTAAAGCTCCTCCAGAATCTAGGGGTGAATATCGATTGTTTAATTCAAGAGTCTCTTCAAGAAACACGTTTTGAGAATAGTCTTATTTCCTTCTCGTCTAATATCAATTATCCTTTCAATAAAGAAGGTCAAAAATCAGCTATTGAAAACAGAATAATAAGAGTTGATGATTTACTCTATAGTCAGAATAGGCAAGCTCTTATGCAAATCTGTCACTTTTATCATCTCAATGATGAAAATGGCCCTGAAGTTCAAAATAATATTGAGTCGTTAAAATTCAAAATATTCAGATACTTTGGTATAAATAAGCTTCAGATTGAGAACACATTGAAATTAAATGTCCTATATGCTAGAGGCAAAAACCAAATCACTGATTACAAAACCATGCCATTGACCCCTGTTCCTAATTTGAGAGGTGAATTCTTTGGCAAAACCCCTAAAACTTTGCGGGAATTAAATGAGCTGAAATTGGACACAGAGAGAGTTCTTGAGGCACTTTTGGACTTTTATGGAATGCCATATGAAAAAGAGGATCTGTTGAATAAGAAGATATGGAAGGTCAAAATTGCATTGGGACTTAGGCAGATTGACGAAGCGTTTGGCTAATGATGTTGGAATGATTTTCGTTTTCACCATATTAATATATGCTTATCGGTTTTAGTGATTATTAGTAGTTCCTTTTTTTTTCTTTTTTTAATATTTGACTTTAATATAAGTTGGATCGATGATGTTGTTGATGGTTGTATAAATTTTTCTGGATGCGGAAGTTTAAATTATTCACATTATTGGCTTCAAGCAATAAAAGTAATGATTTTTGATTTGTCAAATGCATAGCTATGACTTCCAAATAGTTTAAAAAGGCTGTGTGGCCATCATCAGAAATATTCTGAAGGCATTATAAGCCATATAACTAACTTGATTCGGTATGCGCGAGCGGTTTTGTTTCGTGGAATACAAACTTCATTCTTTGTTACTACATTTTACTGCTCACAATTAAATTACTGTTAGTGAATCTTATCAGTATTATCAAGAATTTCTTTCTTACTATCGATTATTTTCCCTTCGTACTACGTGGATATAGGACTGGTTACCGTAAGAGCCGTTGAAAATTTGATTAAATAATGTTGTATGGCTGCCTTTACATTAAGAATGTTCGTGGATACCTGCTTCTCACAAAGATTATATTAAGATAACTGAAAAATCAAGGTAATTTCAAATACAAAAGCACAATATAAATATATATATATATACACCTGAGTTGATCAGATAGCTTCCAATTGAGCGGTGATTTCTTCCAACTCAGATTTGGCAGCCTGGTATTTTTCATTCAATTCCTCGTACTTCTTTTCCAAATCATCCTTTTCCGATTCCAAACTGGCAACTTTTCTTTCCAATTGTTCAGCTTTGATGTCAACTTCTCTCAATTTTTCAGTAGTTTCCTTCAAGTTCTTATCGGAGACTTCCAATTCTTCTTCCAATAATTGGTTTTTCTTAGTATAGTTTTCATTGTTGGTTTTTAAAGAAGTGGATTCCTCGGCATGAGTCTTCAATTCGGTCAATTGCTCTTCAAGTTTTTCAACTTCGGATTCCAAGTTTTCGTTCTTGACGGTCAAAGATTGAATGGAATGGTCTTTTTCAAGGTTTTCTTGTTCCAAGTCCTTGATACGAGATCCATGCTCATCAGCTTTCTCCATCCATTTTTCGGATTCAAGCTTCAAGTTGTTGATTTTCTGCAAACATTAATTGTTAGAATATACAATACACAACCAAATATGATTCCTCTTAATTCAATGATAATATCCACTTACTTCTTTAAGTTTGTCCATGATGAATAATTGAGTCAGTCAACCCTTAATCATCGATTCAGAGACTCACCAGGAAAGTTGGACAAAGAAAAAAAATCAAAAACAAAAACAAAAAAAAAAAAGACAAGCCAAACGAAAGCCCCGCGGCAATGGTGCACGGTTATGTAATAGCTTACAAAGAAAGAATCACCACAAACACCAGCTAGGCGTATTATATATAATCACTCGTTCATATTTTCTGACCCATTTCTCCAAAATAATAAACATAATCAAAAATCTATAAAATAAATCTACTAAATCATGGTACCTCAACACCTCAGACCAGAATTTAAACTAAAGACTTGCTTGTACTATTCGAACTGGTCGATATACTCCAAGAAGTTTACCCCAGATAAGCTTCCTTTCCATTTGATCACAAATCTATTCTATTCTTTCATGGACATTGATCCACACACTGGGGCAGTGATCCTTTCAGACAAGTGGGCAGATATTGAAGTTCCATTCAACAATGGTCAGGCCACATACAAAGGTTGTCTTCAATATCTACATCACTTCAAATCAAAGTATCGCCATTTGAAACTATCAATGTCAATTGGTGGTTGGAGTTTCCGAGATAATTTCAAGAATGGGATTTCCACTGATGAAAAGATTAATAATTTTGCTAACACTGCCATCAAATTTCTAACAGAGTACGGGTTTGATGGTATTGATCTAGATTTTGAATATCCGGAAAATGAACATGACGCTACTCAATACGTGAAGTTGGCTCAACGGTTGAGATCAATGTTGAAACAAATCGAAAATGAAAAACATTTATCCCCTGGCTCATTACTATTAACTTTGGCGATTCCAGCAATGCCAGAATCGCTTAGATTCTTCAAACTACATCACTTGGATCAATACGTTTCATTTTATAATGTCATGACCTATGATTTTGCCGGTAGTTGGTCAAACAAGGTACAACTTCCTGCCAACACTACAAGGTATTCTGGAGGAGAATGGTCAGTTAATGACACTGTCTCATATCTTTTGGAAAACAATCCCTCAATTTCGCCAAAGAAGTATATCCTAGGAGTTCCGGCGTACGGGAAGGTGTTCCGTAACGCCAAAGGATTACAATCGTCATTCAGTAATGTTGAAGACATGGATTTCAAGACAATCTTGAATACTTATTTGCAAGACCCTCAAGCTTGTCAAAATAAAATGCAGCAAGATTCAATTGTTCTTGTTACCAATTCTGGGAAAGATGTGGTTTGTTTCGATACTTTGCAGTCTGTTAGAAATAAGGCCCGAATCGTTGTCGATAATCGATTAGGAGGAATGATGTGGTGGGAAGCTTGCGGCGATGGTATAGGTGAGCATTCGTTGGTCAAAGCTTTTGTGTTCTCATTAGCCAATGGACCCGCAGATCTTGATGGCTCGATAAATAATGTGGATTATCGAGATAGTAAATATTTGAGCTTTAAATAGTTATAATTTTAAAGTACCTTCTATATAAGATAAAAAAAAAATAAGTCGTTATATGTATTATCCCTTCAAAAATAATAATAATAATAATAATAATAAATATATAAATGATAATCTCACAATCAATGCCCGTTTTTTCTTTTTTTTAATACGGGTTATTCAATTATATAAGCTCCGCTTATTACCGAAAGAATGAGTTTAAAAATAACAACAAAAAATAGGAATACATTCTATAGTCTTCCAATAGTTCACCTACCAAGTACTCACAACAACGAATCCATTTTAGAAAACACACTCAACACCGCAGCAATAACCTCCAATTGTAACTCTTTGTTACCCAATTCTTCAATCTCCTTATTGACCTCTTCTGCAACGTTTGCCCCGACTCCTAGACTACTTGTTTGGGACAAAAATGGATATTCGGAGTATTCGTTCAATAGTTCATCTGCTCTGGCAAACGCATTATCTCTTTGATCGTAATTCAAACGCACAAGAACATTTTCCAAAACATTGGCAGCAAAACAACCGCATACAAGACAGATAGATCTAAGCCATTTATAATCAACGTTCTCAGTAAAGAATTTGTTGTTGTTCAAAGCGGCGTTTCTGGCCACCAAAAGTGACAACACCCTCTTTTTTATCAGATCTTTGCATGTCAAATCCGCAACAGGATGGGTGGCCATATCAAACAACAAAAAGTTCTTTCTTTCAGTTCTTAATACCCCTTTATCGACCAATCCTTTAGCTAATCTTTCTCTGACTTGTTTTAATTGATAATTGATCTTCATTAAGTTCCAGGTTTCACCGGACAATAAATCAATCCATGTAGAAACACTCAAATGACCTTCATCATTTTTCATAAGTTTCAAAGTTTCATCTAACAACACTTCCCCAGTCAAAGAGTCATCAATCACCTCAATTAATCTTTCGTTCAACTCGAATCTTCTACGGGCTGGATCATTGAGCATTTGGATTTTACCACGGAACGCCAATTCCAAGATTATGCATCCACGTAAAGCATAAGAGATGTTATCATTCCAAAATGATAAGTATCCTTCTTTGTCCTTGATCCCCATGAGCAACACTTCTTCCATGAGCGTTAACAATGGGGCGCTTGAGTTCTGTTTTGATGTGTTCATGTCTTCTGGATCGTAAGCTATCTTGTGATCTTCATTGGTTCTGTCTGGCACCACCCCAGCGATGGAAGAAGCAGGGACTTTTGGAGACGCTGGCTGGGAAGAACCAGACAATTCCCCAGTGTTGGCGTTCTTAACACGACGACGTTGTAATCCTGACATGTTATTATCTTTTGATCTGGTAGGAGCTGTAATTTCTGATATGGGAAGGTATATGTTGTGTTTACTATATATATACTGTCTTGAAATTTTCACAATAAGACAGCGACACCAAACAAAAAAAAATGCAAACAACAACAAAAAAAAAAAACTAAAAAAAATTTAAGCTTCAATTGAGGAAATATCCAATTGGTAAGCTAATGCTGATTTAATAATACTAAGTCTCCCCTCCGGAACTGACCGTCCATCCAGGGTTAACCTCAAAAGATTGTTTCTGTTACGTTTTTTTTCTGCTTTCTCGTTGATCACGCATCCGTACATTCTGCCATTTTTTTTATCGTGGCAAAGTGATGAGGTGTGTGGGTTTGGCACATCTTGTTATTACGTACAATCAATAAATTACCACAAAACCTTTTCTTTCATTATAAGTGTATATACTTACTATTTGATATAGCTGCTATAGGAAAAGTGCAACAAAAAGCCATCGTCACAATGTTAGACTCATCCGATGCAAAAGAAGACAATCACGAGTCGCTCGGAGATATCAATGTCAATATCCATCTGGATTCCAAAGATGATTCTGCTTCCATCAGAAGTGGCAGCAGATCGGTTAATGAAGATGACGGGAACCCTATTATGATTGATGATCTGGCCAGTCCTCGGTCAGAGGAAAATATCCTGCTTTATACCGCGCCAATGGTTTCTCAGAGGGTATTCAAAACTTCAAATAGAATCCTTGAAGACATTCGATTTAACTTACACTTTTTGCTCAATAAGGATGATCCCATTAGTTTATTGAACTCCAAAACCATCAATTATGCTCATAGATTGGCAGGATGGAATGGAATTCCTCCTTATTCAATCCAATGCATTTCCAAAGATGTAGACTACTGCCCATACTATCAGAAATTCGATGCCCCCAGTTATGTGATCCATCGACTCAGATGCTTATTGGTCGATCATGATAACAATCCAAAAATGATACTGAAAAACAAGATATACCATTTAAACATAAAAATAAAGACAAATTTCAAGTCACATTTAGATAAATATCCCGATCCCAAATTGGCGTTCTTTCTTATTGAGAAAAAGGAGCTCTTTGAAAGGGATGTGAAGGACTTATATTCAATTGATAGTACTGAGGACTCATCGGAAGATTCATCTCTTGATGAGCAGCAAATGAGAGCGTTGAAGCAGTCAATACCAAAGATTATTGATTCTGCCACTTACTTGTCTTTTGATACCCAGACGTTATTACGTGTAGAAATTATCGAATCTGCATTTGGGAAAGATGATCTTGAGCTCTTTGAATTAGATGCTATCAAATCGTTAAATGCGGATTCTGGTAATATAAAGTTATCAAAGAGTACGCCAACTCAGTCAGATTGTTTTCATCATCTTTTCAAGATTTTGAAAAAACCTATAATTGACGACACTACGAAAAGCCAGGGTGGATTGCTATCTGCCAGTAAAGTCAGTTCACATATCTCAACCGAATTCTTGATAGAAAAGTTATGTTTCCAAGAAATTTCAAAAAAAGAATTGAAACCGGTGAATTATCGTGACTTTCGAAACGGTGATGGGAGAAAATTGATTAAGGATTGGTATTTGAGAATGATCACCGAAGCAATTTATTATGGGACCTTGACAAGTACTGGAGGAAAATCTCCATTTAAAGATCTTGGATTCAAACCACATATTTCCATTTTTTATAAAATCTTGAATGAAGAATATTCGCAAGAATCAATCACTTATGAGGTTGGTTATGATCTGAGCAAAAGCCAATTATCATTCAAAAGTGATGATTTCATTATATTATCGATATTTTCTTTCTACAGTGTCGGAACTATCATCAGAAACTACAAAATTTTATCACAGACCGACGGACCAAATGACCCAATCTATTTTCAAAGTATCACCAACGTATCGCGTTTGCTAACTCATAACTATTCGGCTAGTGAAGAATTGCAAACTTTTTTAGCTACAGAAGTCAGTAATGGTGTGTTAACTTTTGATGAAATCCAAAAATATTTTGATTGTTTGGGTATCAGGCATCATGAAGAATTGAGCAAATATAATTTGCTTCAATTTTACAAGTCTCTTGAAGATAATACCATCATTGAAGCGTATAAATTACTGTCAATTGGTAAAACTCTGTCACATGGTGAACTAAGCTCAGCATTGAAGCATATACAGATATTCAAAAAATCTAGCCAAATCCTCAATTTTATGCGCACCGAACTAATATCATTGAATGAAGCTTACAGAATCTTGGAAATTAGCGATCAAGTAGATGATGATACAGTTTTAATTGCTTACAATTTTAAAAAAGATGAGACTTATAATGAAGAATCCTTTGGTTTGCTTAATAAAGCGTTGGTTTCCATTGCAACTTATAGAAGATCTCATACTTTGCTAAATTTTCTGGAAGAAAATCTACCAATGTTTTTTGAAGCATTGATGCCTACCGATGAATCAGAAGATAGTATTTATAAGTTTTTAAACCTCGAAAAATATGCTAGTGACTTTCAGGTTTTAACAATTATGGATCAGTATTTTGCAGGGGAAAATGAGGCAATCAAGCAAAACTTGTTAGGCTATGAAATCGACGATCCTCATAATTTCACTAATTTGGATAATTTCAAAAGAATTAGAATCTACTTGCGATTGCTTAATCATTATAGGGACTCACGGTTGATCAGGCTATATTTAGAAAAAGGTAGAATACCTCCCGATGCTATTCCTTTAGACCATTGGCCTGCTGGTTTGAATAACATTGGTAACACTTGTTATTTGAATTCTTTATTGCAATTTTACTTTGTTATTAAGCCATTGAGAGACCAGGTGTTGGAGTTCCATAAAAGCTACCCATCTTCATACAATGCTGAAATTGCTAATAATGCAACTTTTAAAAATAGGCGGATTGGTGGTAGAGAGTTGAGTTTGAAAGAAGTTGAAAGGTCGTATCAATTGACTTACCAATTGAGAAATTTGTTTAATGATATGATTTATGCAAAGACCAGGGATATCATTCCAACCAAGGAATTGGCATATTTGGCATTTAGTCCAATGATTCAGGAGGTAGAGTTTGAGTCCAAAATTCTTCCAGAAATTGATAATAATGATGATGGTGGCAATAATAATCTGGACAATGATAAAGATGATAATATTACAGAATTATATAATAATGCCACCACAACTGATAATGATAATAGCGAGGATCTTCTTGATCTTCTTGATAAAGATGATAATGATGATGATATTGTTATTATGAATAAGGCAAAAACTTCCGAAGACAAGGTTTTATCGAGCATTGAAACTGCGTCACTTTCAAGCCAAAGTGATGATACTTCATTCATTGAGAATGTCAAGGAAAAAAATGCTGCTGATCATATTGAAACAGATAAATCTTGCCATTCAAACGATCATAATTCGGCAGCGGTTGCCAAGATAAGTTTTGACCAATTGGTAAATACTTTGGAAATAGGCAGACAACAAGATGTCACCGAATGTATTGAAAATGTTTTATTCCAACTTGAAGCATCTTTGGATCCAATTAACCTCAGCAGTGATGGTGAACAATACGATTTGATTAAGAAGATGTTTTATGGTAAAACCAAACAAATCTTGACTCCTTGCAAGAATCCAGATAATAAGAGATTGAAAACTGAAAGATTTTTGAATTTGTTTGTCAACGTCAATGACAAGCCAAAGGATATTTATGATGCATTGGATGATTCATTCAAGGAAGACGACATGACTTTGGAAGGAAATGAGCAAGTAAAGCGATCTATAGTGATCACGGAATTACCTGATGTGTTACATATCCAAATCCAAAGAGTACAATATGATATCGCCAGAGGCATGGCCGTGAAATCAATCCAACCATTACCACTACATGAAACTATTTACTTGGATAGATATATGGAGAATAATACCTTGGGTTTCTTGAGTAAAAAGCAAGAACATGCCAAAAATAGGGAAGAGTTGAAATCTTTGAAAAAACAGTTGGAGTCAATGACTAGTAAAGGCACCAATGGTTTGACGGTGCTTGAGGCGTTAGTGACAACTAAAAAGTTCCTTGAAAGTGATAATATGAACAAAATTGGATTTGCGGTAAAACCTACCACTATCATTACCCTTGAAAAGCAAATTGAAGAGTTCAAAAAGAAAAAAGAATTCATCCAATCGCGAATTTCGGAATTGGATGCCAAAATTGATTCGCACTTTGACATTCCAGAATATCAGAAGTTGGGATACGAACTCTTTGCCCTCTTTATCCATCGAGGGGAGGCAAGCTATGGTCATTATTGGGTTTATATCAAAGATCCAGTTAGGAATATTTATCGTAAATACAATGATGAAACAGTTACTGAAGTTAAATTGGAAGAGGTGTTGAATTTCAGTGAGGGAAACACGGCAACTCCATATTTTGTGGTGTATGCTAAAAAGAACTTCTTTACTGAAGGAATCGAGCCTTTGAAGAGAATTATTGATTAGTGATTAGTGTTGACTATCGTGTTTGGTCCATTAAATTTATGTCACGGTATTCCTGTTTGGTATAATTTTGATAGTACAGTTTATAGAAATATTAATATTTGGTTATATCCCTCTCACTTTCCGCTTTGGTGTTTGTATTATTTTTGTGAGAGAATACTTACTCCAAATACTCCATGATCAGGCCCAAAAGACCCATGTCAATGGTGCATGCCTGGTTAAGAGCGTGTAGACGTTATTCTCTCTCTCTCTCTTTTTTTTTTTTTGTTGTGTGTTTTTTGTGTAATTAAGTACCTGATCATATCGTTAACTAACGCATCTTCCAACGAATATATATAAAATAACATTCAATCAGAAATGAGTGATCCATCGAAATTCTTATCAGGTATCAGGGGCGAGCGTGTTGTTGTGAAGTTGCATTCAGGAATAGAATATAAAGGCCGTTTGCAAAGCATTGACAGCTTCATGAACATTGTGTTGCACGATTCAAGCGAACATATCAACAATAATTTGACTCATAAATATAACGACATGTTCATTAGAGGTAATAATGGTGAGTATTATGATCTTTTTACTATCATTTGACGGTGATTTTTTCCCCCCGTTTATGTTGTGGTTTAATCTACTTCTTTTTTCTTTTTTTTTTTTTTTGATAGGTTATAGGTAGGGGGTTCCACGATACTAACCATTACTTCCAGTCTTATACATAAGTGCTGATTGATTTGCTGTTGCTGTTGTTATTTCTATGGGTTCTGCTACGCTGTATATTATTCTTATTCTTATTCTTACTATTTTTCATTATTGGATGATGAATATAACACTTTAACGATGATAAATGACCATATTATATACGTATAACATGTAATTCACATCATCATCCATTCCACTCGGAAATGTGTTTGAACTTCTCCTCGCCTATTCTTCTCACCATCGCCCTATTCTGGAAATACGTCTTTTTCCAATTCATTATCTCTGTGGTGGAATATGGTCCATAGATGTTTTCTTTGGTAGTCCATTTGAATTCCCAAACTTTATCATTCACCAAAGGATCTTCCACCTCATCAAATTTTCTTTTAGTGCCTGTGGGGTTCTGGTGGGTATTTGATTTTCCGGTCTTGTAATCCTCGCCAGTTTCTTCTTTATACTTCCTCATTAGCTCTTCTTTTGACAAATCATAAATATTGTTAAACCCTCCTTTATCTATAATTGAATTGATTATCCCCGTTACTTCACTAGTTCTATTCTTAATGGATCGGAGCTGAGCTTCATCTTCCTCACTCATCTGTAGCTTTTTTCTCGCTTTCCGGGGATTAGCCTTCTTGATAATTTTTTGAGAATCAGCGTAATACCGTTGTAACATTTCCTCTGGGGTTTCTGCTACCGTCAAATGATCAATAAGTTTCCTTAATAAAGTCTCTAGGGGCTCGGATTTCACATTTTTACGTTGCTCAAGCTCTCGTAGTTTACGAGCCTCTTCTGCTTTTTTGGCCTTATCGATATCCGATTTCTTGATCCCTTTCAACCAATCATCTTGGGCTTTCTCCTCTTCATCCTCACTTTCGTACCTTATAAAATGCTCATTTTCATCAAATCTCCCCTCTTTCAATTCTTCTTTTAACCCAAAGGATGTAAACTTTATTTCTTTATCGCTTTGATCACTTTTGTTTTCATCGTCACTTTGGATAAATTCTTTTTCTCCGCCAAATCTATCATCTAACCCAACTTCATTCTCTCTAGTTCCATATTGATCATCTGCTTCATCTTCATTAAGTTCATTTTCAAATTTTTCAATGTCTAACAACTTGACAGCATTATTAGTAATATCTTCTCCTTTTCCTTCTTCTTCTTCTTCTTCTTCTGTCTCTTTGGTTTGTACTTTATCTGGTTTTTGTTCATCATCCAGATCAGCAAACATATCATCGTCCGAATCTTGTACTTTAATATCTTCTGGCCCTGATTTTTCTTCATCTGATGAATCAACATCGTTAGCAATTATCCTCTTCTTGGTGGTCTTTTTGGTGCTTCTAAACCCTTCAGTCGCTTCGAGAAACTCGTTTTCCTCTGTCTCTTGTTCTTCATCATTATCAGATCTTTTCAATGCCCAAGGATTCGAGGCACTCAATTGAGATTTCATTATTATTATTATTGTTATTTCGAATTTGTCTGATTCTATCAATACTTAAAGCCTGCTGTCTGTATCCATAAATATTCACGTAAACAGAGAAGAAAGAACGAAAAAAAAAAATTATTAAAGTTCCCTCGGTCTTATTTTTTTCTGTCTATTCCAGAAACACATTGCGATTTCTAATCATTTATATTAACGAAAGAAAGATAAATAAGTCATCTCATCTTTAATTATATTGTAACTGAGACACTCCCTCCCTAATTGCACCGCAAACAACCACTGTCAAGACTTATAAGGTGATGAGGGTTGATATCAGGCGAATGTACCGATCAGAAGGGACTAACAAAACTAATAAGCAGCAGTGGTTTTTCGCCGCATTATTATACACTTTTTTCAGGTGAAATACAGACTTATAATTGTGTTCATATTGTTGATTATGCTGCTATCTATTGTACTACTATTAATTATACTATTATTATTACGGCTGTCAGAATTGGTACTGCCGCTACGACATTCTTCCAATTTCATGATCCATAATTGGGAGGAATCATTGATTGGCCAAATCAAGTTAGCACAATATACAATAATAAAAGTTTTACCTGTTTGGGATAGCAGGAATATCGTCAGAGTAGCCAATTCGCTGACATAGCAACAATTTTGATGAGTTGTCCCTGTTTTTGTAGATAGTCTGGGATAATAAGCAGCTAAGGAGCTTTCAAAATAAGACAATAACCCCCCTGTAGCGATTGTCAAGTATGAAACAGTCTATCTTTAAGTGATTGGGCTAGCTTCTTTAACTTTAATGAGTTCCTGGCATGTATATAAGACAATAATCAATAATCAATCTGTATAAGATTATTTGCTGCTGACATGAGAGTAAATAAAGTGGCAAATGAGATGGTAATGAAAGATACTATAGTATGTAATAGTGTCTTTCATATATATGAGCATATATGCTGAGATTCCCACCCCCTCCTTTCTATGGGAAGATAATAAAGATCAGTTTAATGTTAAAAAAGTGGAAGAGCAAAGAGGTAATACCCAAATATCGGTGAAACTGGCTTTTTTCTTTCAATAAGAGGGACAAAACCAATTGGCACTGTTTTAGAAGTTGGTAACGCATTAGCCCCTGAAAACTTAGCGATTCAAGTGATTAAAGAAACCAATTAAAATAACATATAAAACTCAAGAAAAGATCCCACCAAACTTTGTCCCTCAAAAAGAGGAAACAAAGTTATCCAACCCCTGGACTATCCTTTCCATCTGTAATATAGATGGAACACAGAGCATAGCCCAGTCTTTTCTTGTTTTAAGAGATAATGAATATATATTCTTATATAGAAAGAGATTAAAAGGTAGCATAAAGATAATCAGAGCGTGAATAATCTTTATGAACGAGTAAGTTTGAAAGGATAAAATTATTAAAGTCACCTCCAGATAGAATTTGGTATTTCTCGCTCCAATCCCCTAACAGGAAACTTGGGAACCTCCAAGACAGTTGGAGCATGGATTACCAAATAATGTGTTCCACTGGGTTTACAGAAGAACCTCTATGAGACCATTAAGGACTTCTATGGGTCTTCTAATATTCCTGTCATTAGAAAACCGTTGTTGGGTCGTTCCTTTCAAAGTTTACCGAAAACGTAGAGAAATTTGTCCAACTTCCGGCGAACAATTTTATTGAAAACCTGACTTCAGGGTACCCCTAAAATGCGACGAACGCGTCTGGTTTGCTAAAAAAAAAAAAATAGAAAATTGTTTTCGCGATGTATGTATCACCACATGACTAAAACACTGCTTTATAATCCTTAAATTAAAATATCTACACCAGTTGATGGTGCCAGAGATGATGTCGAAGATGATGTCGAAGATGATGCTGATCATGACTCTCCTGTTTCTTCAGAAAGTGAAGCACCTCCTGACCCAAAAATTGTGACAGATACAGTTGATATCGATGTGTTTCCAGGAACAGTAAGGAATGTTCCAAGGCAAGCTGTCGTAAGCAACGACTATGAGAGTACCTTGTTGTTATTAGATATCATGTACTGTTGCTCTCCTTTCCTTTTGAAGGGTGTGGGTGTCCACCATCATTTATACACATGGACGGCTGCCTTAGCTACTTGGAATAAAAGCAACTCAAAAAGTACAAACAAGTCACTTCTTTGAAGAGTCGGTGGCAGAAATTGGTTGATAACTTTGCGCCGCTTTTACGTTCGGACAGAACAGAAACTGGTTTGAGTTCTGGGACTATTTTCCCAGAGTTATTCGATTTATACAAATCTATTGTTGACAAAGAAAAGGATTCCCAAGCGGTAGTCGATGCTTATCTTGAACAGAGAGCAGAGGATAATCGAGCTAGAAAAAGAAGAGCTCCAGTGCCGCCTGACCAAATGCGGTACATTGAAGAAAGGCTAGCGCCGCAAAGAGGGCCGAGACAAAGACGAGGACAAAATAATACTGAAAGAACACCAGCAGAATCTAGCACAGCAGAATCTAGCACAGCACAATCTGGCACAACAGAATCTGGCACAGCACAATCTCGTACAACTCCTTACAGAAATCGCTCCTCAAGATCTTCCTCAGGATCCTTTTCGACTCGTTTTTCACGATTGAGCTCCCCTGGTTTTCTGCCACGGGCGACCGAAACAGCTGCAGATCCTTTCGAGTCTCAAGCTACTTCTGTCTTGAGAAACCTCAACAACTTCATTCAGAATTCTGCGGAACAAATTCAAAATCATAGGGAAATGGTTTCCGTTGAAGAATTATCTAGAAAGGTGGGGATTCTTACCGTTGCTTTGGGAGGAACTGAAAAAAGACTCCCAAAAATTAAAGAAAATACTCAAGAATTCAAGGAGAAAATGAACGACCTTGGCGATATGAAAAGAAAAATTGATTTGATAGCTACATTAATGGCAAACAATTTGAAAAATTCGTGATCTGTATAATGCTAAATGCATCTTTTTATAAAATTGTATGTAATGAATCAGTCACAACCATTCCAAATCATCCTCCTCTTCACTATTTTCTTCATCAAGTGAACTGTTATCTGCAGCAATATCATTACCAACTCCAAATTTGGGAATAAAGTTTGCAGGCGGGTTTGTTTGTAATAAAGAGCACGTTGATGCTTCAGGAGTACACCCGAAAGAATATCTGTCCATAGACAGGTCATTGTTTCAAATGTTATGTCGAAGAAATAAGAGGAATTAATTACGGTGGTGGTAATTTATGATTGCACTTTTTTTTTTTGTATTTTGCATCATTTCTGGAAAAAAGAAATAAAAATGGCAATTTATCTTCTTTTATAATATACTAGTGGAATTTGGTGGTTGATAAGATTACTGAAATATTTCTATTATTTTTCGCCAGTTTAAATTGGAATTTTGAGAAATACTCCACTAGATACAGTATGAAAATAAAAGAATTATAAATAGAACCAATCATCAAGTAAAAAATACCTTTAAAGGTCTGTGTGAAACTTCCTCTGAATTGATTTACAGATGTGATGCTGCTAGTCCCCACTACTAAGTGCACTCTGTTGACAGCATGGAAGAAGTTCACAATGATATAGAGATTCATTCGGTGTATATATACATAGCAATCACCATCAAATGGCCGCCCTCGCCATGTTGTTGTTGTTGTTGTTGTTGTTGTTGTTGTTGTTGTTGTTGTTGGCAAAGAGTCTTCTTCTTCTGTCCTTTCTGCCACACATCGGTATCCACGTGCCGTGTCACCTGACTAAGTTGCAACGGCTGGCGATGATCATCAAAATATCACCAAACCTTTCAAACCCCCCACAGAAAACTCCCCCCATATATATATTAGATAAATATAATAATGAGTGTCTGGGTGGAAACGACTCTCGGGAACCTCATAATAGACCTCGATGTCCAGGACGCGCCGTTGGAATGCCAAAATTTCCTCAAGCTATGTCAGTTGAAGTATTACAACTATGCGCCCTTCTTAAACCTCCAAAAGAACTTTGCGGTGGAGATTGGCGATCCAATGTATCCACTATCTAAAACAGGCTGCTCCATTTGGGGGTTCATAAATGATCAAGGGCAAATCGAGTATGATCCAAATAAGAAGACCCCCGTTAATCGTGCCAAACAGTACTTTGTCCCCAATAAGCAAAACAGCCATAAGGTCGTCGATCAAGTGGGGACTGTTGCACTAATAACCAATACCGACCAATCTAAAGCGAGTAGTAAATTATTAATCACTTTGGATGAGAATTTACATGGGTTACAGGATAGTGGTGCCGTGGTATTTGGTAAAGTTATTGATGGGTTTAGTACGTTAAATGCGATAAATGAGTCGTTCATCGATGATGCTAATAATCCATTGGTAGACATTAGGATCAAGAATACGTTTATCATTGCTGATCCGTATGTCACAGAGTTTCAACCACAATTTGAAGGTTATAAAGCACCAAAAACCACGGCTTTTCCCAAAAAATTGATTGCTCATGTACGATTACCAGAGAATCTTGAGAATAATATTGGTAACGATGATGAAGAGACGAATATTTCACGGTTTAAAGAAAACGAAGCAAAGTCACAGGCATTGACCCTTGAAATGATTGGTGATCTACCCCACGCCGACGTGAAGCCTTTGGAAACCATTTTGTTTGTTTGTAAATTGAACCCAATCACCCAAGAAGACGATTTGCAATTGATTTTCTCGAGGTTTGGGAAAATTAAATCATGTAATATTGTGAAAGATGGTATCACTGGCAAGTCATTACAATATGCCTTTATTGATTTCGAAGATAAAAAAAGTTGCGAGGCTGCTTATTTGAAAATGGATGGGATCATCATTGATGATCGAAGAATCCATGTTGATTTCAGTCAAAGTGTTTGGAATTATAAGAATGACAATAAAAAGGGTGGTCAAAGGGATGGAGATAATAGAAATGTTCGGCCAACATCTTCTTCTCAAAGACACCATCATCGTCGTCGTCAGGATCATGATGATCATCGAAGAGGTTATTATAGTAGAAGAGAGGATACCGGTAGAGAATCACATAGACATCATGATAGGTATTACGGTAATGAGTCTAAAGATAGGTATTACAGGAATGATTCAAGGGATAGGCATAGACAAGATAGGCATAGATACGACTCAGATGATAAGCATTACAGTAGAAAACGAAAATATCAGGATTATGATAAAGAGGATTCACGGGATAGTCATAGAAGACGCTAATCTAATATCGTTTGCCACCTACTCTCACCACGTCTTGTTTTTCTGTTCTATATTATAGTATGTAAATTTGAATATATATGTATGTAATTTTCGGTATCTAAAGTAAATCATAGCCCTTCTTTTGCTAAATCATCTGCGATGTTCAAATAAAAGTGAATGGCATCAAACCCACTTTTTCTATGTCTAATTGTCTCCCTCCAAAACCTTCTAATTGGGTTTCGCCAATTGATCAAATCTAGGTGATCAGCATCCTCAATGGTTCCCATATATTTACCCCATTTTGCCGAATTAATCGAAATCAACCCATCATTATCAATACCCCCTGAAGCATCTTTGACAATTTGCCACGTGAATCTATATATATTATTCCAACTAGGGAAAAATCTTGCTCCATAACTGAAATATTTCACGTTTCGATCATTTTCTACTTCCTTATTAAATTCTTTCATCTTTCTTGTCGTCAATTGATAAATGCTGGAGGGAACTAATGATAACCGAAGGTCATTCAATGATCGGAAGAAATCAGAATTAGTAAATAACTCTGAAGATCTCATCAAGTCAGTAACGTAGTCTGCCACCTCACTACCTCTATGAGGCGTGGAAATCGTAGTCAAGCTAACCACTTCGTAATTCTTTTGGGATTCGTTGATTTTCGATATCAAGTAGCGACAGTCTAAACCCCCCATGGAATGAGCAACCAAATTGACCTTGATTTTTGGAGATGGGCCATCATTCTGTAAATTGACTTCATCTATTCTTTGTTGCAGATGCAATTTATCTTTGATCTTTTGGTGTTTGGATAATCTGGCAATCTGCTTATTAATAAACTCATTCAACATACCTGCTCTGACCTCAATTGATCCCATGGGGGCCACTTTCGCAATCATCACCACCGAGCCATTGGCAATCAATGCCTTTTGAATACCGTTCCAGTATTCGAAATAAAGCCCAGATTCTGGCTGTTCTTGCAAAGAATCGACATCTAGTTCTTTATGGGTCACCATGTACTTCAAACGATTCAACGAAGGGATTAAAAACAATCGATCAAACCCTGAGAAACCATGACACAAAATAATCGGATACTTTGGAGCAATACGGTCTTCTCTTATTGGGGTTTCATCAATGAACAAATTGTCTTGGGCATTGATTTCCGAGATGGTTTTATAATGATAGTTAGGATTTGAATAATAAGGAAATTGAGGATCGATGCCGAACCTCGAGTGCAATATGTTGGATACTTTGTAGGTGACAAAGCTTGCGAGCATCAGCATATTCTCTGGAAGAATTAGGAAAAATTCTACTAGATTGGTGAGTGAGTGGACGATTGCCTGTTTTTTATTGTATATTATCTGTGATAAATGAGGGACTAGCTGATTATCGAATGATATGACAGGCTCTTTGCTCCTCACTCCACAAAAACCACTAGCAAATGTCAAAATATCATCAGCAACAAGGCGGAAAGAAAAATTGGAGGGAATTATGGCAAATGGATGGTTATTTTTTTTTTTTTATTATTATTATTGTATTTCCAGCCAATGGAGTGAGATCCGCAACTTTCTATATATATTGTGGATGTGAGCTTTTGTTTATTGTTTTTTTTTTTTTTTTTTTTTTTTTTTTTTTTTTTTTTTTTTTTTTTTTTTTTGTGTTGTTTTTGTGTAAAAATCCAGCTTTACGTTGCAACCATCATAAAAAAAACAAAAAGAAAAATAATCAATGCTTACAACATGATAATCAGATAATAATGAATAAAAAAAAAAAAGAGTTTCGTAGGCTCGTGTTTAAGTTAATATACAATCTTTATAATACAATCTTGTCCTCCTCCTTCTCACCAACCAAATCTCAATTGAGACGCAGTGAATACCGGTGGTTTCCAGGCCAATTTTCTGCCATCCAAGTAATGTCTGTTTTTCTTTTTGAGCTTATCATAATGTTTGATTGCTTCGTCCGTTAATACAATGATATGCTGACCTTTGTAGTATCTCAACATATTAAAGTTCTGCAACGTGTGGAGAATATCGGTAGTGGTCATTGCCGTTAGCGTGCTGATTTCATCAATGGTGATGCTTTTCTCTTGACGCTCCATCAAGAGAATAATAGTTGTGTCGTACCAATACGATCTATATGACAACAATCCCAAATCGGACAAAGGTTTTTCAGGAGATCCGACCTTGTTCTCCACTTTGGATAATTCGTACGAAAATTGGATCAATAATTTCCCAAACCCATTTCTTTGGTAACATGGTAATGTCAAAATACACGCAACGTTATAGTTCTCCATACTCTCCTTTTCTTTCGAGAAATACCCAACGACATGCTGACCAACTTCGTCTCTATAGGTCATGACATAAAACAAGAACGGGTCGACATCGTAATATAAAGTTTTATGATCCAAGAATAATTTAGATAACAAACACAAATTACGACACCAGGTCCGCTGCTTCTTACCATCGATCTCGAAAAAAGACACTTTTGAATCCCGATAAATCTCATTACCTGGCGGGTGTCTTAGGGTGCTTTTTTTTCTAAATCTTTCAAACTGCTTTTTAGACACAAAATATTGTAGAGAAAAATCACAAATGTACACTTCTTCGACTTCCGTCATTTCTATGGGATAAGGAGAGAAATACCAAGGCTCGACGATATGTTCACCAATCAATATCTTTGATAAATTCCGGACTTTTGCAACTTCCGAATGATTTTGGATCATTGACCCACTAGTTCGAAGTTTCTTGAGCTCATCTTCTCTGGTAACCTCATCCTCGTTTTTCAAACCTTGGACATCCAAGTTATCCAAATCCATAACATCGCTATTTTCTCCCCCGTGATGCTCTGACGATACATCTCTTTTACGCTTCTTTTTGTTGGTACTGCTGCTGCCGCTGCTACCACCCCCGGCAATGGCGGTCTTTTTGGAATGTTTTTTGTTCTTCTCGTCATTGGATTCTTCGAGATTCGGCCACGTTACTCCCTGTTTCAAATCTATCCGATCACCAGTGACCCATTCATCCAATCTCTTGTTGTAGTTTTTGAAATGAACGTAGAATTGCAACTTCTTCGCTAACATTTGTTTCGAGAGAATTTCGGCCTCGATATATTTTTCTTCTTTCCGTTCGAATACTTGGACTTTACACCCGACTATTAAGTCATTGGGGTCGGTAATCACCGTAGAAGAATCACCTTTGATCAATATTTGGAGCGATTGGTTCGCTATCTCGTTTGATGGCGGGTTTTTCTGAGGTTCCATCGTGCCGGATATTTTATGTGGAGGTCTGTTTTGTTGTTTTGTGATGGGTTAGCCTTGTTTCTTCTTCAAATAGGTTTATCGATAGATTATTATTATATCTCTTGTTTCTACGTTAGTGATGGTGATAGTGGGGGATTATCGATGTTGGCTCAGTTTCTGGTTTGTTTTCTGACGGCAAAAAAAAAAAAAAACAACCGCTGGCTTCGCGCACTCCGACGAAGGCGATGTGGTTTTTACTGATTGATAACCACTGTTGTTACTATTATTATGATATTATATATATATATATCGAATAAATTGGAAAATGGGATATATTACTCCGGTTAGAAGAATCTTGACCGCCCCCGACTTAGAAAAATGGAAGGAATCTCCAACTTACGACCTGGTGGTATCGTTCATCGAGACATTGGCTGAAGCGGTGAAGGGGAAGACCAACGATGCCGAATGTGAAGTATCATTGCCAGTATCCCAGGTATTGTTGGTGTTGGATGACGTGGAAAAAAGCATTGACAAGTTCCCTGTCATTCAGGATAAAAACACTTCGAGGTTCGGGAAAGTGGAGTTCAGAGACTTTTATGATGAAATAACCCAGATAAGCAAGGGCCTTTTATCATCACGAATCCCCAAGCTTCAATTGCATAATGATGGAAAGACTGACAATGATGAGAATAACGAGCATTGCAATAATGAACATTGTAATCATGATAATGATGATGATGATGATGATCCACTAACCGAAATATGCGTCTATTTTAACGAATCTTGGGGTAACCGAACCAGAATCGATTACGGTTCGGGTCACGAATTGAATTTCATGTGTTTTTTACTCTGTTTAGTGAAACTACATGTGCTTGATTTGGAAAAAGACGCTACGGCAATCATTTTGAAAATCTTCATCAAGTACATGAAAATCATGAGAAATTTGCAACAGAAATACTGGCTAGAACCCGCAGGGTCTCATGGGGTATGGGGGCTTGACGATTACCATTTCTTGCCGTTTTTATTCGGGGCGTCGCAATTATCCACCCATCCTCACCTAAAGCCAAAGTCTATCCACAATAAAGAGTACGTCGACATGTTCAAGGACAAGTACTTGTACTTCCATTGTATTTGGTTCATCAACAGCGTCAAGACCGCGTCTTTAAGATGGCATAGCCCGATGTTGGACGATATTTCCGGGGTCAGGACCTGGAGTAAAGTTGCCGAAGGGATGATAAAGATGTATAAAGCAGAAGTCCTCAATAAGTTGCCGATCATCCAGCATTTCTTCTTTGGGAAAATCTTGCCGGCTCCCGAAGGGGTTTCAAGACCACCGTCATCGACAACAACAACAGCAACAACCGCACATACCCATAATGGTGAAACAGTGGTAGATCCCGATAGTAATGAAGGGTTGCCGGGTCATGTGCACACTTGGGGTGATTGTTGTGGGATTAAGTTACCAAGTGCCATTGCTGCGCATCAATTGGAAGCGGCTAGCAAACCTATACCTTTTGACTAACTAAATATCAGTGTATTCGCTGCCTGGTTTTTCATGTATTCTTTTGTTATTATCTTGATTATTTTAACTGACAATTATATATATATATATATATATATATCTTCCACCACTGTGTATCTATTGAATAAAACACTGATGAAATGGTATGTCCATCCATTTGTACTATGTGCCCTGTCTAGTGTCTCTGCGTATGAAATTTTGATTCCACAAACGATCCAACCACCATTGAATATATATAATATTATATGTATATATGTTATGTATGAAATAGATTTTAAAAGATAATAGAGAAGGAAAAAACATGGAAAATCAAGATATCAAACCCGAAGAACCAATGGCTGTTCCAGAAGAAATTGTGCCACCACCCCCGCCAATGGTCCCTGAATCGATAGATAATTCTAAACCCATAGATGTCAAATCTGGTGCCCTTAATAGAATAATGGATGATCAACAAGATACCACCACTCTGAAAACCACTTCTCCTGCTCCACAATCTTTAGTCAACCACGAAACCTCGTCAACAACGCCATCCAAAGAACCAGAGGTCCCACAGTTGCCCGTGGGCGTCAAGCCAAGCCAAGTCATAGGTGGTGCACCATTCAGACAATGGTTGAATGAAGAAGTCACCCCGTATCTTTTAGAAGGCATGAGACAGATAGCCAATAATAAGCCCGAGGAACCATTAAAGTATTTGGCGGAATTTCTATTGAAAGAGAATGAGAAGAAGAAGAAGAAGAAGCAGCAAAAAGAATTGGAGGGATAATGATTATATACAGTGTAACGAATTATTCACCATCTCTTACAATTCACGATCTCCCCAATTGAGATTATAATTAAAAGACTAGAACAAACAAATCATATCCAATCATTTATCCATTATCATTAGCTCTTCATTTCTTTCTTTTTTTTATCCCCCAGGAAGTCAGAAAAAGTGCGCTACAGTTTAAAGAAGAAAAATCCAGACATCTCATTCCACAACAACAACAACAAAAAGAATAACAAAAAAAAAAAAAAAAAAGAGCAAAAATAAGCAAAATAAATAAATAAAAAAACTGTATACTATTAAAATCAATCATTTCATAATCTTTCAATTCATTTCTATCACCTATTGGGATCCCATTTAATCCACAAAGAAAAAAAAAAAAAAAAAGAAACTCTTGTTACAATTCTCAAAGCAAATAAGAGTTTGCAAGTTCAGCTTTACAACTATCACAATAAGAAAGCAACTCGGATGCACCAGGCAAAATACCATCAATGTCAAGCCTATTATCGCCTCCAAATATCACGGCTTCCGAAATTTTACCAGAGTTTTCCTGAGAGTCTAACACTTTTGCAATAATTTCTTCCTTGACAAAATCACATTGGTGATTCTCGTTCAATAACCAATTTTTCCATTCCCCGATGGCAATTTCCTTTTCTACTTTCTCCAACACTTTCAAATCAATCAATAATTCATTTCTTCTCACCCCGATTTCTTGTAAAGTGTTTTGCAACTTTTGCGCAGCTTGCAAAGACGCAATATTCCCGTACTGTTTGCGTAAGAAATGCTTTTGGAGGGAGCTTTTTTCGAAATTCAACACAAATGAATCGTTCTTGAATTCTTTGAAACATTTCGAGCTGGAATTAATTGACAATTCTTTGCCCTTTTCAATCATTTCCTCAATATCTTTCAAGTAAATTGCTCTTTGCATAAAACCGCCATTGTGATTCGAATATCCATTGAGTTTGCCATTCTGATGATTGTTGATGTTGTTAGACGCCATCTTGGTATAATCATTGATCATTTTTTCGGTACTCTTAGAAATCCAATAAGATACCCCTGCCTTACCGCTCAAATAAACATTGAAAATTGATGATATCATTAATAACAATATCAAGAACTTGTTCATGCTCAACGACATAAAAAATTTGTTGATTCCTCTGAAAATAAACGATGACACCAAATACAAGAAATTGAAGATTCTAATTGTGGTAACCTTCAAGAAGATCTTGGAGAATAATAAAAAGCCAAACTTGATGTTATCTTCATCAGCAATACTATAATCCTCGTTTAGATATTTCTCTTTATCTTCATCATTATCATGATGGATTTTCGTCCCCAATTGACCGTACAATTTGATAGTTTTGTTGGTTTTCCCATATGTCCCAATTTGTGCCACACTTTTCTGAATTTTGACCACGATTTTTCTGGCTTCGTCCTTGAATAAAGAGCCGTAAATATTGGATATCAAATAATTGGAAGGCGAAAGCCTGGAAAACAAAAACTTTGAATAAATTTTCAACTTACAATTCTCCGAGTCGATGGCTTGAATGATGATCCTTCCTCTCAGTTCGAACGGTGCTCCCAATGGTAGTTCTAAAGAACTTCTTTGGGTATTAATGTTATAATATTGATTATCCACCAATTCATCAATGGTTTGCACTTCGCTCATTTGACCCAAAACAATCCCATTATAAGTACTATCAATGAGAATTTTGTCCTTCAACAATGAGTTTTTACTGTTTGTCGATAGTTTGAAAAGAAGCTTCCGTTGAAGTTTGTTATTCTCTTTGGTGATTTTCCATGGCAATTGAACATACCCATCACTTTGGTTAGACACAATCAACGTGAAAACTTCTTTGAAAATCTTGGAATTATCACCAAACAACACATGGAATAATGCCTTGGCTGGCAAATTGATTTCGGCAGCACAAAGCAATCTATCATACTCATTGGAATAATCATTCTTAAATGTCTTAACATCAGCAACATTCTTGATGCTGTATAACGATGGAACAACCACTTCCTTGTCGGTAGTAGCTTTCGAATTAGGATCATCGTTATTCATCAAGATCCCCGGTTCCTTCAAAGCAATCCCATTTGGTGAAGGATTAACGGTCTCATTATTGATGGTTTTGCCTGAATCTTCAATCTCTCTTTCTGCTTCAAGGGCCTCCATTTTGCCGACCAACTCTTTGAAACCTAAAGGTTTAACCGCAGTCTTGTTGTTGATTAAAACCTCTAATTTTTTCTCAATCAATTTGGCGTCATCAAGGAAAATTTTTGCTCTCATATTTAAGCCATCAATAGCATATACTTTCAATATATCCCAATTCTTCTTATAATGGGTTTCAACCGACACCAAATCGTTCAAATCTTTCATCAATAACGATACAAACCCCATGCTGTTCATGTAGAAATAAATATTATCCATGGTGACGAAACATCTACCGGATAGCTCTTGTTTCAGGTTAGGCGACCAAATACATCTAAATGACAACAAACATCTTTCGTTTTTTTGTAAAGCGGTTTCAAAAATCGCCCGCATTTGAATATCATAATTGATCATGTTTTTCGGATAAAATGAAGGGTAAACTTTCCCGGCAAACTTATCAACGCTATCGACATCTAATTGAGACACCAATAGCCTCTGACTAGATGAGTCGTTATTACCTTTGGCTCTTGCTTCGGAACTGACCAAGTAATACATGCCCCAATTAACGGTGCCCCAAATATTTGCATTAATGGCATTAGGAATTGATGATGGTGAAAGAAATGTATTAGATATGATGGCTGCTTTTGTCAATCTGGTAGAGATAGGGGTGTTAAGAACTGGTTCTTGAAAAACCCCATCTTTTGAAAATTGGACGTCTGTGGAATTTTCTGGCACATAATCGGTGAACTCTGGGTTAGAGGACTTATTAAAAGAATTCATCAACTTTGATAAATTATTAGAGGTGATAATATTATTTGTGGAGCCGTTATTGAAAGCATTATTCCCGTTATTGGTGTTTTCAACTTTCCCACTGGTCATTTCAAAATCACAGGTAGTTGTGGCAGTTGATGCAAATTCACTCAATAATGGAGGGTATCTTGCAAATGCCGAAGACTCTTTTTTCTTCTTATCGACTTGTTCAATTGATCTCTTCTTTTCAGTGGCAAATACTTTCAACCAGTATTTCAACTCGTTCAAGGTTTCTGCTTGAAGAATAATTGTAGTATCGATGGTCTTTATTTCAAAACAAAATCTCCGGTCTTCATTAGGGGAGTATCTAACATTACATAATAACACCCCGATCTTGTCGGTTTCTTGAACAAAAGTCTTCGAAGGTGAAAGGTTCAATAACCCAAACATCCCATTCTTAACAAACGCCCATCTTCTAACCCAGATTTGTCTAGCTGGCTTCCCGACAGACGTCTTCATAAATAACCAACCATGCTTTTCATAAACCGGTTCCTTCAAGTCCAAAAGAGTGCCTGGATTAATTAAGATTGGGTTGTGATCATTCAAATCTCTAGATGGTGTAAATTGTTGGATCGCGCTTTCTTCAATTTGTTTTCTGGCAGTAAGCATATCCTTTGATAAAATCCTCAATGAAAAATCACACGCTTTGGCCCAAGATTTAATTTTTTCCAATTGGTTATACAAATACAAATTGTAAGGGTTACTGGCGGCCATAGACATATCAATATCTTTCCAAAAATTCGAAGCTACCGATACCAAAGTAGAATCCAACGATTTTTGAATATTTGATAACGCTATACAGAGCTCGAGAGAAATATGAATATATGATTTGCGGACTTCTGATAACTGAAAAGCGTCTTCTCTCAAAGCACTTGGCTCTTTGGTTTTTGATTGCGCAGAGTATCTAGATAAGTACAAGTCGTACTTGCTTTGCGACACTTCAAAACTCTTGCGGTATTCTTTGTAAGTTTTGATATCGTTCTTTGCCTGAGTCAACAATAACACCAATTCAGAGTCGTTGACCCGGAATAACTTGAGAGAATCCGACCATAAAGTGGATAACCCCTTCTTGGTGAATGTCAACGCTGACAATGTGTAATCTTGATCAATTATACCATCGTTTAAGAACCCGGGACTCAATTGATCGACAGAAATATGCAAGAAGTCTTTGAAATCATTGTAATATTGCGGGAACTTCTTGATGAACTTCAACAACCCATCAATCCACTGTTCACACTGCTCAATCAAATGGTTCAAATGGTTAACGTTTGCACGGAACGTCGGACTATCTAAAGCCGCTTCTTTGAAAGCGACGGAGATCAATTTCAACAATCGTGGCTGCTCAGGGTACGGAGACATTGGAGGAGAGCCCATTGACTGGTTTAGCGCCAGCTGGTCTGGGGCTTTTTCATGAGAAGACATTAATTATCTTGCTGTTTGACGACTGCTGAGATCTTACAACGACAGCAAAGATGCACAAGTACAGGAAAAAAAAAAAAATAAAAGCTTGGGTGTTTAAAAAAAATGCTCTCCGCCGCTGACTCAGCGTGCTGCCGTCTAATGACTAAGCGATATTTCCGCTACAACAATAATCGACGATTTCAGCACTATTATAATTGTAAAGCAATAAATAAAGCCTTCTAAAAATGAATAAATAAATAAATAAATAAAAATATCAACCTCTCAGTTATTTTGTGGGAAATATTGCTCGTGTAGCTTCTTTTGGGCAGTCCATTGCTTGACCAACTTCTTTTTCGCACTTTTGGTAACTTCCTCACCATTGACGTCCTTGGTAGGAATACCTTCAGCATCCCATTCAGAATACTTGGACTTATCCTGGAACATATCCTGAGGCTTCAAACTCGCCTTTTCTAATTTCTCCTTTTCCTGTTGTTCTTTCAATCTTTGTTGCTCTAACTTCTTCTTTTCCTTTTCTTTGATCTTTTGCAATTTCTCATTTCTTTGGTTAATCAATTGTTCTTGTTCTGCTTTATTCAAAATCTTCACGAGACCATTGCCCTCGGTTCTATCATCGATAGATATCCCCAAGTTGAGCAAATCTTCATCACGAATCTTATCAGATAAAGTCAACAAAACTTGGTTCTTAGATTCAATCCCATATTTACGGATTTCATCACGGATGTTGGAAATGGTCTTGGCAAATTGTAATTTAATTTCTTCGGACTCAGAACCACCAGAAGACCCTTCGGTTTCAGTTTTCCAACCCAAGGAGTCAGCTCTTGCATCAAAACCCAAGATCGACAAAATTTTGGTGATGTACTTTGCAATAACCACAACTGGTCTTATTCTCATATCACTGTTGTTAGCTATGTACAAATTGGTGGTATTGATCAATTCACTAATGACCTTGATAACTGTAGGTGTCGACAAGTTGTCACAGAAGGCCTCATGTACTTGATCTCTGGCAGTGTTCAAATCTTCCAACAATTTTTTCTCGCTTTCTCCGAATTTCTCACTAATGATTTCCCCATTGTTGATTCTATCATGAATGTCACTGTTGATGGATCTAACATTAAGAAAGAATTTATTGTATGTGTTTTCAATAGATTTCACTTGGTTCAACAAGGTGTCCTTGAAATCTAATTGATTGTTCCATGGAATCAACGCAAAACTCAAACGCAATTGCTTGGCGCTGTATTTTTCTAAAGCTTCTTGAATGGTGATAAAATTCTTCAAACTCTTGCTCATTTTTTGGCCTTCGATATGTAAATGGCCAGTATGCAAGAAATAATTCACCCATTGCTTATTGTCAAAGAATGCTTCAGATTGTGCCAATTCATTATCGTGATGAGGGAATGCCAAATCAATACCACCAGAATGGATATCCATTTGCTCGCCCAAAACATCGGAAGCCATGACAGAACATTCAATGTGCCATCCTGGTCTACCTTTACCCCAAGGAGACTCCCAAGCTGGTTCACCTGGCTTGGATGCTTTCCAAAGTGCGAAATCATTTGGTGACAACTTCCCACCGGCGTTGCTGGTCAATGAACCTTCACCTTCGGAAATCAACGACAAAGAACCTTTATTCCATGGTTGCAATTTGGCATAGCTGTGCTTATCGCTGGATTCAAACGCATTAGTGTTGAAGTAAACTGAACCATCAGCAGTCTTGTAAGCAAACCCGTTACTAATGATTTTTTCCACAAATTCAACAATTTCTGGAACGTACTCGGAGACTCTAGTTTTGATATCAGCTGGTAAAACATTTAATTGTTGCATGTCAATATCATATTGATTTTCCCAATAACTTGGCAAGCTCTTGAAAATTTCAGGGTCAACCACCGATGAACCCAACTCACGATCCAATTTTGGAACCACAATATCCTGAACGTTAGCCAAGAATTCTTCCACTGGAATGGTTTTCGCATATTTAATTGATTCCGTGGCTTTTTGTAAAGCTTTGTAATACATTGGGTATTTTGGGTTGATCGCAGCAAGTTCTTCGGTTTTGGAAGTCGCCAACCAGTTGTTTAATTCTTCAACACTATTCAAGTTGACATTTTTCTTGATGTATTCGACCAAAGATTCTTGGGTATATTTTACCAACTCATCGGTGACAGTCTTGTATTGTTTTTTAATTTTTTCTTCAAACAAATAGTTTTGTCTGGCTCTAATGATGATTTTGTCATCAATATCGGTAACGTTTTGCACAAATGTGACGTTATATCCAAAGTAATCTTGCAAAATTCTTCTATTGATATCAATAGTCACGTAGTTCCTGGCATGGCCCATATGACTTGAGTCGTAAACGGTAGGACCACAAGAGTACCATTTGATCTCATTTGGCTTGATCGACACAAATGGGTTCTTAGTTTTGGTCAATGAGTTGTACAACTTCAATTGAGGTTGCTCGGTCACCGGTGTTGGGGTGTGCCATTTTGGTTGGGTCACTTTTTTAGCTTCAACAGACATCTTCAATGAACAATATCTTCTAACTGCTGCTCTAGAAAGTATCATACACGGAATAAATGATGAATTGTCCTTATTCACAATGATTTTCTATGTTCTTTTCCTGGTACTCGTGCCTTTATATTACTGGTAAACTCTCTGTTGCACTTCTTATCCTAAAAGGGATATCAAATCGGAGAAATGTATAACGAGAGAATAATGAGTCAACAATATAACATACACAACAGTATGACATGATTGTATGACTGAAGTCGATGGAAGCAAAAAAAATTTCCCTGGGAAGCCACAGAAAAATGGGCACGCACGTGATGCGAGCTAAAAATCTCAAAAAGAACAAAAAAAAATGTGTCAAATTGGTGAGGGATCATCTCTATAGCCTTGGGAAATTACTATCAATTCAAAAGAAAAATATATTTTTCCCCTCAATCAGTCCTCTGGCAATGGTATCAGAACCCCCTGTATCGATCCAGAAAGAGATCAAGCCTTTTTTATCCCGAGCAAATGAGGTAGCAATAGCCAACCCTGCAATTGCCTATTTTTGTAAATTGTATTGTGCACAATTGATTCTTGATAAGAAATTACATCAAAATAGTGGTGAAATAACGGCTTTTGTCACGGGATTACTCGATGATATTGAAGAAATGAAATCTCTGGGGCTGCAAGACCTTCAAGAGCTCATCAGTGATGAATCAAAAGGATTAGAATATGTGAAGAACTTTGCGTTTTCGATATTTGAGAATTTGAACAATCAAATGGAAACCCACAATGTGACGAGATCCACAGCCACTGGGTTCATTGCCGTGTTGAACTTTTTACAGCTACTAAAACTTTGGGATCCACAGGATGAAGAATTGACAAAAGAAGTGGCGCATAGAATAAAGTACGCTAAATTCCATGCTGCTAGAATTTTGAAAGCTTTCAAAAATGGTGAAGATCCTAATGATTATGAACTTCCTAAACCAAAAAATAACAATGAAGATGAAGAAGCCATAGCCAAGTTGGAAGAGCAATTAAAAAATGAGAAGGTTGTGGGATCAGAAGAGGTTGACAAACATGATAGTTACGATGATAATAGCCGTGAAGATCATGTTGCTGTTGATAATGATGATGATGATGAAGAAGAAGAAGAAGAAGAAAGTAGTTCAATTAGATCAATGACACCTCCATTACTGGCAAACCAAACTATTAATGACAGTTCTAATGCTTCATTTATTGATAATGACCAAGCTTTGAAAGAAAGAGAAGCAAAGAAATTTTTGGCGCTTCAACAAGGCTTGCTGCATGCTATACCAAGACCAGCAAATGACTCCTTTGAACTAGAAATCAAACCAAAACCAGCACTTTCTTCTCGAAGCAGCTTATCAAGGGTTTCAAAGCCAGACGTTAAGACTATTATGGATGAAACTGAGTTGATTTCGAAAGCTCAAAAGCACGCCAAATATGCTATTTCAGCATTGAATTATGAAGACAAACCCACGGCAATTTTGGAGCTTAGGAAGGCTTTGGATCTTTTGGAGAATTGAGATTCATCTTTCTAGTCTACTTGCCTTTTCTTCTGTTCATTGAGTTATCTATTTAGTTATTTATCTTTACTTGTTTGTCTATGTACTTAGTTATCCATGTTCTTGGTTGGCTATCTGTCTATCCATATATCTATTATTTTTTTTTTTTGTTATGGTAGTGATCCATATGATAAGCTTTTTTTTTTTTTCAACTATTGCTTTTAGGTTCTCTTAGGTATTTGGGGGTTGGAATTATAATTCTTCTGCAAATTGAATAAACAGTAGGCCTACCGCCAATTTGTGAATTGTCTTTAATTCTATACGATCACATGGTATTTTGTAATAAGAAATCATATTTATAGTAGAAACAATACTCTCCAAAAATGACGTACAACTCCATTTGAAAATTTTTGTATATAGCTATTACAATAAGCTGTTGTATATATAGCCAGGGAATATATTGGTAACATTTAAGAGCTATTGTAACTATTATATATAAATAAATATTGCGGCCATTATATAAAGAGACATTGTAACTTCCAATAGAGTTTTTTTTTTTTTCTTTTTTTTTTTGGTGACTTTCATGGATTCTGATAACAATACGCCTTTCTTGTCTGTTCCCAGTACGTACAAGCGAATAGAGTAATAAAAAAGCCACATTCATTGTCAATTGAATTTGCCCCTGATAGCGAGGAGAATGATTTGCAACTAGATAATACCGAACATGTTAAGAAAAACAATATATTGCTGTAGTACCATTTCTGGTAACTTATGGATTAGAGTTCTTAGTACCTTGTTGTGATAATTATTATTATTGCCTTGATAATCATTTCGTATTTATTTTTGTTTTTTTAAATAGATGTCATGTCCCACGAAATTTTAGTTTTGAAATGTTAAGCTCAAGATCCTTGAATAACCAATCAGTAATTTGAAGTTTCTATGGATAGCTTGAACTGGGTTGGCCAATGATTTGGCATCTAATGACTATAGTTACATATAAGTTCTCGATACATTTCGAAATGTATCTCTATAGAGGGATCATCAATTAAAAGAAAAAAGAAACGTGTATCTCAAACGTTTTGTAAATTAGGGAGGTCACAGCCAAAAGATTGAGGAAGTAAGTAATTAAGGGCATCGAAATGGCTACCATGAGGATCTATTGCTATTGAATGAGGAAAGATCAAGGAGCAAAAACACCCACATTAGTGAGTATTGTTCAGGTCATGGGCAGGGATCTTGTTGGCAATAGAAGATAACAAGAACAGTGGATTTGCTATTGTAAGCTCAGGGGCGCTAAAAAATGATCTAGGATAGTTATATTATTACGTCCAATTTATGGATATATCTCCATAAAGGGCTTTGATCTAGGATTAGACATACCAAAGAGGAGTGGGTCGCCTCTAATTCCACGATCGGCATGCAAAAAAAAACAATCATGCGAACCACATATGGGCTATTTACATCGTAGGATTGTTACATTATTTGTTATTTCCTGTTCCTATTTTGATCTTCGGTAGCAGCAGTTGCTTTTACTATTTCAGGAATCTTTAACTGTCTTTATTAATTGCGAAGTGATCTACATCTATAAAGATTTCAACAACTTGTCGTTCGCTCGCTAAACCATGTCACCCATCTTTTTGGGTTGAATTGTCTGTTCATGGATAACAAACAAAAAAAGAAAAAAAGTTAAAACGATCTTAATTAAGACTTTTCCTTTTTGTTCTGTGCCTTAATAAACCGAGCAGTATCTTATCTTGCCACTAAACCTGTATTATTATCAACAGTCTTCTTTTTAAAGAAAACACCATGTTGAGGCAAACAGGCATGCAGGGGTTGTTTCGTTTAAACTTTTCCACGGTTGAAACTCAAATTGGGGAGTTTTTTTACTACAAACAATTCATTGCAATAATGTTTTTGATGTCCATCCTGTAGAGATTATCATAAAAGATTGTAACAACAATAACAACAATAACAACTAAAACACATACACACACACACACACACACACACACACACAGAGTCAAGGTGGATGAAATTTGTAGAGATTTTTGGATACCACGTAAATCATGTTACATCGACCTCATATTATTATAGCATGGGCAACTACGAGTTTTGTGACTAAAGATTGTCTTTGGAAACAAAAAAATATTATTTTTTTTCCAGAAGACATAAAACGGCGGTTTTCAGTTCTCGGCCTACCCAGGTTGTCACCAGGAAATTCAGGCAGAATTTTCCTGCATTTTTGGGTTTAAGTTGATCATCACCGATTGTTCAAATTTTCTCCCTCCTGCAAAAAAAAAAAAAAAAAAATTTTGGTCTTCTACCTGACAACCTTTGCTTCTTCTTTTTTTTTTTCTTCTTTTCTCTCCTCTTGCCAATAGAACTTAAAGTGATCTGAAACTTTATTGTGTGAATACCTGGAGAAGGGCAATATAGATTTTTACCCAATGCTTACATTTAGTAGACAAATTTTCTTTCTATAGTACAATTAATTGATTGAACAGTATAAACACAAAATTCAGTGAGCACAGCTAAAAAAACAAATTGCCTGAATATCAAATCTAAAAATTAAAAACAAACCCTGAACCAGCAGAAATAAACGAATAAGCTAACAAAAATAAAAAATTAATTTCTATGTCAAGAAATTGGGGTAAAAAAATAATGATGATGGGAAAAATAGAACCTTGGTTGTTTGTTGTAAGTACTGTTTGCACAGCTTCTATAATATAGTGAGTTATTAAATATTCTCATTTGAAGTAGAAAGAATAGTTTTCACGCATGTTTGGTGACTGTCTCTTAGAATTGCTTCTTCTGATTCCTTCATCTTCACCTTCTCCTCCAAAAAGACGCTTTCTTTCTCTGATAATGTCGACATTTTGGTTTGGCAATTTCTTGTTATAATCCAAAATCTTTGGCTGCAATGGAAACTTCATTGTTTGAACACCAGCATTACCATTTGGAGATTCGAAAAAATCTGAGCCATTAATACCGTTGCTGATCATCACTGGGCGATGGTGTTCGTTACTTGAGATGCCAACAGAAGGAGGTGGAGTGCTCACTTCAGATATGCTGCTGTCATCAGCACTTGAATAGAAGGAAACCGAGCTATTACTTCTACTAGAGAAGGCAGATGTGCAAGGAGAAGATGCAACAGAAACGAGAGAGCTCGACGAGATGTTGGCCATTGGGCTTGATGTGGAGATTGGTGTTAAATGTGGAGATGCCAAAGATGCTGGCACCACCATTGGACTGGACAAGAATTCGAGTGACAAGCTTGACAAGTCCTTGACCATGCAAATTGGGTTGACTTCAATACTCAACATGAAATTCGAAATCATCATTGGGAAATTGTTGAAATTGTTGAAAGATGGTAAGAAATCGCGAAGTTGGCACTTGCGAATGTTGGTTTTTGATTGGTTGTGCTTAGCCATATCCTTACTAATTGAATCAACGGTAGATGAAGGTTGGAGTTTGTTGAAAAGTAAGAAATCATTGAACGAAGAGATTAACCCGTCAATTTTTTGGAAAAGTTGATACTTGGTAGATCCATACTTGAACTTAAGTGACTTGGACTGGTTATTGATAAGAGAATCCAACATCAATACCGAGACTTTGCGGATGTTTCCCAATGAACTATGAGTGAAATGTTCGACAAAAGGAATGTTGTATTCGCCATTGGTATTGGTAGATGAAAGGTTTTTCTTAACCAAATCATACTTAAAAGAATCAATGTATGAACGATCCCCAAGAATGGTAGCTGCCATTAGCATACTGGCAATGGCCTTGGTGGAACTGCTGAAGAACATCATGTTACGTTCGTAGAGTGATAATTCCCCTAAAAGACTAGCTAAAGTCTCCATTTGTTTAGAAGGTTTGAAATTGGCGAAGCAGATTTCTAAGCAATCGTCGATGGTTGGATGATGGATATTCCAATCCAAGGTGGATAAGATATGAAGCTCAGTCTTCAAAACCAAGGCAATGTCGTAACTATTTCCGCAAGTAATCATGATTTCTTTTAAAGAGAACACTTTTGATTTATCATCGTGGATTTTTGAGGAGATCCAAAGACTGGTGAGGACAATCAATTGGTAATGGACCTTCTTTACGACCCTTTTTGAAAAGTATTGGTCCATGATTTGAATGGCAGTGTGCAAAGTCTTAGGATTCAAACTTAGTTGGAGATGTAAGTGGATAATGAAATCGAGTAAGTAAGGTCTTACGAACCATTTAAGCTCGGTTTGTAAGTCGATGAGAAGAGGGTCGACGATTTTGTTGCTTTTTTCGAGGGTAGCAAAATATTCGACAATATCAGCCTTATATGTTGCTTGGACGTCCTCGTTTAATCTATTCAGCAAATCATTTTGGGTCATTTTGGAAAAGCGAACAAAAAAATATAAGAAATAAAATTTCTTTGGTAACGGATTGAATGGGATGGGAATGAAAAAGGAGAGGCCACCGAAAAAGAGTGAATTAGCCAAGAGAGTGAAGCTATTAAAGGGTTGGAAGTGTTTGAACAATAATAGAAACCTTTTGATTAAAGTGGGTTACTTTATAATGGACATATATAACTTTTTCTTTTCTATTCCAATTCTCTCTCGCAATCGAAGGACATGACAGTATATATATAAAATAAGGGTTATTATATCTCTAGCAGTGTGCGCTGACGACCGACCGTCTGGCGTGCCATGCAATGCCATGCGTGTTCACCTTGCAGCTTGCCTGTTGCATGTTCTGTCTGTGTTAGCGATCGCGTCTCATGCGTGTTTCTCAAGCCATGCAGGAAGACATTCAAGCACACAGAACTGAAATTTTAAAAGTGCGTGCATACGCCTACAAACTGTCATCATTTGGGTGGGTTAGCTGCTGTTACAAGGGTTGTTGCATGGCAACTGGTTGCCAGGCTGAGGGGGGGTTTGCAGTTTGTGTTGTTGTTTTTTGTCCCACAGTAATAGCTGAGTGTTGTCTAAACGCGGGACATGAGATTGACAGTATAACATAATTTAATATCCCCATCACAGCGATGGATGTGAACGAAGGCAGCAAGAAGTGAAAAGGTGTCAAATAGCATAAATTGTGTAGCAGTACAGGCGCAAAGAATAGATAGTAAACAGGGTGGTTAGAGTTATCTTTCCATCCAAACATATTTAGGCGTGGTTACATATTTGGACGGGATGCTTCGCAACTTGCTCGGACAATCCAGACTAAGAGTATTTTTACAATTCAATTGAATTTGGGGGGTATTTTTAATCCAATATTCTCCAATCAGCAAACCAATCATTGAATAGAATTAAAGAAGAATTAACTTGTAGGAAGCAATTAATGCTGTTCAGAGGACAGATGACTCTTTTTGTTTCTTCGGTAGCGGAGTTGGTATTGTATTTTGTTTAATATTTGGTAGTTATTGCCATCATTTAATGTAGTAATATAATAATCCTAGAAACAGTCCAAGACATCTTATAGTTCTTTATTAGGACCTTTTTGTTTCCCCTGATCATCGGTTCTAAGCAATCAAAAGTATGGCTTGCAAAAAACAAAATAAAAAAAGAATGCACTAATGCCCATACTATTAAAAAGGAATTCCACAATAGTTAGATCGAAAATGTGAAATGCCTTAGAATTCTTACCTTAAGGTGTTGAGGATTACTCAAATAAATAGGATTTGGTTTTTCAATTCTTCAATATATTACTGTTATTTCTGTTTATGATCATCTCTCTCTCTCTCTTTCTCTCTCTCTCTCTCTCTCTCTCCCTGTCTCGCGCTCTCTCTTTTTATTTTTCCTGTCCATGTACATGATTTTCGCACATGTACAGTGACATAATATTGATTTTCTGTTTTCATATTGGATTCTTCTAAAATTGGCTGACATGGATCCCGAATTCAAAATCATACCTTGAAAGATGCTCGCTATTGTTTCCAATTTTCTCAATTCTTCTCAATTCATCCCTCTTTCACGATCATTGCTCAGCTTGAAATGGTTACGGAGGTGTGATTAGAAAATTGCTAATAATGCAAAGGACATTACTCCCAATTAAACGGCAGCATAAATCAATTTGAGAGATCGTCTACTATCATATCGATATTTTTCATTTAAAAAAAAAAAAAAAAAAATTTACATCTATTGGAAATATATGATATGGTATGTTATCTTTGTAAGTTATTCTCTTTATGATTTCAAATATATAAAAATATAGTAGGAACATTATCAAGGATAATTCAAACCGTAAAAGCATACATGCCTTCCACATGTGGCTGCTGCTTATTTTTCTTCTTAGCCATATTTTTCAATCCCAAAATGATTTCTAGAAAATTTCCCCGCAACAGAAACGCTCGAATTATCAAAAATAAATTTCACATGTCTGTCTTACATTTAATGAGGTTGACATAATTCTATGCTGATTAACACACAGCAGACTAATGAAGTGGATTATGTAGATATATAATTATCTTTACTTCTCAACAGATTCAATGATTTACTTTACTACAAATTGGTCTCATATAAAGACATAGCCCAAAAATGAAACAAAATACACCGGTGTATATAATAATCATTATTATGAAGGAAAATAGGGGGGATACGTGTTGTTGTTTTTTTTTTTGTGTGTGTGTTTTTTTTTGATCTGTCCACTCTGGTATAGTGGGGGTCAAAATTCCATTCTTGTGCAATCAGTGTTGGTTATACGGAACCCATTTTTGAATATACACGTAGGTTTATCACGGAGGAGAACCAAAACGGATCAGTGACCAGTAATTTCTGTGAACATACAAAGAAAAAGAAACTCTTGTCCGCTTTGGCATGGTGAACAATTTCAATAATTTAGGAGGCTCTCATTAAACTGCGATCAATTATATGATTGACTTCCCTAAAGGAGATAGTAATCAAACTATAATAATGATGAGTTCCGTTTCCGGTAAAACTCCCTTTTTTATTAGACGATCATCAAATTTTGATGCCAAGGGGAACGTAACTTTAGTATCATAAGAGATTCCAATACAAAGTATATTTTATCAGCTGATGATCAGAAAACAAAATCTAAAGTTACTCTTTTCATGGCATGTTATCTAATATTCTTTTGGCTTTTCAAGATCGACGTTGAAGCAAACGTGACAGAGCAACACCAGAATCATAATGCATTAGTTAATTAATTGTTTGTTTACCTTACATTAATTAATTGATGCTCTGCTTTTTTGATTAAAGAATTTCTTGAATATGAATTAGTGAAAATGGTTTCTGTGATTATTTTTAGCAAATATCGATAATTGGTGAGAAAGAATAATTATTTCATTTGTTGTCGTAATTACACAATCATGGCTATTACTGTTGTCCGTGGTTGGCAGATATTTTTATATGAAATTTCACCAGCTTGAAAAAAAAAAAAAAAAAAAAACACTAACGAAGAAATAAGTAAAAAAATAAAAAAAATAAACAAATAAACAAATTAACAGTAGGTCTCTCTATTGACGATATTTGATTCAATATACTGAGTAAATATACATGTATATATTTTTGTGCCATATCTGCCATATCTTTTCTGCACAAAAAGTCTAAATAAATTAAAGTTTTGTGTATGGCATGTGCCACGATAACGGGTCTTATTGAACGATGAAAAACAAAAAATGTCCCAAAGCAATAAGTGATGGTGAAAATATTTGTGAAGCAATAAATTATACCCAAATTAACACCAACAGTAAAGGCAATCAAGTTTTATTAGTAATTTAGATCCCTGAAGTTATTTCTGGAGAGAAATGAAAAAAAAAAATCTTTCTTATTAATAACACATACCCCTAATTATAACGGTCAATAAATTGACGATGTACGGGGGAAAGTAAATAGGTCACTCAGATAATCTCATTCTTGTAGGTGATTTGTTCCAGACGGTTCCTAATTGGGAGATTTTTTTGGGTTTTTCTTATTCAGAAGCTGACTGAGAATTTTCACTGCTTTACTATTCCTTAGAGTCTAGATCTCGGTTTAATATAATTGATTCCTCAACACTGTATTTCTTGTTAGAAGATGAATTCATCATATCATGCTATGTTTTTGAGAAAACTAGTAAATATACTCTTTTGAAAAATTGAAACCCTTGCTTCGCAAAGAACGAAGCCCCTCTTACTGTGATATCGAAATCAGATGCAAGTCAACAAGACTTCGTAATTCTCAGCATAAATATACTGCTTCGTCGTCTTTTCGCTTAGAATGCCATATAGTAAACTACATCTTACCTGTTGTTAAAGGTAATACTACGAAAAAAAAATTACTGAGAATGAATTTTCCTTCTAATGGATGATATAGTACTTATTGAATCCTATGGTGAACCTAAAATTCTGCATCTCACTATGAATCCTTTCATCCTGATATATGCCATTGTTTTACATGATAATGATTATAACAATATAAATCGATATATTTCACTCTCTTCTGGAATTGTTGAATATTTTCAATTTCAACATAAATCTTTTTCTTAATCCTTTAATAACATTAAGATCTGTCAAGCGTGTGCCTTTGTTCTTTTACACTTTCTATTGATTTCCTTTCTATTTTTATAAAAAAGAATCTTAATAATAGATTCAGAATGTAATAGAGAAATGAATTGATGATATTCAATCAAAGCAAGTTTGAAAAATCTATTGAATGAAAAAATCAGATAACTGTTTCATTTAGAGTGCTTGAGTCCACAGAGATGTGTTTTCTCAACAAAAAGGAAAAAAAATCGTAAAACCTCTTAACAACGTGCTTTCTTTAACAATTTCTCTAAGGTCAACACCTTTTCAATGATCATAAGTGAATCAGAATTCTATAGAAAGCCGTTATTGATGGATTATTTTTCCTATCTACATAATTTCCTGTAAATAGTGCAAATTTAACAGAAGCTGAAGAAAGGGCCGTAATAATTACTATTTGAAAGGCAGTACCAAAAAAACAATCGCTCCATTATATGATACAACATCTATCACAACATCTAAACTATGTGAGAAATCATTTGGAGTGCAATACAAATTTCTATTAGAAATGTTAACTAGAGTCCCTAAGGCACAAAATTCCGAAATCTTGTAATGGTGCTTGTGTGAATGTCATGTCAGTATTCCGCAGAATGCTGAATTCTACATGCACGATTTTCTTTCCACTATAGCCAAAAAGAATCTGATATAAATATATTAGACCGATTTTTTTTATTAGAGTAGTTGAAGTACTACAGCCAATAAACGTTAAAATATATATATATATTATTTTTCTTCCACAGGGAATCATGATACAGAATTATGGTATTAACGAATGGTCACCGTGATGAATCACCCTATGATATTTGATAGTGGTACCCACATATGGGAGTTTTTGCTCGAAGAGAATTGTGAGCATAAAAAAAAAAAAGTAAAAAGAGGAAGAGTCAAAAATGGGACCATATGCTGAAAAACGATCTGCTATTTTCTGGTGAATAGAAGAATATAACCTCGATGATCCTTATTGTTATTGAAGGGTTCAAATAGGCACAACGCGACTACATACATTGCAAACTCGTCTCAATTTATTGATGAACCTCGCAAAATATATATACGCCGACACGAAGAGAGGGAGAAATAGAAAGAGTAAGAGGTAGACTAGTAGCAAGAGGAAAAGAGAAATCCTTTGCATTAGTTCTGTACAGACAATTCATCATCATGTTGGCGGCGACTTTTTTTTTGTCCCACATATGTCAAACTGTCTACATGGCACAAAAAGTGGGACAAAATGACCCATTTTTCGAGAATGATATTTGTGGTAATCTCAGCCAGATTAGTACCACTTGTACTCTTGTTTATTTGGTGATCTATTTATTATTGATTTGTAGCTTAATCGCCATTTTATTTAATTATTTATCATATTCATTATTTATCATATTCATTTATCGTTTATTATTCATCCGTTATTCGTTATTAATTCGTCGGTAATTCAATTTGCTGCCGCCCTGTCACCCATTTATCTGCATATCACAAGAAATGATCAGCAGTTTTAGCATTGAAAAAACACACAAACTTGAAGGTATTTAATACCTCCCCGTTTACCAAAAAAAAGGGGACACCAATTAATAAATGAACGTTTAGGGCAATTGTAAATCTAGACCATTTGATCTTCTTATATTTCCCCCTTGTTCAGAGAGTATATCAACCCAATGAAGACATGTTTTTCCAACTCATCCCGCCCCCCTCCCATCTCTCTTTAATGTACCATCCACTGGAATTATTATTTTTTTCAAGGATATAAGTAAAAATGATCGTCGGCCAGGGGGGGGGGTCTAATTTTAGTGATTTTCTGGTCCATTTTCGCTCATCATTTTTTTAATTGCGCGAGTGACGTTTATTGTTTGAGATGGTAGGGCACTACCCTTTTTGCTTCTGGCTGGAACATTATTATTGCTCAAGCAACCAGCAAGGGATTGGTGAAGTCTCTTGGGTATATTGTAGTAGTACTTTGTTCCAATGCAATTCTGCGGATATTGGAGCTCCCTGGCTAACTTTTTCTCGGATTGCGGAAAACCACCATGGATAAAATATCGGGCGAAATATTACAGAATTGTGTGATATCATACCCGGCAGCAGTTGTTTCTTACTTTTGGTGAATTAACAGCGAGTTTAAGGAAGTCAATATTTACGCTATAATCTCCAAGCGGTACTAATAATATGTTTGATGATCATGGTTGAAAATAAGGAAAAAATGTCTCTTCTTTTTTTAGATATAAGCTCCCACATTATTGACTTGTTATGGATAAAATCTAATATCATCACTCAGTTATTTTTGGGTGTATTTCTCGTGTTTATGGCCCTTAATTTGTGTTATTGCCTGAATATTTAAGTCTAAAAAAAGAATAAGATTGGAACTAAAATAAAGAAATGATCCTTAAAATATGACGGATTCGAAAAATAAGGAAACTAATTACAGTGAGCGGGAGAGCTAACGTGAATGGTTCAAACCAGAGTTCATAGATACGGTTTCGACAAGATATGCCAACAACGAGAGTGTTTATTATTATGTTTTCTTAATTATCAACAGGCACTATAATATGATAGCTTCTGATAGCTTGAAATATCTACCAATAGAGGCTTCTCATGACCAGGCCTTCATTTTGCCCCATGATGATTATTTTTCAGCCAAAAAGCAAACAACATCAAGCGTGTAAGTCAACTTTTTAAAGCAATCAAGGGGAAAAGTATTATCAACTATTGAAGAGCGTCTAAAAAGCATTGATTCTTTCCTATCAAATGGATACATGCTTACCAGAAAGTTTGGATTTTTATCATCTATTAGCACTGAAAATACCAAGATTCTCCAAGTAGTAAAGAGACCATTAAATCAGTTGTTTTTGATGGCAATTTATGGCTCTTAGATTCTTAAATTATGAATAGTAATTACCTACGGTTATTATTATGAAAAATTTCTGCGTATTGTAGCTAGTTCTGAAAAACTGTCATTTGTTTGTTCTAGTTTACTTTCAAAACCAAAGAAATGCGTGAAAAAAAATATAATTGTTAATTCCAAAAAGATCGATTATGGAAATGAGTTTGAATTGCAATGGACGCTCTAAGATTGCTAGGACTGTCATTGATCGTATTGATATCCTCCAAAAACACCAGGATAAACCAGGATAAGCCAGCGTATAGCCTTTAGAAATATCTCCAGAATGATCAAATAACTCTTGTTCAAGAACTATAAATCATATATCTTCAGAATGACTAGAAAACTTCCTGAAATTCTACATCAATAAATAGTATCAAAAAGAGATTAATTAAATTAGAATAAAAAAAACTAAAACATAGACTATTTCAAAATATGATCTAATATCAAGTCATTTACTCTTCATCATCTTCGAGAACAACAGTTTGCAAACCCTTGGTAGTGGCAACAGTGACTGGTTCAACGAAAGAGTACAATTTGTCCTTAGCATCTTCTTCTTCGTTTCTCTTTCTAGAGATTCTGATTCTCATTCTGTATGGAACACCTTGGACACCTCTCTTCCAGATTTCTTGGTTCAATTTTGGGTCCAATCTGACGTCGTTGGTCTTCATGTGCAAGTAGGCAAACTTCTTGATTTCCTTGACAGCCTTTGGAGCTCTCTTCTTGAAGGTAACACCATGCAACTAAAAAGTGTTGGTTAGTATCAAAATAAGATGATTCAATATATCAAGGGATGAGAAAACAGAAATTTGGAACTTATTAGTTGAAATGGCAGTGGGTGAGCAATCAAATAAATTCAATAACAAATAATTTTAAAAGGAAGGAATGAATCAAGGTTACTCATGTGTTTATGCTTTCCTCTCTGTTAAATTTTTTTTACCCCCTTTGATCTAGCTATAAAGATACAAGCTTATTTTTCAAAAACTGGATGATAATAAAACTTCCTTAGATCTCTCTTTCCATATTGTTTTCTCACTGTAAATTACTTCATCATTTCATTCATATCCATTGGAAACATTAAAACACTTAGTCATAACAACCCATTCAAGTTTCAACTATCAAAAACCTCATTCACACACATTATACGTTTATAGGTTTCATTTCCTTTCCCTTCAATCATAAACAATCATTGATGTTCCCTTTGTGAAAAATTTTTCCATTCCTTTTAATCATCATCTGTTGAGAGCCATGCCATATCATATAATAATTCCCTTCGATTTCCCAACTTCATCCAAAAATTTCCCACTTACTCTCTTGTGCAAGTTGATGGTATATTCACGAGTGACGACGTCCTTAAGGGCACTTCTGTTGTTAGACATTGTGGATATATTTACTACTGTTATTTAGACCTCGAAGTATCTCTTCCAAAAACCTTGAGTAAGGACTCTCTAATTTTTTTTTTTTCTTCCACAAACCACTTGGAAAATTGAAAATTATCCTGTAGCGCCAGTAGCAATTATTTTTTCGCGGGTTGTTGTCGGTTTGGGAGGCGGCCGGTTATGGCGCATGGCCAGTCACAGTCACTTGGGGGAGGAAAAACGCCAATGATGTAAATAAAGCCCTGCATGGAATAACGTGATATTATGGTGACACGAATGATAACATTAGGGCGGAATATAGCGGTATCAACATTCAATTCTATTTTATGGAGCATCAACTACAAAACAAAGAAAAAAAAAATATGGATTCAATCGAATAATGTGTGAATTGAAAATATTTTGGAGCAATAGGGCAAACAAACAAACAAACAAACAAACAAACAATAATCATTCCATCCCGTAAACCTTGTCAATATTCATCTTCCAGCAATTTATCAATATATCTACATGTTCGATACTGTCATCCTTGACCACATCTTCAATCACCAGCTCCTTGGGATCCCCTTCATCAACCGTATCTTTGCCTAAAGCAGTATCGAATTTCACTATCAAATCATTCTTTCTTTTCCCACTACGGAAGATATCGATAAAGTCACCATCATTTCTCACGTTTAGCTCGATCAACCCACAAAAGTGACACAAAATCCGTCCAGTGATTCGGGTGTCTTTGTAGAGATTAACCAAGTCTTCCCAGGATTCAATCTTTGGAATCTTATCTAAAGGCTTGAGATTAAGGAGGTCATCGTTATCTAATATTGGAGCGATGGTCATCAAAACTTTTACAAGAACATTGATGGATGGCAAATTTGATAATGTCTCAACTTTATTGATTGCCAACAATTCTTCAGTATAAGATTTGGATTTTGAGAAATTTCCTTGGATTAGCGATACCAATGATGCCAAGAGACAATAATCAGAGAATAATTTTTGGTCCACTAATTTTAGCGACGCATAGCCCGACTCGTTGCCCTTCTTGGTTTCGAACTTCAACTTTAAGTTATCGATTATTGAATCGCTATGAGTGAGGAAGGTTGGATAGTCCCTTTTAGCAATCAAATTGGCACTGATGTTGAAACTCAATAGATAGATTATTACCGTAGACGAATCAACCATCGCTTTACTATCGATATTCTTGGCGACATTCTCTCGCAAGATCCACAATAGGCTGAATATTTCTGATGACGATAAGGTACTCGGACTATTGGTCCGTAATCTGATTATCAACAACTCAAGACTCAATGGGATATTGGCAGGAAACCCTATCTTGCGATTCTCCCCGTGTAGAACATGCGTCAACTTGAACAAATGGTTACTTAGCTTTTTGGACTCTTGTTTTGCAATGTTTACGCATTGCGGCTCATTGGATAGCACAAGACTCGTGAGCCTTGACTCCCAAAGCTGGTAAATCGACGCATAATCATCGGGAGATAGGTTGGTCGATAGTAAGATTCTCTTGGCCATAGATGCTGCGGCAATGTAGTATGTTTTGCTATTATCAGAATTATCGATATTATTGAAAACAGCACTAGCCAACAAGTACTTCAAACACTTCAAATCCCTGGCCAGGGGACCATCATCCTGGGAGATTATTGTTTGGGGAACCTCCGGCAACGCCATCTGGGGGGCCGATAGAAACAATCGTCTTTCCAAAAGCGCCAGGTACGGCGAGATGGTTATCTGGGGGACATCATCTGAGTCCATTATAAGACACTAGCAGAGAACAGAAAGGTGTGTGGAGAGGGAAATAAAAAGATATAATGAATATATTGATCGATCGATATTGATAGCTGCTATTGATCATTTTGTGGTTTTGATGTGGTTTTTTCGCAACTACCCGTGTATATGGTATACGCCAGCATCAGGAATTTTCCAGTTGAGTCTTTTTTTTTATTTTTATTTTTTTTTTTTTTCCTCATCGTGATAACAATAGATATCCTGATACCGGATTAATCTTCTCTTGCAAAAGGGCATAAGCTATCTAATCTAGCTATCTGTTGTTATTACCATTCTCACTTACTTCTCGCAAAGTGTTTTGCCGTTACTCATGCATTGAAGCAACATAAAGAAGAAGAAGAAAGAGCAAAAAAAAAAGAAAAAAGAAAGGAAGGAAGGAAGGATCCATCTTACCAACAACACAAGCAATAGTGTGAAGGAACATCAAAAGATAACAGGAGAAATGTCTGTTAATGAGCACCAGCAAGTTGGTCTGAATCCTATGTCGAACTCCGGCTCTAATGATTCACGAAACTCCTCGACCAACACCATCAGACTCCCGCCAATCTCATTTATCAGTGGGTTGCAACGCCCAAACATGAATGGCAATAACCTTCCAAAACTCGAACCTAACGATAATCCTCAGACCCCACAGCAAGATTCTATTCCTATGAGCCCTCATATCCCACCTCCGTCAGCATCATCTTCGACATCGGCCACCCATCAGGATTCTCCTCGTCGTTTTGACATCCAACGTACCTCAACCTCCTCGAACTCTCCGAATGTCACCTCCAAACCAACTTTACCATCCTTTGACCATACTGCTTCGTCAATTGACCATTCTCCTAGACCGGTTTTACCTCCAACGTCTCTTGGTGACAAACAAGGTCCATTGCCCCTTAGCTCCGGTGGTAGTGGTAGCGGGGTTTCAAAACCGGGGTATCAGCTACCAGGAATCTCTTCGTTCGATAATGGTAACCGAGGCAATAATAACATTAATTCGATCTTGAATAACAATACCAATGAAACAAGTGCAACAAATGGTATTTACCAACCAGCGTACGGATCACCTTCAACGGGGAAACCGTTCAGCAGTGGCTCTAACATCAACAGCCTATTGAATAACAACGCCGATAACGAAGATAATAATGATAAAAATGGTTCTACTACTTCTACTCACCAGAATAATCTTCCAACCCCAGCAACTTTCTCTAGCCCTCATACCCCAGTGGTTTCAACAACCGGTTCCAGTGCGGGGTCGCATGAATTACAGCCATCATCGTCGTCATCTTTACAAACCAGGATGATTATCCATCAGCATCATCCAACGAGATTCAATCCAAGCAAAGACGAACCATCCAGTGCCAACACCTCCACTGATGTATCTTACAATTCGCCGGGGATGTATGAAAAAGACACCAATGTGTTATCGTCCTCAAAGACCGTTGCTGCTGCTGCCCCGGATTCTAATGTACAAGTTGATGGCCAAGAACCTACGACAGTTGTATCAACCGCTATTGGACCAGTCAATGAAGAAACAAATAGTGTTTGTGCTTCACCAAGGAAAGAGACTCCTAAACCTTTTATCAAGCCAAAAGTTGTGGTATCCAACGAAGAAGCCCTTGGATTCGCAGGGAAATTCCCACGCAAACGGTTGGGATCAATGGTATATTCCCTTTCCCCAACTTTGTCGCTTCAAGCAATGTTGGATAACGATACCAGGGAGGACAAAGAGTTGGAAGAAGTGTATAAGAAAGAAATTGAGAAGAACCACACGTTTGTGATTCCCGAACTTCGCGACCATATCAATAGTATCATCACGGTTCGTATCCCAAAATTTTATTTACAACATAAAAATAACCCGAATTTGAGCGTGAAGAGACGCAGTGTGTGGGGTACCGATATTTATACCGACGATAGTGACATCGTGGCGATTTTAAAACATTGTGGGTTCATTAGTGATCTAGAAGATTTCGACGATTCGGAGGAACAACAAGTGATGCAGGACTTGAAAGAATTGGTTGGTGAGCAAAACCGAGTGGTCATTACCCCGGGTTTCAAATCTGATAAACCCAATGTTTTGTATGCCAATAGCCTATTGAATGATGATGGTGATAATGAAACGGGAAAGGCCAAGGATAAAGATGACACTGGCACTGCTGCTAATGTTGATAATGATACTGAAAAGACGGCTAATGGGAAACAAAATGAGGATAATAATGATGATGTAAAGCCTGATGAAGATCAAGATAAAACTCAGAATGAGGAAGACCTAGACAAAACTCAGAATGAAGAGGATCAAGATAAGACTCAGAATGAGGAAGATCAGGATAAGACGCAACACGAGGAAGATCAGGATAAAACTCAACATGAAGATACTACAATTGGCGAGGAGAATGATGATGAGAAAAAGCCGAAGCCAAAGGAGGAAGGGGGAGAAGAAGAACAAAAACAAGAAGTGGAAGCAGAAGAGGAAGAAAAGAAACACGATGAGTTTGGGATTGAGCAATTCAAAAACCAGTCGAATATCACAGTAGAGTTACTTGTTTTACCAACTCTCAAGCATTACCAAGGGTCATTCCGCAATAACTTGAATTCCAGAAGTTGGAGAAGTTCTCATGATGGGGTATCGGTCGCGTTGTATTCGGTAAAGTATGACAATTTCCAAGTAAATGAAGATGGCCCAGCTCTAGAAAACAAAAGCGCTTTTACTTATGTCAGTGCGGATAATAATAACATTCAATATTTGAATCAATCATTTTATGAGAATGTCAAAAGAAAAGTCAGTGGGTTTGATCTTCCAGAACCAAAGAAGGTGAAAGTATAGTGATTTATATTCGTTTATATTATTTTCGTTTTTGTTAATTCTTTTTGTTTTATATTCAGAGAAACTCTCCAGTGTTTGCTTTTAGGTTCAATATTAATAGTTTGGTTATTAGAAAAGTTGTTGTAAATGTACACATTTATGTTCAAATTATCATCAATGTAGGTTACAATAATAACGCAAGTTACTTCGATAGAGATACCACAAATAATTATTCTAAACAATAACAATGACCTCACTGATTATAATTTAGAAAAAGAATTTGCGTCAGAAGCCAAAACAAAGTGCAATGGCAACGACACGATGCGATGGGCGGATGAGCAAGCCCAAACCACCAGACATCACCAGAAAGACCAAAAATAAGAGTAACAATAGTTTAAAACTGCTTCCGGTGGAAGCATTTCAGTTGTTACGCTGAAAAGAACAGATACTACACTTGATCTAAGCCAAAAGGCAAAGAGATTTGGTCTTTCTAAAAAGAATCATGAAAAACAATATAAAAAAAAATTGCTGGAATTCACTGCCTTTTATACTTTTTTCTTGTTGTGGTGTTCGGGTTTTCTTTTTTGTACCTTCATAACCTCTGCGTTACCCAGCCTCTATGCACCAGCCAAGGGTGTGCGACCCTGCCGATGAGATGATTGAACAACAACAATGCTGCTACCAATGGTTGTTACAGATCTCCTTAATATATCCAAGTGACAATATTGTTTTGCTATTAAAGAGACCCATTGAGTCAGTTTTTATTGCTAGCTATTTATTCCATCAAAATGACCAAAGTTTTCATCATTGGCGCCACGGGGTTAGTGGGTGGCGAGTTTCTTAAAGCGGTTGACGCCTCCAGCAAATATACTGGCGTTACCACTTTAACCCGTCGTCAATTGCCCCAAGATGTGTCATCCAAAGTCAATGCGATTGTTGAAGCTGATACCTCCAAATGGCCAACGATCATCCAGTCTGAACAAGACCCTAATGTGTTTTTCTCTGGTCTTGGGACCACCAAGGCCGATGCTGGCGGGTTAGATAAACAATACAAGATTGACCACGATTTGAACTTGGAATGTGCTAAGGCTGCCAAAAAGGCTGGCTTCACCACCTACGCTTTAATCAGTAGTGATTTGGCTAGCTCTTCTTCGAGGTTTGGGTACTTGAAGATGAAGGGTGAACTAGAAGATCACGTCAGTGAATTGGGGTTCGCCAAATGTTACTTTTTCAGACCAGGGTTGTTATTGGGGGACAGAACAAAAGCAAAGGCTCCAATTGCCGAGGCGATTGCTGGGAAATTCCACCGGACTTTCATGTCAAAGTATATGATGAAGCCGATCTATGGTAGTGAGGTTGCCAAAGCAGTATTGAGAGTGGTGGAGCAGCCGCCAGCCGGCTCTTCAAACCCAAGAGTGTTTGATGCTACAGAATTACTTGATATTAGTGAAGAAAAGAACTAGGGATCTTTTTATTATTTTTATTTTTTTGATGTCTTTTCTTCCAATGCGTTTATTGCACATTGTATATACGTTGGCTCATCTATATTTTCTCTTGTACTGTCCGGGGGTCAATGTGTGTTGGACTCCCCAAAGCCCCAACTTTTGCTGTTTGGCCTTCTTCTCACACCGTCTGTAGATTGCTTCTTGTCCATCGAACTCACTGCCTGCTTGGTTCTCATAGACCACGGCAATCCCATTTTTCAACATCTCCTCGCCAACGTCCTTGGTGATCACCCCCCACTTCTTGATCAACACTTTGGATACCACTCGATTATACTGGTCGATCCGTAATGGCTTCACCTTGACTTTCTGATGCAACACGTACTGTCTCAACCACGCAAGACTGTCGTCGGCAAACGGCTGGCTGGGTTTGCCAAAATGGGCCCTTTCTGGGGCATCGACCCCACATAATCTTACCGACCACGTCTGTTTGGTCAATTGTTTTCTCGCGGTTGGCGGATGACGGAGCCAGCCCCATCCGGCAAACACTCCCCCAGGAGTATGGAAGAAATGGAAATTATCACCATCTCCTACACTAGTGACGTATCCCACCGAGAATTTCTGACGGAAATGGTTGGTGGGGATATCTAGGGCGGTGGGTACCCTTACAAGATGTCTTTTGTACCAGCCGTAACTTGCAAGAAACCCGCCAGTTAAAACACTCGCTAGAAGAATGGTCTTGGGATGGAAGATCGAAATGTCTTTGGCAGAGGAAGTCTCAGTATTTTTATTGTCTCCCATAATTGTTATATTATATTATTATTTACCATCACCAATGGAAGATCACCGATGGTTTGTTTGTTAGTTTTTTTTTTCAGATGCCCTTTTTTCCAGTGTGTTGGCTGATCTTCCACTACGCAGCTCTAACAGCACATGGAATGAGAAATTCCATGTTTACTGAGAGAGAGGATACATACACACAGTCACTGTTGAGCACATTCTTTGCAATCTCTCTCTCATAACCTCTGAAAGTATCATCCCATCGTAACCATCTATTGTCCCCCATCGGCAGCCCCACTTCCCAGAGAACATCTCACCACGTGCTGGAAGAGGAAAAAAAAAAACGACAACACATAGATTCTTTTTTTTTCTTTCATCCTTGCTGGTTGATGATTTCTTCTTCTTCTTCTTCTTTGTCCACGTAATTACTCATTTTACTCGACACGTCTTGTTCTATCCTCCCCTTACCTATTTCTCATAATGTCCTCCTTCCAAGATAAAGAAATCCCTGGCGTCATTGCCCTCTTTGATGTCGATGGTACTTTGACCCCTGCTCGTTTGGAAATTGGTGAAAAAATGAAGACCCTTTTACCTGAATTGCGCAAGAAGATCGTCATTGGGTTTGTCGGGGGTTCTGACTTGGCCAAGCAAAAGGAACAATTGGGTAGTGATGTCCTCAGTCAATTTGACTACTGTTTCTCCGAAAACGGATTGACCGCTTTCAAAGAAGGTCAAGAATTGGCATCTCAATCCTTTATCAACTGGATTGGTAATGAAGAATACAACAAGTTGGCCAAGTGGATCTTGGGTTACTTGGCCTCGATCGACCTCCCAGTTAGAAGAGGTACTTTTATCGAGTTCCGTAATGGTATGATCAACGTTTCTCCAGTTGGTAGAAACGCTTCTACTCAAGAAAGAAACGACTTTGAAGCTTACGACAAGATCCACAAGATCCGTGAAACTATGGTCACCGAATTGAAGAAGAACTTCCCTCATTTGGCCTTGACTTACTCTATCGGTGGTCAAATCTCTTTTGACGTGTTCCCAACTGGTTGGGACAAGACTTATTGTTTGCAACACATTGCCGACCAAAAGTTCAAGGAAATTCACTTCTTTGGTGATAAGGCTTATCCAGGTGGTAACGACTGGGAAATCTTCAGTGATGAAAGAACCATTGGCCACTCTGTCAAGAACCCTGACGAAACTTATGATATCTTGAAGGAATTATTCTTCAAGGAACAATAAGCATCCTCACATCAAATAATCTTATTTAGTTCCCATTTATAGTACTTTAATTTTTATTTTTTTATTTTCCATTTTTCTCTATTCAATATCTATTGAATTTTGAAATAGATTTGTTTTTCTATTTTTCTTCTTTCCAATAAAGGTTGGAAGATCACTTAATCTACACTAATTCTATAATTTATTAATCAAAAATATATTGAGAGTAAATAATAATAATAATAATAATACTGATCAAGAAAAGCCAATAATTTACACAACATCTATTGTTCAGAAAAAGATCACAAAAAAATATCACAAAAAAAAAACACCAATGCTAAAAACACAAAGCAACAAGCACTAGACAGAACTGGGGAAAGAGTAAATTAATATAACACAACACTAAAAATATGAAGCGCATATGTAAAAAAAAAAAATCAATAATAATAACAAGACTGTGGAAAAAAAAAATAGTAAATATTAATAGAAGATGAGAAAATCAAAAAAAAAATTAAAGAAGTAAAATCCATTAACATAAATTCAAGGAAAGAAAAAAAAAATTGAGAAAAAAAAAATTATTAAACAAAAATATGGAATGTTAATTATCAGGAGCGTTTAATCCTTCATATTTGTATCACCATCGCGGTCCTTTTCATCTTGATTATTCTTTGCTTCTTCCTTAATCTTTGCTTCTTCCTTAATCTTTACTTCTTCCTTTGGAGCGCCTTCAACTTCTTTCTGGTATTCATCATCAGTTTTACCAGTTTCCTCTGTATTCTTTTCTTCTTCCATCTGCTCCAATTCTTCATTTTTAATGCTTTTTCTTTCTTCTTCTATCTTATCAGCTTTGTCCTTTTCTTCATTCACATTCGTATCCGAGTTGGCATCCTTCATTTCTGTATCATCCTTTGGTACTTCATCAGTTTTATTTGGAGTTTCTGTCAGGGCTGGCTTATTTTCTTCATCTTCATCTTCTTCTTCATCTTCTTCTTCTTCTTCTTCTTCTTCTTCTTCTTCTTCTTCTTCTTCTTCTTCTTCTTCTTCTTCTTCTTCTTCTTCTTCTTCTTCTTCTTCTTCTTCTTCTTCTTCTTCCTCATCATCATAATCTTCATCTTCTTCAATTTGTCTTTCCTTAATCTCATCCTTTTCTTCTTCGTTCAATTCTTCGTCTTCATCTTCATCAACAGGCTTAGCGTCAGGCAATTTCAAATCAGAATTTTGGGTCGTCGTAGCGGCTTCTTCCTTATCAGCAACCCCCTTTTCTGTTTCAGTTGCTACTGTAGTAGTATCATTCGTCTCCTTATTCAGCTCAACCAAGGCTGCTGGGTTTTCATTGGCATTGCTACCATTCCCATTTGATTTTTCAGTAGTAGTGGCGACAGAAGTTTTAGAGATCTCTGAAGACTTCATAATGTTATTCCTAGCACCATTGCTGGACAGTGTTTTTCTAATTTTTTCCTTGGAACTACCATTATTTAATTCAGATTCACGTTTCGCCGGTACAAGAGGTTTTAAATCTTGCTTAACTGGTTTTTCAACAGAATTAGAAGCATTATTAACAGTTGTTAGGATTTGTGTTGGGGCTGTGGCTGCTTGGTCGGAAAATTGGCTATGTGTAGAGCTTTTAGATCCATTGTTCAAAATATCTGGATATGCTCTACTTGGAGCCACCGAAATTGGAACCGGAGTTACTATTGGTGCTGGAGTTATAACTGGATCTTGAACAGGGGCTGGTAGTGGAGCTGGAGCAACAGCGTTAGGAGGTGCTGCAACAGGTTGTGATGTGGAATGAGGAGGATAAGAAACTGCATTAGGGCCTTGTGTGTGCACCTGTGGCTTCTCACGGTAGCTATTCGTAGAGCTAGCGGGTTTAACTTGAGATGGATAACTATCTTGAGATGGAGGAGCTGGAAGAGCTGGCGCTTGAGATTGTGGAGCTGGTTGTGCTAGCGGGGTGGTCCCCATTTCCAATTGTCTTAAAGGTTTCTGCTGTTGGAATTCTTGATCTTGTCTATTTGGAATCATCCCTGAAGGCAATCGTATTTCCAATGAAGGAGGTGGCAAGGTTGAAGTACCACCTTCCTTTTGATATCTTTGTAATTGCTCCAATCTGGCCTTGATGTGAGGGTTGTTTGGATCTAAGCTTTGCGCATGATTGTAAGCATCTAACGCATCGGTCAACTGGCCATTGCAAGTTTCATACAACGTACCCAAATCATACCAAACTTCGGAGATATATGGGTTCAATCTAATAGCACGAGTGTAGGCATTAAGAGCATCACGATACTGAGAAATTTGATAATAAAGAACCCCAATAGAACACCAGAACGTTGGGTTACGGGAATCTTTATTGACGGCATGTTGAAACGCTTCATATGCTTCATTATAATCACCTTTGGCCATATGAACACGACCAAGATGGTACCAAGTATGAGCATCTTCTGGGTCGAGTTCGAGAGATTGATTAAGAAGTTGAAGGGCTGAATCAAGATTGTGGAAATTTGCAGCTTGTTGAGAGTACAAACAGCCGAGAAGTTGAAGGACTTTTGCATGACGCGGGTTCGATTGGAGAACTCTTTCATACGCATCCTTTGCTCCAGTGAAATCACGTTGTTGTTCAAGAACAGATCCGATTTGGAACCACACATCTGGTTGGGTCAACGGTGATGGAGGATCTGGGAGAATATATTTGAAACAATCCAACGATTGGGTACATTTGTTTTGTTGTTTGTAAATGATCCCGAGTCGGAAATAAATTTCTGTTGCCTTTTCAAAGTTTGGATCGAGTTCAAGAACACGAGCAAACGCCTCCTCTGCGAATTCAAGAGATCCATAACGATCATATAAGATCCCAATTCCGTGCCATAATTTAGGGATATTTGGATTTTGCAAATGATACAATGCTTGTTGGTACGCAGCGTAGGCTCTCTGTAAATCATCCAACATCAAGTAGCAATGACCAAGTAACCCCCAGGTTTCCCCATTAGAATTATCGGTGGTCAACGCTTTTTGATAAAGTTCTGCGGCAGTGGAGAACATATCACGATGGCGGTACAAATTCCCAAGTCTGGTCAAAGCTGGAGCATTGCCAGGATTGACTTTGAGGACAGAGTTATAAGCCTGTACTGCACGATCAGCGTTGCCCATAGTTTCAAAACAAGAGGCGATCGAGAACCAGGTATCGGCCATGGCATTTATACTGGCAACATACGAAGGGTTTTCCGTCTGTTGTTGAGATGAGACTTGCTGAGATGACTGTTGGGTCATTCCTTGGGCCGATGATGGTGGTTGTTGCTGTGGTTGTTGTTGTTGTTGCTGCTGTTGTTGTGGTGGTGGCTGTTGTTGTTGTTGTGAAGCAGGAGGTGGCAACGTAGCTGGACCGGGTGGTGGTGGTTGATGATGATGTTGAGAACTGCCATTTAGGCCACTAGAATCATTTCTGATATGGTGGTGTGGTGGTGGTGGGAGGTATTGGTTCTGCTGGGGAGGGGTGGCGGCAGGTAAGTGGTGACTGTTGGGATTTATCATTGGACTCCTTGCGATGGATGAAGGCTGGTGAAGCGCCGACATTGTTGTTGATGATGATTGTATTTTGAGTGTATTTTTTTTTTTTTTTTTTTTTTTTCTTCTTCTTGTACTTGTTTATTTGGAAGATCTTTCCTTTTCACGTCAAGTAAGTGACTGTCTATAAGTGCAAGATATGGGGAGTGATTATCAATTAGTAGACCAGGATTTAACGGTACTTTACCATCGAGGAATGGGAGATGGCAAGAGAGACAGGGGTGGGGCAGGTATGACGTTGTATCGTTGTATAGTGTCAAGGGGAAAAGAGGGAATATTCAGCAGTAATTGGCCGTTTGTGGTTGAAAATTTATGTTTTGGAAAGTTTGAAAGGCCGCCGCCGCCACCCCTCGCTCACATTTCCCGCCCGCCGCCCTCCTCCTCCTCCCTGGCCCCAGGGCTACAACGCCACGGCAGAGCGAGAAAACTTTATTCGGCACCCCCTGACGCACCCCCTGCATCAGCAGCCGCGGTCACGTTTTTGATGGTTTGGTTTCTGGGTGTTTCTGGGTGTTGGGTTTATTGAAATTAAATGGATGTCAGTGTGGTGTGGGTGTATTAGGTAATCAATTACAAAGACCCGTGGCAATGGCGTGTGTTGCCCGGTTATTACTATTTACAGCGATATCATCCGTAATAATAATAATAAGAATAAGAATGACAATTAGTGTTAACCAAACCATTCCTAATCAAAAATAGAATGAAGCAATGAGTACCGTCATATCTCCCAGGTCCATTGTCAGGGCCCCAAGCATCTCCTGCTTTCTCCCAGTTGACAATCGTTTGCTAATTGCAACAATTGGAGGCGAGATTATCATCTACTCCACCACCGATGATGATTCCAATAGCACCTTTGTCAACGACCCTTTAGATAGTCCTGTCACTTTAACATCGCTCAACAATTCCCACCCAACCTCTCCAATTCTAAGCGCCGTATCACCCAGCAATAACCCTGGTGACCCGAGCCTACAAAACTGGCTAGATTCAACTGGTCACCAATTGACCGCGGTGACAAAGTTTCAGATATCTTCTAAACCAATAACGGAAATGAAATACCTAAAGGATCTCAATTACTTAATTCTCAAGTATGACAATTGCCTACATCTCTACAATTTCTCGACTTTCAAGCTAGTGAAGACCCTCGTGAACTCAAAAGGTTTGACTTCATATGCTGTGTTCTCACAAATGTACGAATCAGAACTTGGAGAAATTTATAACCATCAACGAACAAAAGAATCAAATAATAATCCACCAAAAGATAAAGACATCCAATCAAAGCTCCATAAATTGGACTCGTACTCTTTGTATCAAAACTTTTATGATCACGATCCTTTTGAAGAATCTTCAATGTCAACTGCATCATTCACCACCACTGCTTACGCCCCCGATGATATGATTCACTCATACCTAGCGTATTCAGTTAAACGCAGACTCTATATCATTAGTTGGGATATTAACGACTCGAACTCTTTTAAAGAAGTCTCAATTGCGTTACCAGACAAAGTCCGGAACTTTGAGTTTCTAAATAGTACAAAAATCCTTGTGGGGCTAACTTCAGACTTTGATATTGTTGATATTCCAACTGGTACATTAATCCATTTGCCACTACCGGCAATATCCATCAATGCCTCTTATTCTTCGTCGTTTCTTTCATCGTTTAGTGGTGGTCCAAGACATAATCTTTCATTAGTTAAACTAATTCATAATCTGACCCTTCTTGTGGCACACGACAGAACTTCAATTAAACTTCATAACGCCACATTGGAGCCTCTCAATAAATCATATCTCACATTCACTTCAACTCCGATCTCCATACACTATCTTTTCCCCTATATTGTGCTTGTGACCACCACCGCGATCGAAATCCGCGATCCGAAAAATGGCTATTTACTACAATCCATTTCCATTGGACATTCGCAGTCTCCAATTTCGATCATCGTTGATCCAATTCAAAATTTCTTGTATTTACAATCAGGCTCTACGTTGATGCAATGTCAACCGAAATCATTTATTTCACAACTTAATTCATTAGAAGCCAGTCATCGATTAGATGAAGCGGCAAATTTGGCATTTCAACTACCAGAGACTTTTTTACCTGATAAGACCAGTCGACTTCGTCAATTACAAATTAAAAAGGCAGCGAGACTTTTCAGCCTGACGGTGGCGATGAGACTGCCACTGGATAAAAAATTATCTGAAGCCATGGAATTATTTTCTAGCTTTTTAGCCCCTCCAGAATTGGTGTTATCACTTTTCCCGAGATTTGTTACTGGCCATACCGAGTATTCAAGACGGACGGAATTTGATGGGTTTGTGGATACTTCTTTGTCGAACATTACGTTTGATGACTTGATGCTTGCTGATGATAACAACATATTAGGACGCGAAGTATCTAATTCTGACATCGTTACTGTTCAAGGTTCAAGGCCGTCTACCCCAACTCCATTTGCCCCATCTACACCAAAGCAAGGCATGACGAGATCTTCATCGGTGATGAATATCACTGGTGATTCTAAGAGTATTTATAGCGTAGGTACCGCCACCACTAGTACTCCAAACCGAATGCATCATCATCATCATCATCGCCATCATTTTAATAAAGAGCAAGTGCGAATCAAACAAAATAGAAAGAAATTGATGAAAGCGATTCATGCATTGGTGGGGTATCTTGCTGATACTAGAAGAAAAATTGGCAAAATGTTACAGTACGCTGGAGAATTGAATAACGATTCTGGTAGTAGCAAACCATTATTATATTGGAAGACTCAGCCATTGCCGCTAGATATTTTTGGAGCTGATTTAAATAAGGTGGCGACATTGGTTGACGATACATTATTTTGTTGTTATTTGATGATATCGCCGCTTTTGATTGGACCGTTGTTTAGGGTCAACAATTGGTGTAGTGTGGAAATTGTTGAAGAACGTTTAATGTGCCATCGGAAGAGTATAATCGAAGACAATAATCTGTTTGACGGTTCTTTTGATGACAGTGGTTTGATTGCCGGACGGGAAGATGAGTCGATTATTCGCGGCAAATTTTATACTGAATTGATCGATTTCTATCATGGGAAGAAGTTACATGGCAAAGCTTTGGAATTATTGAAGAGGTTAGGGAATGATGAAGAAATTACTATAGAATCTCTTAATCCTGATGATGAGACTGATGATGAGACTGATGATGAGATGAGATCACGATCATCAGACACTTCAACCCCAGAATCGATCCCATCGCTTCTTCTCACGCCTGCCACGGTTCATTTATCCAATTCTGTTGAGGCACTTGAAGCCCTCAGAAGTCCCTTGTCGACGATTCATTATTTATTGAAACTCAACCAAGATTATTTGCGATTAATTTTCCAATATATTATGTGGCCGATGCTGGTGATGCCAGATAAGGCGATGCTTGTATTTCTTGCGGATTCCGAGGAGAATGAGCTGTTGAATCGTGAATCGGTGGTGGATTTTTTGATGACGGGACTCGATTTTGACGATGAGTCCATGAGGCTAAAATATGTTATTGACTACCTTGAGCATGTTATTGGCGATTTCAATGACAGCAATCCTAAATTGCATACCAAGTATGTTGAATTATTGTTGGAGTTGTCGCTGGAAGAAAACCGTGATTTGTCGACGTCAGCTTATTATGATAAACTTGTGGCGTTTGTGAGTACCACCAATAATTACGAACCCCGGACGTGTCTAAGGCTTCTTCAAACAAGGGTTTCCCAAGGTATTGATGCGGATGTGAGCCGGTTTATTTATTTGCAAACTTTTATTTACCGTCGGTTGGGAGATCATTTACAAGTGTTACAATTACTTGTTTGGTCGTTGCATGACCATGCGAGGGCTAGTGAATATTGTAGTGAGTTGTTTAAACAGGATGGTGAGCGGGTGGGCAAGCATTGGTTGTATGAATTATTAAAAATGTATTTAAAGAGTGATGGTAAAGCAGCCTTGGATACTGAAACTGATGATGATATGGTATATGGAGTGTTGCGTAGTAATCTTCAACATGCGCTTGAACTTTTAGAAACCCATCGGTACGCCACTCGTCTTCAACTTTCACAAATCCTTGGGCTTTTCCCCGGGGAAGTTCCAATATCAATGATCGCGTCGATGTTTGCTAAGCATACCACGATGCAATCACTGACCCTTGCGAAATCTCGGACCATGCAAGCGTTGGCCAAAGTGGAATTGATCAAGCATCAACATAATTTACTTAGCATGCGGTCGAAGCTGGTGGTGGTTGATTCTACTACGCGGTGTGGGTGGTGTGGTAAAGGATTGGGAGGTAGTGTGATTGGTATTGTTCCGAATTTCCATAAATCCGTCAGTTCAGGAATGGTGATACATTATGGATGTATTGTTGATTTTGAAACGCATTGCAAGAAGCAAGTTACAGGAGGAGGAGGAGGAGGAGTTACGGGGATGAAGGTTATAAAGTTTGGAGATCGTTAAAGTGATGTAATAATATTTTTTTTTATATAGTGTAATCTATTTGTTTTTTTGTTTGTTTGTTTGTTGTTGTTAATGTTGTTGTTGTTTTTGTTTTTGTTTTTTTTGGTATCAGTTGTATCAATTTTTTTTTTTTTTTTAAGTTAGTTTACATTTAATCATTTGTTTTTAAGTTGTGTTGGTTTATAAATTTTGGAAAAATCGTTAAGTTTTACGTTTACATATTTTTATACAATTATCCTTATACTAATTTAATGAAGAAAAGAAGGGTGTGTGAAGAAAAAAAAAAGTAAAACAAAAGAAGTAAAACAAAACTATAGAGAAAATTCTAGGTATATTGTACTAATTGTTTATATAATAATAAAAATAATTAATTAATTTAACAAAAACAAAAAATTGACAAAAATATAAAAATAAAACCAATTATAGAGATAAATATTTATAAATATTATATATATATATATATAAATGTTTGGTACCAATTTTTTTTTTTTTTCTTACATTTTTTGTCAATCAACCCACCACTTTACCATCGACATCAATTGGCTTGACCCCATTATGGTTGACGTTACGGAACATTTTGACCCCGTTATCACCATCGACAAAGTTACACCATCTAGCGGTTTTCCACAAGGCAACCCACATGTTTTCATTGCTGAACATGTAGTGTTTACCCATGGCCTTCTTGATGGCTTCGGTGGCGTCTCTGGCATTGTAGAATGGGATTCTGCTACAGTAGTGATGGGCCACGTGGGTCTCGATGATATCGTGGAACAAGTATGGCCCAATGAATGGGAATTCACGGTCGATGGTGGCGGCGGCGCCTCTGGCGAAATTCCAAACGCTGGCGTCGTAATGTGGCATCATTGGATCGGAGTGTTGCAAGAAAGTGATGAAGACAAGCCAATGGTTGACCCCCAAGTATGGGAGGAACCAATTGATCAAGACGTTCCAGCCACCGTAGTTGATGTACCAGAAATAAAGCACGACGAGCTGGGTCAAGATCCCAAGATCCGAGAGAATGATGTAGTAGTAATCTTTAGCGTCAAAGATCGGGGCAGTAGGGTTGAAATGGTTCACGGCCCAGTGGTTATCCCAACCTTCGTAAGTTTGACCAGTGACGTTGGTTAAAAGGTACACGATCCAACCCCCCATTTGTTGCTTGATGAGGTCACAAAGACTGGTGATTGGGGAGTCCTCGGTGATTTCCGCTAATGATTTGGCCCCGTTTCTTTCCAAGAATTGTTCTTTGGTTGGTGGGACAAACACCATGTCTCTGGTCAAATGACCGGTGGCCTTATGATGCTTACTATGGGTGAATTTCCAAGAGAAAAATGGCACGAGCCAGAACGAGTGAAGCACCCAACCAACGAGATGGTCAAGCCATTCGTAGTCAGAGAATGCACGATGACCACATTCGTGGGCAAGCACCCAAAGACCAGTACCTTGAAGACCTTGGAAGATGGTATAAGCAGCCCATAACCCACCTCTGATCCATTGGTTGTCGATTAATGGGATATAGTTGTTGGCGAGGTATCCTGCAGTGACCATGGCGATGATGTCTCTAGCGACGTACGAGAGCCCCTTGATGGCGCTTCTCTGGTAGCAGTGTTTTGGGATTGCCCCAAGAATGTCCCCGATGGAGTAGTCTGGGGCCTCGAATTCGTTCCCGTAAGTGTCGATGGCCGTCAATTTTTCAGACTTGGAAAGGGTAGCGATGTTGTCGGTTTGCTTGATGGTGGTGGACCTCATGTTGGAGGAGGCAGCACCCTCATCGTGGTTCTTTGAGCTAGTAACTGTGACTGCAGACATTCTATAGGATGTATCTTGGGAGGGGGAAAGGGAATACAGATCAACCAGATGATCTGATATAATATACAATATATATATTATATAATATATATATATATATATATTCAAGATATAGAAGAAAAGAGAATAGAAAAAAAAAAAAGAAAAAAGAGAAAAAAGAAAAAAAAAAAAAAAAATTGAAAAATGGCCCAATTTCCTTGGATCATCACTTTGTCACTATGGGGGAGGGAGGGAGGTAATCGATAGATACGGTGATTGGAGGATCCTCCCTGTTGTTTTTTCTTACAGAAAACGTTTTGCTGAACAATAGACTCAGTGGTGTTGATTGTAGGTGGTGTACTACGTACTATACAGATTGAAAAAGTAAAAAAAAAAGAACTGTAAGAACTCCGGGGAGGGGGAGTCATAATGGGTAATATATAATATATGGTATCTATCTATCTATTATACGGTGATATAATCATAGCAGTACAGTAGGTACATACACACATACATACATAAATACGGGATGGATGGCCACAGTGGGTCCACCACCACTTGTTGTTTTGTGTTGTTTGTTGGGTTTCCTTTCAGTTGGGGCGGCGTCGCATTTTTGTTGACCTGTGCACCCGCGGCGCTGGCTCCCTCTTGCGATAAGCGATTACCTAAGCGTGCGGTCTCTCTCTCTCTTTGACAGTTGTGTGCTGACAGTCGTGTGCTGACTGATTGGTCGTCGATGATGCTCGATGCCTGGGGTCATAACTGTTATTCAGCTCAGCTCGTACAGTTAGTTAGGAAGTATAATCCCTTGCCTATATATAACAATCTCACTTTCTTTTTGCCCAAATGGCTCGGTATTTGACACAAACCTCATTCGGTGGTGAAATAACTCAACTCAATCAATCAAAAGAACGAACGAACGAACGAGTATCATCAGAACTGAACTCCCTCCGAATAGTAAGCCTGTTTTATGACACTTGAGTGGTGGGAGTGGGGAGGACACGTAAAAAAAAAAAAATTACTCTCCCAGGAAATACCAAACGCCAATCATAAATGAGTGGACCCTTAAAAGTTTAGGACAAGTCACTTTTCCTTTTCCTTTTCCATTTGCCTTTTTTTTTTTTTTTTGTCTCCTTAGCTGTTCATCTTATTACAACTTTGATTATCATGTATCCATAATGATATGAAGAAATGCATCTTTCAACTCCCGTTTCCGTTCAAATGGTTCTGTATTGGACGCTTAACACTGTAGTATGTAATTTATATAATCAATACCGGCATAATCAGAGAGAGAGAGAGAGAGAGAGAGAGAGAGAGAGAGAGAGAGAGAGAGCAATCTTTAGTATTGCTTTTCCTTTTAAATAAAAGAAAAGACTGGACTGTGTGCTCTGTGTTCCATCTATAGGCATCTATGGATGTTTTGGATGGAAAGAATGGTCCAGGGGTTGGATAATAATGTTGTCACTTCTTTTTTTGTTTTTTGAATGACAATATTTGGTGGGATCTTTACTTAATAGTGTTCGTTTGTTTGTTTTTTTTAGATATCTACTTTATGAAGAAGTCAATAACGGATCAGGAATTCTTGAAGATATGTTGGAAATGGTGTGGTGATGATCTATCTATTTCTTATTGTTCATGTTAGGAATTCTCGCTTTGTTACAACATTCGGAGGCCATTTCTTCTACAGTTCTTAATAGGGATACCATATCCACAAAGATTTTTTTTTTTCTTTTTCGTCTTTCTGTAATTATACTTCTCTTCTATTTCTTATGGTATTTCCCCCTTTTTCTGGTGTTGTCGATTTAAATCATTCGATGTGCTCAAATGTCTATTTATGCAAAAGCAAGCGCATATCATGCGAGCTAAAATAAAAATAAAAATAAAAATAAAAATAAAAATAAAAATAAAAATAAAAATAAAAATAAAAACCGGGTCTTTTCATGGCATGGCATGTTTCGCTCCCTCCCGATTTTTTTTCCTTCAAAGTTCGATATATTAATAAATATATAATTATATATATCTATGTAAAATCTTATAAGCTAATGCTCATTATATATGTTAGGGAAAACCATATCATATGGTGAAAAACCCTTTAGTGATAATTATTAGTATTTAAATAAAATGTTTTTTTGTTATTGTTTTTGTTAATTTTTTTTTTCTTTTTTGTTTTGATCGACTATTCAGCTCCCAGTAGTAATGATATAAATCAAGTTATTAATTGATGTGTTCCAATCAATTTGGTTATGATATCTTAGGCGTGAGAGTTTGCGTTGATAGCATAGATAGCGGTCGATCTTTTTAATTGTTGATTCTGAATGATTGGGAGCGATTAAGTTAATCCATGCCAATGGAATTGGGATTTTCAATCTTGACTATAACTCGGTTGATAATGGGCATTGAATTAGGAAATGGGTCATTTTGATCTTGACTTGGAGTTCTGGTGATTCATGTTGTTGGTCTTGAGAGACGGTTTCGAGCCCGCAATAGTGACATTTTCTATGTTGGTAAAAAAGTTGTTCAGCACCTAAGTGGAATGAATATGTGTATGTTTTCAAAGTATCCAGGGCTATTATGTTGGTATTTGTTGATTCTCTTCCAGAAAGAGTTTTGTTTCACCCAAGTTGGCACACACAATTACTCAATCCTGAAAGTTGAAAATGAGTTTTCTAAGGATTCTCAGCTTAACAACATAAAGAGTGTGGCCTAAGAATTCTACTTTGTGTGTAAAAATATTATTTACATATCATATACTGAAACAGGCCTGACTAGAGAGAAATCTTCAGTACAAATTGGGTCATTAGCAAAAAACACACACACACTCAGAAAAGACTGGACTATTTTCTATGTTCTGAATGTATCAAGTTAGAAAGAAATAGACCAGGGGTTGGATAATTTTGTCACTTCTTTTTTTTTTGAATGACAATATTTGGTGGGATCTTTTCTTAATAGTGTTTGTTTGTTTGTTTGTTTGTTTTTTTAGATATCTACTTTATGAAGAAGTCAATGATACCACAAGATAGTTAGGTACTACTTCTGGTTGAAAAGTTCTTACCATTGCCATATAATTGCAAGTTAGGCGATAAATGGGGGTCTAATGGACTGAGAACTCTTGGAGATGTAAGGAAAATGCTACAGTTGAAACGTCTAATGGAGTGAGAACTCTTGGAGATATATGTATGGAAAATTAATTCGTTGAAATTCAAATACATGGTTGAAACGTCTAATGAGAGATGTCTGGTCATGGTCACTGACTCTGTAAGCTCTCTCTTGTTCTGTCTAAAATTCAGGCTACGGTCCCTAAAAAAGAAAATCTGTAATGATGTATCAACCCTCAAATGGTTTACACACTATTGATATATATATATATATATATATATATATATATATATCTACTCAACCGCTCTTTTTTGGACCACCATAGGACATTATATTAGTCTGCCCGATGAAGAGGAGTTCTCGTTGATTTAAGATACCATATGAGATTTATTTCTGTACATAATCAGGGCTCTTCTATAATATCTAAACATAATCTAAACATAGAGAGATCTCAATGATTCTAAATCTATCTCGTTGAGGACAGAAAAAAAAAAAGTATACTCTATCAGCATAGAATTGACCTCCCCCAAAATGGTAAGGATATGATATTAACCTCGAACTACAATCAATAATGAATCTACAGAATCGCCCAAAAAAAAAACAGCCTTGACAAGCGATGATGATATTAATAATAATACCTCAATTCCACTAATATACGAAATACAGTTCATTGACAAAAAATAAGGTTGGATAATCTGGATAGCATTTTGAGATTCTAAAGCTTTGAAATTTTTTTTTTCGATTGGAGGACAAATCTATCCAATTGATTTAAGTTTGTCAAGTTATTTGGCCCCCTCGATTTTTTCAATCCTACACAGTCAGTCTCATCGACAAATCGTACAATTGTACAACTTGACCAAACTTTTCAAGTTCCTTCAATATTTTTTTTTTTAATACGATTTTCAGAGAGGTCCAATTGTGTCAAATTTACCAATTTCTCAAGCCCCTCAATTTTGAGAATCTCATTTTCAACAAGCTTTAACCACTTCAAGTTGGTCAAACTTTCCAAGTTTTTTATATATTGAACCATTATCATTGAAGCTGGGAATAATAAATACCGCATGGAAGAATCATCGCATGTGAACGTCTTGTGAATCCAGTAAGACGGTAAAAGTGGACGAACAGAACATTGATTATATTTCCTTTCCTTGGCAATAAAGGCTCTCAAGGTTGAGAATTATCACGAAGACCTCCCATATAATTATAAATAATATAATATAATCATTATTGTGATAGCAGGCGCCTAAAACTTTACTAATTTATTACTATTATTATTATTATTATTATTATTATTATTATTATTATTATTATTATTATTATTATTATTATTATTATTATTATTATTATTATTATTATTATTATTATTATTATTATTATTATTATTATTATTATTATTATTATCATTATTATTATTATTATTATCGGTTTTAAGGAAATCTCCAGATCTTTTCGTTCTCTCTAATGTTTATTACTGAATCTATTACGATTATGCTATATTTTTTTTTTTCTACTTCACTTTCCCCTTCATTAGTCCAATGGTCTCGTCATTATCATGTCTGATATTACATTTGACTCTCCCTCTATTAGAGAATCATCTTCTCGTGCTGATTGTATCTATCTATCTTTCCCTCTCTCCCTCCATGGTAATCATTGAGTGTATGGATATTGTAAAAGTTAATGTAAATAAATAAGGTATAGCTGTATATGGAGAGAAAACAACCATCCATCATCACAAACTGTATCAACATAATTGTGGTTGAGAAATCAGCCTCACATATAATAATAACATCGATGGATGGATGGATGGATATATGTTGTGTTTCATCTCTCCAAAAAAAAAACCGTACCATATTCAAAAACTATTATATTTATATATATATATATATAAATATATTTTTTTTATAAAGAGCCAATTATATATATAGAAAAACTTAATGTAATAAAATCCCTTTCCCCAAAATTAAAAAGTAAAAAAAAAAAATGAAACAAAAAAAAATGATGAAAAAGAAAAAAAAAGAAGGTGTTTGTTTGAAAAAAATAAATAAATAATAAAATAATAATAATAATAAAAAAATAAAGAGTATACAAAAAAGACTGGGACACTTCTTACTTCTTTCAGTCAGTCTGCTGGGAATAGGATAAAGGGATTTTGAATATATCACTGCAATTGCAACGGGTTGAAGCAGTATCATAATATAATTATCATAGTATAGTCATCATAATATAATTATCACAATATAATTATAATAATCATTATAATATAATTATAATAATCAATAAAAGAAAGATATGATCAAAAAAAAAAACTTAGGGATCATCTATCTCAACAAAACAACAAGTCTCAACAAAATAGGAGCCGTGGAAGTATGATGGGACGATAACATGATCTCAAATAGTAACAACCAATAATTAAAGTATCAAAGGCAAAAAACAATACCTAAGGCACTTTCAATGATACGTAACCTAACCCGAAGCACAAAACAAATGAAACATTCGTGTAAGACCCAATAATAATGATAATAATCCATAAAGCAAATTGTCTTCAAAAATAAAAAACAAAAAAGGAAAAAAACAAATACAAAAACAAAAAAAAACAAAAAAGGAAGAGGAAAAAGGGGAAAATAAAACAAGGTATAAGCATGGGGTAAAAGTCATCTGCGGTGTCAATTACCATGCATGATATCTTCCTCTTTAAATATGTCATCACAGGATTCTTCCAATTTGATTCCTTGAGTCCCAGAGTTTAAGCATTTCATTATCGCTAATAATCTTTGCGAGTTGGTGCCTCTATTATTATTATTATTATTATTATTATTATTATTATTATTATTCTTATTAATGCGAGCAGTTGGTTTAGTGATTTTCCCTTGATTGATTGTTCTGGAAACATTTCTCTTGATACCACCATCGTTCATGACTTTGGGAATGATGATAGATAAATCCAACAGTTCCAAATTAAGTTTGCCTTGTCTAAAAGTTTTCTTATCGATGATAAATTTGTCAATACTATAACAATCTTCACATTGAAAGTTGACAATTTTGGAGATGGAATCTGCGGCGGAGTACACAAACAATTGATAGTTCTTCATGTTTGACGAGACTTTGGAGTTGCCATTATTGATTAATTTGACTTTATAATCTTGGAAGGTGAAGCCAAGCATGTTGTAAAGCTCGGAGACGGAACAAGATGATGATTCAACTTTGTTAGAAGAGTGGCTAGAAATCAATTTGTGGAATTTGGTGGCGGTTTCCAAAAGTGAACAGTTCATGGTTTTGGATATTTTAAGTTGGAAGCTCCCAGGAGAGTTAATGACGTTGAACTTGGCGATGGGGGCGAACCTGTTGATGTTGGACATGATGTATTGTAGTTTTGCTTCTCTGGACAATTGTTGGTGTTGCTGGTGTTGCTGCTGGTTATCATTGGAACAATCGGATGAGCCACCATCATGAATGATGGGTTCGATGGTGGTGGCACCACCACCGGCAGACCAAGTGTCGAAAAATTCTGAGTGCGGCTCGTCATTGATTCTGTCGCTATTAGGCAAAAGAACAGAAACCATAATGGCGATGATTTAAGAAAAAAAAATGAATCAAGTTTGATTAGGATCTAAGCAAACTCTTTAAATATATAGTAAGATGATAATGATGATGATGATGAATAATAAAGATGATATTATTATTATTCTTCTTCTTCTTCGTCGTCGTAGTCTATATGTTGATAGGAAATGAATAACCTAGTAAGAATATCTGGCGGAATACATTAATGAAAAAGGGGTTATTGTGGTATTAAATATGTGGTTAGTTAGATGGCGGTTGTTGTTGCTATAGGTTCTATTGTTTCTTTAAGGTAATGAAATAATAGAGGCAAGTTTTATGATGATGGTTTGATTTGTATTGTATTGTACTGTATTGGTGGTTTTTTGTAATTAGTGGGCGGTAGTGTGATTAGATTAGATGATTTGCGGCGGGACGGGATTTTTATATATAAATGACAAACGGGAAAAAAGATGAAGTAATCTTCCTCGACTGGGGCAAACAAGAGGGAAAAAAAAAAGATTTGTAATCTTTTGCTGGGCGGCGGCGGCGGCGGCCAGGGCACATATTTTTTCTTCTTTTTCTTTTCTTTCTTTGTTGTCACGTGCTGATTACTTTCCACGTGGAAGTTGGTGGCGTTAACAGCATTGTTGTTTTTGTTATTATTATTATTATTATTATTATTACGTTATACTACCGTTATTATATCACATTTGTTGTGTTTATGTTATCATTATCATGTCAGCCCACTCTTCTTTTTGGTGTTGTACAGTGGCACCTCTGACTCTGTAGTCTGTCTGTAGTCTGCTCCACATACGTACATACATCACCCACCCACCATCGTATGAGTAATAGCCCCTCTACTGACACAAAACGTCATCATCGCCACCACCAGTAATAATAATAATAATAAATAATAATAATAATAATAATAATAATAATAATAATAATAATAATAATAATAATAATAATAATAATAATAATAATAATAATAATAATAATAATAATAATAATAATAATAATAATAATAATAATAACAACAATAATAATAATAACCCAATCAACAATCATCGCTTACTAAGTAGAAGTGTCATCATATCATACCATACATTCAAAACACCATCATTTCATAAGTGTGACCCAGCTGGTCCAATTTTGTGGGTCTTCCCGTAGAGTCATCATCTTTGTCCTCGATCATAGGTCATCCATTCTCTTTAGTTTCCTGTTCCACAATCATTATTAATAATAGCCATCTCGAAGATTCCATGTCATGCATAGTAGCTCCACATGTATTCTATTCTATTGTCTTCTTCTTCTTCTTCTTCTTCTACCAACCACACGCTCATAGCAGGTTTTATCTATGATATATCATCATATATACTGACCATTGCAAAAACATTCGGTAAATAGGAAAACCACCTTTTTATTGTTTTTAAGAGATACTTATATTATATGCTACGCATTTTACGACCTCATCCATCCATCCAAAGCTCTCAAGACCAATCAGCTCAACTTTCAACGGCAACCTGATTGATTGAATTTTATCATAACCTCGAGCGGTGTAAAAGAAAGAAAGGAAGAAATAAATAAATAAATAAATAAATAAATAAATAAAAATAAAATATCAAGGAAGAGAGCCAACCAAATTTCATCTCGCGATGAAATTATCCAACCCCTGGACTTTTTCTTTCCATCTTGTTATAGATGGAACACAGAATATAAGTTAGTCTTTTCTTGCTTGCTTGATAAAAAAAAAAAAAAAAGACAATTGACACCAAGGGGTTTCCCCCTGATTGTACCCACTTATCATTAATATAGAGGATAAGACGTGAAATGTTGATTTAATCACCAAAAGGTACCATAAGAAAACCAAAACACGGTCGCAATAGGAAAACTAATACCAAAAGGGAATGTCAAGCATTGTTCACGCCTCCAAATGTTATATTATATTAATATATATATATATATATACTACTGTGTAATGCGCCATCTACATAGACGACATCTTAATCTTCTCACAAACAGAGACAGAGCATTAACGCCAAACATATCGACCTGGTTATCAATATTAAGATCAAGGTGGACTTACCAAGTTGTCTATCTGTTTATTTCTTGCAAACTCTCTCCCTTTTTGGTTTCCGGGTTACCTACACACGTGAAATGGTGTAAGGGTGTTATGTAAGGATGTAAGGCGATCCCAACAGTTGGTTTTGGGTCCTTGCTGCAACTGCACCCTGATAAGGCCTTTTGAATTTAAGATGGGAATTTTCCTCTTGAAAATGGAATGGAATGGTGGGGGAAGGTGGTTACCGAATGAACCGTGTTTTTGTAGTTTTCCTTTCTTTCAAATTCACCACCCACTTTTTCTTTAGGACAGATTGGTCTTCATGTGGTGGTGGTGATACTCGTGGTATTATTGTTGAAGGAAGGAAGGAAGGAAGGGAAGTAAGTTGACATTGGTCAATATTATGGACTATATTGTATTATTTCCAATTAACTCTATATATATTATAATATATATGGAGTTGATTGGAAACCTCCCCATCCAAGATCAGTAAGTAACGCATGCACCAAAGGTATAAGGGAAAAAATAAATGCCTTTTAGAATAAAGAAGACCTCTGTAAACTTTAATGGACAATCAATATCTTTTGGGAAATGAATTCAGAATATCCAAGAAGAAGAAAGAAGAAAGAAGAAAGAAGAAAGAAAAAGAAAAAGAAAAACCATATTGAAAATCGTCAGTTAGATGTCTATAGAGAAATTAGAAAAAAAAAAAAAAGACCAAATATTCCCAATGTTGACTTCCACAAGACACAGTTTACTACTATATGGTGTGTGCTTCCATTATAACCTGTAGATCCATCTATTCTTTTATTTATTTTGGGAGGCGATAATAATAGTTATGATAGATAATAATAGTGATGATAGATAATAATAATAATATTAATCGTAATAGCGTGTAGTAACATATTATCCATGGAAATGAAGCAGAATACCATAACATACCATATTTATTTTCGAAATCAAACACAAACAGAAATTAAATTTACCAGAACGTTCTTTTAAAAAGGAGAGGGGGGCAAAAAATTAATAAATAAATAAATAAATAAATAAATAAATAAATAAATAAATAAATAAATAAATAAATAAATAAATAAATAAATAAATAAATAAATAAATAAATAAATAAATAAATAAATAAATAAATAAATAAATAAATAAATAAATAAATAAATAAATAAATAAATAAATAAATAAATGAATGAATGAATGAATAATAACCAAAAGATCACAATAATAAAACAGAATACTATAGCATAGATAAAACCATGATAATTACGTGGCTGTACACGCTATAATATGAGAATGAAGAAGAAGAAGAAGAAGAAAAAGAAGAAGAAGACCAAAAAATAGTAAAACAAGTAATTAGAAAATAAATTGAGGTCGTTGGGTAAATTAAAATTAAAATTAAAATAAAGATTAAAGCAGAGAAGAAAATGAAGAAGAAGAAAAAGAAAAAGAAGAAGAAAAAGAAGAAGAAAAAGAAGAAGAAAAAGAAGAAAAAGTTTAGCAAAATAAAAATGTAAAGCCATATACCGAACAATGTTTCTGATTGAAATGTCTTTTTAATTCTCTTTTTGATATGAAATGCCACTACTAACATGAATTGGAATCAACCCATATTCATCTAAAATGCATTAAGGAAACTGAAATATATATATATATATATATATCTCATGGGTAGTAAGTGGGTTTACTATACAACATAAGTTATACCTGGCATGACGATTGTAAACCCACATCCTAAACCCATCTCCTTCTCAACCACCAATAACTGTTCCAATACTCTTCTTCTTGGATCTTTGCCAGTATTTGTTTCCTTGACATGACTAATAAGCACTTTCAATCCCTCAAGAGGTTTGCGAGATTCACAAGAATTAGCATCCAACGAGACTTTTTGAGTGGTGCAAAACGATTTGGAAGTTTTGATGATTTCCGACTTTGAAGGTTTAGAATATTGGCAATCACCACAATGGTTTGTCAAAGAAGCCCCCGGCAGCTGTGATGCCGAAGAGCCTGACAACTCCAATGATTTGGTGACATAGTTGGCCAAACACCCCAATTCATTACCCAAATGCTGCGGGGTCATATGTCCGAACAACGGAGTGTTTGCATCGACGTTTTCCATAGAACATTCCACAACAATTGTCTTCAATCTTCCTTGAGCAATAAGTGGGGCCACAGATTGCCAAATGGCTTTATTATTTCCCGAAGATTCAAGATCGCCAAACACAAGAATATATTGATCCAACCAATGTGACTTGATGAGATATGATGTGGAATAATAAGGAGTGTCGCAGCCTTGCAAATGGGCACCGTCCAGGACAATCCCATGGTAGGTGGTGAATGGTAAAACTGAAAAGTTTTGGTTGAGTTGGGTGACTGGGGTGGTAGAAAGATGATTTATTGGAACCGTGGCATGGTGGAGTTCTGGAGTCACCAAGAATTTCCCAGGATATGAGTCCACATTATCATCATGATGATGATGACAATGATGATTATTATTATTGGTGGTGGTGGTTTGTGGTGGTTTTTCTGGAAGAAGACCGTGCGAGTCTTCAATAATGGTTATTTCTGAACCATTGACATCATCTTCACCATTTGACCCATGAATATTTCGATAATAATAATTATGTTTTGAGTCGACAACCCGCGAGTCTTTCTCCATTTGGAAATTAGGTAAAGTGATGAATTTCAAAAACCCTCCATTGGTACTGCACGCCAAGTTCGGCCAGACAATCCCATTGAAAACATGTTTCTTTAACGCATCGATTGTGAATTTCGAGCCGTATACTTTTCGAGGACCACTAGCACAATCAAATCCTGGAGAGTTTAGCACAAGTGCCGATATATGGTCCAAATGCGGGTGGGTTATGAGATAATGAGGGATCAATGATTGTAGTTCCAGGGCAAGTTGGTAAGACGATTTTTTTAAAACCGAGCAATCAAGGTTGAATAAAGTGATCGGACAACAACTGTACTGAGAAAACCCTAGAGAGTCGGGGTACGATCGTAGAGGGGGTAAATAAGAGTAAGATTTTTCAATCATTGTTTGGATGTCTTTGGAAAGATGACGGTTATTGTACTTGTCATTTTTGGCAATGGAATCTGCTGATGCCAGGGTATTTGGATTTATAGATTTGGAAAAGTTTCTGAACATGCATTTGAATCCTATTGACGATTTATACTGACTTCTGTGACTTTGCAGTGTAGATGGTTGTGATGATGGTGATGGTGCTGCTGGCGATGTTTCGCAAGGCTTATCAAAGACCCAACGGTTTTCTTGGAGAATGATTTCATTGATTTTCGATAATCCACATCCTGCATCGACACAAATGATTTGGTCGTCCAATTTCTTGGAGATGATTTGTTCCAACGGGTATTCGTCGGTCTTGATCATATAGGCGCAGGTTTTACCATCGATGGGGCCCCCAGAGCTTCCTAGAACAGTTAAATGGAAACATCCTGAAGACAGAGTATTGGAAGAAGTGGAGAAAAACTGGTTGGGTGAAGGGGATGAGAATATTGACGAAACTGTTGGCGATGAGGTCAAAGATGGAGGTGTCTTAGATGACATGAACATTGTATGAGTGACATACGGGACGACACTACTACGATGGCTGTGGTGATAGGATTTTTTTTGGAAGATGATGGTGAAGAGAAAATAGGATAGTGATATATGCTGTGAGATATCAACAAAAATGGAAGAGAAATGATCGTGATTTATTATTATTATTAATATTATTATAGTGATGATTAGTACCCAATTTTCTTTTTTTTTCCATTTCTGCACAATGTGTGAAATGAAATTTGGAGGCAGGTTGGGCCAACTACTACTGTCAAGCGAGAGTCTGTAACACGACCATTTTATCGGGAGAGGGAGGGGTTTGTACTACTGAAGTGGTAGTTATGATGATATACTATACTATACCTATACCCAGAGGAAGTCAGCGAATTGTAATGGGAAATGGTCGCCTACAAAAAATCCTCACACTGACTGAATTGAACTTCGAAGGATCTCCGTGTGTTCAGATCCAAAAGTGACAAAAGATAAGTTATCATCAGTTATTTATTATCGGCTAAATTAATATTAATGACAACCAGCAGAGATTTTCTCTCCGTTTCTGGGTGTTCGTTCTGATACAATTAATTGGACGGCAATTAATGTAATTACCATAAAACAATTAAATAATAATAATAATTATAATAATAATAACCACCAGAGACATACATATAGAGACACCACCCCCCTTCTGAAAAGAGATAGATCGACAAGATCGACGGTCAGGGTCTTGCTTAGTACATTAAATTAGGGTCTTTCTAGAAGGTGCTCTTACATGGGACTAGCCGTACAATTATGCTTTTGCAAAATAGGGCTTATTAGTTATCATATTTTGGTTCAAGAAAAGTGCTCCTTTCCAAACATGAACATAAAGTTATCATGATATAGAAGTATATACCTACAATTAACGTTGATTGCCATGTATATATATATATATATAAATATACATTACAATATTTAATTTAACACAATATATTGAAAATTATAATAATAATAATAATATCCATCAAATGAAAATTATAATAATAATAATAATATCCATCAAATGAAAATTATAATAATAATAATAATATCCATCAAATGAAAATTAAAATTAATAAATCAAATGCCCGCCAAAAACGAGATCACCCCAGCACAATTCTTCACCAATTCATCAATACGATTGGTGCTTTCTTTGTTGACATTCCCCCATTCTTGCAAAGCCGCTTCCAATTCTTCGTCTCCATTGGTCAATCTCTCTTGAATTATATCTCCATGGGTACGCAACAACACGTTCATGATTGCTTCGAGCAAATCCCAATTCTTATTACTGCTAACCCCCACGGTAACAACCTTGACGAATCTCGTCAACTCATCGCCACCAAGCATGTCAAGCGATCTAATTTCGAGATCAACCGACGATGGAGAAAGTGACACGAGGTACTTAAGAAACTCTTCATTGGCTTCGTCATTCCCTTCTCCTGTGGCCTTAACGAGCTTGGTAAACTTATTTTCAAATTCCACCGCTCCACCATTGGCGATTCTTGTCAACACTGCCGCATCTTCAAGATCAGCATTATTATTATTATTATCTTCTTCTTGTTCTTCCAAGTCCTTGTTGACATTACCCAATTTATCGGCATTAATGGTGACTTCAGTCCCTTCATCTTTTTTGGCGTCCCCAAAAGTTTGCAAGAAAAATGGCGCCAATTCTGGTTTCTTTGGAGCTTCCAAAGGCTTATTGCGCTTCTTAATGGTGTCCAAATGAACAATAGTGCTGTACTTGTTTCTTGAACCAAGCGATAAAGTGATCAAGTCATCACCAATTTGCTCGACGCTAGCAAAATTCTTGATAGTATCACTGCCATGGATGATTTCTCCATCATCTTCCAACGCCCCATCGAGCAACCCGGCACCACCTTCACCAGCAGCATTAGGCATTTTACCAATTCTTCCAAATTCCGCTTCGGTGATTTGTTTAGTGGCCACCGATTTGAATTGGGCTTTGTTGGTCCACAAAGAAATCCCATTACCAGTGACGTGGACCGTGGCCAAAAAGTTTCCGGTTGGGGAGAATTTCAACCCGGTAACGATATTATCAACGAAAAACCCATCGATACATCCTCCGGTAGGCAAATCCCAAGTTCTAACCGTACCATCAAGAGATGAACTGACAATCCATCTACCATCAGGAGAGAAATCGATCCCGGTGATTCGGTTGCTGTGGCCCATCAACTGTCTAACAATCTTTCTGGTCACCACATCAACAACAATGATACTCAAATCATCAAGCACCACCGCCGCCAAATCAGAACCTTGGTGGTATTTCAAAATCGTGGCTGGGGATTCCAAATCAAGTTTCCCCAAAAGTTTACTACCGTTGAAATCATAAAATCCCATCATTCCATCATGGCCGACAGAAACCATTTTTTTGTTCATGTTATCCATGGCTAAGCCGGCAACTTTACCATCATGGAACCGGATTTGTTTTCTAGCCACCCCACTTTGCAAGTTATAAATGCCAATTCCCCCACCGTTGGACCCAACAAGGGCAAAGTTACCACAAGCAGAAACGCACACCGCAGAAACCCCGGTGGAATCAATGGTTGGCAACAAATGACGGCCCAATCTTTTATGTTGGGAGTTCCAAGTACGGGCAAATGGTTCATCTTGATGCCCAGTAATAATGTCTTCCCATCCAAGGTATGGGGCTTGGGAAATTGCAAGGCTGGTCATTTCTGGGATCTTATCTTTACCGGCGCTGGCCCCACTGGCACTACTGGAACTCATACCTTTGGTGGCTCCAGATTTTGGAGGTCTTTGGGAGATTTCTTGCGCTTGAGAGTCTTTTCTCAATGAAAAACTCCAGAATGTACGGTCTTCGGCCGCCGATAACATGAAATGATCTTCTTCATCCAAGAAATCAATGACACGAGGTGGTCCACTATGACCACCTCTGGAACGTAAATGACGAGGTGGAGGAACCACAATTCTCTTGTCGTTACCGCTGTTCATTGGGGGATCGAAAACCCATTCTCTCAATTGATTGTCATTCCCGGAACTGATGAACACCGCTTGACCGTTCAAAAACTCCAATTTGGATAATCCATGACGATGAACGTTTGGTAATCTATGGAGTCTGGTGTTATTGTTCAAATCCCAAAATACCGCATCACCACTTCTTAACCCAATCGCCGTGTGGGCCATACCGTCGGTTCTAAAAGAGATACTAGAAACCGCCGATCCACTGCCTGCGATAGTGTTGGTCGAGGCAATATCTAACACTTTAATGATTTTATCGGTTCTAAGATTCAATAATACCACTTTACCTAAAGAGGTACCGAGTGCCAAACAATCAAGTACTGGAGCAAGGGTTGCGGTAGAAATTGCACCAAACGCGGCTTGTGAGAAATCATGGCGGGAACGGTGGATCAATTTGAGGGAACGGATGTTGAAAATCATGATATGTGATGGAGTGGTGATCACAATCTTGTTGAGATAAGTTGCTGGATGAAGAACGTTGGTGATTTGCCCGTACGAATCATTGACTTTAATATGAGCGTAAAATTTAGTTGGAAGCAGTTGCTTCTTAACGTCTTCTGAGTTTTCTTCAGCAGGCTTTTTGAAGATGTAAGCGTAGTTATTATCACAGACCCCGATTAAATAGTCTCCGAATACGCAAATTTTCACCACCTTGTTGTTTTTGATCCCCGATGGAGGAAGACATTTGACTGATTCTAATAACTTGCCTCGTTTATAGATCCCGATGGTGTTACCGTACGCAGCGTAAACGTATTGGAACTTGGCTTCCAAGCAAGTGATATCACTGGAAGTCTGGGAAGACACAAAAAGCAAGTGTAAAGTGGCGGCATCATAAATTTGGAAGCATCTTCCAACTGAGGTAGCAATATAGTATGTTCCACCAAGGGTCCCCACGGTGAACGGGGTCAGGGTGGTGATGTTCCCAAGGGCTCTGAAAGGAGAGAATACTTTTGATCCATAGTTAGAGGAGCCAGGAGAGGTCTTTCTCTTCTTGACAATAGAGACCATGATGATTGGTTTTATATTCTTTTGGGATGATGATGATGATAATATTTTTTTTTTTTTTTTTTCTTAGTGAAAACGTTCAATCGAAAATTTTATTATTGATTTTCTTTGGAAAGAGTTTTTGTTTGTTTGTTTGTTTTCAGAACAACTGGTTGAATAACAATAATTGGAATAACCCAAATAACCCAGAGAAAACCACCAAAAGAATAAACGTTGTCGTCGTTTGATCAAAGAGGAGGAGTTGGGAAAAGATGAAATTTTTCACAAGAAGAAAAAAAAAATGTGCACCAACTGGGCGGAACTTATTATTATTTAGTGGGATTACCCATTTTTGAGATATGAGAAGATTCATTTTAAAATGCGGACCTTTTGGTTCTGTATCTGTTTATTGGGTATTATTGTATTACCTTAAGAAATTGTTGCTGGCCTGTCAAACAAACTTGGCCTTCCTTCCTTCCTTCCTTCCTTCGCAGTTTCTTCAACTTTGCAATTTCAACTCAATAATAATTAGGCAAGTCTCTAGCATGATTTATCCTGGTTGATGAGGGGTGAACATTTCATGGATTTAGATCGAAGATGAAAGCTTTGCTGCTATTTGATAACAATATATCGACATGACTCTGGATCATTGCCGTGTATTTGCTGATTTATCCTTGGCTACACGTGATAGAAGAAGAAGAGGCAGAACAAAACAATATTATCTAAATTGTCACCCATTCTTTCAGTATATTGTTGCTCCCTCTATCAATTAGGGTATTTCTTAACAAGTTTTGGATCGATCGCCAAACCACTACAAAAAATAAATTATATTACTGACTCGTGTGTTTATCCCTCATATTTTGGAAAGAAAAAAAAAAAAGCCATGTCTAAACCTGTCATCGCAATCATTGGAATCAATGGTAATCTCGGCTCCCCAGTCATTAAACAATTGACCTCGCCACAATTCAAAGATAATTTCAGCTTGCCAATTAAAGCTATCACCAGAGACGCTTCCAAAAAACTTACCGATGAACTAATTGAGTACATTGAAATCAACGAGTTGAACGTTGAAAAATACGTCCAAGCGTTGACCGGGGTCGACGTTGTCATTAGTTTGGTGGGTCCTCGACAAATCTTAGATACTCTTGCTGAGGCATTGAAAATTGCCAAACCGAAATTATATATCCCATCGCAATTCGGGACGTTGATTGCTGATGGAGAGAAAGTGATTTCTGGAGTGGTTGGTTATAAAGACAAACACAGTCAAAGGGTAAGGGACGAAGCAGGGGTGAAAACCGTGGATATCAGCACTTCGTTATTTTGCGTTCCTGGACTGTTCTTGTATGAACTTGTGGGTTGTGCTGGGTATGATCGGGACACTAATCAAATCACTTACATTGGGGATGAGAATACCAAATTCGGTACCAGTTCGTTAATCGATATCGCCAAAGTCATTGCCATTCTTGTTTCTAAAAGTAATTATCAGGATATTCCAAATAACGTCAATATTTATTCCGATATCACATCCCAAAGGGAAATCGTTGATCATTACGTGGGAACCCATCCTGATATTCAGCCAGTTAAACAATTGCCAAATATCCCATTGGACGAGGCAATTGTCCAAGTGAAAAAAGCCCTTGCCAATGGGTTTTCCATGAAGCCATTCATGAAATATTTACAAGTGTTGAGTGCGGCTGGAGAAGGTAAAGGGTTGGCATTTATTGACAATAATCATAGAGAGTATGTTAATCCGGGAGAATCTATTTTCACATGGACCAAGTATCCATGAATCGCTACTTGAACAAGGGGTTATATATACTGTTATTACTGGTTATTCATCCACACAAATCGATAGATACAGATAAAAATGGATAAAATATTCTATAAATTGTGTAGGCTACTGGCTATTGTATATGAATGTTCCGCAGTGATGGTACGTATTTGATATACCAAAACTGCGGATTTTTAGACTGGGATAAACAACCGTTGGAGCGGTATACACTGTATTATACCGGTATATTCTATATAATTATGGGATACTCAGAGAGCTTTTAATGTTACATGAGCTTTTAATGTTACATCTTATGTATATTGTTAGTTAGTAATAATAATCGTTTCATTTGATACTGTGTAGCACCATTTCACCGGACAATTTCAACACATTTGGAAGCAACTAGCACATCGTCTCTAACATCTTGCTACACTAATTTTATCCCATCCTCTAATCAACAGAAAAAACAAGGACCGAGCAATTTGAAGATCTTCTTCTTCTTCTTTTCCTCGCCCTTCTTCTGTCATAATATTAATAATAATTATAGTGCATCTCGTCTACATATCATCAGATGTCATTCATTCACTGGTGGAAATCTATCGGGATGCCTCCCTCTAAAAACAACAAGATTACCCGGCCAAATGGTTTCACCACATTTTATCCAACCCAGTGTTTACCCCAATATCGCTGTGATGGCACGCCCTTGTTATCTGTTTACGGCCACCCAAAATGTTCAGTAACGACAAGAGAAATTCTCGGTCATTCTCCAACTCCGTGACATTGTCGTTGGACAGCCTGGCCACCGCCATGGCGTTGTCGCCCTGGGGTCGAGATGTCGCGCTTGCTGGGCGTCGTGGATTATACATTATCGATCTCGATAACCCATTCTCCCCGCCTCGATGGGTCAGACACTTAACTTCTTGGGAAGTCCCCGATGTTCAATGGTCGCCCCATCCTCAGCGACCTTATTGGGTGGTTTCTACTTCGAATCAAAAGGGGATCATTTGGAACTTGTCGCGGTCGTCAGCTTCGGCGCATGAACATATTTTACACGGCCATGAACGTGCCATTACCGATATCAATTTCCATAATGTCCATCCAGAAATCATTGCCACCACCTCGGTGGACTCCCATTGCTTGGTATGGGACGTTCGAGCTAATCCAAAACGCCCGGTACATGTGGTATGTGATTGGGATAGTGGGGCATCGCAAATAAAGTGGAATTTCAAAAACGATTATGTATTTGCCAGTGCCCATGGAGAACGAATAAATATTTGGGATACCAGAAATGGCAACACTCCATTGTGTCGAATAACCGCCCACGATGGGAAGATCAACGGATTGAATTTCAGCCGGACTAAAGAAACAGAGCTTTTAAGTTGCTCGAATGACACCACGGTGAAAAGTTGGGATTATGGTAGTGGCGAGTTGCAGAAGAATTTCGTGATCAATGCCAATTTCCCAGTAATGAAGGCCCGGTATTTGCAGTTTAGCGATTCTTTGGCGATCATGCCATTACGAGGCGGAGATAATGCGTTAAAAATTGTCGAGACTCCCAAAAACAACTCGATAGTGGATTTGAACCCTATTCAAGAATTCAAAGCCCATCAGAAACCAATAACAGAATTCTTGTGGTGTAAAAGAGCGTCAAAAAATGAGAATATGAATAATGAATTCCAATTGATCACTTGGGGCTCCGATAAAGAATTGAAGGTGTGGAAAACCGAGGAAAGTTGTTATCAACGACTACATTATAATTATAAAGGACCAATGTCCCCTAATGATATAAGTTTGAGAAAACTGTTAAATCGTTTCAACTATGTCACGTATCGTGATGAGCCGCAATCAACTTACACTTCAAATTACGGGAAAATCTCTAACATTTTGACTTCCGATGTCAATTGGCTAACCAGTGAGATTGAAAATTATGGGCACTTGAAATGGATTACCAACGTCAAGACCGAAGGAGAGAGTAATCCTCAAGATCCTTATAATTTGGGTAAGGAATTAGGGTTGACTAATATTAAAGCCCTTGAAGAATTCCAGAATATTAGATTTGAAAATATCAATATCGGGGAAGGTAAATTAACATTATCATTATATTCTTCGATATTGACCTCTTTAGAAGATGCGATTATTTGTTCAGATAAGGACAAGCCGAAAATGAAAGAATCAGGGTCAAATGATAATAATGGCGCGGGAGGATCTACTAACGCCAACGACAATAATGGTGAAATAAGTAGTAGGCCATCAACTCACGATGATAAATCAAAGAATAATAATGCTGAAGGTGATAAAGATAATAATCGAGCCAAAATGGAAGGACAATCAGATAGCTCAAAGAAATCGGAAACTCAAAGTGTCGAGCCGGAAATTCATCCGCTGCTGATTTTCCTTCGGATAAAGATCAATTTTCCAAGGAATTATCCTTTCAAATCGCATCCCCATTTTTTCATTGAATCGAATCATGATACCAGTAGGAGAGATCGTGACAAGATCAAAATTTTGTTAGAATACGTGGCCCGAAAATGTTGTGAAGTTGATCGATTTTGTCTTGATATTCTTTGCGAAATATTGCTGGGCAGAACCGTCCACTTGGACCAGTTATTAAAAATCACTAGTGGAACAAGCACTGGTGATGTATCTGAAAATTCTGAAGTAGAATATGAAGAAGACGAAATAAAGCAGCGTCAAGGAGACGAATATCCAACTTCTGATGGTGATCATTATGGAGTAACCGGGTCAGGAAAATCTATTGCTGCCGAAGTCGAAGAAGAAGAAGAAAAAGATGTTATTGACGATAATGGCTATAATGGTGGTGACGACGATGATGATGATGGTGACGACGACGATGATGATGACGATGATGACGATGATGATGACGATGATGACGATGATGATGACGATGATGACATGGAAAATCTTTTTGGGAAAAGGGAAGAGGAGCCTGATTACAATGATGAAGGTTCAAATATCTATGATTTCCCCCAAACAGGATCGATCTACGAGGAAGAAGCGGTGATTTATTTTGGCGGTTCACAAGGGGAATTCAAAACCAGAAAAGCTTATAATATTCCTTGCGATATCAGTTGTGGGGCAAGTTGGGCACCAAATGGGCAACTCATTGTGTTTGCATCGCCAAAAACCAAAAAGCGTGCCAACAAAGTTCACTACGGTTCGGATCCGCTTCTAAGCAAGCAAACTCAAAATTATAGACTTATTTATTCCAAGAAATCAGGAGTGAACGCATTCACCCCTAATTTCTTCAGTGCCAATCAACCAGAAGAAGAAGAGAATGAAGAAGAAGAAGAAGAGCACGACGATTTTGATGAAAATGGGGAAATGGATGACGATTATGAAAAACGGGAATTCTATAACGATTATGACTCGATATCTGAGGGATCTCAAGAACGTTTCACAGACCATTATGGTGGGTACGGGAGTTCAAAAATGACCCGTTCAAGGGAAGACAATGGTTCACAATCTCAACGGATTTTCAATGTTGTTGCGTGCCTTGACTTTTCATTAATTTTACCTTCCAAATTTGACTTGGCTCAGAATTACCAAATCAGTGGCGGTCGACACGCCAAGGCTTATGACATTGCTGCTCATAACGCGGAAGTATCCAGTGATTTGTTACTTCAAAGCTTGCTATTGACAGAAGAGCTCTTGGAGATCACCAATGTATGGAATCTTGTTAAAGTTATCGTATTGAATAGCGAGCTTGCAGAAGACGTGGTGGATGTGAGATTAAACCAAGTGCTAGGGAACAATTTCAAGCAACCTTATGTTTATGATGCTGATTCGGGGTTAGGCCCCCGATCATTTGAAACCCATGGTTTTGTGAAGGAAATAATTGAATATTTTGAAACCAGGCACGATATTCAAATGCTAGCGATGTTGTCGTGTTTATTATTTGAAAACGGGAAATTTACCACCGCCGCCGAAGCCGCCACCGCCACTTCTAAGAAGAATGTGAGTAGCCCTTACGAAAATTCGTACCAAAAATCCCACGAGACCACCACCATTGTTGATGGCGCGATCTTTGAAAGTGATTATGTATTATTCAATGGTCCCGACATGCAAATTGACTTTGTTGGTGATCCTTTCTCAAATAACGAAGACACTTATGGTCCTGGTGGGTTGTTCGATCAAGCATTATTGAATCGTCTTAGAAAATACCGGGATATTTACAGCGATATGTTATTGGCATGGGGGTTACCGTTGAAGCGGGTGGAGATGTTGAAATATAATTATAAAAATGTCCCTGATCAGCCAGTATCGGAGATTGCCAGGGAATTATTCAAAGGACCAGCCACTTATAGATTATTGGAGGTGGGATTCGTGGAAGAAACTTCTAAGCCGTTGGTTTGTGATTTCTGTGACGTTCCAATCAAACACCGGGCAATCCAAATCTGTCATAATTGTCATCATGTATTGCACACTGCGTGTTCCAAAATATGGTTTACAGATATTCAAGGCACCAAGGATGGGTATGAAGGACAAGAAGAAGTATGTCCTACTGGTTGTGGTTGTAAATGTTTGAGACATCTTTGATTGGTTGTTGTTGTTGTTTGTTTGTTTTTTCTTTCCATCTTCTTTTCTTTTTTTCTTTTTTTAATGGGATAGAGTTTGTAAATAGAGGGGGGGGTTTCCTTCTATGTTTTATTTACCGCTAGTTTATTTTTTATCTTGCATTATCCAGTATTTGTGTGGATAAGATATCGTGTATTATATATTATATATTAATTTTCCAATTGTAGGAATGATAATAGTGAAATTAATGGTCCAATTGTAGTAATACTAATGACCCATGGATTAGTGATTGATTGGATTGAGATGGGAAAAAAAAAGATGTTGAAGGCGATCACTAATCAAATGTCAATGATTTAAATTTCATGTTCTTATATGACGTTCTTATTATTGTAACTACCCACTAATTCATGATCAATCAATCAATCAAAAAAACAAAGGAAAAAATGCCATTGGTTCTTGATGATCTCCCCACAGAAATCCTTCTCAAGATTTTTCGCCATGTTTCCAATCTCCAATCCCTCGCACATTGTCGGATCGCCACAATAGACCGTATCACCATCCAATGCATCGACCATTATCTCTTCGAGAATGTCAATTTCTACTACTGTTTACCAATAACTCCAAACTCATCCATCGACAATGATCACCAACTTTATAATTTCGACGACGGCATCAACGTGGTGGTGGAGAAGGACCAACCGTCGGTGAATTTACAGTACTCCGAGATCGATAAGTTCCAGGAAATCTCGAAATTCTTTCACACTGTAACAATTCGAAGCTCGTGGTTCTACAATGATATGAGCCGTGAATATATTTTCAATCTTGAGGAGTGCCAACTGAATTGGACGAGGTTTGTAAAGTTTGTGAATTGTTTATCGTCGATGACAACGTTGATCACCGATATAGAGAGCTTATCGTGCGATAGTAGTTCGTTACACAGTTTGAGTTTATACCGATATAAAGGAAACATCGTTGAGAATTTCCCCAGGCTCGGGGAGCTCCAGCATTTATCGGTGGATTTACGGTATGATATGGTGGAGATCCTTCGAGCAACCACTCTGAAGGGCCAAATATCATTCCCGAAATTACAAAGTCTTACAATCCTTCGAGGCCTAGAGGAATTCGATGGTAGGTTTTGGGGCCCCATCGCCCCGAATTTGCTGGAGGTCAAGGTAAATCTTGGACAATCCTCCACGCTTCGCAACTTGAACGGCCATGAGCTTGGGAGTTTGAAACGGTTGGAATTGGAAACTTATCAGGAATTCGACAACGTCTTGGGGAAATTCACCAAGCTTGAAGAATTGAAAGTCACCCAACAAGGAGAAGGAGGGGGCATTTGGGATCTTGAAAAAGCCCGGAAAAGTTTAAACAAGGCGGAGTTCTCGTTCTCGAATATCACGGTGATGGAAAACTTGCACGGACTTACAACGTTACAACAGCTTATTTTAAACACCAACAAGATTGGGAAAATTCAAGGGTTAGAAGATTTGGTGAACTTGAAGGTTTTGAATTTGTCCAATAATTGTATCAAGAAGATCGAGAATCTTTCATCGCTTAAAAACTTACGGGTGTTGAATTTGCGAGGTAACATGATCACCAAGATGGAAAACTTGGACCAGTTGAGGAGTCTCGTGGAGTTGGATCTCAATCGTAACCAGATAAAGAAAATAGAGAATATTGGCCGATTATCAAAGTTGGAGGTCCTTAGAATATTCAACACCACCAAAACCAAGCTGGAGATCCGTGATCTAAGGATGTCCAATCATGATAAATTATGGATAATCATCAGTTTTTGTATTGTTTTGTTGTGTGTGGTTCTTCAAATAATAAAACAGACACCATAAATGAGTTCACACTGTTATGAGGATACAATATATTATTTAAATCAACCATCAATCAATAAAGGGTAAAAAAAATAAGGCCCTTGAGAAGTAAAAATTATTGACCTTCTGTAAGCTTGGATAAAATATTTAAAGCACATTCCAACAACCTCTGACACAGGTTATTTATTCTTTGAGAATTAGAAAAGCTCTTAACCGAAATCATGCCAACGCCAATGTATATATATATATATATATAAACCTTAATTGTTAAGAAAAGATCCCACCGAATTTTATTTATATGTCCAAAAAAAAAAAAAAAAGGAGAAACAAAATTATCCAACCCCTGGACAGACTTCTTTCCATCTGATATAGTGAAGTACTTCGATGGAACACAAAGAATTGACCAATCTTTTCTTATTTTGCATTGGTTAATCACCACCAAAGATTTCTCCCTGATGTTTTGCCGATTATATTAGATATACATACATGAACATACAGAGCTCAAAAATGAAATGGAAAAATGCTGCAACGATGAATTTAGAATCATCAGGCAAAAAAGAAAAAAATAAGACACAAGAATGGATGTTCCTCAGGACTGCGAACTAAAAGGTACAAGCGGGAGAATAAGTTACCAGAATACTTCATAAGTCAGCAATTACACCAGTTTTGTTAGGGAGTTGGCAAAGAAAATGCGTGGTGTCTCCCCCTCCCTCCCAGCGTGTCCTACAGGTGTACAGCGGTGAATGATGAGAAACTGACTGACTATCTAACAACCACCCAACTTGATTTATACTGTTTTGGTGGACGACAGCGGAGCTTGCTGAGACACTGCCAACCCACCCTGTTTCAGTCTTATTGAAGTAGTGATAAATTGGATTCTCTGTAGGTCTAGAGTCGCGCGATCGTGGTTTTTAGGGTGTGTTTGAGTATATCTGTAGTAGTAGTAATAGTGGTAGTAGTCAGGGTGTACTGTCGACATACATTTTACGTGTTGCTCTCTGCTCAGCCAGTCATCAAGTAACCCTCAAACGGTTTCCATATGTGGAGAACGGATTTTGCTTCTCATGGAAATGGTGCGAGAAGATAGACAAAGTACCAGGTGCCAAAGACCCGTAAAGGTAAACCATTGGTAGTTTTGGGTGCATCTGATGATCACATTGTGGTATTTCTCATGTAAAAACTACACTTTGGTGGAGTCTCAAGAAATTCCTCTGCGAATTTCCATTTTTTTCGATAGTTCACAGCCTGTATATTGTATTGGTTTCGCTTAGGTCTTTTAGAACGGAACGTGATAGTTAATGTATATTAAAGTAGAATGAAATAAAAGAGTAGGTGAAATAAACCCTATTTATAGGCGGGAAAAGGAAATGGGACAACAAGATGAAAAGAGTGAAAAGGTAAATAAAGATATCGGAGATAAGAAATAATAGAGAGAAAAAGAATGGTGGAATAATAGAATGGAGTTAATAAGAAGAGAAAAAAGTAGATCAGTACGTAGATCATTACATATATGTATACTATGTATAATAAAGGGTAGTGAAGAAGGCAAAGGAATAACTTGATCAGACAAAGAGCAGCAGCATACAACACCAAATACCAGATACTCAAAGGTCGCGTCCTTGTAAACCGATCACCAAAAATTTCATTTGCAAATCCAACCACGTCACCGATTTGGGCAAGCTTGGATCAAAGCAGTCAAGATCAACATTAGAAAATTCTTGCTTTCTATAGATGGAGCTGTTTTCCAATTCATGCTTGATCTGGTAAAACTCTTCAATAATGCATAGGCTGAAGGTAACTTGTAGACTACATTTGTTAATGATACTTGGATTCCAAGACAAACTCACTTTTTTGTTCTCAAATAATCCCCAACACCAGCCAGACCAATAGTTTTGTAAAATAAGAGGAAAGACTAGGAAAAGTCGCCAGTACCATCTATTGGAAAGCCAAATTCCAGGGAAACCTTGCAAGATACGATACGGTACTTCCTAAGAAAGAAAGAAAGAAAGAACGAAAAAACAAAGGGAAAGTGGAGCATTAGACTTGTAACCAAATCTCATTGTTTTATCAGATCCAAAAAAAAGCCGTTGACAACGCAATTGGCCTTGGTATTCGACTCCCTCCAAAAAAAGGGAATAACTTAGCCAGATGGTAACAGTCACCAATACCACACAGGAACAACCAAAGTTAGCGTCAACAAAAAAAAAAAAAAAAATACCTCTTCCAAGTGGGAATATTTCAGAGATCACGTAACACTATAATCCTTCCTCTACGGGCCACACCCTGACAAACCGCAACAGAAACTTCATTGCACGTGATATAACCAACCCCCCCCTCTGTCTGATCTCATCCAGCCTTGTGGCGCTACCTGGCGGTGGGTCAAACTGTTGATCACTAATAATACGATGGGTGGTTGGGGAATCCAATATATAAGGGGACCAATGGTTAGCGTTCTTCGGGGGGCATGGGATATGCATTTGGTGGTCTATCATATCATTATTACTTTCCTACCAAGTTCACTTCACTACCAACAAAACGATGAAATTCTTTGCCCAGACCACCACCATCACCCTTCTTGTCACCTCTTTTTTCCTCGAGTCTAACTCTTTGCCTATTGCCCTGAAAGAACTATCTAAAAGAGACCCAACACTTTCTGAAAGTGACCTTGAAAAAGAAGGCCTAAATAAAATCTCCGGTACAAAAACAAAGAGTGAAGAAGAAAAAGAATCTGCGACCCTCCAGAGTAACACCGCCCAAGTTAGTGTATCGGTAGTTTCTGCTGAAGATAATCCTGCTAGTGGTATTAAACCAGCGAGTGCTGTGGTGGAGAACAGCTCAGATGATGATTCCCTGAGTGGTGCTATCAAAGCCAACTATAAATCGAAGTTCACTGAGCATCTTGACGATGATGAAGAAACCACCACCACCACTTCTGGTACTTCGTCTTCCGGTGCCAGCAAAGAGTCAGCCGCTGCCTCCAGTGGGGTGATCACCAAAGCCCAATCGATTTTGAAGTCTGGGAAAACCAAATTGGCTGCTGGGGTTGCCATTGGTGGCGGGATTATCGCTGGGTCAGCGGTTCTCGGGTCTGAATTGGTAGATGGTTCTGATTCTTCTTCTTCCAACGCTACGATGTCTGAGTTAAAAGAATCTGCTTCAAACTCCACCAGTGCGGCTACTGGTACCGCAACCGTCGACATTAGTTCCTAGATTAATTATTCTTGTTTCACTTCCTTTTTTACTTTTCCTTTTCCTTTTCCTTATTTTAAATAGATCTATTAATATAGACAGATGCACAATTATCCTCTACTGCCTAATCATTAATAGTGTAATTGCTGCGTATATTTGTGGCTATATACGTTTTTCCTTTTTTTTTTTTTTTTATTTATTAATTATTAGGATAATTTCTTCAAGCCTTCTTCCACAACTCTGACCTTATCTTCGGCAGTTTGGGGTTTATCGGTTCTGGTGCCGACTCTAATATCGCTTTGGATTCTCAACACCCCATCTTCTTTGTGTAACACTTCGTGAAGTGATCCAATGAGGTCCATGACTTCGGTCCATGGACCCTCGATGGTGGTTCCGGCAGAATGAAGGGTGGACTTCAATGGGGATTTACGAATCACCAGCTCAACTTTGGTGACGTACTTGGACACTGAAGGAGAAGCGGTCCCAATCTATAATAAGATAATCGGGGTTAGTTGGTTGGCCATTGACTTGGCTTGATCAAAAACAAAAACAAAAACAAAAATAAAAACAAAGAAAGAGAAAGAAAGAAAAAAAAAGGCGAGAGGAACAATGTGTGGATAGATTGATACTCACTGGGATCAAGCAAACGTCGGCAATACACTTGATGGCAACCATTGGCGATAGTGATTTATTCTAGAGAAATGTTCTACAATAAAGAGAGAGAGAGAGAGAGAGAGAAAGAGAAAGAGAAATTGGCTGACGGTTTTTCGTTGGGAAAAAACATACCGGGTGCATTCACCCCATTAACCCCCACTATTTGACCGTGTCATCACGTGTAACACCCTGTGGTGACCACCGGTGGTCAGTTTCTTCTTGTGGTCGTTATGATCATTATCATTATCCTCGTTAGAATGGGGGGTTTGTTCAGGGGGGAGCACTGCTAGTATTAGCAGATGTCTCATCAACCATTACGAAAGAGCACACGCTTTCTAGCGTATCTCCTGGCCAGTGGGTCGGTCGGTCCTGTGTGTTTTGGCATCCAACGGTGCAAAAGGGTGCCAATATATATCATCGGAAACCACACAACGCACACTGTTTATTATGATTATCATCCACTTGCGTTTTCTACTGTTGGTGAGTAGCCTGCTAGGGTCACTGCTACTGGTGGTGGTGGTAGTGCTGGTTTTCCCAACCCCATTTTGAGAAGTCAGTAGCCATTTATGTGGGGGGTTGTTTACGATCGCTGGGATACGCCAATTGGGGTGACAACAGATCCCAATTGTACTTATTTTAGTTCTCATCATTATCAGACTTTTGCTAGTATTATTATACTGTTGTTATATGTGTGTGTTGATATTTTGTTATACGAAGAATTCCATTATAGAGGGTCAATGTAAGATAATAATATGCGATAAGCGAACGAACACCATCAATGAGAGTAGATACTACCACCATTTATTCCCCATCATGGTATTCCCAGAAGACTGCTATCGACAGTTCCACAGAAGATTAACCGATATTCCAAGAACACCAACTGCAAAACAACAACAATCCTTGTCGATATATTCTTTGGTATCAACAAAAAAAAAAAATTAGCCGAAGTTTTTTTTTTTTTTTTTTTTTTTGTTCCAAGAGTTGTGACACCACAATCGAATCACTTATCATCGTCGTCTCCCACCGCTTCATCCAACGTTTATCTTCCCATCCTTCCATCCAGCACCACTCTTTCCAATAGTACTGGTAATACCATTTGTTATTGACAACCACAGTATGAAACGTTCTAGAAGATCTTCCCTGGTCAACAGCGACCCAAATAATAATAACAACAACAACAACCTGTCATCCACTCTTTCGATGAACCCGTATCGTTTGATGAAAACGATGGCTAAATCATTGTTTTCTTGGAACAACAAAATGCAAGCAGTGGTGGACCATGCTCTTTCATCGGATGAAGTGATCGAAGGGTTGTTTGGCAGTATTGAAGATAGCGATTTGTACGATGATTTCGATCAACAGTTCCAACATGACGACATTGATAACAACAATAACAACTCTTCTAGCCTGACAATCTCATCAATAGACAGTGACAACAGTGACGCCGAAAGCAGTTATGACAAATCAGCATGCCAACTTCCTCGACACTCATCGTTGCAATTCAAACAGTGGAACGCCACCACCGCGATGGCCCACGAAATGGCAAAAAAACCTGACAACAACACCCCGTTTGCCGATGGCGAGAAGTTATGGGAACAAAGAAGACGGCTATGGTTACAAGGAGCCGTTCATGTTAATCCTAAATCTACCCAGAATCATCACCGATCCATCACCAATCCAATCGATATCACCAACAATCCTCCCAAACTTCTGGTCACCGATTTATCGATCTCATCATCAAGTAATAACCTGCTCCCCACCACCCCTGTGAACTCCAGTTTGACTGCCAAAGTGATCCCTCCAAGTTTTGAAGGGAAAACTAACGGGAGAACATTATCGACAGAAACTGCCACCACCACCGTCCCTAAACCAAAAAAAATCGAGCGACTCCTTTCCAAAAGAGAAATCAAAAGAATTATCAAACAACGGTGTAAACTCACCAGCTTGGCCAACAATGGGGTGACCAATGACAATTATCCCGTGGTATATACAAACTTGGTACTACAAAAGAGAAAGCTCCGAAAAAATAAGGCCATGAATTTGGGAGATTTATTGGAGGTGTTATATGATGACTGGCAAGAAACCGAGGCTTCAGGTTATAGAGCTGATTATGGCTCTACTAGGTTTTCCAAAGCAGTTTATGGGAGATTTTGAGTTATTTCTTTCTTTCTTTTTCTTTTTTTTTTTTTTTTTTTTTGGTACAGGTGGTGGGAATTTCTTTGGTGATTTGTATCAATGAGTTGATTATGATAGTTTAGAAGGTATGCCTGGTATGATCTAAAGGCTTTCTGTGTTGTATATACATTTTTGTATATAATGGAGGGGGGGGGGAGTGTTCATTATATTTTTATTATTTCTATCATTATTTTTATTATTATTATTTCTACTTTTATTTTTATCATTCTTATTATTATCATTTGTTTATTCAGCTTTTTCAGTTATCTTGTTCAGTTATCTCTTTCAGTTATCTTTTTAAATTGTCTTTATCTTTTCCGCTATTTTAATTGTTAATTTCAGCTTAATAGTTAGCACTGTGGCTACTAAATCCTTTATTTATTCAGTTCCATCTATTATTCACATTATCTCTTAGGTTTTCAATAATATTGTGATTATATTCATATGATCCAACGTCTATTCAACTTTACTATAATACCCAATGTTAATGTTACCCCCGTAAAACAAAAACAAAAACAAAAACAAAAACTAAAAACAAACAACAACAACAACAAAATATTCATCAATGAAGTAATCCTCACTTCAGCCTATTTTCAATCAAACTTCGTTTTGTCATTTCAAGGATTCGAATCCTCTGATCAATCTTTTCCGCAAAAAATTGGATATTGGCAATCTTTTGACTGATCTTATCATTCTTGTTCTTGATTGATCGTACCACCAACTTTGAATTATCCTCATTCATTCGATACTTCCCAGTTTCCTTCAACCCAGCCGCCAGCAGCAGCATCACCTCTCTATTTTTATTCCCTGCAAGATCATTGCTATTAATTGCGAAATTGGCATTGATGAAATTCCTAAACCCCAATAACTTGCTATGAAATTTGGCGAATTCTTTATCCACAAGCCTGGAATATTGAAGTTTCAAAATCCGTTCGTTTCGATGGACTTGTTTGATCTTCACCAATGATTCGTTTTCCATCAGCGAATAATCGTCGGCGTCATTATTGTTGTCAGCGGTGGTTCCATCGCCATTATAAGTATTATTATTGTTATTTTTATTATTTTTATTATTTTTATTTTTATTTTTATTTTTATTATTGTTCGCACCTCCATTGCCAATCTTTTGACGAGATTCTCCATGGTTATCATTGAGAAATACCACCAGCTTCAAATTGGCACCGATGGTTCGTAGCAGTTGATCCGATTGATGTTTGATGGCTCTGTAATTGTTGATGATATCGGCATTCTGTGGGGGTCTAGACGGGGATTGATGTTGTGGGGTCAGTTGGTTTGGAGGGTTATTAGTATTAATGAAGTCGAAATAAGTGGGCTGGTTGGGCATTGTAAGAGAAGTATGAAAACTTGATAGATATTAATAATAATGGTTGATGGTGATGGAAATTATTGTGATTATTTACCTTTTTTATTTTTTTTTTTTTTTTCTTTTTTTTTTTTTTTTTTCGTTCTTCTTATTCTGTTTATTATTTTCGCTGCCCCATTTTTCTACTTTTCATCAACAATTGTTAGCAAAAAATATCTATTGATGATTATTATCTAGCTATCGATTACTTTTTGTCGCCATATATATATATATATATATATTTGATGGCATGTGGTACACCGATCTACAATAATATTGAACCTCAATGGATCTCGCTTGACGAGCCATCATTACGATCGATATTCAACAAGATAAAACCTACAACTCACTAGATACTATCAATCAAATTCAAAGTCCTTCTCCAGACACTAACGATCAAGTATTCTAATAATAGTCCTTCTCAGGCAATTACCATTGACCTCAATGGTAAAATCACTTGAAAAAAAATAATATAATATAGAATGCTGTTGTGCAATACAAAAAATTGCAAACGAAGAGTTCCAAAAAATAGACAACAGCCATTGCAAGAAAAGACAGACCCCGGATGACCCTGGTAAAAGGCAAGGGTCATGTACGATTAAGAGACTGATCTTCTGGCTGGTGAAGAAAGGAAAAGAAAAGAAGAAGGGAACTGAAGACAAACAGGAATTTTTTTTTTCCGCCGGTATTTATATCGCGGTGGATGACCGGGTGACCCGTGTAATTTTCTGTCTCTCTTTATTATCGTTGTCTTTCTGGCTCTTTATTTTATGTAAATAAAGTCTGCCACTTCTGTTTTGGATATCGTCTACACCCACCAATAATATGAATTTGAAATATATATTCTTTTCTCATTATATAATATGACTTATGCCAACAATAAACAGTAATTTTTCTTTGTGTTATATATTAGTTATGAATAGTAAAAATAATCATCACCTTATGGACTCGCCGTTTAATCCAAAGAAGAAGCACCAGTAATAATATCAACCAATTCGTTGGTAATGACAGCTTGTCTGGTTCTGTTATAAAGAATGGAGTATTTGTTGATCATTTCACCAGCGTTCTTGGAAGCGTTATCCATAGCGTTTCTTCTGGCAGAAATTTCAGCAGCGTGACCTTCGGCCATGGCAACCAAAAGAGAGTTGGCCAAAGAGAATTCAGACATGGCAACTGGGACGTTGGAGTCTTCGTCCAATTCGTAAGCACTCAAACCCTTGGATTGCTTGATGGTTTCTTCGTTGTACAAGTTCTTAGCGGTTGGGGCAAAAGAAACGGAGGAGACGAACTTGTTGTACAAGATTTCAACGCTGTCGTACTTCTTTTGGGCTTGCAATTTCAAGATTTCATCGGCAATCAAAGAGGCTTCGACGAAAGTTGGGGCAGCCTTACCGGTACCGTTGAAGGCCAAGACAATGGATTCAGAGTTGGATCTTTGGACTTGGGCCTTGATCTTGTCACCGACAACCACAACGTCGGCAGTTGGCTTTTCAGCCAAGATCTTCTTGGTGGCCTTACCGATTTGTGAGTGGATAGAACCACACAAACCTTTGTCAGAAGAAACGGCAATGATCAAAGACTTTGGTTCGGCTGGTTGTTCGACCTTGGCAGATTCAGCGTGGGTGTAAACTTCGCTGTCGGCTTCGTCGTAAACTCTGGAAAGGGCCATGGCCTTTTGAGCTCTACCTAAACGAGTAGAAGCAACAATCTTCATGGTCTTGGTGATCTTTTCAATGTTCTTAATAGACTTCAAACGCATTTCAATTTCACGCAAGGTAGCATAGTTTCTATTAATGGTTAGTACGTGTTTCGCAAGGGGAGGATGGTCGATCTTCTTTTCAAGGTGTGGTTCAAAGACGTATATGTAAATAGATGAATAGCAATAGAGTAAACGTTGGCCTTCTTAGTCATTTTCATCATATAATTGAAACTGCCTTCATAGTTTTCCCCAAAATAAACACTTGTTCCCCCTTCAAATAAATTTTCAAAAATATCCCCCAAACATCGAAAAATAGAAACAAAAAAAATAAAATAAAATATGAGATAACATTACACAATAAACAATAATCCAAAATCACAATACCCAGTCGATATATCAAAAATCTTTTCATCATTTTGTGATGATGTCTTCTTCTTCTTCATTTCACACCACCCTTGATGACAACAAATTTCCAGAACGTGTATCGCGAACATACCTTGATTGCATACCCACGGTACGGGCAGCATTGACACCGGCTCTGGCAAACATGATTGATTTGTGTTGATGCTAGACTAAGTCTTTTCCAAGAAACCTTTTGGCTGGCGGTCTTACAATAGTGTAGTCAAGGTCGAATATCATCAATTTTAGGGTGAATTTTCGCAAAACGGCCGGGAAACCACCACCACTCGCAGCGCCCACCAATGAAAACCCAAAGAAAACGGCCCGGGCGCCCCACCCCCTGGATACGGAAGCGTGACATCCGCAACGGCTGCTGAATTACGAGGGTACGGATATCGTGACAGCAGCCCCCTCGGAATGGCCCGACCTTTTTTCCCCCATTTTACATCCACACACACACACATACGGTGATGATGAGGTGGCGGTCTAGATGATGCAACATTATAAGATATCACTACAAGTCCCTCCATCATCATGAACAGGTTCGGCTTTGGTACTAATAACACTCCCGCAAACAACGGGGCGGCTCCCAAAGGGTTCTCGTCCCCTACAAGTGGCCGCATTGCTCCTCCTTCATCTGGCCAGGCCCAAACATTGTTTGTCGCCAACTCTCCTAACAACCAGATCGCCCTCAGCGGCTGTGTTGCCACCAACAACTTCCCTAGCGGCTCGTTGGTGATCATCGATGACACTTTCGTGGTGACTACTGTGCAATCCCGAGAGTTGAGTCCTGGCCAACTAGGGCTCAATGGGTCGCAAAGATCGTGGATGCAATTCTCACTTAATCAATCGATCCAGGTCCAACCTTACAGAGTTAATGCCGGCAATATCTTATCGTCCGTCAATATGGAAATCAACTTCAGAAATAAAAATAAAGGAACTCTCATCAAGGACCCATTTGACCAAGACGACGTCCAGAAACACTTTATTTCGGTGTTCAACGATCAAGTGTTGCAGCCAACTCAACAACTCTTGTTCGATTACAAGTCGTTGATCTTTGAATGTTACATCAAATCCATCCAAGTGATGAACATGACCGATATGGAATCCGGACAGCAAGTCAACAATTTCATGAGCTCAATCAGTGCCAAAGGGATCCTTAACCAGAAAACCTCGATCAATTTCTTTTCGAACCAGCAACCGCAAGTGCCATTCAAGGCCTCGGCCACCAGAATGAGACCCGACGCTATCATTAGACCAGATTTCAAGTTCGAAGATATGGGAGTCGGGGGTTTGGATAATGAATTTTCCCAAATTTTCAGAAGAGCGTTTGCTTCAAGAATTTTCCCTCCAGGATTAATTGATAAATTAGGGATCAATCACGTCAAAGGTTTATTATTATATGGTCCCCCAGGTACCGGTAAAACCCTTATTGCCAGAAAAATCGGGAAATTATTGAACGGGTCAGCCGAACCAAAGATCGTCAATGGTCCAGAAATCTTGTCGAAATACGTTGGGAGTTCCGAAGAAAACATTAGAAACTTGTTTAAAGATGCTGAGGCCGAATACAAACAAAAGCAAGAGAACTCGTCGTTACACATCATTATCTTTGATGAATTGGATTCGGTATTCAAACAAAGAGGGTCTCGTGGTGACGGTACTGGGGTCGGTGATAACGTGGTCAACCAATTGTTGGCCAAGATGGATGGGGTTGAACAATTGAACAATATCTTGATCATTGGTATGACCAACAGAATCGATTTGATCGATAATGCGTTGTTGAGACCAGGTAGATTTGAAGTGCAAGTGGAAATTAAATTGCCAGATGAAAAAGGTCGTAGACAAATTTTCGATATCCATGCTAAAAAAATGAAAGATAATGAGTTGTTGGGCAATGATATTGATTTTGATAAGTTAGCAGCGTTGACCAAGAATTTTTCAGGGGCAGAAATCGAGGGGTTGGTGAAATCCGCAGCGTCGTTTGCCATTAATAAATCCATCAAAGTGGGGACCGTGGCTAACGTTGATATAAAGAAAGTTTCGGCAATGAAGGTGTCAATGAATGATTTCCTTATGGCCCTCGAAGAAGTCAAGCCGGCATTCGGGGTGAGTGAAGATGATTTGAAGGACACTTTCAACGGAGGGATCATTCCATATTCGAACCAGATCAACTCAATTATTAAAACTGGTCAAACTTTTATCAACAGAATCCAAGATCCCAATGGTAACACCAACTTGCTTAGCATTTTGATCCATGGTCCTAGTGGTTCCGGTAAGACCGCTTTGGCGTCTTCCATTGCCCTTAATTCCCAATTCCCATTCATCAGAATGATTTCTTCGGCACAAATTGTCGGGATGTCTGAATCTGCCAAGATCACTTATATTGATAATGCATTCCGTGACGCTTACAAATCGCCGCTCAACATTTTGGTGATTGATCAAATTGAAAGTTTGATCGAGTATGTGCCGATCGGTCCACGTTTCTCCAACAACATTTTACAAGTCCTTAAGACATTGATCACGAAGACCCCACCAAAGAATCGTAAATTATTGATCTTTGTCACCACTTCTTCGCATTCTCTTGTCAAGAACTTGGATCTCTTGGGTAGTTTTGACAATGACCTTGCGGTGCCTAACTTGACCAACATCAATGATGTCTCCAATGTGTTGAGATACCTTAATTACGGTAAGGATGATAGAGAACGTGAGTATGTTGTCAATAAGATTGGCAAGTACCTTGCAGACACTCCTTTGAACATCGGGATCAAGAAGGTGTTGAGTGATATCGAGACCTCCAAGTATACCGATGACCCATTGAATGAGTTGGCGGAATTAATTGTCAGTAATAATAACAGATATTAGATGATAAAAGAGCCATTTTGTTTCACACTATTGTTTGTTTTTAATTGAATATACATATATATATACATCTTTGGGATTCAGTAAGTGTAGAAAAATACCACCCGTTGCATCGGTGCACGATGGAAAATGCAAAATAAAAATATATTAAAAATTGGGTGATGATCGCCCTGAGAGAATAATTTCACTTAGAACATGATAATACAGCATGTCATGGATGGGGAGCAACCACAGCACAGCACAAGTCTATTGACCCTTGTTAAGCCGTCATGTTTGAGAATCGTCAGACTATTGCAAGAGAAAGACCCCAAATTCACTCTGCCTTCGACCCAGCGACAACTCTCAGAAGCATTATCTTCCATTAGATCGATCCTTACCGCTCATATAGTTGATGATGATGGATCAGTAATACCGTCTGATGTGGCCGAGCAAGTTTTTTTTTTAATCAGTAACCTTCTAAACCATTCGGGGCTCCAAAATTCCATAATTGAGCATATTTTCACCATCATTACAATCTTCATTGATCACTGCTGGACCAACAACAACAACAACTTCAATCACGATATCATCACGCTATTCCCATTGATTCCTTTCCTTTTGACAAATCATCAAAATGATAAACCATCGGATCCACCCCAACTCTTGGAAACCTCATCATCAGAGTACCAGCTCTCACTCGTAGAATGTGCCACGGCAATCTTCAGGTGTCTGGTACATCATAGCCAGTCTCGAGCAATGTTCACGAAACATCAGAACGCCATTGCTCATTTCATAACTTTAGTAATTGATATCGTCACCCAGAATAAAACCACTGAGCTCCTGGTGGCGGGAATTAAGTGCTTGAAGATCGTGACGTTGCAAGTGGTGCAGGACAAACCGCTGGTGGCGGTGATTTCTCCCGGAGTGGTATCTAAACTATTAAAGTTTTTATTGGAAAATAAAAGTTCACGAAATATTAATGGGGCAGTGATATGTGAAGTATTAGAGTTTGTTGGGGAGGTGGTGGTGTATATTTTGGCCAATGAAGATTTTACCATAACAGGACGATTTGTGAAGGGTAAAGATATCGAGAAACAACTAATTGAATTAACCATTGATGGTGACTTGGAGAATCCGAGAAGTGACTCATCCGATCAGTTGGGTAACAAGAAATCAACAGAGTTTGAAATTGTCGATGATGAAACCACACCCATTAGAGATTCACAATGGGTGAAATTCACCACTGATAATTTACACCAATTCTTTGAAAGATTGACGAATAAATATCGGGCATCAACTAATGATAAGGTGAAACAATCATTATTGAAATTCTGTGATCTGATAATCACCAAATGTTACAAGACCTTCCTGGCAAAATCCATCGATATTCTAGTGGATTGTGAATTATTTCTTTTGGGCAACAATTCTGGGTTTGTCAGTGACCTATCGCAGGCCACCACAGAAGCATTTATCGAAAACAAATTATTCCAAACGCTTGAAAATTCTGCCGATAGCATTGGCTCGGCATTGTACGCATCGGATCAACAAGAATTAGTGGGCAAGATTAAAACCATTACGTATAATGTCGAGATTTTATTACGTGACCAACGCCAGCACAATAAATCGAAACAGTTGGAATCATCAATTACAAATTTAATCGATACGATGATCCGAGAAACCATCGTTTTGCGCAATTCGCAAAAATCGAAAATCGTCAAGAAATCAAGGATCGGTGATTTGACCATTGATCTTGAAACCAATAAATCTTTCCCAACCTTGGCGAATAATAATCATCGAAATTTCCAATCCCATGAAACTGCCATGACGATGCTCATGAGGAAAAAAAATTTGATCGATGAGGATGAGATAATGGACGTTAAAGAATTGTGCGTTTTCAATGAGATATGGGATACCACTGTCGAAACCGCGATCGGGGATTTTTTCCAAATGATCGGCACCTTCCGTGGGATTGCCAATAACGTGGTTGAAACATTACTATTAAACCAAGGAAATTCATCACTACATAAAGGATTGACCTTGTGGGTTTGTAATAATATTGTGAATGGGGCAACTGTAACATCACCACCCACTGATATGATAGATGAATTTCTCAATTTCGATGATGATGACGATGATGATGATGATGATGACGGTCATCAATTGATGGTTTCAAAAGATGATGATCGTATCGAAATGGCAGAGAATTTGCTCGGGATGCTCGAACTCTCCCAAAACTTACTCTCCATCTCCGATGATCTTGACAATTCTTCTTCTTCTTCTAATAAATCCAGTAATGGCGACATCATTAGTGCGATTTCCCTAGATACCATCGCCACTGCCGCGAAGTTCCTCGGCACGGATTTCCAAACCGAATTGATCGATTACTTGTATCCTGCCATTGAACACCTAGCGTCGTCTTCATGGATGGTGGTGAAACATTCTCAAAACACCGTGCTACAACTCGCGCACACCGTGTACCATGGCTCGGTAGAACAATTGATCATTGATAATTCTGATTATTTGTTGGATTCGTTAAATTTGAAATTGATGAACATTTCCTTTGGCCCAGATACTATCAAAGTACTCATTGTGCTCATGAAGATTGCCGGTGGGGAATTGGTTGAAAAATTGGAAGATATTATAAACTCCAGCTTCATTTTGTTGGATCTGTACCACGGGTACTCCGCCTTGACCAACGGGTTTTTCATGGTGTTCAACGAGATTTTGAACACGATTTATCAACAATATATCATTGATGGGAAGTATGAATTTGAAGTTTTATCAGAAATTAACAATGAATTGAAAGAGCGGTCCAAACCTTGGGGAATCGATCTGATTGAAGGGATGTTTACGATGTTGGATAAATCTAAACGTGATTTGCCAAATTTAGAACAACTCGACCTTGCCAATGAAGAAGAACAAGATAGTGATGATGAAGAAGAAGAAGAGTTTGGAGGGAGTACCCAGGTGGACGATAATGATGACGATTATTCTAAAGAGATTTTCAAATATAAGTCGCCAATTGCCAAACCCGTGTATTTGCTCATCCAAAAGATCGGATCATATTGTTTACGGTTCTTACAATACCCATCGATGAATGTCAGACTACAAATTTTTGAAATGTTGAATAAGATCCTTGAATTGCTTGCTACTCAACCGGTGGAATTGAACCCGGTGTTATTTGAGTTTTGGCAAGTGGTGAGCGATTCTGCCACCACGGGTACTCAGGATATGAAAATCAACATTGCCGCGTTGAGAACTATCAAGGTAATGTTCAAGTTCGGGGGAACGTTTTTGAATAAACATTTCAAACCCTTTTGGGAAAAATTGCAAACCAACGATAATTTCCAGAACTGTTCCCGGCGGTTGAAGTTGTATAAACAGTACCGAGGAGAACAAGCATTGGAGAAATGGAATGATAAAAGAATGTTTCCTGAACTTTTACAATTCGAGTATTATTGTATTATCAACGAGGTGTTGAAGTCAGGATTGCGAAACTGTGGGGATACGATATCGATAGTCGACGTGATCCACATCATTTGGAATGGTTGTGGGACGGCAGATGATAATGTGGACGCCGAGTTTGGGATCAATGGTGATGTTGCGTGGTATTTAAACCACCGGGGAAATGATTATGATTAATTTGGTAAATTTTGAAACGTCAGTACTTAGCTATAATATTTTTTTAGATATTAGTGATATAGTATTTTGAAAGACGTTGGTGATGATTAATGATATTGACATGTTTTATAAATGCCTACGTGTAAAGATGGAATTATTGAATTGCTCCCAATGGTAAGCCAAAAATTATGCAATAAATCATAAATTCTGTGTAAAAAAACAAGAGAGACGACCATCGATGGTGCATTGATGACCAAGAAGACAACAGTTACTTTACTTGCAGAGAAATTCTTAGAAGAGTGACGATACCAAATGTTCTATTGATGTAACACAATAACAAATAGTAGTTGTTTAGATAAAGCTCAAGGATGTGAGGTTTCGAGAAAAACTTGGAAACCCGAATTGTGTTCACATTTTTTTTCTCCTAGAGTTACACAAAAAAGTTCTTCCAATTCCTATTTTGACATGAAATTTCCCAACATGTCCTTCAACAACAGACGTGTCATGAAGTAAGTTGTAATTTTGAATAAATAAATAAAAAAAAATGGCCAGGAAAAATGATTTTCTTGGCCGTGCTACGTATATATGCCTACAAATATATGTATACAAATTCCCTATTGTGTATAACCTCACAAAGGTAGCCTCTGAAAAAAACAAGATGCCCCTCCATCAATAACTATGAGGACGAGCCTCAATACTCATCTTTGTTATTCGTTTAAAAGACACGCTGTCTTATACTGTCTTAGAATATGACTTCTAGAGCACCACAACTCTTGAAACGGTGCTAAATCAACAAGTGGGTTAGCTTCAAAACCTGTTTCCATTACGGATTCTACCTAATTTTCTTATGAGCTCGCCACTTCTCCGGGTCTTCCAATATTTTGAAGCATATGCTCAACTTCTTTTTTTCTTTTTCTATTAATCCATAAGGTACACTTCTTTCTAATTTTTACTTTGTTTTTCTACAAATATTCAATTTTTCCTTTTTCGATCCTACGTCGTAGTATTCTACCATAATTAATATCCTATGTCTTATTATTCTAACTTCTTATTTTACTCCCTTAATATATTTTCTTAATTTATATCCTTAATTTATATCCTTAATTTATTTCATTTATTTATTTCATTTATTTATTTTAACAACTGTACTTTGAAAAGTGGCATATCCCAATGCTTAAGGTATCTTAGATATTGTACTTACTTACATTAGTGTTTTTAAACAGAATTTTTAGTTATCCATCCAAGACACTCGTGGAAGTATTAGAGTACAGACAGATATTATTAATCTCCACAAGTCGAACTAAAGCAATAACCAACATTACTGCAGATTAATTTCAATATTAGATATTCCAAGAATCCTATTCCTGCTCTTTTCCTCTCTTTTTTTTTTTTTTTTTCTTCTTCTTCTTACAATTTCTATTGGATTCATACAGTATCGGAAACAAGTCACTTGATAATAACCAGGACAGCTTGTAGTATTAAATGGAACATAATGCACAGAATGAAAAAGAAGAGAAAATTTGATTAAACCAATACAAAAACCAGAATTGAATTCTAGAAAAAACATAAAGAAAGAGAAAAAAAGAAAAAGGAAAAGGAAAAAAAAAAAAAAAAAAACATACGACGTTAAAACCTTTCGATTATATCTGATGGGGTAATATCACAGTGACCTCCCAACACTGGGGGTAAATTGGCTCTTGGGGTCATGGTCACCGATTCCCAAAGCCAAAGAATCACACAAATCATCGCGGTGAACCCTAACAAGTGGGTGGTAGACATCTCGGCAAAACTCATACAAAGAATTATGACGCCAGCAGGAAACCTTGGAGCAATCCGCCAGAATTTCGTCACCACATGGGTATTCCAAGGATCTCTAGATTTTTCGGCAAACCCCATGATGGTAAGGGCCCAAAGTGCCGCGCATAATCCCCCGGTAAAGAAGAAGGAAAGGGCGTACATCGAAGGTTCCTCGGTTTCTTCCGATGATGATGATGAGGATTCCGATGAGGATTCGGCGGCCCTTCTAAATAAAAACTTCAATACTGTCTCTGTTGTCGAAGATTCCTCATGTGATGGATGTTTTGCGGTCAGAGTATTTTCCAAAGTGATCCATTCACCAGCAGAATCGGCAGCCAAAATTAATCCGGCAATAAGGGGAATATGCGAATAAATCCAACAAATTGCTGCTGCCCCACTTCTTCTAAGAGGATGGGTTGCCTTGACGGAAGTTCCTGAGTTGAAATAAAGCCAAAGGAAACAATAAGAAATGATCAATAAACAGATCCCTCTAGATAATTTACCTTGGAACCCTGCCCCGACAGGATTCCCGGCCACGGTCTTATACAAGAATTCCCCGATGGCAATAATGAAAAATGCCCCGAATCTTTCGACTTCATGTTCGATATTCAACGCAGTGCTACAAGTCAAATGAAGCACGTTCTTCTTGAACCATGGGTGATAAATTAAACAGAATGTCGAGTGTTCAAGAAACATGATGGCAATAGATACCCCGATTTTTGCTCTAGTGTCGATGAAGATCACACTAATCCATACACAGCAAAACACAATTATCGTACATCCGTAAACCCTCATTTGCAATCGATGTTCAGGGATAAAGATCGAATAAAACAACAACGAAATCGCAAGACTAAGACGACACAACATATAAGGCACCACCGTCAACGCTGCCTCGCCCCGGCCATCTAGCACGTAGGTACAGTTATTATCATACACGAGCAACAAGATCAAAATCCACAAGAGGTATAATTTTTGGGATAAGTCCTCGCTATAGTAATAATTGACAAAGTCTTTGATATCGCTCCACACCGTCCAACTAGGGATAAATAGCAACATGTATTTCAAGAAACTCGCGGCCGACGCGTGCTCAGTGGCATCTGATGCCAAATTTGCCACTATCCCCACGTACATCAAGTCTAAAAACAACTCGGTTTTACCACTGGTACGCTCTCCTTTGGTACGATAAAGCACTCCGTCTTTGAAATAATTCAATGCGTGGGGTCTGACAAACCAGAAAGAGTCCTGGGGTTTCTTGATATATTGAAACTCCACATGCCCATATTTGTGAATGAACTCATCCACTTCTTCAGAATCAGAGAGCACTAAATCATGGGAGAGATGTTGGTGGATGCTGTTGTTGTTGTTGTTTTCAGGTGATTGGGTTTCTTCATCGAAAGTTTGACCTCGATGAGTTTTGGAAACGCTGTTTTCATATGACGAGAAGTGAGGCTGCGATTGGGTAGAGGTAGCATTGGGGTAATCCATTGCACTGGGTTGTGATGTACTGAAATTATATGGATTATCCAGCAAACATATAGTGTCTACAGACAGGGGGTTGACAGTTTTTGAGGTTTTTTTTTGTTTATTCGAAAATTTTTGATCGTTTAGAACCCACCAAAATGGCTCCCATAGTAAAGGACCCTTACAATTCTCATATTTATCGTCATATCTCGTAGTATTATCAATATATTATGTTTATTATTGATATACATAGTTTATTAGTGTGATCTTTTCATTATTTGATGGGCGATATTTGATTGACTCCCTTTGAAAAATCCAGTGGAAAGCAATAGTGGAATTTCTGTCAATCTTTGGTAATTCACAACCACCACAACATTCGGTAATTGGGGAATATAAACATCCTAACTGTAGTAGTTTACTATACTACTGTAAGGGAATATAATTACGCCTCAAATGATGAAGTAATTATTGGGGCTAGAGAAGGAAATGAAATGGTCACCCCTCAAGGCAAATACTCGTACTTCTTTATAAGGGAGTTTTGGGGTGTTACTAATTGTCATAGACTTCGTGCTAGATATTAAGAAAAAATAGAATACGATTATGAAGAGAGATATAAATATAAAAGTTTGATGAAATACGAAATTACAGTCTCAAATTTCAGGAAAATCAAGTGAAGCGGGAAATTCCATCATCCAACAGATCAGCCAGTAATTCGTATTCTTTAATAATTCGTAATTCAATAATATTTAGTAATTCTATAATAATTAGTGATTCTATAATAATTCGTATATCCTCACGTTAACAAGTACCTATTCGTATTGCTTTTGTGCCCTTCGTGGGCATATTACCTCTGTTAAACCCTTCTTCCATCGGCCAAAGTACCTGACCCATGGGTCAGTACCCTGTCGCACCACGACATGATAGACGTCCCATATATTCAACATGATATATAAATATACCCAAATATAATGTGTCGATATAGAAATAATACTGAAATATTTATCATTACAATATTAATCATTTTACATAAATTCAATTATTACTTAACAATGCTCGCCAAATCCCTTCTTCTCCTTGTTATTCCAGCGTTGGCCGAAGTGGTGTACGAAACCATCACAGAAACCGTTACCCCAACCGTTTACGAAACCATCACTGTCACCGATGGCGTTACTCCTGAATCTTTAACCGCTTATAAATCTTCATCTCATTCATCATCAATCACCACCCACTACACCCCAGCCTCGTCGTTCTCCACTTCTTATCTCACCAGCTCATCAGCCAAGGCCAGCTCAGTTTTCTCTAGTGCCGCTACTTCTGCTTCTGCTTCTGCTTCTTCTTCTGGCTCAACTCATTCAGGGGATGCTACCTATTATTCTCCAAGTGTGGGGATTGGTGCTTGTGGAAATCAAAATTCCGATTCAGAATTGGTTTGTGCCCTTCCTCACACTCTTTACGATGCCACCAGAACCACCAACCAAGGGGAAAGTAGTTATTGTGGTAAATCGCTTACTGTCAAATATGGCGAGAAATCAGTCACCGTCAAAGTGGTCGATATGTGTCCTGGGTGTGCTGGTGATTCGCTTGATTTGAGTCCTGCAGCATTCACCCATTTAGCAGAAGAATCTGTGGGAAGAATCAAGGTCACTTGGTCTTTTGATTGATATTTTTCGACCAAGGAATTATTATTTTGAATCAATCACAATAGATATTACTTAGAAATCTTATTTTTATCCATCTTTCTATCACCTTTTTTTTTTTTTCTTTTATTACTATTTAGAACACTAACAATACATTTGCGGAATAATAACAAAAAAAAGGTATGAGAGTAAGAATAATAGCAAATATTAATACCATGAAATGAATTGATGCCTATATTATCTATTGAAACAGTAGCAAGACTCTGGGTATGTGCACTGTATATTATGTCTACGGTGATCATACGCTCCTCACCGCTAGTCAAGACACCCTTTTCATTTAAAAGTAAGCTACCATGATATGCTACTGGGTAAAACAAATATTTACCAATGAAAAAATTGCTTCGCAAGATATGTTCACAGAATATTCTTACTTCATCAACAAGCACAGTGTTCTAAGTTTAAGCAGCTTGATAAAGGTACATCCTATATCGTAAGGAGCTTTGCTGCTTTTTTGTAGTTAACAAGTAATGATACTTTATTTTTATTTTATTTTTTTTTTTTTTTTTTAATATATATCCTTGAGCTCCACCGATGTAACTTTATAATTGAGGAAAGGTTCAAGGGGAGAATAATATGCAATTGCCACACTGTAAAATTATTTTGACAAGTAGTATACGAATCAACGTGTTAAAATTCTACAGGTCTACAAAGTACTTTAATATATATAAAGACGAAACAAACGCACTCACGTATAATGACAAACACTTTAGATAATAAAGTTAAATATAAGGACAGTAGTAAGGACAGTAGTAAGGACAGACAGCACGACACCTAGCAACCTTAAACCAATAATGGCTGTAAATATAATCTTGATAGCAACGACTATAATATTTATTAGTAGAGATCTAATTATCTGGTTCCTAGTATATGACCTACAGACCCCTTGATTGTAGGATCTCAAACTTGTGACAACAGAGCGCACTTTTATCAGAAGTAATTATTGTACATAGGTGTCCGGCGTTTTTCTTGTCGGAAAAACATTGCTCCACCATAGTACACAAAATCACATAAAGGGTGCATACCCTTAAGTTAAGTGATAGACAAAAGCAGACTATTGGAGCTTGCACTGTACTAAGAGCTACATTTCAACAATACCCAAAAAAAGTAATCTCTCACACTCTAAAAACAGAAATCGAGAATTTAGAGAAATGTGCTAATACAGTCAGTCAGAAGATAAAAAGACATGGGAAGGGCATCAAGACAGGCACTACAGAGATGGCAGAAGATGGACAGCCCGGGTCAAAGAGGCAAAAGAGAGATCTGTATGATGAAGAGTTGTTGGAGCTCACTCAAGAAGAGAGAAAGTTTACTCAATTGGAAAAATTTTTCGACTCAATATTAAAACTAATTAATCGATCTAGGAAAGATGTTATTTTTAGTTTCGATGATTTGGTGGATATTGTGATTCGTGCTCGTCTAGGTCTTCCTAAAACTGATATTCGCTTTCATTATTGTGAGTTTATCAAGAAGACTTTAAATTCCTCTTGATGCTGTACCAGCTTATTATTCTTTATTCACATATTGCTCTCTATAAGGGATTCTGTAGGCATGCTTCAAGGCATATTGCTCTCTGTTTACAGTAGCAGCTCTTTTAAAAAGAAATACGAAAAGACGAAAAGATTTAGAAAATAAAATAAAGAAAAATGAACAAAAAAAAAAAAAAATAAAGACCGCAGAAGGAGCTCAAATAAAAATGCGATCCATACTGACCAAAAACTTGGTCATGATCCCTCAAAGGTGCCATTAGATATATTAAAGTCCTATTAGGTGTTTATATGAAGATCAAATAGTAATTTTCTTGAATACTGAAGGAATAAAATAATTCACAACACTGATATGAATTTTGTTCCTGGTGATACGAATAATTAAAGTGTAATGGTCTGAAATAGTTTTGTAGTTTGCAACGGTATCATTTTTTTTCTTTGGTTACGAGCGCAAGACACTCAATCACTGAAGGATTCTTTTGATAGATAATTAGTTGGATCATTTTCCATCCAATTATTTGTCTGATCGTCTCTAGGCACAGTATAATCAGCAAGTCTTTGAACGCCTTTACCAGCTCCACCATACGGGATAAGATCTTTCACGGCCTGATGTTTCTTAACAACTAACCTTCCCTCTGGACCGGCAATCACTGAAGTTCTATGTTATTAGAAAGTAAACCAAACTATTTTAGTTACGCATATATCATTGACGACACCGCAACATCCCTGTAATTTACACAACTTTGCTTAGCTTTTTCATTCCATGCTATACATAGTTACAAGTTCGTATTCAGCTTAGGTGTTACTAAATTAAAAAGCTTACCAAAAATATCGATAAACAAGGCAATAAACAAGATAGTATATTATATATACTAAGCTTTGAATTGATATTATCAGAAAATCACAAAATGTGTTTCGAAGTAATGAAATAATGTTCATTTAAATTTAAGTGGGTGTTCCTTGAAAAACTCTTCTGCGGAAACAGGCTTGAACTCTATGTTTTTAGCATTTTCTTCAACAATAGCAATAGTATTAGCTCCCCAGTATCCATACTTTTCATAAAACTCAAACATTTCAGTGACGTCTTCAGCAATTGATGGTGGGTGCATTTTTGTAAACTCTTCTTTCAGGACTTGAGAATAGACAACTTTTTTCCCACTAGCGTTGCCAATTATATCAACTAGTTCACTCATACTGTAAAGCTTTTGGGAACCATGTATTTTTTTACCAACATATTTTTCTTGATTTGAAAGTAAAATGCCAACGTACTTCCCAGACTCACCAACAACATCAATCCAAGGAACTTTGGTGTCTGGCTTCAAGACATTAAAAAAAGCATCCAAATTATTAAGTTTTTGTGGAGGAAATATGTTAAGGAAGTTTTGCAAAAAAATACCAGGCAGATAAAATGAGCTTTTGATTGGTAAGCTGCGAACGTATGACTCAACTTCTGCTTTTTGATCGAAATGTTTTACATGAGTGAACTCATTGTTTGAGATCTTCTTAACAGCAGCTAAAGTACTCCAAATAAAGTATTCCACGCCTTGTTCAACGGCAGCATCAGCAATAGTTTTACCCTCTTCAAATTCGGTACTTGAACCATCAAACTTCATATTTGACATGGCAAACACAGTATGAGCACCTTTGAGAGCGTTCAAAACTGATGATTTACTACTAGTATCACATTCCACCATTTGAACCCCTTTTTCAGAGAGTAAACGTGCAGATTCACTCAGAACATTTCTTGTAACACCTCTAATTTTGAACTCATTAGACAAGTTTTCTAAAGCGTAAGATACCACAGATCCTCCTTGCTGGCCAGTAGCGCCAAAGACAACTAAAATTTTGCTCATTCTTGAAATTTTCTTCTTGGAAAAAAAAATACCCCTCAATGTTTTTTGTTAAGTAGTATGATGGAACTATAGCGCCAGAAGAAAAAGCTGTTTATTTATATATCAGGAAGTGATGCTTACTAATGCCAGATATTGTTGTTGTTAGAAATGATAATAATAATAATAATAGCAATCTTCTAAAGGCGGGGATAAAAAGAAAAAAAAATTAATCTCGTTAATACCGTTAATCCCATACTTTGCTGGTTAAAGCATATAAGCAAGTGCAGCGAGAACGCCACCTGTTCGTGGAGTGATTTCATTTTTCCTTCGTAGTAACCAATTGGGAATATTCAAAGGAACTGGAACGAAGAAGTCTGGAGGAATTGACGCAGAGCAGGGTTAGGGTGGGTGTATAAACTGGGTGTATAAACTCGACTATGTCGTGATCTACGTACTTATTGTACTCACTTATGTATTTAATTTCTTCTTTTTTATTAACTCCTGGTTGTGAGAAAGTTATAGTAGTTTACTTACCTATTAGAAAGACCGGCATGAAATGCCCGGCTTGCATGTTATTTAGAACCTCTGTGACTCGTTAATATACAATTCATTCATTCATTCAATTAAAATTGAAATTCTTCGTCTTTCGAAGTCCTCAAAACAAATAGCAAGTATATAATTATATACTAATGAGATTAAATATAAATCGAAATTATTTGAAAAAAAAAAAAAAAATCTTTTATTTCTTTATTTTTGTTATCTCTATTTTCCATTTTCCTCTAATTTATTCCCTCATTTCCTTTTTCTATCTTTTCTCACTACAAATAGGGCTTATTTCTCTTATTCTTTGAGATTATCTTTTCCTTAATATACTTCAACTACCATGTTTCGTCCCTAAAAATTTAAACTAAAAACTATTACAGACTTAACGAAAACTGTATTTTCATCAATGAAGCTGGTTTCAACATCAGTATGAGGCCTGAGCATGGAGGGTCTGCTCTAGGTGAAAAAGTTGCTCCCACGGTTTCTGTTTATAATATCAGCTCTTTTGAAAAGAAATACAAAATATAAAAAAATTTCTTAAATGAAAAATAAAGATAAATGAAAAAAATAATAAAAAAATGAGCCTGACACCATTTTGGTCATTATTGTTTCTTCAAAAAAAAAGATCATTATATCAGCATAAACCATATCACTTTTACATTCAATATTTTAATACTTTTCTCAATATTATTTAGCAAACAAATTCAAATTCTTCAAAAAAAAAAAAAAAAAAAAAATAAAGGAAAAATAAAAATTTAACAAAAATATAATTTATATAATACGAGGTATCAAAACCAATATCATTCAAACTTGATTATCGGTTGCAGGTTGTTCTTGTTCAACCTCCTCAGGTTTAGCCTCTTTGATGGTAAACATCAATAAGAAAACCGTACTATTGATCGCCAAATTCAAGTACAAAACATTTCTAAACTTATGGAACAACAATGGTTTATAATCTTCTTTTGCCAATTGAACGGCAATGTTACCAATCATCGTAGAAGCAATGGAATTAGCAATACTCACCCCAATTTGGGCCCCGGTTTGGAAAATCCCGGTGACAAGACCATGCAAATGAGGCTCGGTTTGTAACATGATCGAACTGAGATACACTTTGAAAAAAGAGTTGACCCCAAACCCAGACAAGAAAAGCGGCACCGCATTGAATTTCCAATAGTCGTTGACCACGGTATAATCGGAACGGTTAATCCAAATCGCCGCCCCAAGAGAAAGAGTACCAGAAAGAATAAGACTGCGCTTATACCCAATGAAGGAGACATATCCTGGAGTAACCGTGATCGAACTAACCACCAACCCAATGGTTAAGGGTAAAAGTTTGACCCCAGCAAGTAATGCAGAATCACCGTGGAGGTACTCGTAGTATTGAAGCAAACTGGTCATGTAAACAATGAAAGAGGCATAATACAAGAACAAACTGAAGAACAATGGCAAACAATTCTTCAATTGGAAGATTTCAATAGGAAATAATAAATCGACGTTCATTCTCCAAGATTTCTTGTTGTTTATTGGATCATCAGAATCGTAAGTATGTTGTTCAATTGGTGATTCTTTGCTGCCTTTTTCATCATGGTCGTCCGATTGATGGTAGTTGGCTTGGTGGTTTTTCTGGTAGGTTCGCAAATAAACGTTTTCAAAAAGGAAAATCGCCACCAATAAGCAAAACCCAATGGGGATGGTCACATAAACTTTAGGAGAGTTCCATGTGTTTGCGGCCTCGGTTAACCCAAAGATAATCAACAACAATCCCACCACAAGCATCGCGCCCACTGGGAAATCCAAATTTTTCAACTTCAACTTGTCGTGGGCCGCGGTTCTTTCCACAGGAATGATGATGAACCATAGCACGATAAAACATACCGCAGCCACAGCAAAGGAAAAGTAAAAGAAATGGCTGAATCCTAGTGCCCCACCAAGAATTAAACCAATCCCAAAACTACAGACCAAGAAGATGGAGAACACCGTCAACGCGGTGTAGAAATCTTTCCCTTTGAAATAATTACCGGTGATGGCATAAGAACTAGGAATTAACGCTGCCCCACCAATCCCTTGGAAAGCTCTGAAGATAATCACGGCGATGATACTACTTTTAACGCTGGCGACCAACACTGAAAACACCATCATGATGAAAAGGCCTCCCAAGTACATGAGATGAACTCCGATGATATCCCCCATTTTACCAAACAAGATGATGAACGACCCTAAAGTGAGGGCGTACGCCGATAATGCCCAAGAGGCAGTAGAAGAAGAGACGTTAAATTCTTCTTCAAGAGATTTTCCAGTATTGAGGGCCCCAGAAACATTGAGGTTGTCTAATAGAAGCCCAAGAAGCACAAACACGTAAACGAACCATCGCCAGGCTTTTTGGTCTTTACCTACAGGTCTCCCAGGAGTGAAAAAAGTTTTCAACAGCATATAAAAATTTCGTGTACTAATTATGAAAATTGTAACCTGCAATAAAACTGGAAAAACATTTGAATTTATATGCTACAGCAACTTCATTTATGTAGCCACTGAGTATTTTCACACCAGTGAAAATAATTCAAATCATTACCATGTTGGTGTTAGCAATGTGGCATTTGTCACGTGAATGCAACAACATCTCCGGTTAACACCGTTGTACCCTTGGGGGGCCCGGTGTTTGCAACATTAATTCCGCTTTTGGGCAATCCCGTGATCGAAAGCAGAAGATGACAAGTGAACTTGCACAAATGAAAGATGCAACGATGGGGGCTCTGTGTGGTTGTAGAAGGATTTGTGTGATATTGGAAACTCTTTTAAGAAATCTCATTCAACAACTAGGAGAGATTTTTTTCGAGCTTCTTCTATGTTGCTAATTTTACTCTTTTGTTATTTTGTTCATAATTTTTTCACTCCAGTTTCATAATTTTCTTTCTTCATTTATCTGTATTTCAATTATCTTTACTTGACTCTCTAAAATTTTTCGTCTTGCTGTATTTCTTTTCAAAAAAGCTGCTTCTGTGAACAGAAATCAATATGTCTTGCAGCATACCAATAGAATCCCCTGTAACTGTCTAGAGCAATATTTTCCGTAGCTTCTTTCACTCTTAGTGTCAATTGCTCTTTCTTACACAAGTTTCATCTTTTGATTATAGTATTGAATAGTGACCATAATTCCTCTATGGCTTTCAATCCTGGACAGAAAGGAGGCAAAGATATAAGTTCTAGCCCACTCAGCGCAACTAATAATTAAAGATCAAGAATCAAATATCTCATATCTTGTAGCCCGTGATTGTCATCTATTTTCTGAATTACTAACTTTACAAAGCCATAGAAGTGATTAGCTGTAGTAACTCTATTCACTTTCCCAGTATTTGTTTCTGAATCAACTGTTCTCTTCTTATTTAATGGAGCCACTAGTGTTCTGAGCTTTGATTCTGTGCAGCCTTTTGCAGAAATTTCACCAATAAAGGAATTCTTTATGCTACTCAATAAGAAGAGGCTCGCGACCTCTTTTTTTTAAATGGACAGAGATGCCGTTTAGTTCATCAACAAGTGCCTTGTTTCAATTTCTTTTCCATGTGTATTATGAATATCCGGTATTGTGGAAAAGAGCACCGACTTGTAAAAAAATAGTTGGGAATAATTACAGTGTAATGGTACGAAATAAAGATACTCGTTCAATATGAATGCCAATTTCTGATGTTCCATTTGTTCGTTCACCTTGCAAGTGCCTGGCACTTTTCTGAATTATTTACATAAATTTCAGACTCAAATTTCTTAGTTTCTTCTCTTTCAAAGAAAAACTTAGTTCTCAAAAATCAAACATAAAGTAAAAGTATCACAAAAATAATATGTAGTTTATTTTTGTCAAGGCTTCTCCCGAAGCCACAGGAAGAATCTTAAAAATAATGGGAAAAAATAGCACTGAGATGAATTGATTATTAGCGAGTTTATGATAGCAATATATTGATTTAATCACTAGCAATTTCACTGCAGCAAAGCATTAGTTTGGAGCGCTTCCTGAACTTTCCCTATATCTCAAAACCCCAACTAGCTGAGAGAGATAAGAAAAAAATTTCTTCCGTCTTCAGACTTCAATTTTTTCCAAAATTCATTTTTGGAATGACCTTTAAGACCAATCCACCTTATTCATTAGCACGAAATAATCGTAAATCAACAGTTTATTAATGGATCTGCCAATGAGTCTTTGTTCTTTTAGCTTGGTTGAAAATTGACCAAGCATTTTCCCAATGAACCAGGTGGCAATCGCATCTCTCTTGGCAAATCCTGGCTGCGACTTCTTCACTTCCAATGTTTTCATGAACCGTAGAATTGCACCACCAAGGGGCGTCTCAGAAGTGTCGATGATTTGGTAAGCGATTAGCCCATTATTTTTGAATTCAAAATACATACGCGCACAATTATCAAAGAGAAGTTCAAAATATTCTCCTGCGTCCTCCTTCTTTTCGCTCTCCATTTTCTCTCCAAGCTTTTTCCAATCAAGTTTCACTAAAAAAGGGGGTCGATTCATCTGCCAATATTCCTGTTAAAGCCCTTGTGCATAAAATTTGAATTATCAGTTGATTAATGCTCCTCACGAAGATAAACGCTTCCGGACTGAAACCAAAAAATTGTGGCAAGTGTTCTCTGTATAATTCATATTCGGTTCTGAACTTGTTGAAGCTTTCTGAAAGCGAGTGTTGTAGTTTGTATTTAAGCTCAACGCATGTTATATATTCATTGTCCTGCTTGCCTATTTCTTAATACTTAGTCATAATATCAGGTTTTGAGTCGACGGTTCTTTCATTACTGTAATTTTTAACTGATTTCAAGCTGGTTTCTGGTCTTTCATCGCTTCTTGCTCTTGTATTTTGAATGGATCCTGATATTATGTTTTTTGGTTGTTGTTCTTCGTTTTTTTCCACCCTCGCCCTTTCCGGAAACAAGCTACTCTTGAAGACAAAGTTCAAGGTGGCAAAGATTCCAAAAATTGATAATCCAGAGTTCAAACTACAAGTGAAATTATTAGCAGCTTGTTCACGAAGAGGCCCAGTAGCCCCTAGAGTTGAAAAATCAAAACTGGTTCCAGCAAGCGAGCCTTTTTCTAATTCATTTTTGAATTCATCAAACGCAGATTTTAAAGATTTTAAAGATTTCAAAGATTCATCTCCTTGGTCCGAGGAAGGAGCTTCTTCCATACCTGGAGTAATCTTCTCTTCCCCTTTTCTAGCTTTTTTTTTTGGATATTGACTAGGACTGCTCATTGGATGCCTTGTTCTTTCCAATTTCAGGATCAATTGATCAAAATAGTTTTTTCCTCAATCTCGGGAAAGATTTGTTTGCTTATGTTTTTGGTGTATCCTGCGATTGATAACAAAATAGAGAGAAGTGGGAAGAGAGATGAGAAAGGATGATTAAATTTCCTGTGGACCCTGCATTGATAATCACGTGCCCAATCGATGAATGCGTCAAATTATAACAGATCAACTGCAATATCATTAATCGTCCCGGGATAAGGATCACCAGAGGCTAAATTACTAAATGATTGATATTTATCGAATAACGGTGGTTTAATGGTTAAAAAAATCTATTGATTTGCAAAATCTCTCTCAGTTTGCACTCTTCTATGCCGCTTTATCGAATGAAGATCAGAGTTGTAGCATAGGTCATGCTTAAGGTATCATAGATACAGTCCACCATAACAGAGATCACTCCAATGATTATTAACATACTTAGAATCAGTGCTCTTAGTACTTTGTTAATGACATTCCATGATGCAATCGGTCATTAATAATCTTTCTTAGAATGCTCTCTTACTTTCTAGAACATTCTATTACTTTCTATTACCTTCTTCTACATTTTATTACGTCAGATTCCTTACTATTACTTGCTACTTCTCTCTATTATCTTCTTTTATCTTCTAGAAGTTTTCGATAGTTCTAAGATCGACCTTAAATAGAGCGATCTTTCTCGTTTTCCATTTTATTATTTTATTTTAGAGGACACGCTTAAACCTTTACACAGTATTTACACTTAATTTAACAACTCATTTTGTTTTATTTGATAAAACTATTAATAGTTCCAAGTATAATATAAGACTCTCAATCCGTTGATTAACATGAGACCAAGCTTATATTACACAAGGTGACTTGGACTGTTGACCAGTAAGAGGGGCTATGATACCGGTGACTCACAGTTTGTTTTTCATATCCATCATAATATACAGAAATATTACAATAACTAGCTTTTCAAAGTAGAGTTAAATCGAACATTATACACAGGGTCTCGAGAAAATAAATCCCCAACACCCCAGTTAGAACCTAGTACCTAGACCATCAACGCAGCCATCTGTTAGTAGTTCAGCTTTCAAGTCCATACCTAATTCTAATAGTAAAAGAATTACTGTAATCAATCTAGCGATCACATAGTAACGCTGAATTGCACGACAGATGTTGGATATCATGACTTTATATGGGGCACGCCTTGTACCATACATTTGTTACAAACATTATCACGTGTGTATATTATAAATTTCCGGTATTGCGATCCGCCAGAAAAGAGCACCGAGTTCTGCGAAATTGAGTATCTTTTGATTAAATTAAGTAACAAAGAGGCTTTTGGAAAACATTAATAGAAAAAACATTGATATTAATAGTTGAACTGAAATGGTAGGAATAATTGCGGTGCAATGATATGAAATATTTTTGTAGTTTGAAAAATACCGGGGGTCGGCATGAATTAATTTTTGCCACTGGTATGAGCATTTCCGGTGGTTGGTACGGAATCACTGCATATAAGTTATCAGTGAGGGGAAGATAATCTTAATTTCATGAGAAAGTTTTACAATATTCAATTTGTCACAATGTACCCTCCTTCTCACTTATGATAATAGATATTATTTTTAACCATCTTTTTGGCTTTCTGTCTTCTCCTGTGGATGATTACATTTCTAAATATAAGATTCAATCGAGCTCTCTTGTTATCTTCTAATCTATTTGTTCTCGGCGGTTACACAAAACTGAATACTCCTAGACATGGATTTTTTTGATACCAACAATGAATTATTAGATGAATTGAAGAGGAAATTTCATTCAATGAAAACAAATGATCAACTTTGTGATGAATTTTGGAGAAGTGTTGCCGCCATCGTGGACATCCAGGACGGAAAAGCTAGTCCTTCTTCATGGGATAGCCCATTGGAATTGAAGAACTTCTCTTGTCTTGAAAATGTTTTCGAGACATTTAATGGGTCCATTATACACAAAACCAATTTCACTATTGACGACATAGATTATCAAAAAGCTCAGAATATGATTGAAACCAATAAAATGCTACTTTTACATTACCTTATGAATGAAGCTGAAAGACAGAGAGAAAAAATGCAATCATCACAATTAATCAACGAGAGTTTCGGCAATCTAGAAGGGGCTGGTTCTCTAAGACCAGAAATTATAAAAAGAATCTTAAATGCTCTTCAAACAAAGGCATTATTGTTACTCAATCCGCCAGTATTATTGCTACAAGAGGAGAGTGTTTTGCCAGGAAAAGAGAAAATAACTGAAAGCAGTAGTGGACCAATAAAAGGCTCAAAAGGTTCCAAGTTTTATACATCAAGTTACAGAAAAAATAACCTCTACAAATCCCTTCGTTACTGCTTTATTGAAAGGCGTAATGATTTGACAATAGAAACATGGATAGGTGAGCTTGCTGGTGTCATCGCGCAGGCCAGCGCGAAAAACATACAGACTCCAAGTGATTTATTGCAGTTAGATAATCACTCAAATGAAGCGGATTTTTCTTCAAGTTTATTCGAGACTACATTAAAGCCAACTTTCTTGATGATTTCCAAAATGATGGAAATCAAGGGACTCGAAAAAGTTGGATTACGACATCAAACAAGAATAAATTTTTCTGTTCGTGAAAAAGACAAAGTAAAGTACTTTACAAATATTGTTGATTTCACTGTTAGAAGCCAACAAGGAATATATTTTCCTATTGAATTGAAACTTCCATCATTAGCACAACATCTTCAAAGAATTAAAGAAAGTTATTTTGGTACAAAGAAAAAGACCAGTAAGGAATTCTTTGTAAACATGAAATGTTTATCAAATTTATGTTCGCAAGCTGTGTACCAGGCAATTGGAGGACACTCTATAGGCGGAGTTTTAACAGACACACAAAGCTTCCTTCTATTTTGTTTTGATCTTTCAGAGCTTCAGAAAAACCAAGAGCTCCAGGGAAAATTGAGAAAATATGAAAAATCCAAGGACAAGTGGGAAATTGAGCGTTTAGTTCGTGAAATCGAGACCTTCATGGATAATCATTTGGAAAAAATTATTACAAATCACCCCTTCAAAACTGCAGATACAATTAATATCACCCAAATTGACATGAAAACATTATGCCTAACAAATGACTCAATGGTAGAAAATGATTTTTCTATCACATTGAAATTGTTGGTGTTCATCTATAAGGTGATGGCAATGAACATTGAGCACCAAACATTGATAAGATTCTTTTATGACAGACTTCTACAGAAGCTTTTATTAAGCACCAGAGAGAAATTAGAAATAATCAAAGATAGCCAGAAAGCAATAAGCCTATTTTATAAATTTATTTTCAAAGAAGATCAACGAGCAGGAAAATTGTTTCAGACGGTGTGTCCAAGCGTAAGATTCTTAGAAAATAGAAAAAGGGACTTTGATAAGGCGCATGAGATTGTCACTCGAGACAGCATTGCCAAATTTGAGAGAAACATAGAACTCAAAGATTTAAAAATGGAAGAAATTTTGTCAGGGGAAAATGTTGGAGAGCGTCTCAGCACAGTGCTCAAGGTGCTGAACAGAGACGGTTCGCATAGCGTTATCAAGTTGTTAGATGTACATCGGATTTATGATGGGTCGGAGGTTTCTGACAGTGAATTAACCATGGAGGACAAAATCAAATTGTCAATCGACTTGTTCTCGAAAGAATTAATTTGTTATTTAGCACTAGCCGGGACAAATATAACACCAACCCTCGAATCTTTTGGTCTCCTAAGAAATGAAAAATATGAATCATTATCAACATCTGATTTGGAACACTTTGTTAATAATTCCACTGATCTGACCTACCTCTCGGGGTTATACATAAAATTCAATTTTATCGAGGATAATCCCCCACTGAATGAAAATGAGTGGTTGTTGACTTTCCTTATGGCTATGAAAAAACTTATTTGCATGCACCAGAACAAAATCTTTCACGGTGATATAAAACGTGGAAACTTCAAAATAATGAGCTATCAGGAATACGAAAAGAAAACTTGTGATTTTTTATTCTTGGATTTTGGTATTTCAATTGCTAAAATAAAGATCAAAGCAGGGGATGGCAATAAATACCTGTCGGATGACATTTTCTACAACAAATTATTCCTGCGTGATTTACAAAAAACTGAAGAGTTGGTTAAAAATGACATAAGTCTGATAGTAGCGGCATTTAGTGATCTTGGTTGCCCGAAAAAATACCCGAAAAAAGTAATCTCTCACACTCTAAAAACAGAAATCGAGAATTTAGAGAAATGTGTTAAGACAGTCAGTCAGAAGATAAAAAGACATGGGAAGGGCATCAAGACAGGCACTACAGAGATGGCAGAAGATGGACAGCCCGGGTCAAAGAGGCAAAAGAGAGATCTGTATGATGAAGAGTTTTTGGAGCTTACTCAAGAAGAGAGAAAGTTTACTCAATTGGAAAAATTTTTCGACTCAATATTAAAACTAATTAATCGATCTAGGAAAGATGTTATTTTTAGTTTCGATGATTTGGTGGATATTGTGATTCGCGCTCGTCTAGGTCTTCCTAAAACTGATATTCGTTTTCATTATTGTGAGTTTATCAAGAAGACTTTAAATTCCTCTTGATGCTGTACCAGCTTATTATTCTTTATTTACATATTGCTCTCTATAAGGGATTCTGTAGGCATGCTTCAAGACATATTGCTCTCTGTTTACAGTAGCAGCTCTTTTAAAAAGAAATCCGAAAAGACGAAAAGATTTAGAAAATAAAATAAAGAAAAATGAACAAAAAAAAAAAATAAAGACCGCAGAAGGAGCTCAAATAAAAATGCGATCCATACTGACCAAAAACTTGGTCATGATCCCTCAAAGAGGCCATTAGATGTATTAGGTGTTTATATGAAGATCAAGTATCAATTTTCTTGAATACTGAAGGCATAAAATGATTTATAACTGTGGTATGAATTTTCTTCTGGTCGGTGCGAATAATTGCAGTGTAATGGTACGAAATAAAGATGTTCCTTCAATATGAATGCCAATTTCCGACAATCCGTTTGTTCGTTCGCCTTGAAAGTGCCTGGTACCATTATGGAACATTTACATGAGTTTCAGATTCAACTTTCTTAGTTTCTTTTCTTTCAATATATCACACAAATAACATGTCCTTTATTTTTGTCAAGGCTTCTCCCGAAGCGACAGGAAGAATCTATGTTTGTGCTTACGAAGCCTGAGTATGCATTCAAAGCCAAGATTCTCCCGTTGAGCTGCAACTTGGAAAGAGAATCAATAATTCTTCCCAACTGTATAACATATGCCTGCTGATACTCAGTTTGATTTTTATCAATTGGTATTATACTTTCAAGGAAACTCGTATCTGAAGGACCATTGTTTTCCTTTATCTGTAACATGGCAGTTCTGCTTTTAATCAATTAGGCACGTAGTCTTAAGATTCTGTCAGATTTGAGGAACCAGTGGGTGGGATTTCAAGTTACTTTTCAGACTGAAAGTAAGTACAACGATATTTTTGAAGGTCTTTTTTTTAAGAGAATTAATACCAACGGATATATACAATATAAAGCCAGCAAAAATGTACTATTGTACGGTTATTCTGTTCTACCTGCTGTGTTAGTATACATACCTGTATAATGTTTCCTTACATCGGTTTGGAAAAGGAAAAACAAATTGAAAAAACTTTAAATAAGATTTATTGAAGCAGAACAATAATCAATTATATACCTATATACCTAGCCAATTTGAAAGGAGAACCACCAAGAAAAAAAAAACCTGATAAATAAAGAAACGGCGCCAGAAGAAATGAATGAGAAAAAAAAAAAGAAATGGAACCTGAAAAAATACCACCGATATGAATTGATTATTGCCGAGTTTATAATAGCAATGTATTGATTTGATCATTAGCAATTGTACCGTAGCGAAGTATTAGTTTGGGGCGCCTCCTGAACTTTCCTTGTATCTCGAAACCCCAGCTAGCTGATGCAGATGATAAAAATACTTTATCCGTCTTTAGACTTGAATTTTTTCCAAAATTTTCCAAAATTCATCTTGTACATCTCCGTCCGGAGCGATAAAAGCAAGTTCCATTTCTGTTACCTTTTCTGCGAAAATAGTGAGCAAATCTTTGGATCCTGGATCAATTTTCACACTTTCATTTAACTCCAGGGTGTCATTAAAAAATTCTCTCAATATACGCACACAAAAATTCCAAAGTCTTTTATCAACTATTTTGAAGAGCTTCTTGTAATCACCTTGGAAAACCAGCTCCAAATTGACCGCCATAGCCGAATACTGTTTCAATTTCTTTTCCAAATTTTTTGCTGATCCTTTTCTACTCGTTGTTGAAGATGAAAATCCAAAATCAATGAGTTTGATATCAACCAGGTCTTTGACAAATACATTGGCGCCCCGAATATCACCGTGTCCCACACCCGCACAGTGTATTTTGCTGATGCAAATCAAAGCCGATCTCAAAAATCTCTTTCCATCAGACTCACTCCTAATCGAATAATCACCAAAGAGACTGTAACCAGATTTGCAAAGGTTGCCCAATTTGATATACGGACCCTCCGTGTATGCCAATTCTTCATCTTTTTTTATTTCCTGCGGCTCATCAATATTTTTATTATCAGAGTAAATGAAACCTTTTTCAAGAACGGTAGGGATTAAATTTCTGGTGCTTTCGTTCTTTGTTAAAATTGAGTATGATGTTACCTCATTGATAAAGGTACTAGTGTAATAGTAGAATATTTCTCTGTGATTATTGAAGCTGCCCCTTTTGGTGGAGGAAACCTCAGGAGAACATCTGGCATAGTCAAAAATTTTATAAAGATAATCTCCAGAACCTATGACGAGAGACCATGAGGTGTAAGGCTTACCTCCAAAAACAATCTCTGGTTTCATTTTTGGCGTGTTTTTTAACACTAGTTTACCTTCTTCAGTAACACGAGATATTCCTATCTGTTTCTCCAAATCCTTATCATATTTGTTTGATTTCATTCTCCAATTTCCGGCAATACGGTTTTTCAAAGCTTGAGGATAAGATTCTTCGGAAAATTGAAACTCCTTTTCTTTGGAAATATCAAATGCAAATTTCAAATAATCATAAATCAACAATCTGTTAATGGATCTGCCAGCGAGTCTTTGTTCTTTTAGCTTGGCTGAAAATTGACCAAGCATTTTTCCAATGAACCAGGTTGCAATCGCATCTCTCTTGGCAAATCCTGGCTGCGACTCTTTTATTTCCAATGTTGTTTTCATGAACCGTAGAAGTGCGCCACCAAGGGGCGTCTCAGAAGTGTCGATGATTTGGTAAGTGATTATCCCATCATTTTTGAATTGAAAATACATACGCGCACAATTATCAAAGACAAGTTCAAAATATTTTTCCGCATCCTCCTTCTCTTTACCCATTTCTCCTTCTTTCATGCTCTCTTCTAGTTTTTTCTCTTCATGCATTTTCTCTCCAAGCTTTTTCCAATCAAATTTCACTAAAAAAAGGGTCGATTCATCTGCCAATATTCCTGTTAAAGCCCTTGTGCATAAAATTTGAATTATCAGTTGATTAATGCTCCTCACGAAGATAAACGCTTCCGGACTAAAATCAAAAAACTGCGGCAAGTGCTCTCTATATAATTCATATTCGGTTCTGAACTTGTTGAAGCTTTCTGAAAGCGAGTGTTGTAGTTTGTATTTAAGCTCAACACATGTTATATATTCATTATTCTGCTCACATATTTCTTCATACTCAATCATAATATCAGGTTTTGAAACAATATTTTCTTCAATTGGGAATGAGTACTGTTGTACCGGCGTCAATTTAAAATCTTTCAGAATAGTCAGTCGGAAAACTGCACTTATGTTGTCGAAAACTAAAAAAAAAAATATTCCAAATTATGCTCTGAGCGAATTTTGCTAATAGTCTCATAGAATGTAGGCCTTCCAAAAAAGTCGAAAAGAAAATTGAAATTTTTTGGGACTTCAATTGCTCCAAGTTGGCACAACCATTCCGTGGCAACAGATGGTGCAAAATAGAACATAGGAAGTTTTGAGTCGGCGGTTCTTTCATCACTGTAATTTTTGATTGATTTCATGCTGGTTTCTGGTCTTTCATCGCTTCTTGCTCTTGTATTTTGAATGGATCCTGATATTATTATGTTTTTTGGTTGTTGTTCTTCGTTTTTTTCCACCCTCGCCCTTTCCGGAAACAAGCTACTCTTGAAGACAAAGTTCAAGGTGGCAAAGATTCCAAAAATTGATAATCCAGAGTTCAAACTACAAGTGAAATTATTAGCAGCTTGTTCACGAAGAGGCCCAGTAGCCCCTAGAGTTGAAAAATCAAAACTGGTTCCAGCAAGCGAGCCTTTTTCTAATTCATTTTTGAATTCATCAAACGCAGATTTTAAAGATTTTAAAGATTTCAAAGATTCATCTCCTTGGTCCGAGGAAGGAGCTTCTTCCATACCTGGAGTAATCTTCTCTTCCCCTTTTCTAGCTTTTTTTTTTGGATATTGACTAGGACTGCTCATTGGATGCCTTGTTCTTTCCAATTTCAGGATCAATTGATCAAAATAGTTTTTTCCTCAATCTCGGGAAAGATTTGTTTGCTTATGTTTTTGGTGTATCCTGCGATTGATAACAAAATAGAGAGAAGTGGGAAGAGAGATGAGAAAGGATGATTAAATTTCCTGTGGACCCTGCATTGATAATCACGTGCCCAATCGATGAATGCGTCAAATTATAACAGATCAACTGCAATATCATTAATCGTCCCGGGATAAGGATCACCAGAGGCTAAATTACTAAATGATTGATATTTATCGAATAACGGTGGTTTAATGGTTAAAAAAATCTATTGATTTGCAAAATCTCTCTCAGTTTGCACTCTTCTATGCCGCTTTATCGAGTGAAGATTAGAGTGATGTTGAAAGATAAGCAAAAAGAAAGAAGATTGATGTGAGGAGTGTTTGATAATGTTCCTAAAAGTCTTTATTACTATTCCTAAAAGAATTTTTAGAGATAAAGCACCTATGTCAAAGGCTATATTTACAGTGATTCTATTTTTTCATTCCAGTTTTATAATTTTTCTCCTTCATTTTTTTCATTTCATTTTCTAAATTTTTTCGTCTTTTTGTATTTCTTTTCAAAAGAGCTGCTGCTGTAAACAGAGATCAACATGTCTCGCAACATGCCCATAGAACACCTTGCAACTGCCAAGAACAATATTTTCACTTTCGGTGTCAATTGCTCTTTTTTACCCAAGTTTGATCTTTTGACTTTACTTTATATACTCACCAGAATTCTTCTGTGGCATTTAACCCTGGAGAATAAAGGGGCAAAAATACAAGTTCTAACCCATTCAGTGCAACTAATAATTGACGATCACGACGTTTATGAATAGCAGCATTATCGAAAATCAAATATCTCATATTTTTAAGCTGGCTATTGTTCTCTATTTTCTGAATAACTGACTTTATAAAGCCATAGAAGTGATTAACTGTAGTACCTCTACTCACGCCTCATACTGATGTTGAAACAGGCTTCATCGATGAAAATACAGTTTTCGTTAAAGTCAAGTTTATCCTTATACTCCTCTGCACATTCTAGTCTGTACTGTTTCAATTCCTCCAGACTTCTTCTTAAAGCCCATTTAGATATACTCTTAAGACTAAATTTACAGACCTTGGTAACAAAGTTAGAGTTTGGCATGGCTTTGGCTCTCACATTTCCGAAAGTTTTTTCAAGACTTTCCAACATGAAATCAAGAGTCAGAGTAGCATCTTCTTTTATCAATTTTTGAAGGAATTCCTTATGTTGACCAGTAAGAAGAGGCTTACGACCTCTTTTCTTTGGTGGGGGCAGAGATGCCGTTTAGTTTGTCAAAAATTGCTTTGTTCTAATTTCTTTTTCTTGTGTAAGCAGCCTGCAACAGAATGTCTTGCAACTTTGCTGCTTTATAAGCTGAAACGCCTTCTTCCATAACTAGGCTGCCAAAACTTTTGTTTCACAGATTGCCTATAGTGTATGTAGGGCCTTTTGTATTTTCTCGTCTCCTCCATTTCTTCAGTATTCGTATCCTCATCTTTTACGACAATCTCTTCATTTAGCTCCATAATAGATGATTACATCATGCTCCTATAATTACTGTAGCTAAAGCAAGCTTCCACAGGTGCTATTTCAGACTCGAAAGTCATTTTTTCGGGCTGTAAAAAGAAGCTGTTGTCTAGGCCATTAACGTCGCCATCTGTTAGTAGTTCAGCTTTCAAGTCCATGCCTACTTTTAATAGTAAAATAATTACTGTTATCAATCTAGTGACGCTAAATTGCACTACACATGTGGGAAATCATTGCTTCATACGGGGCACACCTTGTACCACACATTCGCCCCTCTGAACTAAGAATATCATTACATGCATACACCCTTTTTTTTTTTTTTTTTTTTAATTCCGGTAAATCCTTGTTTTGAGCATTTAGCGGTGTTTTCGGTGTCTGGCTGCCCTGGATTTAACAGGGGCTAGTTTTTGCGATTATACTTTATAAAGCTTTGATATTTCTTATTCGATACATCATATGAATAGTTATAATATAATAAAACAACCTCTCAAGCTTTTAAAGAATTCAATAAATGTCTGTTGAAAATTATACTACTTTAGGGGAATCTGGCCTCAGCATTTCCAAAATTATTGTGGGATGCATGTCCTTTGGGTCTTCTCAGTGGATGGATTGGATAATTGAAGATGAAGACAAAGTCATGGAAATTTTGTATAAATGCTACCAATCAGGTCTTACAACATTTGATACTGCTGACGTGTACTCCAACGGTCTTTCTGAAAAATTGTTGGGGAAATTTATAAAGAAATATAATATCCCAAGAGGAGAAATAGTCATCTTAACAAAATGCTTCTTTCCAACTGATCCACAAAACTTGTCGTTGAAAGTGGGCCCAACCACTCGTACTTTCCATTTGAACAATGGAGGATTGTCACGTAAACATATTATTCAAGCCGCCAGAGACTCTGTTGAAAGATTGGGCACATACATTGATGTTTTACAAATTCATAGAATTGACAAAACTCCTAAGCGTGAAATCATGAAAGCGTTAAATGACGTGGTGGATGAAGGATTGGCACGCTACATTGGAGGCTCAGCAATGAAGGCTTTTGAATTTGTGGAGTTGCAAGCACTTGCCGAGAGTAATGGATGGCATAAGTTCATTTCAATGCAGAATTATTACAATTTGTTGTATAGGGAGCAGGAAAGAGAGATGATTCCATTTTGTCAGGATAATACTACTCTTGGGAAAGTTGCTTGTATTCCTTATTCTCCTCTAGCTCGTGGTCTATTAGGAAAACCAGTGAAATCAGAAACATCAACAAGAAGCAGAAGTGATGGACATAAAAAGGCTGGGCAATTGTATTTCACAGAGGGGGAAGGTGCTGATATTGAAATTATCAATCGTGTTGAGGAAATTGCAAGAAAGAGAGGAGTATCTATGGCCAATGTCTCTATTGCATGGGTCCTATCAAAAGGCTGTTTCCCAATCATTGGATTTAACTCTGTTGAAAGAGTGGAAGATGCGGTCAATTCTTTTAGTTTGGAATTAACAAAAGATGAAATCGAGTATTTGGAAAAGCCTTATGTTCCAAAACCTTCTGTTACTTAGTTGTACTCATTTCTAACTATGTTTTCATTTGGAGGATTCTAGTTCGATTGTGTATTTTTGAATGGCTCTAAAACTAATTTATTAAGAGCATCCATCTTTGTGATTTCAGCAAATACTTAAAAGGTATATGTAATCCACACAATATTATTACTGATTCATTCTTCCTATTATTTTCGAGTCAATCGTCAATTTTGCAGAACTCGGTGCTATTTCCTACAATAACGAATATTTATAACACACATGTGATTACATTTTTGGTAAGCAGGAGCGAAAGCATGGTGGAAGATCTTGATATGTCTGCATAAGGCAATGATTTCTCACAAATATTGTACAATTCAGTGTCACTCTAAAATCACTTTATTGATAATCGATGCTTGATACAATTGAATACTATGTAGCTAGATGGAGATACGAGTACTGAATATTTGGAGGAGACAAGAAAAGAAAGAAGGCCCGACAGATACCATAAGCAAGCGGTGAAACAAAGATTTTGGTAGCTAGTTGCGGAAGAAGGTGTTTCATCTTATAAAGTGGCAAATTTGGAAGGCATTCCGCTGCAGACTGCTTACAAATGATAAAGTAACAATAAAAAAAAAAACAAGAAAATAAAATAAAGACCACAGGGAGAGCTCAAAGAAGAATGTGCTCCAGATTAACTGAATAAAACTACTGTAGATATTGAAACAGTAGCAAGGCTCTCAGTATGTGTATGTGTACTGTATGTCATGCCTTTGCATGGCGAGCAAAACCTGAAAATCGTTAGTATTTCTCTCAAAAAAATGAACATATGACACCATTTTAGCTATTATTATTTCTTCAAGAAAAAGATCCTCATATCATCCATCATGAGCCATATCGCTTTTACATTAAACATTTTTATTAATTTTCTTAATATTATTCAGCAAACAAATTCCAAAAAAAAGATAAAAAAAAAAATTAAGGAAGAATAGCAATTAAACAAAAATATAATATACAATACGAGATATCAAAACCAACATCATTCAAACTTGATTATCGGTTGCAGGTTGTTCTTGTTCAACCTCCTCGGGTTTATCCTCTTTGATGGTAAACATCAATAAGAAAATCGTACTATTGATCGCCAAATTCAAGTACAAAACATTTCTAAACTTATGGAACAACAATGGTTTATAATCTTCTTTTGCCAATTGAACGGCAATGTTACCAATCATCGTAGAAGCAATGGAATTAGCAATACTCACCCCAATTTGGGCCCCGGTTTGGAAAATCCCGGTGACAAGACCATGCAAATGAGGCTCGGTTTGTAACATGATCGAACTGAGATACACTTTGAAAAAAGAGTTGACCCCAAACCCAGACAAGAAAAGCGGCACCGCATTGAATTTCCAATAGTCGTTGACCACGGTATAATCGGAACGGTTAATCCAAATCGCCGCCCCAAGAGAAAGAGTACCAGAAAGAATAAGACTGCGCTTATACCCAATGAAGGAGACATATCCTGGAGTAACCGTGATCGAACTAACCACCAACCCAATGGTTAAGGGTAAAAGTTTGACCCCAGCAAGTAATGCAGAATCACCGTGGAGGTACTCGTAGTATTGAAGCAAACTGGTCATGTAAACAATGAAAGAGGCATAATACAAGAACAAACTGAAGAACAATGGCAAACAATTCTTCAATTGGAAGATTTCAATAGGAAATAATAAATCGACGTTCATTCTCCAAGATTTCTTGTTGTTTATTGGATCATCAGAATCGTAAGTATGTTGTTCAATTGGTGATTCTTTGCTGCCTTTTTCATCATGGTCGTCCGATTGATAGTAGTTGGCTTGGTGGTTTTTCTTATAGGTTCGCAAGTAAACGTTTTCAAAAAGGAAAATCGCCACCAATAAGCAAAACCCAATGGGGATGGTCACATAAACTTTAGGAGAGTTCCATGTATTTGCGGCCTCGGTTAACCCAAAGATAATCAACAACAATCCCACCACAAGCATCGCGCCCACTGGGAAATCCAAATTTTTCAACTTCAACTTGTCGTGGGCCGCAGTTCTTTCCACAGGAATGATGATAAACCATAGCACGATAAAACATACCGTAGCCACGGCAAAAGAAAAGTAAAAGAAATTGCTGAACCCCAACGCCCCACCAAGAATTAAACCAATCCCAAAACTACTAACCAAAATGATGGAGAACACCGTCAACGCGGTGTAGAAATCTTTCCCTTTGAAATAATTACCGGTGATGGCATAAGAACTAGGAATTAACGCTGCCCCACCAATCCCTTGGAACGCTCTGAAGATAATCACGGCGATGATACTACTTTTAACGCTGGCGACCAACACCGAAAACACCAACATGACGAAAAGGCCTCCCAAGTACATGATATGAACTCCGATGATATCCCCCATTTTACCAAACAAGATGATGAACGACCCTAAAGTGAGGGCGTACGCCGATAATGCCCAAGAGGCAGTAGAAGAAGAGACGTTAAATTCTTTTTCAAGAGATTTACCGGTGTTGAGGGCCCCAGCAACGTTGAGGTTGTCTAATAGAAGCCCAAGAAGCACAAACACGTAAACGAACCATCGCCAGGCTTTTTGGTCTTTACCTACAGGTCTCCCAGGAGTGAAAAAAGTTTTCAACAGCATGATATAATTGTGTATGATATAGTTGTGTATGTAACGATAAAGATGATGGACTAATACTCTGTGGTAAACTTTACAGATGGAAAGCTGTCTGGATTTATATGGTACTCAATTTGTCAGCATAATTCAATGTTTTCTTTTTGCCTCCTGCTATTGAGGTGTGTTATGGAGCTAAAAGGGTATAGGAAAACATGCTTGGCGATGACAAATCAAAAAAAGTTAATTAATTGGTAATTGCATGGGTGATACTACCATATATGGCAATTGTATGGATAATTAATAATAGTCAGAAGAAAAATACCGACAATACTGACATTAGTAATTAATAAGCTTCAAAATGTAATTTTGCCTAGTTTGTAGGTGTATATCCCGAGCAATGATCATATCGACCATAATATAGAAGAAAAATTGCATCCCCAGAGATAATCATTACTGTATATTTATCTGTTATTATCTATTATTATCTATTGTGCTGCTTCCATTCCCATTGGTTGGGGGTGGGAGAGAATTGTCCATAAAGGAATTTATGTCACAACCGTCGGGGAGTAACACCGCCAAGGAGAAAACGGCATTAACCGGAGATGGATGTTATCTGCACGCGACACCACCCCCCACCCCCATTCAAGTTTGCAGGGACCAACAACGACCATCTAAGCCAGCGATTTCAACTGTTTTTATAATACCAAAGATACCACTATCATTATTTATATATATACACGGATAGTCGAGCATTTTTTTTGTACAAAATGTCCTCCTCCAACTCTCAAAACCCAAAACTGTTGATCAAGTACCCGGCAAGCAACGTTATCGACATGGTGACCGTGGCAATGGCAACATAATCTTGTTGCTCAAGCCCTAAGTTGAAAGAACTAGGGATTGTTGGAATTTTTGGCATTTGTAGCATTGATGGCTTGAATGACGAAAGTTTGAAATTATGATAAACATTCGCAACACAAGCTTTCCATGCCTTGATATCAATATTTATCAGTTCCCTAATCTTTCGAATAAAATTGGTATTATTAGATATTATTTCTGGTTCTGGGGTTTTATCCAATTTATCAGCAATCTGCGGCTCATCTTTGGTTTGTTCAATTACAGCAATGACTTTTTCTGCTGGTGCATTCAATTTTTCCATCAATTGGCCCTGATTGCTTTCCAATCGCTTTAGTGATTCATCAAGCTGTTGTAAATTACGTTCAAGCTTTATCAAAGGATTGTCAACAAGCCTATGCTCAAACCGACTCATGATTCTTTCGATCTTCAATGGCTCGAAGAAAATCTGTGTAAGGATTAAAATCACAATATTTAACACCATCAAACCCAAGGTGACCCAAGTACTAAGGCTTTTCATCTTGTTGTTCCAAAGGTATTCCTCGTGATATTTATTAGAGATTTCTTTCAATAATTTCAGTCTAGTGGCTTCAAGATCGATTTCACTTTGTTCCAACGCATTGGCGGCCTCGGACACTAGTTTATCCGATGAATGGTCTTCTCGATACAATTCAGTAAACAGTTCCAAATCATTGGGGGTCCATTCATGTTTTCTTGTCAACAACTCATTGATATCTTTTTGGGTTTGGGTTCTTCTCTCGACCACATCAGTGTAGTTTTGTTTTTGTAGTTTCACCGATTTCTGAGCCTGGCCCACTTGAATTTCAAGGGCGTCGATATTCTGCTTAATTTTATTTACTTCAGTGTAGCCGGTGATATCATTGATGAGTTTAGATAATAATCCCAAATTCTCGTACGCAAGGTGTTTCTTCTCCAGAAGATACTGGTTTAGTACCGTGATTTGTTCTTGATAGTATTTCTTTGAAAATTTTGAATATTCTTGGTACATTTCTAATGGTTTACTTTGCAAATAATAACTCAATTGTTGGGATATGTCTTGTGATGATGGTGAAGATAATGTTTGGTTTGGCATGTCCAATGCTATGGTGTACTTTTCCATTTCTTTCAAAAGTTTCAGTTGTTGATCTTGAATCTTCTTGGATTGTTCCATCAATTCTCCGTATTCTTTTGCACCTATCGTTGGCATCGCAAGCATTGGTTGTTGCTTCGACACTTCCTGCAATTTCTTTTGCTTATTTCTTTTTTCTTCTTCTTCTTCTGCTTCTGATTCTTTCAATTGTTTGAATGCCCTTTCTTTCTCCAAGATCAACTCTCGAAGGGGGTCCTTTTTTCTTGGAAGGGCGTCATCAGTGGCCATGAATCGTTGAATGACCATACCCTTTGGGACTTGTTTTCTGAGCATTCGATGGCCAATGGCACTCCATCGCAGCAGCCTGCCTATATTGACCCAACAACACCTTCCTGACATCGTTGTAGTTTGAGGATGTTGCTAATCGAATCGATCATCCATTTGCCAGCAAAATTCTGATTTTTTGGGGCCGGGCCCCCCCTCTGGTTTGAAGCGTTTGTCTGATCTCGAAATTCTCAGAATTTTTTTTGACTTTGCTGTGATTTGCTGCCAATCATAATAGAAAAAAAATCAACACAAAAAAATTTTTTTTTTTTTTGACGTTCAGATCAACTTTTTTTGATTTCTATACACCAGAACCAAATCACACCAAGTGTTAGCAGCAATGGCTTATAGATTCGCCAACGGTATCGTGTTCTTTGGACCTGCTTTCTACATCATTTCCGATTTCGTATTGGCAAAGACAGCAACCAAGGGGTCAAAGCATTTGCACACGATCGTCAAGAAGAAATCACAATCACAACAGTCAAAGTGAGGGGGAAAGACCAGGGAAATGAGAAGTTGTTGACCCGACACATACATGTCATTTGAAGAGATTGGCACTTGCTATTATTATTAATATTACTATTATTATTATTATTATTATTTATTTATTTATTTATTTTATTCTTCATTCATTTTACAATGAAGCAGGAGCAACCGTTCATTGCTTGCTGTGATGTTATGCCACAAACTATGAGACTTTGGTGGTGTGGTCTGTTGCGCTTGCTCGCTATGAGGATACTCCATAAGTCTATCACTGTTATTCTTATATTAGTGAGTGGATGGTTAATTATTATATTTGTGGGTGGATTGAGTGAAGAAAGTGGCTAATTATCGTCTTTGTGAGTGGAGTGGCTAATTATTATTTTTATTTTATTTTTTGGTATCGATGGTTGAGCCATTGGACATGATACAAAAAAAAAAAAAAGAAAATGGAAAGTGAACCTAGAAGAGTTGAGTTAACTCCTTTGGATACAATTCTTTTTTGATTTATCTATCTATCTTTCTATCTATTTTCAAAGATTCTAATGATTCTAATGACCTTGTTTTTTTTTGTTTTTGCTGCTTCAATTTTTGTTTGTGCCAGCATTGGTATTACTCCTCTAGTCTTGACACCGTGAGAAGATTGGTGGTATCGATTGTTCAATTGTATTTAGTTATCCCTTTTTTGCCACCAATTATTCTCGTCATCGCCATTATATTCACTATCTTCATCATCATCATCATCATCATCATCATCATCATCATCATATTTATTGTCATGCTTCACACATCTTTTATGCTGTTTTTCATTGATTGTTCACAACTATTTATTTATGATTTTTCGCTTTGGTTTTTCTGTTTTCTTTGGTTGGTTATATGTTTTTTGTTTTCTTTTTTTTTGTTTTTTTTTTATCAATCATGATAACGGTTACTGTTTATTTTTGTTTGTGTCAATCATAATAATGATTAATGTTCTTTTCATCAATCATGATGATGTTTAATGTTGCCTTGCATGCTATTTTTTTTTCTTTTATTGTTATGATTATGATTGATATATGAATTATAGTATACTTAAGAAGGGGAAAAAAAAAAATCTCGACTTGCTAGATTTGTATATTTGAATATACATATATATGGTGTTGTTTGTTCCACACCTTGAAATTATTTGAAGATTAAGAAAAAGACATTGTATGTATCACGATGAGTTTGTATCAAGGTAGGTGAGTATGGATAATTCTATAACCTGTATACCACCTTATTGAGATTCTATGGGGAAGCAAAGCATATCTATTCACCAATTAATGGAATAATAAAAAGAGTACATCTACAATTTAACTCCAATTAACCCAACTTGTCCTATGAATGCATGTTTTGGTTTCTCCCCCCTCTAACATTGCTTCAGATTCTTTTTTTTTTTATTTTGCCATTGTATTTGACTCACGATATAATTTGAACAACCTACACACTTCCATACACTTCGATATCACTTGAACTACACCGTGTAAATATTATGGCCCGTAGTTTACGGTAGAGACGATGATGATGAATTAATTTTGCATCGATGTCCCAGTAATGCGGTCTCCTGTGCGTACCGCAGCGGTGCAATGCGCGATTTTTTGTGATCGTGCAGATACGACATGCATGGAAGTGAGTGGTGTTGAATATACCATATCCACGGGGCATGTCGGTGTAAGGGTGCATATAAAACACTTGTATACCGTGGAAATGGTATATGTGATTAGATACCATATAGTTGGTGTACATAATTCAATCCATGTAAGTGGTGTATGGGGTACATAAACCCTAACACCTGTCAGTACCATGTATGCGGTATATGAAATATTAACCCAAACATCCCACATAATACACGATGATGATGATGATGATTGTAAATTCTTTTTCTTGGAATTATCATTATTTTGATGACAGATATCTCGGGTTGATAATACTTGTTATTGCATGTATTATCATTTCCCTCACATACCACACCATTTTCAAAATGGTAATAAAAACTGGATCTCACCAATCATCATTTAGAAAGATGACAGAACATTATTGATCATTGACAAAAACTACATCCATCATATAGAATCAAAATTTAGAACATTATAATGCAAAATCCTGTTACTTACCTTCACTTTCGTTAAAGAAAAAAAAAATGGAAGCAAAGAAGAAGAAGAAGAAGAATACGTTCAATAAAAAAAGCAAATCATGAGTGAGGTAAATAAATGACTACAGTGAAACCAAAAACAAAAAATGATAACCAAAACATGTAAAAACAAATAGTAGGTCTAGGAAAACAAAAAAAAAACATCAAATCAAATAGGTCTAAGAAAAACATCATGAAGAAAGAAAAAATATAAGACGAAACATTAATCATAAATAGTGAGCCCCAAGTGAAAAAATAAACATAACAAAGTGACAAGAGAAATTTAAAAGGAAAAAAGCAAAAAAGAACTAGTGAAATCCATCAAAATTTTTGAAAAAGCCTAAAAAAAAATAAAAAGAAAATAAAAAAAAAATTAGTGAAATCCATCAAAAACAACTATAAAATGGGAGATTGACAAAAAAGGCAGAGAAAAATACAAAAAATCTCACAAAACGTATTGTGAGAATATATGGTTGCTTCAAGTTAAATGGAAACTTTAATGCCATGAACAATCACATCCCAGGATTTCTCCCATTAGAATTAAAATCGTATCCTCCACCATTTGAAAAATCTAATTCCCCAAAATCTTGAATGTTAAGCGCATATGAATAATTCAGGAAATCGACATTCTCATTTTCAAACAAAACGTGTAGGGTATTATAAGCCTGTTGGGTATTGGAGTTATATGACATAGATGACGGTGGTGCTTGTAACTGATGCATACCATTCTGCATGAGTTGCTGCTGTTGTTGTTGTTGTTGTTGTTGTTGTTGTTGTTGTTGTTGTTGTTGTTGTTGTTGTTGTTGTTGTTGGTGATGATGATGATGTGGCTGTTGCTGTTGTTGTTGTTGTTGTGGTGGTGGTAGAGTCTGGGGTTGAGGAATTTGATGTTCCATTTGGGATACAAGTTGTGGTTGTACTTGTTGTATAGGTTGTTGTTGTTGCTGCTGAATAGGTTGCTGTTGTTGTTGATGTTGTTGTCGATTTTGTTCACTACCATCGATACCACCCACATACCCCCTACTGTTAAACTCTGACATCATCAAATTATCTCCAACCTTCTCGCCATCACCCAAAGTGCTCAACTGGGTGCTTATAGTAGACCCAGCATTAGAGCTCAACGACGCAGATGATCCAGAATACCCTAATTGTTGACCCCGAGGAATCATCCCGCCCATCATTCCTCCCATGGTCATATCCCCTTGACTCATGGTTAACATTGTTTGAGCCGGCGCGGTTGGCGGAGGCATAGCGGTTGTTGGATCAATGGCTGAGGTCACCATTTGTGGTGGCGCCGATTGAGGAACTTGGTGGACTGTTGCTTGTATTCCCAGATTCTGAAGTTGCATTGGTTGCATTGGTTGGGCACTAACACTGCCTTTCCTGGAAAATCCCTGGTTTGGTGGTTGAGGAGCCAAGTAGGTGCTACTAATATTACCAACCGCAGATTCCCGACGTTGGTTATTATTATTATTATTATTATTATTATTATTAGCATTAGCAGTTTCATTACTGGTATTATGGATCATTGAAGCTTGGGCTTGCAAATTCATTTGTTGTTGGGCTTGGTGATGCAGTTGAGGATTCGGTTGCTGTAACCTCACTTGATTATTCATCATAGGAACCGACATTTGAACCGGAACATAATGTGGTGGGGTCACCATCGAGTTCAAGAATGGTATTTGTTGGGGTACTTGTTGGGGTACTTGTTGTGGCAAACCTTGATATTGAGGGGTAGAAAATTGGTGCGACTGACTAGGTAATTGTGATCCTTGAGGATTGCTAGTATGGATATGAGTCGCGGTTTGATGGTGTTGTTGAATCGGAATAGCTTGTCCTTGCGACATCAATGACGGATGAGGTGTCTGTTGCGGCTGTTGCACTGAAGCATCGTGGACTGGTCTGAATATAGCATCTCCAAATTGATCAGTAGGTTCATTTTTAGTTATCGTCACCGCCTCATTATTCTTCCCTACCATGACAGTATTTACATCACCATTACTAACTAGTCCATTACTAACACTAATCGATCCACTACTGGCTCTACTTCCAGTTCCCCTTTTGAAAATACCACTGTTTCTTTTCCGTAATTCAATAATATTAATCGGTAACACATTCATTCCAGCAGTAGGATCAAGAGCATTATCAAAACTATGTTTTCTCTTGCTGGATTTTCTATCTTCCAGAGAGTTAGCGCCTCGAGTAGAAGAACCGGTGGACTTGCCATTAAAGCTAAAAGCATTGTTAAACACTGGTTTTTTAAACCCGGTGTTTTGCATCCCAAACATCGTTTCATCATCGCCATCGTTATCATTCATCGGCGAATTTTTTCTCGATTTATTTTTGTTGCCTGAGGAGGAATTATTATGATGGTCCAAGATCAAAATATGGTATTCTTCGGTAGATCGATCGATCAATTTGACAAATTTGTCACACAATGCACTTTGAGAACTATATTGTACGAGCATGATCCTCAAGAATTGCAAATCATGAAGCCATTGATTAACAAATTTAGAATGTGGCTCACGAAGCAAACAATACATTGGAATAACAACCGCATGGAAAGAAAAGTAAATGGCATACCAAGCCGCCAAACGATTCAGCTCACATATATGGTTGTATTCAGTAACAGATTCAATGGTTTCTCTAGACGAGTCAAGGCACAAACAAATGGAATGGAATACTTCGATAGGATCTGATTTCATGAAAAGTGGACCTTTCTTATAAAGTAACACCGATTTAAACAACACGTTTTGCAAGTTCTTCACCCGCCAAAGTAATCTGTACCTTGTCAAATAAAGCCAATTTGGAGGCTTCATTGATTTATGGTAGTGAGATGTAATGTATTGTTGAAAGATTTTACCATCGAGAGACAAGTATGATGGTAATGCTTTACTGAATTCTTCAATCTCATTGTTCAATTTTAGACATTCTGCTAAAGTGAGTTTTTTCTTCGATAAAGTTCTGTTGTAAATCCGTGACGAAATATGGGTGAATTTAACTTGGGCAATGAAACCAGAGTAAAGGGTCGGGAAGTTTCTATCCTGGCTCAACTTTAAATTTTTATTATTATCATGGTCCGGTCCTAATGAGGCATCATATTCATCCCAAATTTCGTCGGGGATATTCCGGACACATTCAATTCTAATTTCATCAACGTTAGGTAATTGGATTGGTCTACCCCAAGTGATGGCAGTACCAACATCAAATATATATAACCCCCACCAGATACGATTCCGGATTTCTTGTTCCAAAGGGCTAGCCCCTTTAATAGTTTCGTGTAACGCTAACCCGAGAGCATGACGAACCGCTGTCCCCAAATATGCCCAACCGGTGTTTGGGAAATCTCTTTTTTGAATATAATTTGATAACAACACCAATGCCAACGTCACGAAAATGTTACCGTGTTCAAATACATAGTTCCCCAACTTGTGTCTCGCAATGGCATAAATCTGTAAATCGACAATAGAATCTTTGTCGCTGGCACACCAACAACCAAGCGCGCAGATTGTCAACTTCAAAATTTCAAATGCTTTGACTTGGTGTGGCGCAAGTGATGAAGGATCATTGAAATGGGTCATAAAAGTTTTGGCATGTAAAAATGGGTAAGAAGTGTGATATATTTCAAAGTACGATTTCACATATTCATTAGCTTTTTGGGCAGTGAGAACGGTATTTTCAAGTTGGTCAATGTGTCCATCATTTATGTTTTGCATCAGGGAAAAGTTGCTATTATCAGAAGATTCGGATTCATGATACGGTAACGCCTGGGCCACTGACGCGATACTAGCATTGATTGTGGAGTCTTTTTCCAAAGAAATAGGACTAGAGGATATTGATGGTCTGATAGAATTTCGTTTCGATTTTTTACTGGTATCGGCAGTGTTTGCAATGTTTTCTTGATTTTCATTGCCGTAATTATTGTTGGTTAAGTTATCGGTGACGACGCGTTCCAATTTGCTTTCTTTTTGGACATTCCTCAAACTTTCATACTTCATATTCAAATTTCTCACGGTTTCCGCTGAAGACGCCATACCATAATAACCTTTCCCTTCAGGGTTCAAATTCAACGCCGCCATACCATCGGAAATGTCAGCCGAAGAATAAGTGGTTGGGGCTTTCCGAAACTCTTGAGATTTAGACCTAACGGGAAACTTCCGATTTCTGGATGAAGATGCCGCTTGCTGAGACGAGGTGGCTGCCCCGGATATTGATCTTGATCTTGAATAAATAAGGGAGTTATTGACTAAGAAATTATTTTTCTTTGTAGGGGTAGAAGAACTCAAGCTGGGTTTTCTGGTCTTTTTGATATTAGATTGACTTTTCGTCTGTTGGGATCCTTCTAGTATTGTTCCATTGGCCAGACTCTTGGGAGTGTTTTCATTGATTCTTAGTATCTTGCTGACAATTTCTTCCTCCCAATCAAACCCGTATAGTGGATCTACAAGGATAAAATCAGAACTATGTGAGTCCATTGATGGTCGAATATCGTCGGCATAATAATCCTTTTCCCTTTCATTGTTGTGGGAGGAGACATTAGTTTCTGAATCAGAGTTCAGAAGTTCAGGACCTTCTTCTGATTTGATTTTCAAATTATTATTGGAAGGTTGATTTGGGACATGGTTTGATGGGTCAAGAAATGACGACGAAGCTCTGCGATCAACACAAATATCATCTAAGGGATTGCCTGCTGAATGAGACGATGGTTGGAATGATTGTTGTTGAAACTGTGGGTCGGCAGGCCTTGTAGTGTTGTCCTTTTGAAAGTCGATAATTGAGGACTTTGACCGTTTATGACTTGGATCTTTGTTCGTCATGTTGGGGTTGTTATTACCTGAAGTGTTAGAAGAGGCAGAGCCGGGCTTGTTAATTGTTGGAATGTTCAATTGGTTGAGATAATCGGTGATTCTTTGATCGGGCTGTAAAGTGATGATTTCTCCATCGTGAAGCAAATACTTTGGTTTGCCAGACCCGGAGTTTTTCCTCACGAAATCCTCCTCTGTAGGATCAGGAATTGTCAACAATAGTTCGTCGACCGATTGGTCTGTGACGAGTCGAGCCACTAGTTTATCCAATTTCCAGCACCGCACTTCCATCTCCGTCAATTGCTGACGAGTCAATGGCGTCCGTACAATCTTGGGAGTGTAACAACAGTTCCAATTGTGACTCTGGCACTTTTCACATTTGGGGAGGCTCTTGGTACACTTCAACTTTCTACGACGACAAGATTCACACTGGTTTTTTTTTTGATTGTCAGTAAGATGATTGTGTTGGATGTAAAGAGAGAGGAGGGACCTGAAGAGGGAGAGGGGTTTTATTAGGTGAAGGAACTCAAAAAAAAACTTACCGCCTGCTTGATTAAGTCCAGCTTAATGTCTGGCGCGACGTCCGGTGCCATTATTATTCCAGTAGAATTGCTAGTGATATGAAAACACGCTTTTTCACTCTGTGCTGTCTGTGTCTGGCAGTTGTTGGTGGTGGAGATTTTTCCAATTTTCCAAAATCCGTAACGAAAAAAAAAAAAGGAAAAAAAAAAAAAAAAAAAGCGAAACCGCCGATCATTTTTGGCAGGTTGGGCGGATTTTGGGTCGAGCTGATCCTTGTTGTCCGATAATGCTGAGATTGTTGTCGCTATTGTTGGAGGTGGTGGTGCTTAATTACAGTGGTCTCTCCACCATAGCCACCACAACACCTGCTCGTTGACCACCACCAACCTCGTCTTGGCTGCTTTTGCTGTGTGCCCGTTTGTTACAAAATTGCTTCCACCTGAGGGGAAATCCGTCAGGAAGTTTGGCAAAATTGGTGTTGTGGTGGTGGGGGGGTTTTTTTTTTTTTCATGGCTGATCTTGTCTTCTCTCACACCACCACTGCTTTCGGCTAATTGCTTGTGCTTCTCCTTTCGTGTGTTCGGAGTCAACTGTTGGTGGTGACAACCACCGGGAGTTATTGCAAGTAACTTCTTCTTTAAGAAGAGATTCATATTGTCCAGTTTTGTTTGGCAAGATTGGCTGCCACTGTTCAAAGATACCACATTATTGTGATCAATTGATAAAACAAAAGGCAGAAGATGATGTTACACGGACTCTTGATTTTATGCCGGCAAGTCCAAGCTACCACAATCTGCAAAATTTTAGTCTCAGTCGTATTGCTAGACCACCCGGTGGCTTCCTCTTATCAAGAACGGAAAAACTTGGTAAGAGCAATCTTGAGACAATAAGTGAATGAGCCGTGAGAAATCATTTCTATAATTTCTGCCATCCAGAAAATAGGAAATAATGACGAGCTATTAGTGGATCGGGTTAAAGCTTGTACTTCCACCTCCCTATTAAATACCATAGGAGAATTCTGGACAGTATGTAAAACAAAAAAGATCAATAAGAACTATGAATCTGTGTCTGATCGAAAAATACATCTTTTTTTTTTTTTCTATTTGTGTGTTAACACATTGGTTTTTAACTTATCCATTGCACCCGAAGATACGTGGAAATCATCTCATGATTTTTGCAAAAAAAGAATAACCAATTGCAAAAGACGTAATGATTTGGGATACATCACTAGAAATTGATTACGACTATGATATGGCCCTTCAAGGTATGATTCATGGACATAGTAGTATGCAATTAGTTTTAACAAAAACTGTAGAAATAGTCCATCCGTTATCTATTTCCAGAACCAAAGAAGGTGTAGTTTCTAATCATGTTATTTTCCAATAATAATAATATGTGCGGTCTATGAATTCTGCTGCTTTGGACGATGTTAATAAACGAATGTGTGCACTTGTATCTTTCTGCTCTGATATCGACAAAAAATTGGAAGCTCAAAATAAAGATGTTAATGATCAAATTGCATCTCTTAAAACTCATATTAACAATCAAATTGCATCTCTTAAAACTGATGCTATTGATTATCTTGATCTGGCGCAACAGAAAAACGATAATAATTTCCAGAAAATATTACAGCTTCTTCAGAATAATGGCAACAATTCAGAATCTGCATAGTTTTAATACATGAAAGGTTTTTATACTGATATAGAGGATAACCTATAGTCATTGCAAGATGTCCTCATATCCAGACCCAAGTTCTGTATCATGATCAAAGTCACTATCTTCATCCTCATCATTAAGCTTCTCCCAAGAAAGATATTCTTCCCCTGAAAGGTCTGTTGTTTTCTTGAATATTGTCTTGATATTGGTAAAGAGTACAGCACAGAAGAAGAAAAGGCCCACTGGTGATTTACCTATACGATTTTTATCAGTGAGCTTGAAAAATTTAAATTGCTTACGCATGTCAGCAAAATGATTTTCAATTCTGACTTGAATTGACGACATCAAGACATTATGCTCTATCATTTCATTCTGCGCATCAATAACTTCTTCTTCAGATAAAAACGGATAATCATGGGCAACTCTTCCTATACTAACACTATTACAGGGTTTTCTTAAGATATCGGATTCACGATAAGCCAGATCACCATAGACACAAGTTCCCGGGGCAGCAATCTTTATCCTGTTCTCAAGGCCCTCACTCAAGTAACGTGTGCTGTCATGGGTGGGTCCCTCCACAGGCCCCCTCCAAAGAATACACAATGCCATCAGTTCCTAAAAGGAACTGATATTGTATACAATGTGCCTTTTTACGGCCGTTATATTGCACATTCCCGCCTTTTTTGGGTTTATTAACTGACACCACGGCACCATCAATAAAAAACAGCAAGTTGTCATAATAAGGCTGCTTCTGGCGTCCTATTTCTTTGAGAATGTGCAATCTCTCGTTAGGTATTTTGTAGTCACCAATACGTAAAAGATGGCGGAATCTGTCATAGATGAATATCGCGCAAGCCAAGATACATCTACTTATCACAGATTCATCTTTACCGAAAAGATCACACATATCACAGAGCCTACGAGGGACTGCTAATATTGCAAGAATCATACAGAGACATTCCAATGCAGGCCGCCTGAATTTATAATCTTTTGTAAGTTCTGTATCATCCAACCCCAAACATTGCACTAGGTGATGGATCTGCCTTTTGTTGAAATGAAATTCTTTCTTTACCTTCACATCTGATAGACACTAGAGATCAAAATCAAAAGACGCTTTCACGTAGTCCATATAGTCATCACTCAAATCACCCTCGGCCTGTCGTCTATTTTCAAGTGCTGTTCTTCTGATTGGGGCATCGCAATATTGCAAAATCTGATCAAATTCTTCGAAATCAAGAACCATCTCGATCATAGAAAAGAGTTCACGCCCGGTATCAACTATATCCTCCAATTCCTCTTGAAATCTCCGCATCTCGGTATCATATTCACCCACTATGATTGAAATCAACAGGAATAAACAGTGATCTGGTACGCGAAGCGACTCAGATGTTGACAATAAGAATGTACATAAAATATTAATCGCACAACATCCATCGTCAGGGCTTCTACATCACTGTTTTGCGGGAAACCAAGATTGATTCATTTGTTTGAACTTTTGCAAACTTTCTGTTATTACAGAGTTTGCAAAGTCACCTGTATATGTATATCTTTAAATAGTAGACTATTTGTTTGATGTAGTTGTGTTTGCGGAATCGTATGTTCTTTCTTCTTTTGAAACGTTTACATTGCACCAATTTAAGAAATGGCAAATCACCGTATTTAATTAACCGAATTGAAGAGAACAACCCCTCCCCCCTCACCATACAAGTTACCGGTGCTCTTCCGACCGACGTATTCTGTATCATGACCAAGTTTACAGCTAAGTAAAAAAAAACTCACATTATATAAACAAATATATACATTACTACTATAGCGCATATGCAATCCGCTATTGTGTCTGATGATCCAACGATCGCACACAGATATCGTCATAAACGTATCCAGTGATTTTTTCCACAATCTCCGGGTCCTCAATTTTGACCATAACAATAGTGCTACTCTTTGGATCGTAACTCACTCTCCAGGCGACTTCCCGCTCTCTACCAAACTCAATATTATTCTTGATCCACTCCAAGCAAGAATGTAGCCAATCCATAGAATCTTCCGGGCTGAATTGTCGTTTCAAACGCTCACTAATTTCTCCAGACTTGGGGTCCTTATGCAAAATATCTGGGATGTCCGATACTTTATACCGGACAATATTCTCGAGAAACCCGCTGAATGATCGGAAACCAATGATCACTTCGCCCATGCCAACAATGTTGGCTTGTAGGTACGCTTTGAAAAGCTTTCTCTTGAATGAATGTTCCGACCCTCCAGAAGAATGGGTTTTTAATTCGGCATAGTTTGAAAGCGTTTCGATGGGGACGTCTGGTTGTAGACGGCAATCCATCTCCGAAGGAAATGCTAATGAAATAATAGGTGATGTGCCTCGGGTCAGAACATCATCATTCTTCTTTCCCAATTCAATATTCATCACCAATTTGAAAGTCTCATTATTGTGCATTGGGTACTCTTTCCTGGGCATTTTGCCATTCTCTGGCCAATCTTTGCTACAAACCACATTCTCAAACTTATGACCCAAATATCCAAATTTCAAAGACATGGGCCCTTCGATATCTCTATAACTGTTATTGGATAACAAAATGTGTTTACCATAAGTCACCACGTTCATTTCTAAAGATACTCCATGCCGGCAGTCTGGTGATGCCAAAGACGCAAGTTTGACCATCGGACCTTTATGGGAAATGAAATCTATGGTGGGGATGTCACCATCGTTTCCCAAATTATTTCTTATTGAATCGAGGTACCATCCCACAACAGCCAAGGTGCCGCCTAATCTTGGTAATTTTCTGGGATACACAATAGGCCGGTATCCTTGCCAACCTTTGAATAAGTTGTATTTAAAAGTCCCGTTTCTGTGTTGTAAAAACCGAGGAGGAGCATAAAACGTCAATGATTCGGCGGATTCCAAATGACGTTTGAATTGTGAGTCAGTAGAGTAGTAAGTTAACACTTTTGTAGATAAGATTTTCGCTTTATCTTCCCCAATAGTAGCGATGGTAGATGTTTCGGTTCTTCTTTGGTGATTGTCAGTCGTCTTGGGAAGCAGTAGTATCGATTTCCCGGCAATCGCGGCGGCAGGAATCATCACATCTTCCTCGTCTACTTTCCAATCATCAGGGTTGAAGCTGTAATTTTGCTTTCCAGCCTTTGATCTTGGGGCTTTCTTGTTGCGAGAAGGCTTTTTAGAAGGATCGAGGGACAAATTAGTAAGTGGTTCGACCAAGTCCACCACGCTGGCGGTGGAGCTAAGGTCGACATCCGATGGGGTTTTCCCGGAAGCCTCAGCCATGTTGAGATAGATTGGATATCGATGACATGGCAAACGACAACAATTCCAATTTCAACTGAAGTCCTCATCGATTAATGCGTTTTCACGATGGGGATTCCCAATAGGCAGTAATAAAATCGCTGGTTTGCGAGGTCACCCGGACATTGACAATTATTATATCATTATTATTTTATATCTTACATTATATTATATATTATTTTATATTATATCATATCATATTCTATCATATTATATTACATTACATAATCATTGAAGCTCACTGATCTTCTCTTGCCAAAAAATGTACACAGTGTAGTCAATTATACTATCGAATACACCCCAATCCCCGGCCTGTACTGTCCTGGCTCCAAATGATCCATATCAATGTGCCAGAAATCGCCCCAGACTTCGTGCCATTGGAACTGGCGACGACTATTCTTGTAGAATTCGGTAAATTTCCCATCCATTGACCCCACAGGAGCCACCAATTGCACGTCCTTTGCCCCAGTAGTGACTGTCTGTACGATCCGGTCTAATAACCTATATAATTTATCAATATCCATTCCCATGACATCCACCACTACGGTGCTATTGCTCACTGCTAGATAATCGTACTCTAAAAGCACTCGTAAGTTGTCATCATGCTCTGTAGTTCCGTCAACTGGTACTAAATCATCATACTTCAACACAATCACCGGCTTGGCATCCCCAAGAAGCCAAGTTGGAGGAGAATAAGTCCGCCACCACACTTGAACACTACCAATAGTACCATTATTTGAAGAATATTGTTCTCGAAGATGATCCAACGCGGTTATCACACCTCCTTGGTGGAAAACCCCCATTAGGGTCCCGAGAATCGCATTGTATACGTACCATACCCAAAGGATATTGCGGACTAACGTCTTGGATTTCAGGGTGATCATGAAGAAGGTATTCTCTTTTTTATTGTCGTCTGCCTTTTCAGTCTTTGTAACGAATTGTTCATGAAGGAACTCAAAATCCATGATTTTCAAAAACAACGGTTGCAAACATACAATGAATCTCAATTCTTGATGCGGCACTAATGATAGGATACTCATTCCTGAAACAATCGTCAAATACACCACGTTGAGGTTCATTATGTCTTGGTACTGTTCATTGGTTTGCATTTGTTTCAATAACGAGTGGTTTGGAGTGTTGGTGGCCCAGTTCTTCAAGTATTGGAAATTGATTCTTGCGAATTGGAAATAGTTCTTGAAGTTAACGATGCAAATCAAGTACAACGGACCCAACATTTGTGGGAGGTTGATGAACAAATGGGTGATCCGCGAATGAATCCCGTGTTTTGCAAGGTTAGTGTATTCACTATTGTAAATGAGATTGTTCAATGGAGGAATTATGAATTTGTGGTGTTGGTATTGGAAATTATATTGAAGTTGCTGATAGCCAGGGTGGAAATGTTCGAAAAGTATGGTGTCACCATAACCAAAACCAGCAATTGTCAACCCACATACCATAATAAACACCATCAATGACAAAAACTTCTTGTATTGGAAAAAGAATTTCCCGAGATAGATAATCCCTGGAAGCACCAAGAACGCGGCAAAGGTGATTCTATTAAACATTCCAAACACCACGAGCACTGCCAATACTGAAAGCTTCCCATAATTGTTATCGATCTTCAATGGTGATTCTTCTTTAATATCCTGCGATTTCTGTTGGCTTTTCACGAACTGGTAATTTTCCATCTGGGTTTTGATCGAATCGATCACCATCAAACACCCACATAACACCCAGGTCTCGATGGAATTGGAAAAAGTGTGGGATTGGTACGTCCAAGTTATATAACTGGTATAGCTCAATGCGAGCCAAGTGAGGTTCTTTCTGGTCGACAGACTAGCAAGACGGATCATTGAATAATCGACAACGATCCACGAAACGAAGCAAAACATCAATCTCACGAGGTATAATTGTTGGATCGGGGTGATGGTTGCTGGGGAGTACCAGAACAAAGGATAGTACACAAGATACAAGGGGATCAAGCTCCTGGCAGGCGAAGGGCCCTGGAATTCCCAAGGGATATCGCCAGCTGCGGCAGTGTTGGGATGAAGGATCGAATTGATGATGGAGAAGTTTTGGAAGTGTTCATCTGGATGGAGGTACGAGTTTTGCACCGCGAAGTAGAGTCTGGCGCAGATGGTCAAGACAATAAGGACCCTAATATGTTCCTTCATCGTGGGCCACTAATAATAATAATAATAATAATAATAATAATAATGAGTAGACACGGGGAAACAAAGAGAAGAAAGACCATAATAACGAAAGATTGATGAAAATTCCCCTCAACGCACAAAAACGCACAAAAACGCACAGATCACAGGGACAGAATAACCACCCACAAAATTTCTTTTTCATTGCCATTTTTTTCATGGGGAAAAAAAAAGTTGCTCTCTGATAGAGTCGAACACCATCACAGCAAAATGAAACCGTTCAATCCCGCAAACACTGTCGATCATATCCTCGATAGCATTGCCTGTGATGGCATCCAAGGTGAGTAATTGCTGTTTGTTGATGATATTTATTATTATCATTATGATGATGATGATGATGATGATGATGATGATGATTCACTCATCTGCAATTGGTTTCGGATATATATATATTAACATATACAGGCTGTGAACTATCGAAAATATGGAAATTCGCAGAGGAATTCCTTGAGACCCCACCCAATGACGTGATGAAAGCGATCTTGTGGAGGTTGCTTATCCTGGAAACCACCAAAGTGGAGTTTTTACATGATAAACAACCGGTAAGTGATGCTAATAACACCAGATATGATTGGCAATAATAAGCACTCGATTACTAACATTGTGTTTAGATTGTTTGCGAACCAACCTTGTCGCAAATGAATGAGAAATACCAAAATGTGATCATCAGATGCACCCAAAACTACCAATGGTCTGCCTTGACGGGGCTAGATATTCGTGAGGCGTCGTTCATTGGTAAGAATTTGTTCAAGATCATCCTCTGCGTTGCCCAAACCGGTGCCAAAGGATTACCTTCGTCGCAAGTATCAAAGGTCACTGGACAAGACCCCCGGTGCTTGACCGCGAGAATCGAGAAATTGACAGAGGCCAACATCATCCTGAAAGTGTATATCCATTACCTCCAGCCACCACGATTGGTACATCGAAAGTTCCGCGAGCAGTTCAAAAACAACTACCAGACCTCGCAGTTGAAAGAACAGAATTCGTTGGACGCCCAGCCGAGAATTTATCGTCAACGAATCATTCAAGAGGCCAAGTCAAGTTACAATCAAATGAGAAGTATCATAGATTTGAAAAAACAACTAGGAATTACCCCCAGAGATTCCAAACGGTTTCACAGAACTATTAAATTATTGGTGCGCAAGAAATACTTGGCCAAAGTGTTGGCATCAAGGAAAAACGGGCAAGCGAAATTCGAGTGCATTCAATATATCAGGGATTATATTCCTACCAATGACGAAGAGGAAGATGATGACGACGAGGAAAATGAACTTGCCGAGCAAGAAGAGCAGAATGACGACGATGACGAGGAAAACGAAGAAGTAAACGCTGATGCTGATGATGATAACGATGCTGATGCTGATGCTTCTAGTTTACCGAATGATGACACCATTTCTGATCTACTAGAATTCACCAGTATGGCCAAAACCACCAACAATGAAGTGGGTTGCTTCAATACTTTGATCCCGTTCATCAACCAGGGTTATTATCAAATAGCGGCTTCACAAGACGGGATCACATCTACAGACGTCATGAAAAAGATCACCGGGAGTAGAAAAACTAAGAAAAGGATCATGATATTCCAAGAATTGATCAGAGACCCATTTTCCAAAATTCCATTTTGGAGGGATTTAAATGTCGAAAATTTCTATCTTGATCATTATTTTGCGGTGGGGTACGTGTTTTCTGGGAAAATCAAATCGTTGAAATTCATGCTATTCTCCCAGTTCCCCGACGCTACCGTAAAAGTCATTCCTAGCAAGTATCAATTCTTTTCTGATAAGTTTGGTGATACCCCGAAAATCTCCTTGCCAGCAATGGATAACTTGGCCTCGGAAATCTCTTCGGCGTCTTATAAAATCTACGAGAATATCTCCACCACCCATAAATTCTCGTTGGGTTGGAGAGGGGAGAATTTCACCCTGCCACCGAATCTGGTAGAGGTCTTGCCATTTGGCGCAAAGCTGGGAACCACGATTAATAGACAATCGAAAAAACCGGGGACCGCTAGAAGAGGACGCCCACCGAGCAGTGCTGCTGGGGGTCAAGAATCGAAATACATGAAGCGGAAAAGAGAGTTGTTGGCCGAGTCTAATAAACGGTTGAAATCGCTTGATAAACCGTTAGTTAAAAAGCCACGACTTGCATCGTTAGCAAAGGTTGATAATAAGGCGATAGCTACTGATTTGCCATTAGTGACCGAAGATAATTCAGATGATGTAAATGATCAGGTAAACGAAATTATTGTCGATAAGATCCCTGATCTTAAAATTAAGAATGAAGAGATTTCTGTGCCGAATGAACCACCTATTCTTATTGAACATGCTGATGATGATGACAATAATTTAGACATTGATATTCTGTTGAATGAGATCATTACCGATGGTCCTGATGATTCAGTTATTAGCAAACCATTGTCAATGGAAGCAAATGATGCCATTGCAGCCGTGGATGATGTATTAACCGACATGATTGTCAGAAATCAATATAATTCGCCAACCAAGAAATCGCCAACCAAGCCCTTATCCACTCCCAAACTGGCGTCAGGAAGACGTAAAACACTTAATTCGTTGACATTCATTACCAACGAAAGAACCGGCGACAGGGAGTCGGCTACCGGGTCTCCTATCAGAAGGTCTCCAGAAAGATTGCTGCAACCTAGAGGAATGGCAGTGGTTTCGTTAACCAAGATGAAAAGACTTAATTCGATCATCGAGGTTTTGGAAGAAAACCAAGGGATTTTCTATACAGGAGTCAAGTTTGCCAGGATGTTGGAGAAAAAAATGGGTCAGAATACTATTGTCGATAAGAAAACGCTTCTTCGAGACATTGACGACTTGAAAAATGGTGGCCGGATCAATACTGCAATCGTTGAGACGTTCTTCTCCGGGAACGAGACGGTGCTTTTTTTTTTAAAGAATAAAGAACCGACCGCAGAAGATATTGATAGATTGAGAGAGCTGGCGAAATACCAATCCGTCAGTAGGACTGTTCCGGAGGTCAAACAATCGGTCAGACTTTACAGCATCAAAGAACAAATGTCCAAAAGGGCCAAGAGGTTGCAGGAGAAGGCTGCTAAGGCCGCAAAGGAAAAAGATAACGAAAAAGCCCAAAACAAAAAATCTAGTAACTCCAAACTGTCTAAAAAGCACGTTGCTACCGAAGAAGCTCAGCAATTACCCAACGTTGACACAGGTGAAACTAATGAGGTTGTCGACACGTCTGGGAAAACCACCAAGAAACAAAGAGAGAAAATGGTCAAGCGAGCTGCCAATCCAACCAACAACAAACGCCGCTACAAAAAGAATTCGTACCGACTTAGTAATGAGGATAGTATTGCGATTTTCCGTACCGTGGTGATAACCAGGTCTTTGACGATGGACGGTATCACGAATTTCAAGATGATTGAAGAATACCTCGATAACCCGTACCTCAAACACGCACAGCTTCCAAAGAAATGGGGCAATATCAGAAAAGCTGCTGGTCCAAACACCGTCAAGACCTGTACCAGGAATTGGACCGCGGTGTTTTTGAAGCTTGTTGATCTGGGAGAGATCAGTTTAGCCGATTTGAAAAACCGGGATCTTGGATTTTTCGTGGATATTTGGATAAAGTACCGCATTGATGATTTTGATGAACATGGTATGATAAGCAACGGATCAGCAAAAACAGCCGCCGCGCCAGTGGCCATGGCCAATCCGTATTTGGAAGCCGAAGCGGTGGGCAAAGTGAAATTATACGAAGACCATTCCATGAACCTTGAGCAATATAAATTTATTGAAGAAGGGGAAAGAAAGTCATTTGAAGGGTATTTCTCGCCTAATATTGCGTTGATTCAAAGAGAGAATATTTTGTTGCTTAGGTCTTTCACCCTAGAGAAACCACCAATTATTAATGACGCCAAGAATAGTACGCTTCACCAATACCTTAAGGCGGTGATTTTATCCGACCCTAAATCGTACTCTTCCAAAGATTTTGAGGATTTAACGATGAAGAAAGGATTTGAAAGAACTGTTGTGGAAAAGGCCACCAAGGAATTGGAGGCCAATAAGGATTTGATCTTGGTGTTGGCGTCGAACCAACTGGGATTCAAGTTAATTTTCAACGAGAAACTATTTACTCTGAACATTATTTCTTTGGGGGACCATATTTGGAACGATGCATTTATCCATCGTCAATTATTGTACAATGTTATGGATACAAAAAAAGCGGTGTTGCTTCCATCGCTTGTGTCTGATGGGACGATGGCCAGTGTCATTAATAACTTTGCCCAGGCCAATATCAACGTATTGAGACTTTCTGGGTTTGCAAAAGATAAGAACACCACGTACGCGTTGAAGGCCATTGAAGACAGTTTCTTCGATGTGAGATTCTTGATTTCCGTCAAGGATAATTCGCTCCAAGAGACCCCGTTCCAGTTTGTGCCGATCCCCATTGGTCCCCGGGCTTCGAGAATTTGGGTGGACATCCATGGGAATATTAACAAGAGGGTGTTGACAAAGATTTTAAAATTTTTGATTTCGTTAATTCAAGCCAGGCCGGGGATTTCCCTGGGGCTGGCATTCGGTAAAATGAGCCGGTTGTTGTCGTATAATGAGTACCACGAGCTTTGTGATTGGTTAGTGCAAAAGCAGTGTCTTAAACGAGGGTTGTGCGAATCTTTGTATGTCATGGATAATTGGTATTGTCTATTAGGATGAGTAGTTGTGTTGCATTTTATTAGTGATAGCTTAGTATTTTGCAATAAATGATCATATAATTAATTATCCCATCATTAATGATAATAATTGAACCCGCCCCACCGGTACAGTCAGCAAGCCCTGGCTGGCTGGCGGGAAATCAAAAAATTTGGGAAGGAACAAACGTAATTGGAAATCAGACAGCCAATATCATATAAATATATATATATATATATATATATCTATATATATATATCTATATAAAAATACCAAAGCCAATAAGAATGAAGTGCTTCAGTGCTCCAGGAAAGGCGTTGCTCGCGGGTGGGTACTTGGTGCTTGACCCCAAGTACAAGGCATATGTCGTGGCGCTTTCTACCAGGATGCACTCGGTGACCGAAGGGGAACCAGTGGCAGCGGCACCAAATACGTCAAGAATCATCGTTGATAGCCCGCAATTCTTGGGTGGCACTTGGTCGTACGATTTCCCGGTGCCATTTGTAGGCACGTTGCAAGATACTTCTGCTTCGAGGAACCCGTTCTTATTGTCTACTATCGAAACGATTTTGGGGTATGTGGAGCCGGAATCCCATGCCACCATCAAGATCACCATCTTTAGTGATCCAGGGTACCACTCGCAAAACGATGCCATGGTGAAGGAATCTAACGGGAAACGGTTCTTGTATCACAAAGATACGATTTCCAACGTGCCAAAGACCGGGCTCGGGTCCAGTGCAGGGTTGGTCACCGTGTTGACCTCGGGGTTGTTGTCTTATTACAAACCGGAATTGGACCTTTTTTCAGAAATTGGGTTACGGACGGTTCATAATTTGGCCCAGATCAGCCATTGTGCTGCTCAAGGGAAAGTGGGGTCGGGATTTGACGTTGCTGCTGCCACTTACGGATCGATCATTTATCAAAGATTCGATCCAGAAATCATCAATGGGTTGATCAAATACAAGGAAGAAGTATTTTCGTCGTCGCCAACAGAATACTCGAAGAAATTGCAATCGGTGGTGAATTGTAAATGGGAAATGATCATTCAAAAGTGTGACTTGCCACCGCAAGTGAGAATCTTAATGGGCGATGTGAATAACGGTTCGGAAACCCCGAAATTGGTATCAAAAGTGTTGAAATGGCGTAAAGAAAACCCTGAGGAGGCGGGAAATCTTTATCATGATTTGAATTTCTACAATATGAAATTGGTATCGGAATTGCTTACGTTGACCCAGATTTCCATCGAGAATCCCGAGCGTTACGAAGCGGATTTGATTTCGTTTGTCGATGATTACAGTTTGATCCAATTGAAGCACTTGATCAAGATGTCAGGATCGAGTTCCAACTTCCCCGACTCTTTGAAACCGTTATTGGATATAATTGAATCAGTCTCTTCCATAAGAGGCGGTTTACAAAGCCTTACCAAGAAAACCGGGGCGGATATTGAACCTATGGAACAAACTATTTTACTCGATAACTGTTTTGCATTGCCGGGGGTACTTGGTGGAGTGGTTCCAGGGGCTGGTGGTTACGACGCTATTTGTTTATTGTGTTCAGAAAAGGCGATTCCCAAGATTTTGAAGTTGACCGCGGCCAAGGATGCTGAAGAGTTGAATCATATCAAGCATGAATTGGAAAGCAGTTCCATCCATAGACAGCAAGAATTTTCCAATGTTGATCTTGACTGCTTTGATCCAAGTTTGTTCAAATCGGTGACGTGGTTGGATTTGCACGAAGAGAACACGGGGTTGGTGAAGGAAGATCCTCTCCATTATGTTGAATTGCTCAATTGATATTTTCCATGGTTTATAGGATATATATTATTATACTATTGTATATTTTGAAGATGGTTATATGCAAATTGCGTAGGACAAAAATCACCCGGCATGAACAAAAAAAAAAATTCAGTATGATGATGATGATGATAATGATGAGGATGATAATGATGATGAGGGTATCATGGATTGTTAGTAACCATTGAGGAAATAGAGCAGGGGATAAACAAAGTCATTGAGATCCTTATTGAATACCGCAAGCGAAGTTGTCGCTCAGGAAACGGTTAGTGGGTACACAAATAGGAAGGAAATTTTTCCCATGATGTTGCTTGCTGCCTGCATGTTGTGTCACAAAGACGTCAAAAGAAAGAAAGAATATACAAGCAGCTTTTTTTTTTTTCTGTCCGGCACTTTCTTTCTTCAATATCCGTAAATCAAAAAAAAACAAAACATGACAGGCTGCGAGATCAATTTTAACACGGAACTGTCCCATGAGTACCAAAACAACAATACCATTCAAATGCAATGGGTGGCCATCATTGAAGATGGGTTTCTGAAAACCAACAACCGCACGCCCCAGTTGCCAATAATAAATAAATAATCTATATATACTACAAACCAACAAGTAAGAAGAATCTGGAAATCACCGCGTGGAAAAGCGAATGAAACCAATAAGAATGAGGAGTTATTGCTTATAATCAATCATATCTACCATAACAATACTTATCTTCGCTGCCTCGCGTTAGCTATATAGTAGTAAGAAAATCAAATAGCTGTCTATCACCGTGATTACTTTCTAATTTTTTTTTGTAATGGGCCCGCAACTTGACAAATGGCTCGGGAGACATTATATATCATACCAACTTGCTACAACACTGACTTCTGGAGGCATAAACATAGTAAGGCGTGTTATTATTATTTGGAATAAAGGGTGGAATAAAACAAAATTAAATTAAATTAAATTAAATTAAATTAAATTAAATTAAATTAAAGGAAAGGAAAGGGTCAAGAATTATCGGTGTAAAGTAGGGTGACCATAATCGCACTATGTGATGCCAAAATTTTTGATGATGTTACTTAGCAACAACACCATCCATCCATCATTGGGAACCAACCACCACAACAAGTCACACCAACCAAGATGACTTTCTTCTCCTCGCTTTCCAATGCTGCCACCGTTTATCCTTGTTTGAACTACGTTTATTACGTGGCATTCGCCCTTGGGTTAGCCAAATTGACCACGGTGAGTTTATCATTTGCCTCGTTGCTCTTGGACCTTTTTGTGGTGGCCAAAACCGATTTCGCTCCATATGGATCCAAGAACCACACATGGGCCATTGTTACTGGGGCCTCTGATGGTTTAGGTAAAGAATTTGCTTATCAATTGGCGAAAAAGGGGTTCAACGTCTTATTGGTTTCCCGTACCCCTAGCACTTTACAGCAATTATCGGAAGAGATTGCCACAAAGTATAGTGTCAAGTCGCTTTTTTACGCCATGGATTTCTCCGATGCCACTGCATTGGATACCAACATTGCCGGGCTCCAGAAATTGATCAATGATGAGAAATTACCAGTTTCAGTGTTGATCAACAACGTTGGTAAATCCCACTCAATCCCTGTGCCATTTTCCCTTACCACCAAAGACGAACTCACGGATATTATCACCATCAACAACTTAGCCACTTTGAAATTCACCCAAGCAGTGATTCCAACCTTGGACTCTACCGTCCACGACTCCAAATTATCCAAGAAATCGTTGATCTTGACAGTGGGGTCGTTTTCCGGGCTTTTGCCAACCCCAATGTTGGCGACTTACTCCGGTTCCAAAGCGTTCTTGCAAAACTGGTCGGTCTCATTGGCAGCAGAATTGAAACCAAGAAACATCGACGTGTACGTGGTATTGGCTTACCTTATCACTTCAAAAATGTCCAAGATTAGAAGAAGCAGTGCCAGTATCCCAACCCCGAAGCAATTTGTCACTTCGACTTTGAACAATTTCCAAAAAAGATGCGGGGCCCAAGAACGGTTCATGACAGTGACCCCATACTGGTCCCACGCGTTAATGCACTGGGCCATCGAATCGACAGTTGGGGTGTATTCTTCAGTTGCCAACAAGTTGAACTACAACATGCACGTTTCTATCAGAAACAGGGCTTTAAAGAAAGCAGCTAAGAAGGCGAAGAGTACCTGAGGAATTTGAAATAATGATAATTAATGGAAATTTTTGTATCAAATAATTAATTGTTGGTTATTTTCTTTTTTTTTTTTTTTTTTTGTTCATGAATGTGTCTATGTAATTCATTCGGTGGGATCATCTCAATCATATACTTATTAATACGTATTTCATTAGCTAGTGGTCACAATCATACATTCAATAATGTGGAATTATATTATATTGGCGAAATTAAAAGCAAGTTTTTCCATGATGCACTGTAGGTATGTATATGAATACTTCTAAAATATCGAACTTTCCCCTTTATCTACTGTGGTTGAAAATACTAAGTTAAAGTAGTATCTTGAGTAGTATTTGTTTTAATTATATTTATTTCAAACTGTATTTTATTTCAAACTGTATTTTATTTCAAACTGTATTTTATTTCAAATTGTATTTATTTCAAATTGTATTTATTTCAAATTGTATTTATTTCAAATTGTATTTATTTCAAATTGTATTTTATTTCAAATTGTATTTTATTTCAAACTGTATTTTATTTCAAATTGTATTTATTTCAAATTGTATTTATTTCAAATTGTATTTATTTCAAATTGTATTTTATTTCAAACTGTATTTTATTTCAAACTGTATTTTATTTCAAATTGTATTTATTTCAAATTGTATTTATTTCAAATTGTATTTATTTCAAATTGTATTTATTTCAAATTGTATTTATTTCAAATTGTATTTATTTCAAATTGTATTTTATTTCAAACTGTATTTTATTTCAAATTGTATTTTATTTCAAACTGTATTTTATTTCAAATTGTATTTATTTCAATAGTTCTCAAGTACCAAAGGTGTCAAATGATGCATTCATAACTTCACCAGTGATGCTGGAGCATTGCAATGGCAATTGTAGCAGATATTCACCATCGATTGTGGTTGGTAGTTATAGTGGTGTACCCTTCTTTCTACAAAAAGAAACCCCTTCTGAATATAATACAATGTTATTGTCATTTCACAAATGAAAATTCAATAAATATCATTATCCTTTTGTATAAATCCTTCATAAATAGAATACAAGAACATTGTCATTCATTGCACAGGCGCCTCATAAGTCCTTCCACAAACCCTTGGTAAATATAATACAAGATCTTTGTCATTTCACAAATCTTCCACAGATATCATACTAGAGCGCTGTCCTTTCACAAATATAATACAAGGTTTATTAATTATTAGATAGCTTGGGAACAAAACAAAAAAAAAAACTGATAGAAGTCTTAATTGATGTCTTCAAAACTATCTCCTTCCTCTTCCTCTATGATTGACAGCTTTCTGGCCCGTTTTGACACCCCACCCCCATTATTATTATTATTACCATTCTTCTTTTTCGTGGCATTGGAAAAAGGTTTGAAACTCCCCAATCCAATCCCGTGGTTCACAGAAGATGAAGAATAAGGACTTCCAAGGGGTGATTTCCGCCTAGCAGAGTACCGACTCTCCATAAAATTCCCGCTCCTCATTTGTCGACCTCTGGTGGTGGTAGGAGTCCCATTTTGTTTTGGAGTAATATATGATGATGAAGATGATGAAGAATTGGTGATTGGTGTGATATATGATGACGATGAAGAAATAACCATCGTGGATCCTTGAGAATCCCCATCATCATCGTCATTAATAGAGTCTTTTTTATTCTTCTCTTCGGCAATTTCCTTCATCACGCTTTTAATGGTCTTTGGTCCCTTAGGATGCCCCACCGCCACCGGTTTAGGAGTTTCCACACTACTGAGTTTATTAAGGGTCAACGCATTATACCGGCTGCTAGGATACACTACCACATCATTGAATGGATCGGGAGAATTGCTTCGTAGATTGAAACTTCCCGTACTGTAATCGTAAAAAGAACTTTTTCTAGAACTTTGTTCCGAAGTGCTGGGAGAATAAGACGCCACCAGAACCGCCCCACCAGATCGTTTGGGGATTTTATGGTTTTCCAAAGAGTTCGATCTGAAAATCCGTGGTTGTAATGATGAAGATATCGATCCATTGGCCATATTGTTTGTCGATCCAATATTGAAGGTCGACAAGGTAGGGGTGTCCATTGATAACACCGTGCCATTGAACGAAAGTTGCGAAAGATCTGACATTTGGGAAATCGCCGAATAGGTAGAAATCATCGACCCAGGACGGGTCTTTTGATTGGGTCTACCACTGGTAAAACTCCCACTGGCAGAGTTACTAATATTATTATTTTTCGTCCGCATTGGTCTAGATGATTGATCACTGGTCGGAGACAAGTTTTTGCTATTATAAGTTCCGCTTCTTGAAACATTAGCTCCGGATACCATATAGTTATTACTGTCCATACTAGGTTCATCATTGTGATGGCCATTATCATTACCTCCCAGGCGGTCGCGTTGTTTTTCTTGCGGCATATCGTTGGCAGAAAACGATCTTGTGTGCTGAATCCTCAATTCGCTACTTTTTGGAATAGCAATCTTCAAATCATTGACATTCCTGGGGTTTTCTGAAGAATTACTTGACACAGTATCTTCATTACTTTTCTTGGAGGTCGAGGCACTTAATCGGCTGGCACTGGTAAGGCTCCCGCCAGTGGATTCCGTGCCACCACCATTAGCATGCCCCGCTTTATGGATCCAAAATTTAAGTTTTTCCACGAATGCCTTTGACTTGTGTTTGGAAATATCTTCGACGCTAAACTTCCTCATTTGTACCGTAATATTACCTAATGAGGTCTTGCGATTGCCATGTCCAGAACCACCAAAGGATCTTCGCCGAGTTTTCTCTCCAGGCTTCTCCATCTTTTGTTGCTGACCAATATTCTTAGTCTCTCCATTATCAGACTCGATCAATGTTGCAGGATTCTTTTCCGGGGTCGAGGTTATTAAGGAATCGTTTTCCTGATTCTTTATGTTCCCCTTGTTTTTTAAGGAACTATCAAAAATGTTTCTAAAATTCACTACCCCCTGTGCATCATTCTTGGTATCTTCTGGAAAATTAATGCTGGAGTTTTCAAGCGATTTGTAACCTTTTGTACTGATGGCGGATGTGAGACTTCTATGGGTAACAATTCGATGAAGAGGACTACAGGCATCATCACTCAAATTGTTGGTGGCAGTGGGACTACCATCAGCAGTATTATTATTATTATTATTATTATTATAGGACTTGGCAATCTTCAAACTTTCCATTGATTTTTCACAGAGTAAAGGTTTTTTAGATGAATTTGATTTAGGAAACCCGGGAAGAATGATTTCTTTGGTCAACGAATTGCGGATTTGTCCAAGTCGTTTACCACTACCAATAAGCCCTCCGATTGAAGAATTTTTCTCTCGGCGATCTTTATCCATCTGTATGAACTTTTCTTTTAGCTTTTCTCGTTTGTTTTCCTTCTCCAATAATAAATACCAAATGGCATCCAATTGATCACATTTCCTACTAATCACACTCTCTTTAATTTTCTTGACATCAAAACCCAATCGTTTCAAATGTTTGAGCAAATGCTTTTCAAAATGGGTTTCGAATTGTCGATTTTCAAAGTTTCTGGTGAGCGTGAGTCTACTGTTGGTGTATTTCAACGCTCTGGCCCCATAAGGTTGGAGAAATGGGTGTTTCAACACCGCTTCAAGAGTTTGCGGTCTGGCAGAAGGATCTTTTTGCAATAACATTTTGATGAGATCGACTGCTTCTTCAGGAACTCCCGAAGTATTATTATTAGTCTCTAAAAAGCATGAGGAGGTATCAGATATTGTTGATACAATACTTGGTGAAGCCCCAACTGCCACCATCAGCGGTTTCTTAATGATTTTCCGTAGTTCGTAGTTTGGCTCTTCATTGATGATTTTCACTTTAACCACATCTTCGTCGTCGTCTTCGTATGGCATCTCTCCGTAAATTAAGGTATAGAAAATGATTCCAAGCGACCACATATCGATTTTGAACCCGTTATATGAGGTGATATTGCTGGAGGCGTCGCCCATCAATAAAAGCTCTGGGGCCATATACACATGGGTCCCGCACATAGTTTTCAAACAGCTATTCTTGAAACAGTCTCTGGAGAATCCGAAATCAGAAAGTTTGCAATTGTATTTCTTGTCGAGCAAGATGTTCTCCAACTTGAGATCACGATGGGCGGTGTTCAACGAATGGATGTAGAAGACCGCGGCAGTGATTTGGGAAATTATATTTTTGAGATCTTTAAAGTTCAACCGACATTCACTACTAATGAAATAATCGAATAGCTCTCCTTGAGGGCAATACTCAATTGCCAAATACACATGGGTTTCTGTGACGATCACCTCATACAATTTGGTGATATTATCATGAAACGCTTGCTTATGGAAAAAAATCTCCCTGATTATGTTGGGATCCGCTTTGGACCCTGATTTTAACACTACTTTGGTCTTGGTAAGTTTGTGGATCGCCATATACACCGTACCAAACGATCCTTCACCAATCTGTTTGACAATGTGATAGTTGCCGACATTTTCCAATTTCTGGGAGTTTAGAGTCTGGTATAGCCGGTGGTACGAGTCGTTGATATTGATGGTTCGCTGCTTCTCACATAGCCGCGATCTGCTTGACATTATAGATTTTTCATTAAATGGTGTTTAATTGGTGATTACTTCTCCTTCTTCAGCTTCTGGTTCTGTTTCGTTTTCAATTTGCGATGCGCTTTTTTGGTGCCGGGGCGGAAATAACATAACCCATTCCGGTGCGGAATTTCCGCCGCCCGCCCGCCTTTTTTCAGTTTAACCGAAAATTTTTAATACTTCATTATGCAATTCCCCTACGATGAGCTCCATATTTTATTGATCAGATTATCAGAGAATGGGTGTCCCTGCTTTCTTTAGATGGATCAGTAATAAATATCCCAAGATCATTTCACCGGTGGTCGAAGATAACTCCGATTTCGACAACCCTAACCCCAATGGAGAACTCGACAACCTTTATCTCGATATGAACGGGATTGTTCATCCATGTTCCCACCCGGAAAATAAACCTCCTCCAGAAAATGAGGCCCAGATGATGCTTGATATCTTCAAGTATACGGACCGTTTGATCAAGATGGCCAGGCCTCGTAAAGTATTGATGATTGCTATTGATGGGGTGGCTCCTAGAGCAAAGATGAACCAGCAACGTTCAAGAAGATTCCGGTCCGCCAGAGACGCGAGAATTAAAAAAGAGCAAATTGAAAAAGAAATGGATTATAAACGATCGTCAGAAATCTTAAAGGGGAAAATTATTGATGATTCGGTGAAAAGCGATCACGTTCATTGGGATTCCAACGCCATCACCCCGGGAACCCCATTCATGGACATTCTTGCCCTGTCTCTTAGATACTGGGTGGCATACAAATTAAGCCACGATGATGATTGGGCAAACTTGCAAGTTATCTTGTCCGATAGTTCGGTACCTGGGGAAGGGGAACATAAAATCATGAACTTTATTCGGTCGCAAAGACTCGATCCCCAATATAACCCTAATACCACCCATTCGATTTATGGGTTGGATGCCGATTTGATTTTCCTTGGGTTAGCGACTCATGAACCACATTTTAGAATCTTGAGAGAAGACGTGTTTGCCAAATTTTCTCAAGGTTCAAATAACCGGAATTTGAGTTTACAAGAGCAAATGTTCATGTCAGAGGAAGAAAAAAAAGAGATCAAACGGAAAGAGAGTGAAAAACCATTTTTGTGGTTGAATACCCATATCTTGAGAGAATATCTTAAAGTGGAGTTGATGACAGGGATCCAGATACCCCAACTTCACCGGAACTTGGATTTTGAACGATGCCTTGACGATTGGATTTTTCTTTGTTTTTTCATTGGTAATGATTTCTTGCCAAGTATCCCAAGTATTAGTGTCAGAGATAACAGTATTGATATGTTGGTGCAGCTATGGAAACAGAACTTGCCATATTTATTCAACAACAAGAAGAAATTTAACAATGATTATTATTTGACCCGTGATGGGGAGATCAATTTACCAGCGGTCGAAGTGTTATTGAAAAGCCTTGCGGCGATGGAAGACGGGATTTTGCGTAAAAAACATTCTCAAGAAGTTGCCCAGGCAGAGTTCGAGAAACGCAAGAAGGTAATGAGAGATCAGAATAAGAATTCGGTGTATAAAGGCTATAAATTGAATGAGGATAAACAGTTTGTCAACCAAGCTACTGAAGCCAATCAAAATATGGCGTTGTATTCTGTCAGCGATAATAAGATCATTAACAATGTCTCGGCTAAAGGAGCAAAAGATTTGATTAAAGACCAGCTGATTGTTAAAAGCAAACAAACTTTAACTCTTGAAGAATCTAATAAAAAAAGTCAATCTGCAGCGGCAGCATTGAGAGAACGTCTTGCGACCAATCTGAAAAAGAGAAAATTGGAAGAGACTGAAACTGAAGCTACTACTGAAGATGCCAGTGAAGAACCAGAATCAAAACAGGCGGCCATCACCCAGGGAAAAGATTCTTATGATCCATCAGAAACCACTGGAGATGATGAAAAAATTGCCTACGAAGTGCCTAATTCGCAAACTGGTAAAACTTATGATAATTATGACTTAATTAGAGTTTGGGAACCAGGTTACAGTAATAGATATTACAAAATCAAATTCAACCTTGTCGATGATGAACAAGTGTTACCATTCAAGAAACAATTACTTTACCATTACCTTGAAGGGATATCCTGGGTGTTACTTTATTATTACCAAGGCTGCCCATCATGGAACTGGTATTATCCTTACCACTATGCGCCATTCGCTTCGGACTTTGGTTGTTTGGATTTCCAAAAAGATGTGAAGATCAAGTTTGACGAAGGTACGCCATTCAGACCATTTGAACAACTCATGAGTGTGTTACCGGCAGATTCGTCTCATAATTTACCGGAAGTTTTCCATGATTTGATGAAGAATGCCGATAGTGAAATTATCGAATATTACCCAGAACACTTTGATATTGATATGAACGGGTCGAAAATGCCATGGCACGGAGTCCCGTTATTGCCATTCATCAATGAAAAGAAACTTCTTCATCATGTGTCTTCGAAATACGATTTGTTGACGGAAGCCGAAAGTTTCAGAAATCAAAATCGTTCAGAGCTTATTCTTATCAGTAAAAAAAATAAGTGGTACAAGACCTGGGCTAAAGAATTGTTTGAAGAAGGAAAAGACAAGATTTCATTTGGAGCGAAGAAAACTAACATTTCGGGAATTGTTGCTAAGAGCCCGGAATACGATTTTGTAGGATCAACAGAGTTCCCACTTTATGAGAATTGTGAAGATAATCCGTTCCCAGATACCATCAACAACCAATTATTCATCAAGGTGGGGTATGACTTCTATTCGAATGTCGATGGCAAGAGGAACAAATCTATGATTCTCAACGGATACATTGATCCAATCCAAGTGCTTACTCAAGATGATAAAAACGCCATTCTTTATGGAGGTCAAGGGTACGCGGTGCGTCAAAAGAAAGGGTTTACACATCAACAAAACACCCATATTAACTTTGCCATAACCGTGGGGCCACCAAAGGGGAAAATCAACATTTATCATAATAGACCTGGGGGCTATCTTGGGCTATTGAGGAGTAATGAACAGAGACAAATACATGAAAGACAGTTGAATTCCGGGGTGGATTTATATAGTCAAATGCAACAACACAATTTCCAAAACCCCGTCCCAGGGCCGGGGTATAATGGTGGACCTGTTCATGGTGGACCTGTTCATGGTGGACCTGTTCATGGTGGACCTGGCTATGGTGGGCCAGGCTATGGTGGTCCAGGCTACAATAACTTCAACCAAGGAAGAGGTGGGTTCAATGGCAGAGGCCGCGGCAATGGGTTTAATAACAGAGGTCGTGGTGGTTACAATAATCGAGGAGGATACAACCCAAGAGGCCGGGGTAATCTTACTGGTGGTCCGCACCGCCAAGGGTACCTTCCACCAAACAACCAAAGACACTTCTGATGGTATTATTTACGATAATATTTGTATAATAGACGAACTAATTGGACTGATAGTGGTGATTGTAGGAGATGATTGTGAGATTCGCCCGCTGCCACGTGTCCATCTGGTTAGGATCCCCGGTGGGACTCGCTGACAAAAAAGTTTGGTGGACGTAGAAGATTCCTGCCGTTACTATGCTGTGGAAACAATGGAGCGATATCATTAGATATATATGTATCTATATATATAATATAGCACAGAGATATAGTATAATATGGAGGACCTCGAAGCAAACACGTTGCTTCTCAAACTCTCAGAGTCGCCGCTGTTTTCCATGGCCCTCTGTGTTTCCAATCTTATCCAACACGCCAACAACATTGGGGTATTTGCCTACTTGTGCGAAAGAATCAAATCTTTCAAGTACGACGATGTGGAATTCTACGTTCCCCAACTCTGCCAGATCCTTGTGACGGTGGAGACGGAATCCATGGCCCTTGAGGATTTGCTCATCGATTTATCTTCACAATATCCCCATTTCACCCTCTTGACATTCTGGCAATTGCAGGCCCACCTTGCTGATCTTAGCGATGACCCGGAGTGTTACGGGTTCCAAGTGGCCAGAAGAGTGCTTAACTCCCTCCAGTACTTCTTGTTCAATTCGGGATCGCCATCGAAAAAGTTTAGGGAAAACACCCACCCAGCAGTGATTTTGTCCTCGGCAATTGCTGGGTCGTTTGGATTACCATCGATGGGTCAACATATTGCTCCGTTGGCAATCTCTCAAGGAAAGAAACAAAGATCGTTTGTGTTCCAATTGGCAAAGAATTATACCTCGCAATTGGCGAAAAACTTAACGGCAAAGAACACCAAGTTGAACTCGCGTAGGGACCCTACTGCCACTTCGGTATCGAACGATCCTTCAGGGAGTAAATACGATACCATTGCTTCCCCAGCCATTGGTGATAAAGGTTTCAAAAAAGAACATCCAAGAGAATATGAAGTAGAAGGCGCGGATAATATCAAATCGTTCGAGAAAATCATGAATAACACTGATATTTTGGCAAAGAAAAAATCCTTCAACAAATCGTCTAAATTGACGGCCAACGCCTTGAAACTATACCCCACCAGTAATGCCACCGTCAACAACATTGAAGATTTCGATCTTTCGGCATCTCGACTCAATTTCAACGCTAATCCAAACTCGGTTTCTTTACCGGATTTCAGAGATACCGTCAGCGAAGGCGGTGCGTCATTACGCTCCGAAGGTAACAGCATTCCTTCTTCACCATCCAGTTCCAACGGCCTTAATGGTGGTTCTCAAGTGCTGCTGGTCGGCAATAATAGAACCAGAGCCAACAGTTTGGGCCGTGGCCGTAGTGCCATCCGTACCCATCATCATCACCATCATCATCCTAGTAAACGAACCATATCCCCATCGCTTATGACCACCACCACGAGAATCAAATTGTTGAAAAACAATTACTTCAAATGTGAAACCCAATTTGCCATTGCATTACAACAGATTTCCATGAGATTGAGCCAGGTGCCAAAAGAGGCTCGATTGACCACTTTAAAGGCAGAATTATCATTGTTGAATCGTGATTTGCCTGCCGAAGTCGATATTCCAACGTTATTACCACCATCGAAAAAACTCAAACTCCATAAATTAGTGAGAATAACCCCCAATGAAGCAGCGGTGCTTAATTCCGCAGAAAAAGTTCCATTTTTGTTACTTATCGAGTACTTATCTGATGAAGTGGATTTCGACCCAGCAAGCGATAATAACATGAAACTTCTTCGGGAACGGGCGGATAAAAAATATATTTTTGATATGGGTACACAAACTGCTACGAGACTTGCCTCGGCCAAAGAAGATCAATATGGGCTTGCCTCTCCTAATTCCCCGATCCCTGATGCCCCATCGACTCCGCAAATGATGATTTACGATGAGCAAAATATGGATGAAGAGGATTTGGGGGATCTTTCCGTGGTGAAATTGTCCAATAAGAATTCCGAGACCGAGAACTTGAAACAAAAAATGTACATCAACAGCGTGTCGGTGATTCCAAATTTGGACGAGACTCCAATCGATGAAGAAAACCTGTCGAATACCAGAAGAGGCTCGAACTTGAACTTTAGTTCCAAATACTCCCATATGACCCCTAATTTGGACGGCGAGTCAGCCACCGATGATAAAGTGGAACCCGAAGATTTGGCCACCCATATGAGAATTGCTGCAGTGATGTTGACCCAATTAGACAATCCAACCAACACCCTCCCATCGGATCAAAGCGGGGCTATCAAGGCGCGGATCATTGAATCAATGCAATCGCTTCAAGATAATTTTGGATATAACGATATTCAAATGGTTAAGGGGCAGGCAGGTGATAGAAAACTTGAAAACGATTTGAAGCTTGGAGGATTCCAAAACAACAATGAGACCACTTATCTTGGAGAAGATTGGGAAACCAAACGTGATAGAATTAGAAAGGAGAGTCCATTTGGCCATCATGATAATTGGGAATTATGTTCGGTCATCAGTAAAACCGGGGATGATCTTCGACAAGAAGCGTTTGCTTGTCAAATTATTCAAGCAATGTCACAAATTTGGAAACAAGAGAATATTGGGGTCTGGGTTAAGAAAATGCGGATTCTTATTACCAGTGCGAATACAGGGCTTGTGGAAACCATTACCAACGCCCTTTCGGTGCATTCTATTAAAAAAGCCCTTACGAAAATCACCATTGAAGAAGGCACCAACCCTAAGGGGACCATCGAATCTTTATCTTTACATTTCAAGAAGGTGTTTGGCGATGAAGATTCCATAAAGTACAAGAACGCCCAGAATAACTTTGCTGCATCGCTTGCGTCTTATTCTTTAATTTGTTATTTGCTACAGATTAAAGATCGCCATAATGGTAACATCATGCTCGATAACGAGGGGCATATCATTCATATCGACTTTGGGTTCCTTTTATCGAACTCCCCTGGGTCGGTAGGGTTTGAAGCGGCGCCATTCAAATTGACCCTTGAATACATTGAGATTTTAGGAGGAGTTGATGGCGAGTGTTATCATAAATTCAAGACACTTCTCAAACAAGCGTTTATTGCCGTGAGAAAACATGCGGAACATATCATCCAGATGGTAGAGCTTATGCAGCGTGAATCGACATTGCCATGCTTCAAAGCCGGGGATCAGACAGCAAACCAGCTTAGGCAGAGATTCCAATTGCATTTGACTGATGGAGAGTGTGAGGAATTTGTTGAGAATTTCTTGATCCAGAAGAGTAATGGTAGTTTGTACACCAGATTATACGATCAATTCCAATTGTTGACCCAGGGGATCTACAGTTGATTGTATCTTTTTTTATTGCCAATATATATATCGATTTATAAAGTATGTTTTAATAACATGATAATAATAATGATAATAATAATAATAATAATAATAATATTAATAAAATGATGATGTAAAATAATATAGGATAATGATGATAACATGATAGCCGGCTGGGTAACCGGCAGCCGATCATGCCAAATCATCAAATGAAAATTCCACACAAAACAATAATAGCCAGTTTATATTCCATCAACCATCTACAACAAAATAATATAATATGGGAATTCATATACGGACATTCCATTTCGATAACGACTATCCCATTTATGGGGCACGGTTCGTTGACGAAACCACGTTGCTCATCACCGGTGGTTATGGGGAAACTAACCAAGACATTGGCAATAAGATGACGGCTTTAAAAGTCAATTTCCGTCGTAAACACAAGAAACTCAAGAAATTCAGAGAATTGACTCTCCCTTTTGTCTTCAATTACCCAACATGTCTCGATACCAATGGAGAATTGATCATGGTCGGGTTCAATGAAGAAGTGTTCAACGAGGACGAGTATTCGACATTTCCAGAGTTCTCAAACCTTCGGAAATATAATTGGGTCGATGAGCACTTGGTATTCGAAAGACCGGTGGAATTGTTGGAGGCTAATGAAAGAATGACCTCGCTTGTATCGATGGTGTACGTATCAGACGACGGGACCGTAGGGGCAGTGGCCTCGAGTAATATGAAGCACCCAAAACTTGTGGTATTCGATCCCATCAAATTGACCAGGAAGTTTATCATGGATTGTGCTAACAATGAATTGGTGGGAGATATGCATATTAGTCCTGATGGGAAATTGTTGTGTTATATCACCGATAGTACGTTCGAGGCGGTATCGACCATAACCGGAAGATCGCTTTTGAAAACCGATGAATTCATTAAAAAAAATAACATTTCGTGTCTTAATAAACTCAGATTCATCTCCAATAATGAAGTGTTGATCGCGGGGTCATTGAAGAAGAATAAAGGGGTGGCTTTCATCTTGTATTCGGTGGCCAAATTGAAAGTCATCAAAGTCCAACATATTTCCTCCAAAATCAAGGCGATCACCTCGTTAGATTATTGTCCTGTCATCAGTCCGCTCACCAAGGCGTTTGATCCAGATAACTCGCTCATTGGGTTCTCGGGAAATGACAATTCCATCACAATCTTGCGGTACAAGAATTTCAAAAAAGTGGCGTTTTACGAAAACCCGCAAAGTTTCATCACCAGGGTGACATTCTCGCCAACCGGGGAATATTTGGCATCAGTGTCATCGCAGAATAGTGTATTCATCATAAAGATCCCATTAGAAGAATTGGTGACTTCAGGTGGCGGCAATTTCTTCACCTCGCTTTTGTACTCGGTGTTTTGTCTTGTCTTTGTTGGGGTCATTGCCCTTGTCATTCAACACGTCATCAATAAACGGGTTTTTGACCATTTAATCGAACAAATCAAGAAAAACCGAACTGATTCATCATCTTATTTCACAATAAACGAGGTAGCTGAGGATGAGATTATCAGTACCACCGCCCAAGATACCCCAAAAACAGTGAGCTCTCCAAGATCGATCATCCAAGAAATTGTTTACGATGATATTATGAGTAGTTCTATGGTGCAATTAAACAGCGCTGCCGCCACCATCGTGAAGCACGACTCTTCCAATAGTGCTTCAGTGGTCCAAATTACTGAGTATTCCGATGATATGGTTAACATTAAGCCCGTTACGGTTATTGGTGATAATATTCCTTCTGTGAGCACTGTTGCTGGCAATACTCCACAGCCATCAAATATAATTGCACCAGTAAGTTCAATTGGGGAATTATTATCAATCCAAACTGCTCCTGCTGATCCAATGGCTGAGTCTAGTAACACTCCTAGCCCTAATGAACCATCATTGGAAATTATGTCAACTTCTAGGGCCATTATTGAAACCCCAATAAGTTTAGTTGTTGAAACTCACCAGGTGGAAGTGCAAAAATCAAGTATTGAATCAGCAGTGGTGGATACCGCAGAGATTATTTCAACATCTAGTGCAGTAGTTGCCACATCAGTGGAATTGCAACACACCGCCATTGCCACTCCAGTCTCAATGGAATTCCAAAAACCAATTGTTTCAGATAGCTCTGATAATGTTAATGAACCGCAGGTAGTTTCTGGTGCCGAGAATATCTCCAAAGTACAACAGGTAGCTGAACCATCATCTTTAGAGCAAGTCAGCGAGGTCAAGTACTCTATGGAAACTCCTATCTTACAGCAAGTTCCTTCCGTTACTATTGAAACTTCATCAACTATTGAAACTTCATCTGTTATTGAAGCCTCGTCTAGTGTCGAAGCTTCATCTGCTATTAAAACTTCCTCTGTTGTCGAAACTTCATCTAGTGTTTCTGAAACCACTGTATCAACAATCCCTCCTACTGTCAATGACATAAAAACTGCCGCTCCTGCTGAGCCAGAATTAGCAGGTATCGACACTCCTTTCGATATAAATGATAAGGCTCAAGAATATGTTCCATTGGAATTCCGTGATGAAATTCAATACGGGGCAGTGGTTGATCCAAAGCAAATCGCCTCCACCGCAATTCCTGAACCTATAGTTTCAGCAGTAAGTGAAATTGCAGCTGAATCAGTTGTGTTGATAGAGACCTCACTGACCACGGTACCACCAAAACAAAGCGAATCCCAACCGATTGTACTCAGTTCAGAAACTGTCTCATCCTCAAAGGAAACATCGTCTAGTGCGTCAGCTCCAGTTATTATCACTCCAAGTGCGGTTAAAAAGGTGGTAGATAATGTTAGTGAAATAGTATCTTCAAGTGTTGACAGTGCTATTGTTTCATCACTGGATATCCCAGTGGCGGCAAGTTCCACAGCAATTGAAGAATCTGTGGTGAATGCTCCTCCTATTCAACAACCTGTACAAGTACCAATTATTCAAGAAGCAGTCGTTCAACCACCAGTTGTCGAGGCATCTATCGTTAAAGCACCGGTTGAAATACCAGCTGTTCAACCACCAGTTGTCGAGGCACCTATTGTTAAAGCACCGGTTGAAATGCCAGCTGTTCAACCACCAGTTGTCGAGGCACCTATCGTTAAAGCACCGGTTGAAATGCCAGCTGTTCAACCACCAGTTGTCGAGGCACCTATCGTTAAAGCGCCGGTTGAAATGCCAGCTGTTCAACCACCAGTTGTCGAGGCACCTATCGTTAAAGCACCGGTTGAAATGCCAGCTGTTCAACCACCAGTTGTCGAGGCACCTATCGTTAAAGCACCGGTTGAAATGCCAGCTGTTCAACCACCAGTTGTCGAGGCACCTATCGTTAAAGCGCCAGTTGAAATACCAGTTGCTGAAACTCCAGTTGTCCAAGCATCAGTTGTGGAGACACCTGTCGTCGAAACACCTATTGTCGAGGCAAAAATTGAGACCCCGACTGTCAAAGCCCCTGTGCTAAAACCGTTTGTTGAGACTTCGATAGAAACTTCTGTGGTTAAAACCCCAATTTCAATGAGCCAAGGTATTGAAACCACTATTAAATCATTGCAAACTCCACTTGCTGCTCCACAAGTTGTTGATAGTGTTATTGAATTGGCTCAACAGCCAAGTTCTAGTGCTGAATCTGTTGAAGCTGCCATTCAACAACCAAGTTCCAGTGCTGAATTTGTTGAAGCTACCATTGAACAACCAAGCTCAAGTTCCAAAGTGATCGAAACCACTGTTGAATCAATTCAAAAGCCAGCTTCTACCTCTCAATTGGTTGAAACCGTTGTTGAATCAGAGGTTACTTCTGCTTCCCCACCTGTTGAGACCATTGTTGAATCAGAGATCACTTCTCAAACCGCTGAAGCCATCATTGAATCAGTTCAGGTTTCTAGTGCTGTGGAATCAAGTTCTTATGTTGGACATACTCCGCTGGTTGAACCAGTTGCTTCTACTTCAAGTGCCGAATCTTCTTACATTGTTTCTACAATCCCTAGTGCTGTGTCAAAAGATCTTGAAGCCGGTGAAGAGACTATCTTAGAATCGACGATTGTTCAACAAGATCCTTTGAGTGCTGATGTGCCGACTATGGCTGCTACTTCTTCTATTGAACCTTCTTCCGTTGAACCTTCTTCCGTTGAACCTTCTTCACCAGTGATCGACTCTACCACCGCAGAATTATTGGTAAATAACGCCCCAGTTGTATCACAAGTTGCCATTTTGTCTTCGTCGGTTCCAAACATCAAAACTGTTCCGGCTCCAATGGCCATTAATGATGAAGAATTAAAATTCCAAGAGGAACCAAAAATTGAAGTTGAAACCACTAACGTCCAAGCATTCTCGTCTTCTATCATTAGCACAATTGAGACCGCTGTCCCATTGGAACCAACCAATCATGATGAATTATAAGAATATTTAAAAAAAGACAAAGAAAAATATTAATGCATATCTACGATATTTTATGATGATAAACGTAGGAGCACTCATATTAATCACCATTCATAGTTATACATGCATTACCATTGTCATTTTAATTAGTCTATATGAATTAAAAAAAAAAAGAAAAAAAAAAAAGGCAATATGGGGGAATATCTCTTTTTGTCTCTTTTTTATTATTATTACGTCTTTCGTCAACCTAGGCCAAAGGTTCAATAATTTTATGAATATGTCTTAAAAGATTGTTCTGTTCATTGAGAAAGGATTTTAATTGTGAAACTCCGTATTACTCAATTGAATATGATAGTATTCAATCACTACACAGGATGAGATGACCAATAACATATAGATAAAGCATCCTATAACATTTGCCATCGGTAATATTCTTTTACATCTACATTCTATCATATCTCCTACATTATATCGTATCTCTTACATTGACAAATATCTTAATTCTTAAATATTTTTGATAGTAAGTAAGAACCATTGACTCTTGGACAGATATATGAACACCCCAAAGAGAATGCAGACGAATTTAGGTTCTTCATAGTGCAGCGCAACTTTTAATAATTATGCGATTGCAACAACCATCTTCTGGTTACTACCAAATTAATATTGTTATTTTTTTTTTTTTTTTTTTTTGCTCCTCGTTTCATAGTTCACAAAATAGTAGCTCAATATTGATATTAAATTAATAGTATTAATTACTTGTGATACTCAAAGAAGGGTGTATTGGTCATGTCTTTCCAACTGTCGCATTGCCGGTTTGAGATTTCTGCCAAACAAATTGACAATCAAGGTACTTAAATATCTAAGTCTTTGGTTGTGTTCCTTTCTAATTCAAAAACTCCCATCGAGCCACAGAACCTATGAATGTGCTTTGTTTGTGTTGCTTGAATTGGTGGAAATTTATTGTTAAGGTGGAAATGAGAATCCTCGATGTCATTATTGTTTCCAGTGTCTGATTCCCCAAAAATCAAAGAAATACGTAATTTGGCTAAATTTGGAGTGGTTACGGTTGAAAAGTCATCACATTAAAAAAAAATCGAAGATCTCAAATATTTGAAGCTTGATGAAAATTATTTCCAAAATATTGAGAATTTACATGATTTAAAAAACCTTGAGTATATTATTTAGCTCTGTATTGTGACAATTCATTTACTCATCAAGTTAAGGTGTAGATTTTTAGGCTACCAAAATTAAACTACTTGACATCTTGTTCTTGTTTGTTGGAGGTTAACATTATTATAAATTTTCTGAAAATATCATTTCCACCATGAAAATACCATATCTGATGTTAGTTTTCTACGCAAATGTACCGAGATCAAAGAGCTTGTTCTATCAAAGAATCTGGCAAGAAAAATTCACGGAATTGAGAATCTTAAATATTTGGAAGCTCTTGATATTCGCAACGGCATCTCTGGAATTGGAGGACGAGGTATTGAGGCTGTCAGTGATTAAGTACTGGTATCTTTCAGGGTGCCCACTTTCCCGATTGCCGAAATTCAATACTCAAAAATTAATAAAGTTAATTTTACTGAACAATCCAATTCCAGGAAAAGAGGTAGCTAAATTGAATGAAGTGAAAAGTTTAAAATACTTGGTATTTAAACACATTGGCGTTGCACAAAAGAGGTACATTCCTGATCACATAATCTATTCTGCAAATTAAATTTCTGATGGGAAATCAAGGGAATCGAAATGTGGCAGTGATTATAATTATTATATATTGAGGACAGTCAATGTGGTTCGATAATCATCAAGGTCTAACTCCTAAATTCTACCAAGTTCCCAGGCTTTAATGATGATCAACTTAACCTGATGTCACTTCCGAAGTTAGGAAAAGAATTGGATTACTTTTTGGTTGACAGAAACTTACTTGGCTAAACCCAAGAACCAAGAACTTCAAAAATGAACCACATCCATAACAAAAAGTTGATAACCTAAAACGATTTCAAATAAATAAATGACTTACAATAAGAATACTTTTATATATAAATATAAAATTAACATTAAATTAACTTTATACCATACTTAATAATTCGTATAGAGGAAAAAACAAAGATTACACAAAAACAAGCAGATAAAATATCAAACAAATCTCAAACAAAATGCTAAAGACTTCAATTTAAAATTTCAAATTGCTTATTTCTTAGCAGCCTTGGTAGCGGCCTTGGTAACCTTACCACTGGAAGCGGCACCCTTGACAATAGACTTGATGACACCAACAGCGACGGTTTGTCTCATATCTCTGACAGCGAATCTACCCAATGGTGGGTAGTTAGTGAAAGCTTCAACGGACAATGGCTTAGATGGGATGAACTTGACAATAGCAGCATCACCGGACTTGATGAATTTTGGAGATTCTTCCAACTTCTTACCAGAACGTCTGTCAATCTTTTCCAACAATTCGTCGAATCTACAGGCGATGTGAGCAGTGTGACAATCCAAGACTGGAGAGTAACCAGCAGAGATTTGACCTGGGTGGTTCAAGACGATAACTTGAGCGTTGAAAGATTCAACACCAGATGGTGGGTCGTTCTTGCTGTCACCACAGACGTTACCTCTTCTAATTTCCTTGACGGAAACAGACTTGACGTTGAAACCAACATTGTCACCTGGGACACCTTGTTCCAAGGTTTCGTGATGCATTTCGACGGACTTGACTTCAGTAGTAACGTTAGATGGAGCGAAGGTAACGATCATACCAGCCTTGATGATACCGGTTTCAACTCTACCGACTGGCACAGTACCGATACCACCGATCTTGTAGACATCTTGCAATGGCAATCTCAATGGCTTGTCAGTTGGTCTCGATGGTGGTTCAATGGAGTCAATAGCTTCCAACAAGGTCTTACCAGAGTACTTACCGGACTTGGTTTCCTTTTCCCATCCCTTGTACCATGGACAGTTGGTGGAGGCTTCAATCATGTTGTCACCGTTCCAACCAGAAATTGGGACGAATGGAACAGTCTTTGGGTTGTAACCGACCTTCTTGATGAAGTTAGAAACTTCCTTCTTGATTTCTTCGAATCTCTTTTGGTCCCACTTGACGGAATCCATCTTGTTGACAGCAACAATCAATTGCTTGACACCCAAGGTGAAGGCCAACAAAGCGTGTTCTCTGGTTTGACCATCCTTAGAGATACCAGCTTCGAATTCACCAGTACCACCAGCAATAATCAAGATAGCACAATCGGCTTGGGAAGTACCAGTAATCATGTTCTTGATGAAATCTCTGTGACCTGGAGCATCAATAACGGTAACATTGTACTTTGGAGTTTCGAATTTCCACAAAGCAATGTCAATGGTGATACCTCTTTCTCTTTCGGCCTTCAATTTGTCCAAAACCCAGGCGTACTTGAAAGAACCCTTACCCAATTCAGCGGCTTCCTTTTCAAACTTTTCGATGGTTCTCTTGTCAATACCACCACACTTGTAAATCAAGTGACCGGTGGTAGTAGATTTACCGGAATCGACGTGACCAATGACGACGACGTTAACGTGTTGCTTTTCTTTACCCTTTATAAAGTTGTTAGTATATCGTAATTTTTTTTTCGATGGTGAAAATTTTTCAAGGTTGCTCAGATTCCCAAATGCAAGGATTGCCACCCAAGGGATCTTGAAGAAACAACCATGATAACATCTATGTGTGAGACATAGGGTGTGAACGGAAGACATACCATGGCGAATGATAATTATTAAATAACTCAGAGGGAAATGCTCGTTGATTTCTGGTGTGAGTAGACAAAGAAAGGAGAAAGAAGAAAAAAAAAAGAATCTAACAAAATTTGGAAACGGGGGCCACCGCACAGGTTTATATAATTCCGCTGGTGAAAATTCTTACCTGCAGCGGTGCGGTTAGGCGAAAGTTTTTTTTTTTTTTCTTTCTGGAACAAAAAAAGTTTTTGGTTTTTTTTTTGCGGGCATCTGCGCCCTAGCATCTCCCCCCGCCATTTGAGGGAAACACCGTCACATGGGCGTGATATACAGTCTGGTTCATCGCACCCCCTGGTAACGGTCTTGCACGATGATATGGCCCAAAATTCGCAAGTATATGAGTATTTTTTGGTATCAGTTGTGATGAGAAATGTCCTATAACCTGAAGTATGTAAGTTGGAATAGATTCCCCGAGGTTTACAGGTGATATTTTGTATGATTATTTGGGGGGGTGGGGAGGGGGACAGTGTCGAAGTGAGTGTGGGTTAGGTTTTGTCCAGGGCGGAGTTTCCCAGAGCTTGTGACACGTGGGTTGCCGGATGGCAACAGCGATGATCACGTAATCCATTAGCAAACGGTGGGGCCATAGAAGCATTTTTTGGGTCATCGCTGGGCGACGCGCGCGGCTGCTTTCTGGTAACCGTCGGTGACAAAGAGCCGCCGCCAAATGCTGTTACAATTTCCTGCTGGTGGTGGAGACATTGGGTAGAGTGATGTGTATATCGGAAACATTGCCAATTAACTCAAAGAGGTTATTTAATGACACCGTAGAAACGATCAACAACATCGACATCATACATAACAGTGTAAGCATTGCTGTTAAACCTTGATGATCACTAATTGACATAAAACTGGGAGTCCCAAGTCAAAAATTGTGTCACTGTAGAGTCACCCAAGTTTATCCAAGTGTTTTTTTGTTTCTAGAAACCCCTTGATGACGCTACCTTGGATGCATAATAATAGTTTGAAAGAGCCATCATGGATGTTACAATTGTCATTAGATCCACTGAAGCGCATGGACCCGATGTCGTAGATTGCTATGATTATGAATATTGATGATTAATCACAATCTCAATTAGTCAATATTGGTGATTGCTGTTCTTTTCAGTTGTAGCTCACGTAATCAATTGCTCTTAGTTCATTTATATGAGGTGATCTCACTTTCTAATTTGGTCAAGTTAGTGACGGTTTTATATATGTGTGAAACTTATCATCTGACATGTTGGATAGTGAATAAACGATATCAGGGACTTGTAAGAGGTGTTTTATTATTATCATAATCGCAATGAAGATGTTACGATCTCGATAAGGAAATATTAAAACACTAGATAACCACAAGAAAGATAATTATTCACCAACGATGTTTATGAAAATCACCTCACTGTTATTGGGATTCCTCATTGACAAAACTTCTAACAGCTCATGCCTAAATTGTCCTTTCCTTCAAGAAAGATCTACATGTTGATAGATTCAACTATATAAACTATATATAATACGCTTCATAAACCAGTTTTCTCAAGTCTATTTCACAAACCATTTATACAATATTTGTTTGCTGTTGTTAAATCGTAAGCAACGCGTTACCAAGTATTTTTTTTTTTTTTTTGACGCGTCTTTAAAATTACTCTTTAGTAAGTAGAACACAAAATATTACCAACCATTTTGAGTAGATCATGCTACATTTTTAATAAAATATTGGCCCACAACATTAAGAACGGTGTTCAACATTGTAGTATATATTTCTTTCAGTAAATTGGACACAAATACCTAGATTATCACTTCCAAGTGAAAAGTCTTGAGAAAGCTACGCGTAAGCCCAGGATATTCGAAACACACATTACTTAGAAGTTCATGACACTAATTATCAATGTGAAAAGTGTGAAGTGTTGATTCCGGCAGTTATTATATAATTATCTAGAAATGAAAATGGTAGGAAAATCTTGTTAACCAACAATAGCACGTAAAATAGTGTTACATGTAAGACAAGCAACGCATTACGTGGGAAGTCTCCATAGAAAATGAGAGAATCGCGTTTAATATGAAGCGAAACGTCAAAAATAACAAAAACAAAAACGTTTAAATGATGAGAAATAGCTATATATTATATTACAGAGGATATTATTTAGAAGAACTAAATGTTAAAACAATACAAATAGTATCAACATGTTGTACAAGTCATACGAGTCAGTATCTTGAAAAAAGTGATTACTGAAAGGTTAGAAAAACCACCATCTCATCATCAATGAATTTTAAATACTAGAAAAATACTAAATATCTATTGATGGTATTTCCAGTTTTGAAAATCATTGATGACTAAAGAAGAGGATGTTAAATAAAAAAAAGACCAAGTAGGTCATTGCTTATGGTTGGTTGCAGCATTGAACAATAAGTGTCCAATAATAAAGATAATAAATAATAACAAAGGGAAGTAAAGATTATAATAATGATTTTCTTATGATTTATTGGGAGCCAGAGAAGCAAACAATTGATAATATTATATAATACGATATAGTATATTGTAGAGAAATAAGATCACACATACCGTACATTACATAATACACACCATACTAATTCGCCAACGATGATATAATCCATTACATAACACACACACCGACCACGCGGATGAAAAACATGTGAAAAGAGATTACCGAGGGGTGACCGAGCGCCCGGAACACTCTCGGCTACTCCCCGGAGCGCTCATTTGATTTCATTTCTTTATTGTAAATTACCATTTGTCCCAAGATTTATGATGATAATAAATATAATAGAATGTATAATTTATTGAATATATCCTTTCACCTATTACATCACTCCAAGAAGCTCATAATCCCCCCGATAGCCTTGTCATCACTCCCAGCCCTCGGAAGATCGTGTGCTTATCATTTTCTGTACCCAACAGTTGGGAATTTGCAAAAATTCTGGGGGGGGGGGGGCAACGAAATGGACTTTAAAAAGACACACTACTCATTCAGTAGCAGACAAAAAGTAATATATATATACACAATATAACAATATCGCTCACATAATTATACAGCAATATAAATGGTGTCCCGCATCACCGATAGACCAATTATTATCCGTCGCTCGTCAAGACTGAGCTCGCGGTCTCGATCATCGTCGAGAACCAGATCAAAATCCCAATATCGCGGCTCAGACTCAGAAACTGATATCTTCCCACCTACCAGTGTACCTGGCGCTTCAGCCACTCATCATCCAAAGATCCTCACTATCGATTATCTCTTTGACAATACCCTTCCAACTTACTTTATGTTGCAAGAGATCTTGTCATTAACCGAAAAACTCAAGATCTCCAAATGGAAGCATTTGATCAAGACTTATGGCAAAGAGGTTGCCGTTGCCAATACCAAGCTAAAAAGAATTAGTGGGGCATTGACAAACGCCATTTACAAAGTGGAATTCGATCTCAAGGAATTAGATAACCAAAATAGCAACCCTGCCCCATTGCTTCTAAGAGTATATGGTCCTAACGTGTCTAGCGTGATCGATCGAGAGTACGAACTCTCGATCTTGACCAGACTTTCCCATCATAATATCGGAGCAAAACTTCTTGGATGTTTTAGTAATGGCCGGTTCGAACAATGGTTGAACCATACCGCCCCGTTGACGAGAGATTTGATGCGCGATGACCGGGTTTCCCACACAATTGCTAGAAGAATGAGAGAGTTGCATGAAGGGATCCCTTTAACCAACGATGAAATCAATAATGGGTCAATAGTTTGGCTGAACATTGAAAAATGGATGGGTTACGTAAAGGATTTTGTGGCATTACAACGGGAGAAGAAAAAACTCGATGAGGAGACATTATTCGATGAGTATCAAGTGTTTGGGACGTCATTCGAAGAGTTTGCAGAAACTGTCAATGTTTACAAACAATGGTTGTTTGCTAAATACGGCGGAGAAGAAGGATTGAAAAGTAGATTGGTATTTTGTCACAACGATACCCAGTATGGTAATTTATTGTTGACTTATCCTACCACCTTGTCGGAAAAACGACCAAGTTCATCAAAAAATGAATCCAAAGAAGATCATATTGATATGTGCAATCCAAATTCTCATAAAGCATCATTAACCGATTCTTTGATCTTCAAGTCCCTTCGAGCCATTCCGACCCCAGAAGATCGGAAACTTATTGTCATTGATTTTGAGTATTCTGGCCCCAACGTTGCTGCCTACGATATCGCCGATCATCTTTGTGAATGGATGGCCGATTATCATGATCCTGATAGACCACATTACTTGGACCAGAAATCGTATCCAACTGTCGAAGAACAACTCGCGTTTGTGGGGAGTTATGTCGGAGCTGCCCCATTAGGGAAAATCCCACTAGGAGTCCTAGAAAAAGATCATTATTCCGATGCCAATAAAAATAATAATAATGGCGATGGTGATGATGATCTTGCCTTGGTTACAAAGAGGTTGTATAATGAGATTGTTTACTGGAGACCAGCAGCACATATCAGTTGGTGTCTTTGGGGGATTGTTCAAAGTCCGTCATTTTGCCTTCAACCGGAAAATGACCCTGTCACTTCGTCAAATTTGCCAGATGATGGAACTTACAAGGTGGTTTCAGATCTAAAAGACTTACAAATCAACAACAACAATAATAATAGTGAGGAAATGGAAGAGGAAGTTGGAGGGGATACCGATACGTTTGACTATTTCAGGTATTCTAACAACAAGGCAGGGCTAGTATGGAACGATTTGTTCGAACTAGGGGTTGTGGACCGTGAGAAGTTTGATATTAAGGGAGAAGAAGGGGTCAAGTTTTATGGGGCAGGGTTGTTTGAGGTGTGATTATTTTGGAGTTATATTTTGATATATATATATATATATATATTAATGCTCATTTTGTGAATCGGTAGCTGTTTATTGTAGGAGTAAGTGTAGATCATAATAATATTTAATATAATATACATAATGATATTTGATATTGTAATTTATAATAATTTATGTGGATAATAACAGGATAATTGGCATCTATGCTGTACTATCCTCCGGGTAACCGGCTTACTCCAGGTTTTTTTTTGACATTTTTCCTTTTAGCCATCAGGAGCCAAACATCAACCCAACCACCAAAAAACAGTCAATCACCACGTTTTTGCAAGAATATTATCGCCCTCTTGCTATCAAGACAGCTGAAGATCAATACTACTGCTCATATTTCTGGATATTTTGGCAGATACAGAACAAAATTACTAAAAAAAACCACAAAAACGGACTGATTGATGGTCGCCACTGAACCTTCATCTTCCGTCCCGCTTCTTGATCCCACCATCAGCAGCAATGTCAGCACCACCGCCACCGCCACCACCAATAGCTATAACAGCAGTAGCAGCAAATATGATGATGAAGAAGATGTTGATGGGAATCACACTGCCTCTTCTCCAATGACATCAAATGCCTCCATCGCCGACAACTCCACTGACCTGTCATCTAACCTGTCATTGACAGCAGCCGTGCCATCACCATTGCTGAAGAGTTCCAAACCTCGCAAGAAACCAACAAAATCCTCAACAGACGCTCCTCGACCCCACAAGTGTCCGTATTGCTCGAAAGCGTTCCACAGGTTAGAGCATCAGACCCGTCATATTCGAACACATACTGGAGAAAAACCCCACGGGTGCGATTACCCAGGGTGCTTCAAGAGGTTTAGCAGAAGCGATGAGTTGACCAGGCATTTGAAGATCCATACCAATCCTAATTCCCGAAGACTGAAGAAGTTGCAGAAGGAAGCAGCGGCAGCAGCGGCAAAGAAGAAGAAGAGGACTACTGATAATGTTAAGGATGAAGGTGATAATAATAATAATAATAATAATAATAATAATAGTACATTGACAGGGCCCCAAAATATACTGGAACCAGAAATCAAGGATAATAGCACTAAAGAGAGCACACCACAGAATAATATCCCTATAAAACAAGAAACTCCGGCCAAATTGAAAAGTTTGGATCAATTTAATTTACTTGCCAATGCCGCAGCGTTGCAACTTGAAAAGGAAAAAAGATCTCAGCAACCGCTATTCTTCGATTCAAATTCCCAGTTAGATTTACAAAATGTCACATCTCTGTCATCATTGAATCTATATTATGATGCTAGTACCACTTCCTCAAATAATAATAATAATCCAAGAATGTACAATACTCTGTTGGCGAAAACCTTTTCCAATAACGACGATGATGACGAAGGAATTCTTATTATTCCAAGAACATCATACCACCCTCCAAGTCAATCAAACAGAAATAACAATATCAATTCCCCAATAGTGAGTTCTGCAGGTATCAAAAAACCACAAATATTAAGAAACAAGAGTAGTTCGGCTTTGGCGAATTTCCATTCCAACAAATCTTTGGTTGGGCTTGCGTCTTTACAAAGACCAACGTCCCCTTCAAAATTTGCAAATTCTCCAAGTAATAGTGCCTACCATACCCGATGCTCATCTCCTACCCTACCCACAACAACTCCAAATAATATTAACAATAGCAACCCAATCTCTTCGTACTCTGCTAAATCTCCGAATCTTTCGTCATTCTCGACATTCCCTTCAAAATCAATCCCCACTTCTCCTGTGCTTGACTCAATGCTAGTCGCCCCTCCATCATCAAATACTACTAATAATAATTCTCCAGTGCACCATACGTTTTCTGAAAATTCTCTTGCTAGGAAACACAACCATAATTTATCAAACCATTCATCTTCACTTAATCTTCTCTCTTCGGTAGTATCAGATCCGATTCATTCCTCCACAACAAGCATCAATGGATTATTATCCCATTCTAGTGGGGTGGGGATTTCCCAATTAGACAATACCGCAGAGACTGCCTCACCCGGTCTATTAACAAGAAACTCTTCTCATCAAGGATTAGCCACATTATTGCCCAGAACTTCTAGTGGGATATTCTTTAGTGGAACTGGTAATGCCAACCAACTCTCGAATCTTAGTTCTGTCAATGATCCAGATACCGGTCTTCCATTGTTGAGTTCCAAGTCATACTCAAACTTACCGTTTGGAAACAACCATTCGGATAGCAGCAGTTCCATAAATGGTTTATTGGCCTTGAGGCACGGTCATGGGCTACAAAAAAACCAGCTCCCAGCCGAACTTCTGTCCTCATCATCGTCATCATCTCCTTCGTCATCACCAATTCTCCAAAAACAGAACCCCATCACCGCAAAAACAAGTACTTTAGGAAATAAGTTTGTCAACACCCCAACCTTGAGGAGAAATTACAGCTACGAAAAACCGACGTTTTTCATTACTTCTTCTTCCAAAGCGGAGAATGCTGCCACCAGCCATCAACTGTATCATAAACCAACCCCTTTGGGTGGTACTGTCATCAGTAATGAAACTTTACCCCTGTTGAAATCTTTGAATCTACCCTCGGTCGATGAATTGGAACACGGGGGGTTTAAAATGGTAACGGCGCTTACCGGAAACAACAGAGAATCAGAGGACAGTGATGGTGATATTAGGATGTCTTGAAAAAAAATAATGAGTAATGCGGAAATTGGGTTAGCTTTTTAGTGGTATGATCTATAAGATACATACGTATTCAGATATAAATCGTATTGTTAAATGTTGATGACCATAGTTAGTTTCTTTCATGGCAATTATCTTTATTGGTGACCATGTTTGTTTTCCTTATGGTATCACGAGCTGACTAGCCTGCTTATCCTGTGTTTTTCAGCCACAGAAATCCCATATATGTCGTACAGAAGTGCTGGGTTATCGAAAAAACAGTTTAATTCGTGATGAGGGGTCCTGGATATCAATACTGGACAATGAAACTGATGTTCGTGACGCCAATTGTGACGGAACCGCCAATCAATCTTGACGAAGGTCATTGCTCTTAAGGTCAATGATAATGAAGTCTTGGTTAATGGAGGCACCCTTGTCATTAGTATTAACGCAATAAAATCAATGCTAGTAACGAATATGCCGATAAAGTGAATGCTAATGAAGCCTATTATAATAAAAATTAATGCTGGTATATTCTAAACTAATAAAGTTAATGCTGACATAATCCGTTGGTAGTAAGATTAATGCTAAAATCACTTGGGGAATTTAATGCCAACGAAGCCATTGTCTCTAGAGGAAAATTGCTAATGAAACCAGATCTTAATAATGATCCTTATTATTATTGAACATGAACTTCGTGGATGCTTCAGAAGAACAATGATGCACCAACCAAAAAAAAAAAAAAATCTTATTGATCATCCTAATTATATTTTTTACATTTTGATAAGGTATTAAATATTCTAATATTATATTGTTAAGAAATTCCAGGGGGTTTCCTCATTCTGGTAGTTAATTACCTATAGATTTGAGAATTAGAAAATAAAAATGAGAATGTAACCTACAAGACAACTGGGCATGAAAGCGAATAAACGAAAGTATACTTGATGAATTACGAAAAAAACTTTATTATTAAAAAATAATAGATGAGTAAGTAGAGTGAAACTACAAAAAAAAACCATTCATATTACAATAAGTAATATATAGTTTTTGAAATATACCAGATAAAAGGAAAAGAGAAGAAGAAAAAGGAAAAGGAAAGGAACAGAACGAAAAATAAACATTAGACATGGTTCATTCTAGAAACACAACAACAACAACAACAATAATAAAGATAGTAATAAAGATGATAAAACAATAAAAATAAAAATAAAAAAAGATGATAACGAGAAAAAAGTCTAAGGATAATAAATTACTTTCAACAGTTCCAAATGTATCAAGAATAAAGCTGCAGAGTCTTTGCTACCCAATAATAAAGTGAGACAAGCAATAAGAACATCCAAGCAATAAGAAGACCAATATGACAAACAATTAGAAAACAAAGAAGAAACCCAATGAGATAGTTAAAAAGACAACCGATAAGAAAGTGAAAGACAACCAATGTCGAAAATTGAAAATACAACCAATACAACAAATATCTAGTTTCAAACTGAGAAAATAGTAGAAAAAGAAACCAAGGAGGATTATGACATCCAAAAGGTCTGAAGTATCTTGTGCCAAATTTCCAAAGCACGAATCCAAAGATCAAACCAAAAACCAGGAAGACACACAAATCCACAAACAATATTAGTATCCCACTGCAAAAAAAAGAAAAGAAAAACCACACACTAAGAATCCACTTGAAATATTTGAGAAAAAAAAATCGGAAATAAACACAATTCAATATTCACTATTCCTTCAAAATTCATTAATTGAAGAAGGGTCCAACGAGAGGTCAACTTTCTTTATCTGGGAAACACACCGGATATTCAAGCGACGTCTTGGACCCTTCCAAAGTCTTCTTCAGATCACTAGTAACAACCAAATTATCTGTATTTTCAAGTGTCACTCCTTGATTTTCATGGTTTGCTTCTTCTTCATCTTCTTCATCAATAAGGTACAAAGCTCCAACCAATGGCTCGAATTCAAGGTCGTAGTTTCTTTTGTAAGCTCTGGCACCATTTTCAATTTGTTTGACCAAGACATCATCAATGAACGAGCCAGAAAAACCACCTCTGTTCAATTCCTCAATTAAACTGTCAATTTCTCTGTCAACTTCGAGTGAAATATCATTATCATTGATACCTTCATCATTGGTAGTAACGAAAGGTGAGTTTCCAATCTCATTGGCATCAGTATAAACCGCTTTGAGTTCAACACTATTATCCATTTCCTTATGATGGTCACTGCTCATCGAAGAAGATCGGATAGAACTTGGGACCTCATACCGTAAACAATTATTCATAATTTCGCCAAATTTGAATCCAGGTTCAAACATAATCTGAGTTGGCAAAGTGGCATCATTATTGAAAAGCACAGTATCAAGGATATCAGAAATATCAGTTTCAATGTCAAATTGAGAATTGCTATTGTTTTTCAAAAGAGCTGCTTCAGGATGAGGCTTTAACGAGAGAAAAGTGCTCTCTGGGAGACCAAGAGCGCTAATATTACCATCAAGACCTTGTGATTTTGTGATCGCCTTGAGTCTTTCAAAAAGCTGCGATTGTTGCTCCAAAAGTTCAAGGACCTTATTTCTATCCTCAAGGTCCATTGCAAGTTCAGAAATTTTCAATTCCAAGTTATTCATTTCAAAAGTTTTTCCAGATTTGAGATCCTCAATGCTTTCTTGATACTTCAGGTATAATTGCAAAAGTAATTTCACGAAATTAAAAACCCTGTAAACCATCATTAGCAATAAGAGAGAACCACCGGCGATAAAACCAGTAACCAACAACAATTTGAGCCCAGAAACAAAATAATCTATCAAATAGCAAACAATATCCTTAAGTCCTCCGTAATTACCAATCCTGATTATTATTGGTTTGAAAAATAAACCGCCGTGCTCATCCAATTTCCCATTTCTAATAAATTTCAACGATCCGGTTAAACCACTCACAGAATGGGCATGATGGCGATCAAAATTGGCATTCAATGATGAGCCTCTTAGATCATACCAAATCTCTTGGGCTAATCTTGAATAAAAATCAAAATCAGCAACACAATATTTGTGGGCAAAAGTGGCGGATAATTGGGAAAGATCAATCGAATTTTCGGAGTTCACTTGGCAAATTTCTGCAGCGGTCGCCGCAACTGCACCGGAAGAACTTTCAACATCGACATCATCACCAGGATCCTCACAAATAAGATCAATATCAGTGCCAACGTAGAACAAATTGAATTCATAATTACACGTAACATCCTTGAAAAAATTCGAATCACCGAAACCAGCAAGGGAGCTTGAAAAACAAAGACACATATCAGATTCAAGATCAAAGGCACTAAGTGCAGTAAGTGAATCATCAGTAGTGAATTCAGGGACAAGTGGGAAAGTATTAGAGTTGAAAAAACCAGATTGCCCAGGAACTAATGGAGCAGGTCTTTGCAACATACGGGAGACGGCGGAAGTGAAAAATAAATTTTCGGTGGCTTTGGTAAATGGTAAAGTCTTGATTTCAGCTAGGAAGGAGGTTAGTTATGAAAACAGTGACAATCTTAACCACAAAAAAAAAAAATTGCGCAAAACCAGTAATTCCAGAATGAGAAGGAAATATAAAAAGGAGGTTTACTAACAATAAAATTGTGGTAAACTACTGTAAAATTGAAAGAACCCAAAAAAGGCGATGGCGAATGCTGTAAATAACAACATTGCGAAAAGTTCAAACAGCAAGATTTAAAATAATCAAATCAAAAGGTAAGAGTTTGAAACAAAACAAAGGGTCAAAAATATATGAGTAATGTAGAAAATGAAGAAAAATTGAAGCTTTGAAGGATATTCAATAGTAATCAGTCAAAATTGAGAGCTTGAAGTGAATGGTGGGAACCAATATGAGTAAAATGAAGTTTGAATAAATCACAATAATCAGTTAAATTCAAGATTTTTGAAGTAAATGGGAGAAAAAAATTATGGGAAAAGTAGAAAAAAAAAAGGATTCTGGTGGTTATTTATACTGTCCTGCATGACTGGGTTGTAAACAACCACAAAGTCGACTAAAGTGACACAAACACAGAACAATAATTGAAAGGTCACGAATGTGGTTATTGACCCTGATATTGGATACATCATCTCAAATTGATATCATTTATAGGCCTATAAGCTCGATATTGGATACATGCCCACGCCAAAATCAGTGCCACAAAATCACCAGACAATAGTTGCACAAAAAAACAACGAAAAAATGCCAAACCACATATATAACTGGCCCATATTTTGGTAAGGAATATCCAAATATCCATATGTGGATAAAGAATAATATACTAAAAATAAATTCCTTGGCGAAGAAGAGTTTGTCTATTCATATTCTAGAGTAGCAAAACATGTTGATGTAGAGATGTCTCGACTGGTGCACTGGTTTCATGCAATGGTTAAGATTTAGCATGGGGCTTTTGAACATGCGTTGTGAACACAAAAACCGAAAGAGAACTAATGACACATACAAAAGGAACCCTGAGTAATAATAAGGAGACTAGTATGCATACCAAATTCAATTCTATTATTATCAATTTTTGTCTCTTGTCTAATTGAACATTTGATTATAGAAATATTAGACCAAAATTTGTGGCACACTATCCTTTTTCTTTGTGGCATTCACATGCACTCAAGCTGGTATGTCCTTTTGGTTATATCTCTTATGAACTCTCTAAGAAAACCACATAAAATTCAATACTTTGTAATTATAATCTTTTTCAATCATTCGAAGAAAGGAAAAAAAATTGATCATGTACAAGCTTTCAGTTCACTGAATAACCATATTCCACATACATTAAGAGCCAATATAATATAATGACTCCACTACTAAGCACAGGAGATCACAAAATCGAGAATACCTCATTGGCTGTTGAAAACCCTGAAGAACAAATCAAATGCTTAGAAGTAGATACCAATTTGGATAATATGCCGATGGTAGAAGTGACTTGTCCCACTGGAGTTGATAAAGATGCTCTGAGTCCCGAATGTGGTTGTAATTTTAAAATTGATTCTAGTTCTAGTTCAGTTGATAATGATAAAGTTTTCTTTGCTTGCGATAAAGACACCAAAACTACTTGCGCAATAGTTGAACAGTCCCCTGAAATATTGGGCCCAGCTGACAGTGATAAGATCGAGCTGGGTTTGAATTTTGAGGATCAATACAGACTTCACACCGCAAGTGTCGAGTTGGAAACTAACATCGATGAACTGATACAGGAAAAATGCAAAGAGAATCTTAACGCTGTAACAAATGCAGCTATCAAAGATAAAGATATTGAAACTGATCATTCAAAGGATCCACTATTTCTTGGAATTAGTACCCCAGTCGATATCCAAATCAAGCCTGTGTTGAGTGGTGCATCTAGTGTCAATGACCAGACCAATTTTGACGATATGAGTTCTGACTTGAGAGTTGAAAATGCTGAGCCGATAGAGAGCGAAAGCAAAGTTACTGCCGAGCTTCTAACTAATGAATCTGCTACCAGCCATGAAGTTATTAAACCTGTTTATCCAATATCTGAGCCGTCTCCTGGATCTGTGTACTCAGATCATAGTAATGAGAAAGTAAATCCTAGCGCAAATATCAAAATCCAAACCATCATTCACTATGTAGTCGATGCTATCGAGGATGAGCAGCTAATAGATAACAGAAGCAAAGATAATATTAACACAATCACTAATTTTATTTCAACTCCTCACACAAGCTCAAGCAATGATATTTCTCAAAAGGGTGTCAATCCAGCTTATACAAAGAAAAATGGAGACAAATCGAAATCTCCCTTGAATGAGGAAAGCCTAGTCAGAAATTCTTCAAATTCATCTTGCTATTCCTCCATAGATTTGAATCATTACTTTTCTGATACGGACATTCTAACCACCACCATTTTACCTATAAATCAGACGAGCGATCCTTATTCAACCATAGGGAATTCTGAAATTGAAATTGGTAAAATGAGTAAAATTCAAAGAGTGTACGTTGATCCACATCAAAGAAAAGCGGGCCAATTTGGAGAGAAAGAAAAACTCAGAATAGCAGTGAAAAGAGCATTAGAAAGGGAGGCAAGAAGGAAGCAGATCGAGGAGATCAGAAAGAAGCAGATAGGGGAAATAAGGGTAAGAGAGGTCGAAGAAAATGCCAAGTGTGTAAATATCCAGCCCGATTTTTCCTTCCCAATGAATCCTTTTTCGAAGCTTGCAAAACGTAGAGAAGCAATTGGTAACAATTTATCAGGTATTACAAGAGACTTGATAATCGAGACTAGTTTTAAAGAAGCGGCTTTAGAGGCTATTCTGATAGTTGAAGGAAAGAAGTAATAATCAAGAGACCCATTAGTTAATCAGAGAAACCTGAAAAGCCAAATCACTCCTTAACCTGAAAGAAGGTGCCACCATTAGCACCAAGTGTGCATCTCACATGAGATCAATGGTTTTATTTCCGGTTTCACTTGAGACGGTGAAATGACAACAGAAAAGGAAAGTGATGAAGAGTTGACTTCTTAATCCTATATCTATGCTTATCTTGACTCGATCTGGCGTTAGATACGTGATAAGAAAATCAGATGTTATCACCGTACTTGGTCTCTAACTATCTGCTAGAACGCACATCATCAAACAAATGGCTCGTATTTAACAACTTGTTATTAGGCTGAATTAACAGTAATAAATTAAAGAAGGTAAATGTATTAAATGAATAATAACAAGGGGATTGGTTCTTCTCTTCTAATAACAATAAGAGAGACAAATAATAATAAACAACGAAATAATTTAACACGTTAAAATGTAAAGCAGGGTGACCATATTCGTAGCATGCATGATAGTACAACGCTGAGTCATCCTATACCATTTATATGGTATTTATTAGCAGCCCTTGTTATACCATTGAGATGGTATTTATTAAGTTACATCCAAACACCAATATGTCAATGGAATACCATTAGCACGGTATTTATTTGAACACATCCAAACACCAACTATTCCGCACAAATGGTATATGCATATTAGTAAATAAGTACCGTCATAATGGGATGCTTAGCTCACCTAATAACTATCCCCATAGTGTATTATGAAATGAGGGGAGGGAAGGGGGTCTATTGAAAATTGGTTTATGATAAGCCTTCGGTTGGAAAGTTCTAGAAATAATCTTCTTGCAGTAGTGTTACTGGTTGAAGACATATTATGGCATCGATTCTTATTGTAACTACATCTTTAGATTAGATTCGGTTGGGGGCATGATGATTATAGTTCTATATATTCCAAGCAGAGCGCCGTTGATCTTAGAATAAATCTTTTTGTACGGTAAGTACTGAGAAGTATTGATAAACCCTATGAAAGATCACACACCAGGAATAACTTTCCGTCAATCTTTCCAAGAATATGATGAAAATTATCGGCCGGTTATGCTTCAGTGGTCTTATTGGTACTTCAATTAACACTATTGCGAAAATATGCTGAGTTTGATTTGATTTTGGATTTGTGTTTGTTTTGTTTTGCAATCCTGATATGCTGTATAGACCGTTCTATTGGGCCATTCGCTTTTTTGTTTTATAAAACTTTGACATTTGTAATGGTATAGTGTGTGGAAGTAATAGCATCGGTAATCCAGTACCAGGAAGAATTGAAAAAATCGATAAAAATTTAATGATAGTTGAGAACTCCCATCGGTCATTAATAATACCAATTTGTATCATAATAAACAAAATACTTCAACTGCCGTAATTCCAAGCAATGCCAATTCCCCAACTCCCCAACTAATTCCACCAAAACCCATTGCTCCATTTACCGAGGAAGTTGCAGTATGGTTGAGTTTGTTATCATTTACTCCCAAATTGATTTGGGGACGGGCCTCGGAAACAGTTGTTGATTGTATGAGGAAGGTTTGAGGAGTTTCCGATAAGGATGATGTCAATAACGAGGACGAATTGAAGGAAGTATGGGCCATTATGTGTGATACCAAAGAATTGGTGGAGAGTACCAACGATGATGTTGCATTACTGGGTGTTTGAGAACTCATGGTATAATATTGACTTGGTGGTTCCTTTTCTGGGAATATGCTTTTAATAAAGGAAGAATTTGAAGCAATAAAGGACATAATAATGAATAAAAAGGCAATTATAGTTCAGGAAATTCTTTGACTATTTGTACAAAAAATGAGATGAAGAAAAAAAAAATATCAAGTTCCTGGAAATGATGCGGCGTTATCCATGAAAATGGCTGGGGCCTCGAGGGGGGGAATGCCCCCCATCCTTTAAGCGAGAAATGGCCGCTGTCTGCGGGAATTACATAATCACCGAAGCGTCATAAATAAGTACGTAACGTAACAATAAAGGTCAATCTATTATACGACATCATACACGGTATACAAGCACCCGTAGGTGCTCCAGCTATGCCAAATCAAACAAAACTCAATCACAATATAAAGTTGCAACATACGAAAATATCCTATTTTGATTTTTCAATTCCCATCGATTCGACAAGAGTCTCGAAATCTCACCAATATATATCCCCCGAACTTTTTGGCCTTTCCTTTTCTTTTGGGGTACATTCGATTTCGCTAATGCCATAATTAATGATAACAAATACTTGTGCTCTGTGTTTCTCATGAAAACTTTGGATAGTGTAATATCGTGATGATATACACCACCCTCATGCATGTGCAGCAATTGTTTAGCACCTTCCACAAAATCCTGGATAGTTTCAGGGTTTACTGTTAGTTCTTCGGCAAGAAAGCCCGGTCCAACTGCAAAGTAATTTTCCAAGCTGTGTGGATCCTTTAATGTATCATTTTGCTTGAAGTAGGCTCTGAAGAATGCAAACCCATAAGCGTTCAATTTGCTTCATGCTCGATTTCATATTATCATATACTTTTTGTGCGTCGAAGATCTTCAAGATTGAATGCTTTTCATTATTATGCTTATCGATAGCCCTGCATTCTTAAGCTCTTTAATCTTGACCCTGAAAACTTGCGAGTTTTGAAAAAAAATCAGTTTATATACTTCTGGAAATGCCTTCACACACAAGATTTTCGCGATCAATATAAACAGTTTGATATCTCAAGGATTGCTTCGCAGCAGAAAATTTTTCATCGAATCTTCTCTGTATCTCACTTTTTGCCATTACTTCAAAGTAACTGGTTGCGTATAAGCGGAAATCATCTATTTTCGCCTCACAAAAAATGGAATCGAGATAGTCTTTTTTTTAGTAATGCCAGGGCATCTCCATATAGGCGAGCTTTCTACTGTGCTATTTCACATTCGGACTTGTTATATTCCTAATCTGACAAAGCCAAAAGTGTTGAGAAGGATGACATAGAACCTCCTGTATTAAGGGTATTGGATGACTTGGTACATGTATACTCCAACCTTAAGTGGATCTTATCATTAATGATTTTCAAGTCCAAGATTCGAATGAAAATGTAAGTGATACTGTCACTTAAAATTCCAATAGGGGTTTGTGATAATACCATGCATGTTCCAATTTGGTCTATGTTAGTAACTACTGCTGAATCCTCCTCGTCATCAAGATATTGTTTTTTTTTCTTGGTGATCAGAGATTCTGAGGAAAGGAAATCCAAATATTGGATCCATGGTTCTGATAAATCATTGATACAGGTCGCACAATGCTACTGTTAGTAAGCGAGTGAGCACGATTTCTACCTCCAGTAGGAAGTCCCAGTGAAGGAAATTTATCTTCATATTCATCATCTTCAAACTCATTATTCCCCAATTTAGTGCCCCCCTGGAGTATATTGATGCGATAACGTCTTGGTTAGATCAACGAAAATACCGCGTTGACCACAAAAAGCACCATCCCAGAAATGAAAATCACTGCTGCTTTGACTCCGAAAAGTTCAGAGAAAATCAAAAAGAAAATCGAATTTATGAGATTAAACGCATGGATCAAGATATTGAAAGCATTTGTTCTTTTATCCATATATGGTCTGAGATCACAGAGAGCAATCAAATAAATTAATTTCACTGCAAATACAATGATCGCATGGATTTTACTGTTCAGTTGTAAAATCCCAAAAATCAGCGACTTGATAGTAATATAAGCAAGGGAAACCATGACCCAATAGTAGCATCTAGCACTATATTTTACATAAATGAAACCATAATTGTTGAGGACTTCAGGATCACTGTACAAAGAATACGTAGAGTTCTTGTAAAGTTGCACCGACTCTTTGTCAAGACTCACAACCAAATTCCTGTTTATATAGTATTGAAAGTTTACATTTACTTTATACTTATTATTGCCATTACATTAATATCTATATATTACCGACATTTAGTTCTCCGTCTATCCCAATCATGAATCCTGAAACTATTCCAACCTCCAATGAAGATGCTAACGAGTCAGCTCCAATTGCAACTCACCACGAAGCCAACGCCATCGAAGTGAAGAATAATGATGTGATTTCGACATCTGCCAAGTATGCCACTCTTTGAATCCCTCTAAGAACCAAAATCTTCAATGTCAATTCGGTGGAATTTTTCTCGTTAGAAGTGTACAAATTGGAACCATCAAGGGCGTCACTACTATCTTCTCTCTTGAAAACGTGGACATTTTTTGCTTTATATTTAAGAGACACAAGCAATTACCCATTATTTTGAGCCTTTTCATAAATATCACTCAAATATTCTGCATTTTTCACTTCTTGGAAGCTTTGCACCGTACGGAACATAGCAAGATCTGTGTTATAGTTCGTAAACAAGCCCAAATATTTACAATTTGAAAAGAATAACAACAATGAATTAGTCAAATATTGGAATATAATAGACTAGTAGACTGTAATACTGGTTACTGGAGAGATATTGCGAACTTTCCATGTATACACCACCCTACTGGTAATTAAGGTTGCGATAAAGACCCGTTAGGGTGGTACCTGCTCCTTCCCCCGGGAGAGACATTTTGTGGGGTAGACTATCTAACCAGATCAACCCGATTGTTCCAAGGGTGATGATTGTATAGAGCATACAATAATAAAAAAAAAACTTTTGATTTTAATAGTTCTCCCAAAGTTCTATTATATATTCAAGAAAACCACAGGACCACAGGTATTGTCCAAAGATACCAAGGGACGGGAAGTAGCGTTATTAAAGCTTGCTTTGGAGATGCTCGTAACTCTTTTTCTTTTCTTTGTTGTAATTCATTCTATAAAATAGTAATTTGAGGTGTAACCTTATGTCTCATATAAGAGGGGAACATCGATGGATCTCCTAGTTATTCCTAGATTGTCACGCTCGGACTGACTGACTTTCTCGCTACCCGAAAGGTATCAATAGCCTACACACCCCCGTCGCAGCATCTACACTTTTTCCCACAAATATATATATATATATATATAAGAACCACCTTGTGTCCTGGTAGACAAATCATATGGAGAGTCTGTTACATTATTTTTTGTAAATTCACTCACTGACCCTTTTTCTTTTTTCAAATCAATAACCTCTTTATTTTTCAGAATGGCTACTCCTCCTGCTGCTGGGCTTTACCCACCAATCCCAACCTTCTTCAAGAAAGACAACTGGACCCTTGATCTTGACACACAGATCGCTCACATCAAATTCCTCCACGAAAATGGTATTCCAGGGGCCACAGTCAACGGGTCCACTGGAGAAAACGCCCATTTGACCAGAGAAGAACGTGTCAAGATCATTTCAGAAATCAGAAAAGCCGTTCCTTCCTTTACCATCATTGCCGGGGTATGTGAACATAGCATAGATGGCGCGGTGGCAGAAATTGCTGCTGCCAAGCAAGCCGGGGCCAATTTTGCCCTCGTGGTGTGCTCAAGTTATTTTGGTGGTATCACCTCCCAACAAGGTATTTATAACTGGTACTCCAAGCTTGCTGATCAAGCCACGTTGCCAATCATGATCTACCTTTTTCCGGGGGTGTCTAATGGAATCGTTATTCAAGCTGACACTTTTGAAAAATTGGCTGCTCATCCAAACATTGTCGGGGCCAAATTCACTTATACCGACTTATCACTTTTCGTTAAGGTCAACTTGAACCCAAAGGTCCAAGCCTCCAACTTCACTGTGTTCCCAGGCTTCGCTAACTTCTTGTTGCCAGCATTCTCCGTCAAATCCGGTGGGCTCATTGATGGGTTAGGCAATGCATTCCCAAAGGCTATCAACCAATTACTCGAATACGGTTTGAAAGGTGATTTTGGTAAAGAAGCTCAAGAATTACAATATAAAGTTGCCTTGGCTGAGCAGATCTGTGTCGATGGCGGGGTGCCAGCCACCAAAGCATTGATCAAGCACTTCACTGGGTTTGGTGAAACCCTTTGTGGTAGAGCACCATTGGATGTTGAATACTCGACTGATTTGTTTGCTGCTAAGTATTTGACCGATATTGAACCTTTGGCTTCTGTGGAAAAAGCTTTGTAATGATTTTATGCATATATATATCTATATATACTATCTAATGATTCATTACTATTCATAATGTTTATTAATTGATAATGATGTAAATGTCCGGGCATCATTACATAATCTTTTACTGGCACTTCCAACATGCATAATCTCGACACAAACGTGAAAAAAACAAAACACGGGAGTTTTTGGTTGTTTGCCAAAAATGATCGTATTACTATATTCCTTTATCGTTTAGATTATGTTACAGTATTCAATACTGGCTAATTATATTCAAGTTACAAGAAAAAAAAAAGAGGAGAGAAAAAGAAATAAATAAAATAAGGATTAACCATGTATAATCAAGAGCCCGCCTTGCCAAAGACTGGATTCGATGCTTTAATTGTCAGTTCTACAGAAGAAGTCACCAAAATAGAGGAATGTGAAATCGAAGACGACTTGAATAATGCCAAAGAAACCTTGGATAATGTCAAAAAAAGTGAATTTTTGAACAATGACATTTCACCAAAGGTTACCAATGCCACCAGCAGGGAAATTACCAATCATCGCTTCAATCGTGAAGCTTCATACAATTTTAACACTTTGGATGGAGCAGCCCTTGATGAACTTTTTGGCATTGATGATGTTTTTGAATTAGAGCCTGTCATACTGAGTATCGATTCTGACCTGCCCCCACTTTTCAAACAGCCTTCGCGAAAGAAATATCCTTCCAAAGGCCATTATATTGGTAAAAGTTTCAAGCCAGACTCTTACCTATCTTTCCAAAAATATTACCTGGCTAATGATAGTGCGTACAATTGTTATCTAAGAACTTCTAAGAAAAGGGAAGCCAATAGGAACTCTAGAAGACTAATCAAAGAGAGCCAACATAGATTACAAAAAATCAGATCGGTTTATGATTCCGTCAAGAAATGGTCTGCTACCACTTCCAAACCAACGAGCAATGAAGATTGTAGCGGCCAAAGGATAAGACAACGCGCCGCTACTTTGAGGAGCGAGTGTGGCAGTTTTGTTTCTTCCCGGTTGCCATCAATTAGAGTTTATACTTCACATTCCAGAATCGATGAGTGCATTTTGGACTCTGGGGTATCTTGGCAAGAACAAGTAGCGAATCTTCTTTTCGTTGGAGTGCCTAAAAAAGAGCAAGTGGCTGGGAAAGATTATCATGATGCCCAACGAATCCTCAAAAGTCGGTCAGTGGATGGTGATAATGGACAATTTTCATAATTTTTGGTATGAGATAAAGATATTCAAAAGGGATAAAAATATATAATATAACTATTGTGAGCGGTTGTATACATAAGATTCTAATGTGTTGCAAATTATAACTGACTCAGAAAGGAATTAGGACAATACAATAATGCTTTCTTAATATCTTTACTTTATTAATTTCAAGTCTTCTAATTTCTACTCTTTCATCTCAATGATAAACAAATGTATTTCTAGTTGAAGCTCAAAAAATAAAATAAAAAAAAAAAGGTAAAAAATTAAATAAATTGATAGATAAGTAAATAAATAAATAAACAATACTGATAATATATAATTAAAAATTAAAACATCTGAACGAGCCAAAAAAGGATTAAAAATGATAACAATGAACAACAATTACAAAAAATAATCAAGGCACGATATAGTAATAATAGGCAAAAGCAAAGCACGACTCCGCAAGGTGTAGAACTCAAGAGTCAATCTGATGCCATATTACTATCTCTTATGAATGAGCCAAAATAAAAAAATGAAGATAACTAAATAAATAACAAAGGAACAGAGAAAGTACACTTAACAAGCACATCCTCCTTGGTCACCATCCAATTGGATATTTATAGCGTCTGAATAATCCTCATTAAATTCTGCCTCGTTTTCCAATTCTTGCTGGAAGGCGTTTCTGGCAACGATATCGAAAGCTTGGTCAATGTTGACAGCCTCTTTGGCACTGGTTTCAAAATACGGGATGTTGCCCTTTTCTTCACACCATTGCATGGCCTTCTTGTTGGCGACAGTTCTCTTTGATTCGTCAATATCGATCTTGTTACCCAAAACCACGAATGGGAAAGAGTTTGGGTTCTTGATGTTGGCCTGGATAAGGAATTCGTCTTTCCAGAACCCCAAATGTTCAAATGACTTGGCGTTGGTGACGTCGTAGACCAAAACACAACAATCGGCGCCACGGTAGAAAGCCACCCCAAGGGATTGGAATCTTTCTTGGCCGGCGGTGTCCCATAGTTGGATGGTGACGTTCTTATCGTCTATATTTAATTCCTTAGTAAGGAAGTCCGCCCCGATGGTGGCCTTGTATTGATGGGAGAATTTACCATTGACAAACTGCTGCATGAGCGAAGTCTTTCCGACCCCTGAATCTCCAAGAACGATGACTTTGAGAAGGGTTTTTTTTCTACTGGACATTGTTGTGGGTGGAGATGATGTTGATAAATAGGACTCACTCTAACGAGATGAGATACAACCAGCGCAGCTTTTTTGTTGTGGGACGGGTGTTGGGCGGTAATGTATTCAGGGGTTGCCCGGATGGCGCACCTGACGAAGTCTTGTTATTTTACTATAGGATTATTATTGCCATTATATCTATGTATTATATCTATGTATTATTACTGTTATTATATTTATGTATTATTACTGTCATCGTATTTTGTAATATTCCATTTCATAATCATCATTACCATATATAGAAGCCCTACGCATGAAAATACCAAGAGATAACTGCCATTTATATTGGATTATGTACATGAGAGTAATATGATACAAGAGCATTCGCAAAGAATTGAACAACAACAACCAGACACAGAAATCTTGCGCCATTTCATCAGCTTAACATGATGATAACCACCCACTAATACTACTATTATTATATTTTTCATCTATTGATCTAGATCAACCTTGTCTTTGCTTGTGCTTCTTGTTGGCCTTGCACAACACAAATACCTTTCCCTTTCTTCTGACAATCTAAGGAGGCACTGTTAGTAAATTATAATAATAACAATAAGTACAGTAAAATTCAAAGAATACCACTTACGTAACATTCGGAACAGAACTTCTTAACCGCGGATCTCACCTTGTAACCTCTGGCAAAGATCCCGGTGAACCCAAAAGGGCTGACTGGGGCAGTGAATGACTTGAAGAGAGGTCTGGTCAACGACTGGGAGAACATCTTTGTGAATAGTGTAATAATAATAATAATAATAATAATAATACTAATAATAATAATACTAATAGTAAACTCCATCACCAACAACCACTACAATACTTTTTTTCCAACTTTTTTTTTCTTCCTTCTCACCCCCCAGCGCTTCTAACACTGCTGCTGACAACCAAAATAAAAAAAAACGCCGCCTTTTTTGACATCCACCAGCGGCTAATTGTTGGTGGCGATGAGCTCCATACAACAATAACCATGGCCAATATCCTCTTGCTACTAGTACTCTCGCTCTTCTCCTGGGTCGTGGCAGCCGGTCCTGTCAACTCCAGTCCTGACAACAGTAACAGCAATAACGACCAACAAGCCCTCCCGGAATGTACCGTGGTCAATGCCGCCAACAAGGCGTTCTACGACCTCTCGTCATTGAGCCGTCCTAATGTCGAGAAAGGTTTGTCCAAACCACCAGCTTTTTCTGCTAGAGGTTTCGATTACCTTTATAACTTCACTTTGGGAGTCTGTGCTACCCCACTCAGTGGTTCAAGCATCAAGAACAGCCACGACATTGACTCGTCAATCAAGAACGCTTCGTTGATTGGAGGGTACTACACCGGTCTTGATGGCATCAAATACAGTATTGGGAACTTCAACCAGACTCCAATTTTCAGAGGAAGAAAATTGGTGTTGACCTATACCAATGGCAGTTACTGCCGCGACCCCCATACTAACGGGTACTTAAAAGACGCCAACGGCAAAAACTTGAGAAAGTCCACGATATTGAGCTTCACTTGTGACAAAGAAATGGTTTCAAAAGCCCAGGCGTCATTTGTTGGCGCATTGAATGGCTGTGATTATTTCTTTGAGGTTAGAACCCCTCACGCCTGTATTACTCCCAAAAAGGCTGATGATTTGGCAGCAATTTGGATCTTCTTATTCATGTATGTGTTGAAATATTTTTATGTTTTTTTTATTGATACGATTACTAACATTAACCTCTTTGTTTTTCTTTTAGTTTGTTTGCTGCGTTGTCCGTTTATTTCAGTGGTGGATTCCTTTATAAGACCTTGTTCCGCCGCAACAATAATGGCGGATGGATCCATTTGTCAAATAATGTCAGGTCGGGTCTTAAAAATAATGTAAGTTGAATTGTGTTACCTGATTGATCTCTTGTGAGAAAATTTGCATACTGATAGATAGTCTTTTAAAAACTCTTTTGTCACAAATCATCGGGGTGAAGGTTTGATGGACGAAAGCGGAAGGTATCAAGATGATACCAATGAGGATAATGATGATACAAATAAATTATTGGATCATTTGGATAGCAATTTGGAAAATGTATCTAACGGGAATCGTAACGAAAATTGGGATTGGAATGGTGCTTGAATTACCTTAGAAGCTTCTATTGATGGGATTTTATAAATAGACATTGCACGTTTACATATCCGTTTCATTATTGGTGATTTACTACAATCATTATTATTATTCACTCTGGTTATTATTTGTTGCTGCCATTTACTTGTTTGTTTTTTTGTTTGCTCGTTTTTTGTTGAAGTCATTATTTCTGGTTTCTGGGAGGCTCATATACTATGGTTATAAGCGACTATCACTTGTATTTTATTAATCTATATCATTACTTGGTTCATTGATAAATGCTTCTGGTTTTATGGGTCAAGATGCATCTGCAGCCATGGCTGTAGTCAAAAAAAATTAAAGAACGTGAAAAATAATAAAAAAAAAAAAAAAATTTTTTCGGAGCCATTATCAATATAACATCAACATTGAAGAGTATATACTCCATAATATATATCTAAGGGCAATGGTTTCCTCGTCATTGGTGCCTCATACACATTATGGTCCAGTGACTGCTTTAAAATTTATTCCGAACACTGAATTTCTCATTGCCGGGTACGGTCCGTTCATCAAGATCTTCAACTACAAGACTGGTGATTCGATCCCATTATCTAAAACCCACGAAGATGTCAAAATCTTTGAGAAGAACAAGATCCATGGTATCGTTATCCTGAAACCTCATTCATCATCTGAGCCAACCAATGTCAATGTATTGTTTTATGGAGGCAGATCGGTATCAGTATTGAATTTCCAAACCGATATCCTTCATGGGTCTAGCAATAACAGATTATCGGTGCACGAAACCGCGTGTAATGACTGGGTCATCTCTGGAGACTTCCATTATGCCGATCCTAAGTCAATATACTTATTGACGGCCCATAATATCGTGATTGATGCCCTGATTGTGGGAGATAATCTTGGCGGGTTGCAAGTCAACGGTAGTTATAATTGTAACGAGAAGAGTATTCTTTATTCTGGAAGTTTTACGGTACTCAATGATGAAGTGTATGTGTTTTCCGGGACCGTGATGTCAGGTATCTACGTATGGAAATTGGGAAGAGCCACTACTAGTGGGGAAGTCCTCCATCATTTGACGGGCCACGAAGGGTCGATCTTTGGGATCAAAAGCAATGATGATGCCACTTTGGCAGTGAGTTGTTCCGATGATAGATCAATCAAGATCTGGGACTTGAAGACTGGGAATAATATTGCCACTGGATGGGGACACGGGGCAAGAATTTGGTATTTAGAGTTCTTCAACCTTTCTACCCAGGTGATGAGTTGTTCCGAGGACTTGACTATCAGAATCTGGGATTTCGATATTGAAAATGGTGAACTAGAATGTAAAAAGGTCATTGAGGGTCATTCGGGGAAAAACGTGTGGGCCGGTGCGGTGAATCAACAACAATTGATCGGGGCATCGGGGGGCAATGATGGGAAAATCAGGTTAATAGATTTAGACACCACCGGTGATGATACCCATGAGTTATCGGTAGAGTACCTTACCAGTTTAAATTATGGTAAACTGGTAAATTTTGCAAAAAACGAAACCATCAAGACCGTTATCAGTGGTTCGCCTGAAGGGTCCAATAATGATGATCTATTAATCATCACGTCGTATTGTAAAATCTTCCACGTTAGCCAGAATTATTCCCAGGTCAAATTGTTGAATTTCTCTCATGAGCTCTTACAACAGAAAACCATTACTGAAACCATGCATTTCGTCAACAATTTTTTCGCCGTCAGCCATATTGAAAATGATGAGTGGTCAATCATGGTGTTGACTGCCAGCTCCGGGTACCAATTGTTTGTGACCTTGGATGGATCGTTGAATGTCAAGGATGTCACGGAGTTTTCAATCCTAGATTTAGTCGATCTGCCATTTTCCAAAATTACCGGGGTGTTCCCAATTTCCAAAACCCCCAACTTCACTTATTTCTTATTTGAATCGCCCAACCCAAATGACCCATTCATTTTTATCAAATATGATGTCATCAAGCTTCAATATCTTACAGAATCTCTCACATTGTTGGAAAAACCAAAAACAAGATTCACGCTTACTGCTTATGATTACGATGAAACTTACGGTTACTTGATTCTTGGATCGCGATTCGTCACCATGACCGTCTACGATTTGCATTCTAAGACCACCACCAATGTCTTGAGTCCTTTACAGACTTGGAAAAAATTTTTACCAGGGGATACGATTTCTCAAATCAAAGTAGTTAAAGCATTGACTGAATCATTGCTCGTGTGGATCTCACTACGTGATGGGACTTATCTTACTTTGGAAATTTCTAGAAACCTTAATTCTGGCGACCAAGAAGACGTGATAATCCAAGGATTTGAGAATTTGAGTCTCACTAACCAGACCTCCAATTTGAAGATCGACATTTGTCAGCAGAATCGGGTTTCCAAAGGGGGGTTTTTGGAAGGCTGTATCGAAACAAAATCCAGTTTCCAAGTCGGGGATAGATACATTGATGACTCCACTAATATCTTGTTGTATGGGTTCAAATCTGATTATTTTTATTTGTACAATGAAACCAAGGGTTACGAAGTATGGACCGAGTTGTGTGGGGGGTCGCATCGGATGTGGAAATTGGTGTACCCAAAGAAACAAATAACCGATGATCTTAACCAATTCCGATTTTATTACGTTAAGGCCTCGATGTTGGTGATCAAAAATATGGTAATTCTCCCAGCTCACAAGTTCGCCAAAGATTTATTGGTCGAAGGCACCCACGGGAGAGAAATAAGGGATATTGCTATTTCTACGACCGCTAAACTGGTCAACAATGATAATTCTGTAATTTATAAATTATTAGCGACCGGATCAGAAGACAATACCATCAAGATTTCCAAACTCTTGCTCAACACAAACGACCACGCTTGTCAGATTAAAAACTACTGGACCCAAAGATTACATGTCTCGGGATTACAAAGCTTGAAATTCTTGAATGATCAATACCTTATCTCATCTGCGGCGCGAGAAGAGTTTTTCATTTGGAAAATCAATGATGGGACCTTAGGCGATGATTCCAAGCTTTATGTTCATTGTTACGACACTCTCGTGCCTTCTGTGGCCGGGAACCCTGATTTAAGAATCATGGACTTTGATTATCTTCCTATTTACGACAACAACAATAACAACAACACTGTTGAACGATCATTACAAGGGTTCTTTTTATGTTTGGTGTACTCAAACTCCTTCATCAAGGTATTCTATTACGATCTTGTTAATAAGAAATTCCATTTAATGGTCGATGATTACTATAAGGACATTTGCATATTGACGATAAAGTTTGTTGTCCACTCCCAGAAAATCCATATGGTGATTGGGGCCACTGACGGGTTCCTCACGGTGTATGATGTTCCTGTGCCTGCCGGATTACAAATGCAAAATGGCAATGATGGTGCTGCATTGGTTGGTGAATACCATCATAGTGATGGTGCCGCTGCTGCGAAACTTGGAAGACCCGTCATCACCCAACAAATCCACCAGAACGGGATCAAGACAATGTGCGTTTCCAACCGCTCCGAATCGATCGATATCGTCACTGGAGGGGATGATAACGCACTTGGGTTGTTCACCTTGACATTTGATAATAATGGTACCATCACCTCAGGAACCATCAAGGCATTTTCCGAAGATGCTGCCTCCTCAACGATCACCTCGATCTCACCGGTTTCCACATCTCAATTCTTAGTGACCAGTGTTGATCAAGTGGTGAGAATTTGGAACACTGTCGATGGGCTTCATTTGGTGGATGCAAAATACGTGACTATTGCCGATACTGGATCTTCTGATACCACGACTTTTGAAGATGTAGCGGGAAATAAGATCGCTGTGGGTGCCATTGGTGGAGTTGGCTTGTCTGTTTGGAAAATAAACAATGACTAAAAAATCACTCTACAAAATAAATCTTGTCTGCAAAGTAATTTACTTTTCTATTCACAAAAACAAAAACAAAAAAAAAAAAAAAAAGGAAAAGTTAAACAATTCTCTCACCTTTCAGAAAATCTTGTCAGGGATTTCTTTATTTTTAATTTCGGTAGCTCATTAGTTTGGAATTTCTTTGTAATATAACTGTTACCTTCGTCGATATTCAAGTTGGAAAGATTATTCAAATCAGCAAAATCTTTATCCCAATTATCCAATTCGTAATCTTTCTCAATATACTTTGATAGAGAAGACGCTTGACTAATATTTCTAATTCTGTGCTTCGTTGAGGAATCATTGTCTGTAGGCAAATCACCAATGCTAATTGATGACAAACTCTTGTGTTTCTTGCTGTGGTATTTAACACTATCGTTGGAAGAAGCGTTGGAAACTTTTCTTGAAGGGTTCGAGAACTCTCTATTCTTATAATACACATGATTGTTGCTGCTGCTATGAGACGTGCTGCTATGGGACGAGCTTCTAGGGGGGGTCGTTTCACCATTTTCACCTTCTTCATCCACAAGCCAAGGATGGGCTAATAGATCCTTTGCGGTGCTCCGAAGTTCAGGATCTTTTTGAAAGCATTTTGTAAGGAATTTCTTACCATTTTCCGATAACCCTTTGGGTAGCGTAGGACAATCATCACTAACGATGGCGTGCAACGCCGACATGGAATTCAAGTTATGATACGGTGGATATCCAGTATAAAGCTCGATGATCGTGGCCCCCAACGACCAAATATCCGAGGCCGTCGATACTTTCTCCAAAGAAATCACTTCAGGGGCCATCCAATTAGGAGTTCCTGCGGCCTGGCAGTTCCTGACATTGACGGTATTGACATTGACTTTGGTAGACACTCCGAAATCTGCCAACTTGACAATCCGCTCAGACGTCAATAAGATATTGGCTGCCTTGATATCCCGATGCACCACTCCTTCATGGTGCAAATAATCAAGCCCTTTTAGTACTTGCCGGATGTAGAACTTTACTTCAGGCTCGGTAAGCAACGAGGGAGTGATTCTACCGTTTTCCTTGTTGAATTTCTTGATTTTCCGGTACAATTCCCTCAATGACCCGCCGTCACAGTACTCGAGAAAGATGTTTAATGTGTTGTGTCGCTGGATGAACCCGTGGTATTTCACAATATTCACATGTTTGAGACTTTTCAATAAGTTTATCTCCGACATGAGCTCCATGGTGTCGTCCTCGGTGTTTAGGTCAATCTGCTTGATGGCAATGTTTTTTTTCGTCATCTTGTTGGTCGCTTTGAAAACGCTGGCAAAAGCTCCTTTGCCTATTTGTTCTTTGATCTCGTATTTGTATAATACATTCTCTATTAATTCTGCCGAACTGAGCCTCTTTGTGAACGTTGGTGAAGTTAGGAGGACGTTTTCTTTATTCAATGGGGAAAATTCCGATGCTTTGCTATTACTGTACGATATTTGAGAGGTATTGGATCTTAATCCAGGAGATAAAAACGATGAAGAAGGTTTATTGTGGTTGTGGTGGTACAGCATCGATCTTTCATTGTCGATGTTGTCAGTATTGTCGATCGTGGCGAAGTTACCGTTATTGTTATTGGTGGAGATGGTGCCATTATCTAAAAAGGCCCGAGTATTAATACTGCTAGCACTCGATATCCGTGTTTTCACTTTCCAATCATGGATCTTTGTGTCAAAGAAATCGAAGCTCGAGTTTGTGTCCTGGTAAAAAGACGTCTCCAAATCGGTATCCACCTCGGTTTCCTTGTATTTATCAAGAATCTGGTGCTTTTTTAGGGTCGACCTCCTCTTTAGTGACGATGACTTCTGTCGTTTCCGCTCGTCCATATGTCGTGGGTAGTGGGTGCTAGTGGTATTATCTATACAGGGTGATGGTGATGGTTGATGAGATGTTTTGTATTTTCTGGCGTGTTTTCGTTTCTAGTGTGTGGGAGGCACCGCTGCGGTGGGTCGAAACTTCAAAACAAAAAAAACGACAAAAAAACAACAAACAAATAAAGCTCCCGACACACACACATACAACATATATGTATTGATATATTGCATCAGTATATATATGGCAGTAGATAAAGAAATGGCATGGATCTCACACGAACTGGACCATGCCGACCACCAAAATGAACCTGAACACAGCTGCTCTATGGATGATGACACCCTGAGTGATGATCCGTTAGAGAAAGAAATTACCACGATACTCGAAGAGTTTTCTCCTGAAAAATCAATGAGAAGACTGGAATCGTGTGAAATAGTGATGGGGTATGAAATCCTTGAAGTAGGAGAAGATGACCTCAACGTTCAAGAGTTATTGGAATTGGACCACAAGATTTTCCAAGCGATCAAATCACTAAATGATGATGATGATGATGATGATGATGATGATGATGATGATGATCAAAACGCAATCGAGGAGGATGATTCGGACTCAGATTTCAGTGAGGATCTAATAGATACATCTGAGTACCAAGACTTAAAAATAAAGTACCGACAAGTTTCTATTGAGTTAGCAGTGACTGCAGATGGAAATACCAAGATGTATAATGCCTACTATAATTTAGCATTGAGGTATCGTGATTTAAAATTCGAGCTCCAGCGACTTAAAAAGGCCAAGGAACCCTCCACAGAAGATAAAGAACTCAAAAGAGAGGATAATGACGACATTGTGCGGGAAAATGGCCAGCTTAAAAGGCAGCTTTCCGAATTAAAGTCACTAAGCATCGATCAAGGAGAACGATTGAAAGAAGAATTCAATAAAAGAACCGAAGATTTGCAGAAAATGGTGGAGCTCTTGACCGATGAGAAATTATCATTGGCAAAGCAAAATGATCTCCTAGATAAACAGCTTCGGGAGACAAAAACCAAACTACGGGAATTGCAACAAAATGAAATTGCCCTCTCGCAAATCCAAACGGAAAATGAGATTCTTTCTAGAAATCTTCGAAATCTCGAAACCGTGGAAAAGTCTCTTCAGACTTGCCATGAAACGATTTATTCCCAAAAGGAAATAATCAACGAACTTCAAGAATATAAAGAATCAACGGAAAAGGAATTGCAAGAATTGCAAGATGAAAATAAAAGCTTGGCTGCTACTATCACAGAACTTCAATTGAAACTTAGTCAAGAACAACAAGCTTCATCAACGCTTATCCAGAAGCATGCAGAAAAGGACAAACAATTTGCCGATAAAGAGAAACAATTCATGACAGACATCAATAAGCTAAGGTCACAACAGCATTTGAGAAGTGCGTCTGATGATTTCTATCCTTCTAAGCAAAATTATAGATTCGGAGTCAAAGTTAATAATAATTCCGTTAGTTCCTCCAGCAGAAGTAGCTCATTAATGTCCAGCCATGCTGTACTCAATGATCAAAGAATGAAAAACTCTGAGAGCTCATCGTCTAATCTTTTTGATCATGATCATAATGAGTTTGCTCCCCTGGTTACTACAGCCACTCAAAATGGCGTGATAAGAGATGGTTCAATTGGCAATAATTCAGGTAAGCAAAATCCTTTCTATGTCGGGAAACCTTCCTCTTTGAAATCAATGGTTAGAAAAGCGTCGGCAATACCGATTGAGTCCATTGAAGAAGCACAAGAGCACGGACAAGCCATTGAAGAAGATAAAAATTACTCTCCTAGGCGTGGCAGTACCCTCGTTCTCCACCACCATCCACACCGCACCACTTATGAGAATATAAATGGTTTGCAGGAACATGGCCATATTCAGGACACTATTGCAGAGCGACGAGCGGATAGTTTGTTAGCCACTTCCAAGCTTCAACCTGTAAATATCCCAAAATCGTTCTCGGTAGGCTCGCTACTTAAATCAACTTCAATCCCGGCAATAATAAAATCAACTTCATTCAACAATAAGGCTTGTTTAAGCAATGGCAGCTTCGATGCAAACGCTTTATTTGGCTCGGTGGTACCAATCAGCTCTGCGTCGTCCAATCTTCAAGAGAAAAGGAATTTCAACATCAATGATGTGGCAAACTATGAAGGTGCATTTGGCAAGATACAAACATTGGAAATTGATCTGGATGAGTATCGAGATTTTGACGAGCCAGATGGTAGTCCAAGATGGGTATCTAAACCGAAAATTGATGTAAAACCCGTGGGGTACATTCTGGGATCTAGACCGTCGCAACACCGAAGATCAAGGTCGATGATGAATCAAAATACTACCAGTTTATTTTCCAATTACGTCAACAAGCAAAAATTGACGAAATCTGGATCTATGTCTGCCAATTTAAACTATGGAGGGTACGGTAATAATAGTGGAGCATCTATCGAAGATGGCAATCTAAAAGGGTTGTATACCAAAAAGTTCCACAGCTCAAATAATATTCAAAGATTCGCTTAATATCTTATCCTTCTTCCTCTTTTCTCTTTATTTTCAATATTCTTTTATGTGTTATTATTATTATTATTCTACTGTGATATCTCTGTTATTTTAGTTTTCTTTTTTAATTTTCTGTTTATTTGGGATTTGATTTTATAGGCTTCTTTTTTTTTATAGAAAAAAAATAGTGAAAAAACCTTCAATGTTTTATGGTGCATATTAGGATTCATTTTGATTTATGTAATAATGTGATATATAGGTCCACTACAAGTAAGTAGTATAGTATGAAAAGAAAGGCATCCATTCTTAGTACCAGACTCACTAGTAGCCATTGCAATTTATATCGTATATTATATCTGATGCTATTATATCAGGTGAAGTACACTGGCAGTTGAAATAACCATTGGTAAAATTCGATAAAATTCGACACTAAAAATAACTATTATATATATGGAGTAATTCCGAAGCAAAAGAAAAAAAAATGGTTACTATCATAAACAAAAAAAAATTACACAATACAAAAATCAGACCAAAAAACCAACACTAGAATCAAAAAAAAATCAGACAAATCCCAAGAACAAAAAAAAAATAGCCTCAGATCCCGTAGATCATTCAAATTAATAGATGAGCACTCTTCCTCATTCTCCTTTCTTAGTACAACATTTCAATAAAATACACACCATAACCACGACGATATGTTTCATTGTAATGAAACACTCCTCCCTCTCTTCTCATCCCTCATTAATTCAAGCAATTACCTCCCAAACATAATTTTGAAAATCTTGACAGCTTTACCAACAGTTAACCCGTATACCCACAACAAAAATCTTGAGTATGGACCTCGCTCATTATATAGGACCATGATTGTTGATGTTGTCGATTGAGTGGAGCCTCTTCGTTGAAGTGGTTTCCCTCTATTTCTAAGGCTATCATTATCCCCAATTTGCGCAGTATCTGATTTCCCAATGAGGATGGGCTCCTCAACGGAAGTGCTGGCCGCCAGTTTGGTGGAGTCTTCTGGTATTTCTAAAACATGGTTGAGATTTCCCGATGCATCACACTCTTGGGTCCCTTGTTAGTAATTGAAAGCTTAGAACTAATAATATATTGTAGAATAAAGTAAACTAACCTGTTGGTAAAGACTTATCGTCACTTAGCCTCCATACGCCATCAACAATAAATTTGTATTGCACCTTGGGGCCCCCAGAAATTTGGTATTTCTTGTTATCAAACTTGGCCTCATAAGTTTGACTGGATTTTCTAGTAGTGTCAATTTGCTTCCAGTCTAAAAAAGAAGAAGCAAAGCACACAGAAGTATCATCTGGTATTGGAGTATTCGAATAAAAATAAAAGCAGGTTGACATCTTCTTCTTCTTCTTTTTTGTCAGTGATTGTTCTATCCATGGATATTTTTCTGCAGAAGGCTGCGATAACGATAAGTTTTCATCACCAAAAAAGTGTTATTTGCTCTATGCACCCTCTCTTTACCGTGGGGAACAAACACCCCCTGTAAAAAGGGCATGCCAATGGAACTCTGCAGACCAATAGTGAGCGTAGTTCCTCCCTCCCGGTTATTTCAAACTCAAGTTGACCAAAATTAACACATAAATGGAGAGTCAATTCTCTTCCAGTGCAACCAACATCAGGTGTATGTTACAATATCTTCTATATAATGTACCATTCCTGTGGTGCCATCATCTCAAGTATTTGGGAATGAAGAGCTAACAATACTTATTGTCGTGGACTGTTAGATACAGAATAAGAAGGTCAAAAAATAGTGATCACCGTGGCTGGTCTCAGCCTATGTTATAAACTCAAAGCTCGAAAAGGGGCTCTAATATATATTAACTAGTTATTAATAGGGCATAATAGAAGTAAACACAAAAAAGAGTACTTTAAGATGAAATGAAAGTGGTTATTATTCATTGATTGTTAAAATAAGCTAAAAATGAATGGAAGTTGATAAAAGTATTATTTTTTGATGTGATAAACCTAGCAAAGTATGGGTGTCTATAATGTTGGTATTTTCGATACTACAATGTTGACGAATGGTCAGCTGTTTCAACGATAAATTGTTAGAATTCTACAGATCTATAAAGTACTTCAATATATATAAAGACGAAACAAACGCACTCATGTATAATAACAAACACTTTAGATAATAAAGTTAAATAAATATAAGGACAGTAGTAAGGACAAGCAGCACGACACCTAGCAACCTTAAACCAATAATGACTGTAAATATAATCTTGATAGCCACCACTATAATATTTATCAGTAGAGATATGATGATCTGGTTCCTAGTATAAGACCTACTAACTTTCTAGGGTGTTGTTAACAACTAGTCTACAAATACAAGTAGCATACTTGTATAATTTTACTATGGGATAGGTGTCATAAAAAAATTGAGTTTTTCAAAAGCTCATCATTAAAAATACTAGAAAACAATGGACGAGTTGGGAATTGAACCCAAGACCTCTCCCATGCTAAGGGAGCGCGCTACCAACTGCGCCACACGCCCAGAGAATAGTACCTGATGCCCTCACTCAGATTTGAACTGAGGATCGCTACATTACTAGTGTAGCGCCTTACCAACTTGGCCATAAGGGCTTACTTAAAATTTGTTACAATCAGTGTGCAAGGGCACACTAGATTCTGGAATCAAGTGAATAGTTTTTCAAACTACATTAAGTAGTTTATGAGATATATAGTTATATAATTAATTAATATATTGAATTTTGTCTTTAAAAAAAAAAAAGTGGCTCACTTCTCTATCTCTCATATCCTTGTATGACATGGTGTTGGCGATCAATGAAACCTTATCATACAACTCGGTACTAATGAAGTAGCCATGCATGTAGGATCTCAAGACCTTGGTACCCACAAGATGAGCAATATTCAACTTCTTCAATTCTTCCTTAAAAAAAAAAAAAAAAAAAAAAAAAAAAAAAAAAAAAAAAAAAAAAAAAAAAGTGGAGATTACAGGCAGTATTTTATATCCAAAGAGACTTGTCCTTCCTAAACTAAATAAAGGTCTAAACTAAAGGAATGTTGAATCCTTATATAAATAAAATGATTAAAACTAATAATGGGGTGTTGGACCCCTTCCCGGAATAAAGGACTAAAAGATAAGGGGTGGAACATAAGGTGATACCTTGATAAGGTAATACCTCGATGAGGTAATGCCGATCATGGGTTCCGTATGGTACCATACCGATGGTAACCAGGACACAACCTAACCATGATCCCATAATATAACATTATCCCCCCTCGGAGAATGAGTCGTCTCGATCATTATTACTAGCCATAAAGTCATCAAGTTCGTCGTGAAGTTGTAACCGTTTCTCATAAGGAATTTAAACGAATCCAGGTTTTGGGGAACATGTACTGGGTCTGCCTTTCCTGGGTATATGACAACGCGTAGTCCTTTTCGAGATCAACAGTCATTTGGGTCTTCGATATGTTTTCCTTTTTAATTCAAACCAACATTCCGAGCTTTCACTAATCCCAAATGTTGAACTTGATTCAACCATTAGCTGCTCATTTATCTTTTATCATAATTTCATAACATGTTTCTCTCCAATGGTACCAGTACTCATAAGAATTCTTCAAGGTCTTCCAAGCTTGTGATTGGACAACAACAACAGTGCACATTTGGTCGAAAGAAACCAACAGCGGCCTTGACTAAAACTGCTAAGGACCAAATTGTCCGAAGTTATACTATTCCAGAACCAACTGAGATGAGGACGAAGTAAAAGGGTAAGGAATCACAAATCATGCTAATTCTTCTCATCATCGTTAACTTCAGTACTTCCAACCCTGCTTAGACAAGTTCCAAAATCTTTAAAATCCAAGATCTTTATAACCTAATAACTGTCGGCTCGGTAAGCTCGGTCAGCTTCCCAACTCTCACATTAATTCAATGGGTAGCTTTATCAATTAATCACTAACTTCTTTCAAAACTTCTAACCTGGACATACAATGCCAACGTATCAATTACCATGAATTCCAAATTCTTCTCTTCTTTAGTTTCTTCTCTGGTCTTCTCAAAATTTATTCCAATCCAATTCTCACGAGATGCATAAAAAGGTCATTTCATTGCGGAGTAGTTAAGACTCATCGACGTTCCCAGTGAATAGGGTTAGCATACCTTTAGTTCAAGATAAGCTCAGGAATTAGCAGTTATGACGGAGCTTCCTAGCTCTAATCACTCTTAGCCATTGTAAGAAGTAAGTCACTTGAACTAATATGATCGATGGATGATGTCGGGAATTCTCTCCAGTGACCTCTTCCAGTCCGTACTCGGTCAATCCATCGTCCTGCTAGTTATTCCATTAACTCGCTTTCTCCTAACGATACAGTTCACAATCAATATTTTCGTAACGTCAATGATCAAATACATTTTTTGGCCTCTCTAAGTGATTCAATAGTGTGATGTATCTAATCAAGTACCTTGTTCATTTCATTAGGACATTGTTCATTTCATTAGTGCATTTACCGCATCTGGTTAACACTTCTCAGCCTTCAATTCTTTAATTTTCAAAACTGGATATATCATCAAAACCCTTATCCTGTCAATTGACAACGATAGAGCTTCTTGGCTCAACCTTATCCCTTTCAGTCGAAATGTTCAAAAGCATGCCCTAGTTCATACTCTTCTGGCCTTATTCACTCCAATGCGATTCCACGATATATTACATCGCTCACGCACAATCCCTGTTCGACCTTAGGGTTGTATACCTCTTATACAACTTTGACAACGATTATGACACTGCCTTAATCCTGTTACCAATATCAGCTTCTTGTCACTTTATACGCGATCCTCGCTTAACTCCGGAGCTATTCCAATTACCCCTTTGGAATTATTAGCATTCCGATTCGATACCAGCTATCCTTTTTTTTCACCGTAACATGGTAATCAAATAGGACTCTTCATTCTTCGGTTTGGAGATTCCAAGCAACCCGAGTAATGACTCTCCATGGTCGAGCTCTATTTCGATTATCGAAATACCCATGACCCAAGGGAGGTTGCCAACCAAGCCGGAAACGATAATTTACATAGCTTTCTCCTAATCTGTTCTCGCGAATAGTTGACACTGATACATCCTTCTGTGGTTTGCATTGTTCACACAACTTGTGGACTTACCCTTATCAACCGCAGATTAGCTCTTCCCTGTAAACTCTGTGTTGAAAGTTCCAATGCTCCAATGTGTCAAGGTAATGTTGTACTGTGGCCTTTCGAAGTAACGAAACCGTTGTTTTATTACTATCATTGTCACCCCACAGAACCAATGATCTCCGTTACCGCACAAATAACAAGAACACTGGAGACCAACTTATCAGACGAGTATCCCCACAGGAAGGCTTTAATCACTCGTTTAATTTCCACGGATGCATCAATCTCAATCAATTGTTCGTAACAACATTTAGTAAGACTGTCGATATGACAGAACCTTCCTTTGCAACATGAACAACACAATTTATTAAACGTCTCTAGCTTCGGCACCAGTTGCCTTGGTCATCGTAAAAGTTTCCTTTCTCCAATCTTCCATACATCTGTAAGGATCATTCCTTCGATCCAAAATCAAATAGCGACTTTCCACGTCATCGCTTCGTATCACCTTTTAGTGACTACTATAATTTCAACTCAACAATCTCTAAGCGATGCTATTATCTCATCGCTCCATAGTTACCAGCTTTCCGTAACCGATACAACTTTGGGACTTTTATCTCCCAATTCCGTTGTCACCCATATATTAATTCCGTTCCAGCACTAGAATACCGGAATTAACAAATAATGACTATACCACCAAACAAACCAATCTTCGGCGTAAGGATTCTAAGATCGTAACCTTTTCTAACTATTTGGTCCTTGACCTAGGCTCCTCAATAATCACCAATATTTTATAGGAGAGGAATAAAATCCTTCCCAAACATAACTAGTCGGCTCTTGATCCTGACTCAGAAATGTGGCTTAACAATAAGCAAAAAAATAAACATCAAAAATAAACAATATAAACAAAACAACACGTCGTCGTCTTGTGGGAGTGGTTAGTGGCTATTTGTTCCGATCTCAACCACTCCATAAGCAGGGTCATTTTGACACCTATAACGTGATCCTAATCGATCATAAAACCAAACACTCGTTTTCCTCAACGGTGTGAAATACGCAGGGCCACCGTGGCCCTGAGGTAACAAAATCCAGTCACGAAGGAGGCAGACAATGGTTCTCTTTTTGCCCGTTAAAATACACAAGGCCACCAAAGTTCCTCATGTGACAAGTCAAAAACAAAAGTTACAACGTTCTCGTATAACGATGTAATGTAGCAGGGCATCCACAGCACCTGGGGTGACAACCGTCACA